GGAACTGCTGTGTACATTGTGTATTAAGTAGAGAAAAGTTTTAATCAAGTGAATTGGTGAAAGTGATTGATTTTGCAAATATTCTAGAAGTTCTTTGAATTTTTTTAGATCCACATTTGATTTATACCGGTGCGTAGATAAACCGTGTCACAATATTTTTGAAGGCCATCTCTTATGGTCCCACTATGAAACGTTGGTTGTAAGTGGTTTTGTAAAGTTTGGAAATCCAGTATAGTACAGGCAGTTTAAAATCAACTCTCTTTTGAAGGAATTCTGAATAAAGCTAGGACTGAATTGTGGTTGGAGATATATAGATTTCCGATAAGTGGACACTACAAGAGTATAGATTGAGGAGACATACACACTTTTGAAATGTGGATAAATGAAACCTATAAGTTTATAGATTGTCAACAAGCTTATTGATTGTCAACAAGTGGACACATGAACATATTGACAGTGAACAAGTGGACACTACAAGCTTAAAGATTCTAATCAATTGGGCATTATATGCTTATATTTATGGACAAGCGCACTCTACATGCTTATAAATTATGAATAACTGAACTCAACAAGCTTATAGATTTTAAGGTTGACGCTACCATCTTATAGATTATAACCAAGAGGACGTTACCAACTTATAGATTAATAACATCCTTATAGATTGTACCCAAGTGGACATTATCTGCCTATAGATTGTAATTAAGTGAATATTACCAGCGTGTAGATTGTAACCTATTGGGCACTACAAGCTTGACTGTAACAAACGTATATATTATTGGCAAGTGATATATTCGGAAATAATGAATACATTTAAACTCTTGGTTATTTTATTTGTACCTATCTCTATGTGTGATTGCGAAGAGGATGCGTGTAGTTTAAAACTATGTAAATGTTTACAAGATAAAGTAGAATGTAGTGGTACTAATCTAACTTATATACCTGTACTTCCCATTCGAACCAACAAGCTATTTTATGATGATAACTATCTGCCTTTGATCAATGAACACACCTTTTCCAATATAACACACCTGAGATTGAAGGACTTAACACTTCAACACTGTAAAATCACACATATAACTACTCATAGTTTTAAATTCTTAAAACATTTAAAACGATTACGACTCTCTGGTAATCCATTAACGACGGTTTCTTTGTTAAATCTATTTGCTGATTTGAAAAATGGTTTCTATTATTCATTAAGCTTTAAAGACATTGGTTTAACAGTTCTACCTGAAGGAATATTTAAAAATAATTTTACTTTATTTTATCTTGACATTTCTAACAATTATCTTAAAACATTAAATTTCACAGAATTAAACTCACTTGGTCTAAAAGTTTTAAAAGTCGAAAATAATCTAATCGATACAGTTGTAATGGATACGATGGAAAATTTACGCAATTTGTCATTAATGTCAAATAATATCAAATCACTTCCGGATTTTTGTCATGGTAAATCTTATTTCCCTTCATTGACCTATTTAAATATACAAAGTAATAATATTTGTAAGTATGTTCCTCAATATATGAACTGTTTACAAAAACTTTCTAAATTTGTTCTCGATGAAAACTGTATATCATTGATTAAAACTGGATCATTCCAAGAGTTATCTTCTTTAATAGACCTCGGTTTGTCACAACAGAAAAATTCTAGATTTCCCTTTAAACTTGAAAAGTATTCTTTTAATAATTCAAATCTTGCAAAGTTAACATTGTTTGATAATAATATGAAAATTGAAAATATTAATCCATCGGCGTTCAGTGGCTGTCATAGAGTCAAATATCTATTATTTTCTGGTAATTATTTAAGTGATCACGGAAGTCATACTATTACAAAATTAAATCAAGTTTTATCAGAGCTTAAATTCTTGCAGCATTTAGATCTCTCAAAAAACAGGATAAATGAAATACCAATATCCATTCAAAACTTCACTAAACTTCAATATCTTAGTTTATATGAGAACGGGATATCAAAATGGAGAGATAGATTTTGGGATGGAAACATAAATTTAATTACTATAGATCTTGGTAAGAATTCATTAAGAAAAATATCAAAAGAGATGTTTCCTGCGAAATTTAGATCACAATTAAAAACAATATCATTTCAATATAATCCAATAGAGTGTATTTGTGACAATGTTTGGTTGATTGAGTGGATGAATCGAGATCATACTAAATTTAGATTTTATCCACGTGGATATAAATGTTTAAATATAACTGAACAAATTTGTATAAAACACAGTCCTTTCTATACGTCAATAACTGGAGTTTGTTGTGTTATAATTCTTTTATCTATCCTAGTATCTATTGTTTATAAATATAGATGGTTTATCAAATATCAGATTTACATCTGGCGACATCAACCTAAACTCTTAAACAATATGGCGGAACAACAGTATCTCTATGACGTGTTTGTTTCATACTCCGCCGCGGACGATTGGGTCTTGGATGATCTGGTACCACAGTTAGAGGGATATGAGGGCATGAAACTCTGTATACACGAAAGAGATTTCCAGGCTGGTAGATTGATTATAGACAATATTGTAGAATCGATTGAAAATAGTCGTCGTGTTTTAATTGTATTAAGTAATAATTTTGTTCAAAGTGAATGGTGTCAATTTGAAATGACTTTAGCTCAGAAACATGTTTTAAATCGAGCTATAGAACCTTTAAGTGTTGTTTTATTAGAAGATATAGACAGTGAAAATATGAGCAATTCACTTCATGCTTTATTAAAGACAACTACTTATATAACTTGGTATGATGATATAGAACATATTCATTTATTTTGGGATCGACTGAAGAATTCCCTTATTTGATATATATTTTTGTAACCTAATGCAAAATTACTATATAATAACCGAAGAATTCCCCCCCGATGGCTGTCTTTATTCATAATGTAAAATATTGACACATATGATATTTTAAAGCATTGTATATGATTGAAATGGCTTATATTGTACAAGTTTATACAGTAGTTTATATATATTTTTTATTTATTTTAACATTGGAATTGTTCTTCTTACAAATAGAAGAAGAAAGTGACATAACAATGAGTCACTGTTGGTCCAACATCTACGGAGCCCCTTAAGCGCAATTTTCAACACTTGTTATTATTATTTCGTTTAAACGAATTAATTATTTCGAAATAATAATTTATTTCGTTTAAACGAAACGAATTAATTATTTCGTTTAAACGAATTAATTATTTCGTTTAAACGAAATAAATTATTATTTCGAAATAATTAATTTTTAATCGAAATAATTATTTCGTCTAACGAAATAAATGATGTTATTTCGTTTAAACGAATTAATTATTTCGTTTAAACGAATTAATTATTTCGTTTAAACGAAATAATAAATAAATATGTTTGCAATTGCGCCTTAGGGGCGTAAACATCTGTTCCACGCTGTTTTTGTGTTTTTGTTTGTTATATATTTTGCTTAATAATTATGAGTTTCGCTTTATGTAAATTTGTATTACCAATAAAACAGTTTTACTGAATGTTATGTATGATACTTGCTCAAATCACCAACTCACAACTCTTTATAACCGTGTCCCTTATCAATGTATAGAAGGGTAGTGGTTCATTATACCAATAGCTAGTATGAGATGGAAATAGCAGCTAAGAACAGAGATGTCGAAATACCTCCAGGCTTTGCGCCCTTTGTCAGTCAAATAGAAGTAATTCCACTTACAAAGGCATCCTTTCCAAGATCATTTAACATGTGAAATTTGATTTACATAATTTTATGTTGGAAATGTCCCAAACAATATGGAGGAGAAACTAAGAATAATTTACGCATTCGTTTTTATGCTCATATATCAGATATCAAATTAAAGAAAGGCAAGTCTGTTTCTAATCATTTCAACACGACCACTCATCAGGCACTAACCTCCATTGAGCATTCTCGCTACGCCTGACAATAACTTTGGATACAGATGGAAGAAACTTTTCTATATATTGTGAGGCGAAAGTTTCCTCAATTTTTTGTATCGACATTTATCTTTTGTATGAATTTCAAAATTCAGAAGGCATTTTATTCATGGAAAAAGCTTTTGGGGGGATGGGGGTGGGGAGCGGAGTTTGCGGAAAATGTCGTCCTCATTGATCAATGAAAGAGAAATTATAGCATTTACTTTCGGCATAATATGTTTAACAAGGAATTGTAAAGAGGCTGGTATTTCAAAATGGTTCAACCTACAAGGCTCTAATTTGGTGAAATATCAATATCAATGATATATGATTAAGGAAACATTTGATCAATCGTATTAAAGGGCAGAATCGCACCCGTTCGACCAATCATACCATCGTCTCAGAAATGGGAAATGTTTTGTTAATCCAATCCATTATGGTGTTCACAGCTCACCGACGAAATTTAAACCGTCAAATCCATGTGTGTCCAGAGTTATCCGCGTTTGAAGTTAAAAAGACTAGTCTTCTTTTTATGAAACACTGCCATAGAAACTAAATAGAAATAGAAAGCGAAACTCTTAGTTTAAAGTATATTTGAAGGATTTTTGATTTTCTTACACTAAAAACACCTTCAATCAATTCCTACATGCCATCAAAAAAAGCATTAAAAATACCCTTATATAAAATAACATCCTTGTTTTAAATAATGTTTTTTATTGTCTAGAAACACCATAACTCTTTTTTTGGAAAAAAACAGACCACAATTTCTTCGTTAAATTAACTCATTTAAAAATAGGATGAGTTTAATTCTAAAACACGTCGAAGATTATTCGGGCGACGGTATCTTTTCTTCATTATTTTCTCTGGGTAAACAATAATTCCAAAAGTAGCTAGCTTTGTTTCAAACGACAAATCACTTATTTCATCCGGGGCGAAAGCCGTAGGCTCAATCGTGGAAGCGGGAAAGAGTATAAGCGACACAGTGAAACAATCTAACGAGTTGAAAGAATTACAACTAATAAGAGATCTGCAAAACCGGAGATTAGAAGAAAGGAAAGGAAAAGGTTTTAAAGTTATAGGATAAAAATGATTATCGCTCACGCTCCAAAAACTTATTTTGGTTCAGATATACAAAAATCATTGGGTTCTCTTCCTGGATTTCCAGGAGAAAAAAATCTTCCCGGTCACAATTACACTGGTCCAGGTACCAGGCTAGATCTGCGATTAGACGAAAATGATAAACCCAAACCCGGTGAAGAACCAGTCAATAGAGTTGCGCTTAAACACGACATACTATACAGAAACAAAGACATAAACTTCAGACACGAAGCAGACAGACAAATGATAATCAAACTTGAAAATATTCCAAATCCAACTTTCAAAGAGAGAATGCAAAGGGCTCTGATCATAAAACTGTTAAAAGATGAAATTAGGCATGGGATTAGCGGATGAAATTCATAAAGAATTTCGAAAAACTAAAAACTTTTTAAAAGTTAAAGTATTTGAAAAAGATGAAATATGGTCAGCCGATTTAATTCATATGCCAGTCGAAAGAGGATTTAAATATTGCTTAACAGTTATAGATTTGTATACGAGATATGCATGGGTTATTCCTTTGAAAAACAAAACAGGATTATCAGTCAAACACGCATCTGAAACGATTATGAAACAATCTAACTGACATCCAGTAAAACTGTGGGTAGATAAAGAAAGTGAATTTTATAACAAAAATATGAAATCTCTGGGATTTGAAATTTACAGTACGCATAATGAAGGTAAAGCTGTAGTTATTGCGAGATATAATAGAACTCTAAAAAATGAATTATTCAAAAAGTTCACGGAATTGAAATCTCAAAAATGGCTTAAAATATTACCAGAGGTTGTAGATGAATACAATAACAAAATTCATTCATCTATAGGTGTCACACCAACACAAGCCACAAATAATCCAAATATTATAAAGTTAATTAACGCACAAAATAACTACGAAAATGAAATAAAGAATTTAAATATCAAACCCAAATTTTAAGTCGGAGATCGAGTTCGTCTTTTCAAATATAAAAGCAAATTCGAAAAAGGTTACGTTGGATACTGGACAAACGAAATATTCATCGTTGATAAAGTAAACACCACATCACCTCCGACATATGAATTAATCGATCAAGACAAAGAACATATCATAGGTAGGTTTTATCAAAACGAACTTCCAAAAACTGACTTTTAAAAATGAATGAATTTCTCGAAAACAAAGATGATGATGAAGAATTTGATAGAAGATTAAGAAATTTAGATGTAGACAAGTATTTACGCTTTCTTAAAATTGATTTTTTTAAATTTAAATGCAAATTTATGTTTAAAATATTATTGAATGTGTTTTATCGGAATGTTATACAATTTTTTTCAAACACAAACTATGTATATATTTCATCAATTGGGTTTTCAACAATACTTACCGCATACTCCTCAAAAAACCGACTATTAAAAATGAATATCTTTCTCGATAAATATGAAACTGATACAACAAACTTTCAACTTATGAGATGGGCGAATGGGTTAAATATATCACCGTTTTATTATTGCATTAGAGATAATATAATAATAAATGATCTGAAATATAAGAAAGGTAAATTTTACACTATAACAAATATACATACTTCCGATAAGAAAGGAGTTCATCATTCTGCTTTGTACAAAGACTCTTCAAATATCTTATATTTTTTCGATTCTTATGGATTAGAACCAACTGAAGAGACTCGGGGACACTCTTCAAGGTAATTTAGATATGAACAATTTCATAGTAACTAATTTAAAGTCTCCGGAAAACGATAATGACGCTGTTCACAAGAAATATTTACGGGAACAAATAAATTCAATTGAAGTAAATAAAAACCATTTAAAAGATAAAATAAGTAATGTTAAAAGATTCTTCAAACATCAACAAAATAATAAAAATTTTATTAATGATACTAAACTACAACAAAAGGTAGCAGGATTAATAAGTTTTATTCAAAAACAATAAGTCAACGTAGTGAACAATACTGAGTTACAAAATTTAATTTCATTAATATCTAAATTAGATGATAAGATTACAAAACAAAAATTAGACATTCAACAATTAATAGATAACATTCCAGGAGAAAATGAAGATACGTTTCAACAGGAATTAAATGCTCTGGAAACTAAACTTAACTGTGAATTACAAAAAGAACTAAGAAATATTAAACAACAAATACAAAACATAGATGATAGCGAAATCCAAACCTTTATTCAACAACAAATACAAAATATCGATGATAGTGAAATTAAAACCTATATTCAACAACAAATACAAAATATTGATGATAGTGTTATTCAACAACAGATAACCACTATTAATAACCTAGTCTTAAAACAGCACAAGAATATAGTCGCATTAGAAAAATATCTCAAGAAAGAAAATAAATCAAATTATTTCAATCTTCCATTTGGAAATTTGGGACGTGATGATGGTTCTATTACTGATAATTTTAATCTAAAAGAGTGTGAATATAAAAAAATATGGATTTAAAGTAAATATAAGAGTATTTTCTTCTTCAAATTTTCCCACCCCCCATAATATATTTAATAGTGATTATCCACCAGATTTTACTTTTAAAGGAAAACTTGTAATTGAAATTAATTTTCCCATCCAGGTAAAAGTTGATTCATTATTCTTCAAACAAGTCTCACTTTGATCTAATCAATTTAACGCTCAAAAAGTTCTTCAGTTGGTAGAGACAATGTAGAAATTAAAGAATATGAAAGTAACGACGAAAACAACAAGGTTAATCACTTATACCAAATTAAAATGAGTGGGAAATATATAGATAGGTTTAGAATGTTAATCATACCAGATAATGAAGAAGATGAACTTTCATTGAGTGATTTTGATATGATATTGGAGACGAAAACTTCACCATCAATGAATATCATTAGAAATCCAGAACCACAAAAAAAAGAAGTATCATTTACCAATTATGACTTTTTACGAACGACAGACTTTGAATACGTGAAACTATATTTTGTTAATAAAAGTTTTTCACACGAACATACCTCTTCAACTGATTTATTTACCTCAATCGATATTCATAAAAGTCAACACGATAAACAATTTATAATATTTTCATCAATAATTGAACGTAATGATGGAATAGAAGTTGGAGGTATATATACCTGTAGATGTATGATAAGAATCAATATCGAAAAACCAAAATTTTCAGTTCATCTAAATAAGATTAATGATTCGAAAGAACAAATATCCTTAGTAAGTGTAATAGTTGTTTTTATTAAACCTGAAATAATTATAACAGATAATGAAAAAATAAAGAATGCACAACTTATTGGGCAACCTATTGTAGATGTTAAACACTTTCTATTTTTTAGTGTATCCGAAGTTCACTTAATTTAATTACCTAAAAAATGGAACTAGAAAGCAGACAAAACTACATGATAGAAAAATAAAACGAACTAAAAGAAAAACTAAAACACTTTAACAAATGTAGAAAAACATGGAGTAGAATTAATTCTGTTTTCAAAACATTAAGCACAGTTCTAACAGTAGGGATAACGGTGGCAACAGCCGTAACCGGTGGATTAATGCTTCCAATAATTGTCCCAACTGTATTAGCCGCGTTCACTGCCGTTCAAACTTCATCTTGTGGATTGATTACTTTAGGATTTACATCAAAACAGAAATCTCATTATAAAAAGAAAACAGAAATTTTAAATACATATCTTAATAAATTGTTTATATTTTTCGGAAGATCCAAAGAAGATAAGAACATATCCATTGAAGAATTAGAAGAATTCAATGAAATTTTAGATAAATTTGATGTAGAAATATCATCAATAAAAGTTAAAAATTCCTAGTTAAAAATTGTTGCTTAAAAAATATGAATGAAATTTTAGACGATGAAACATTCATATCAAATGAACTTTTTTTCAGTATTATTAACCTTATCTCTGATAAATTTGATACATTTAAAGGACAAACTGAATTAGATGGAGAGATAATTCAAGATACAGAACACAAACAAAAAATGCAATTTGTAGGCTTTAATGCCAAAACTTTTCACAATTTTTTCGCAACTGTGGATGTAAAATCGGATGCTTCTGATTGGTATTTCTCAGGAAAAATCATTTTACGTAGAAACAATTTCAAAGAAATAAAAAAATCAAAAAAGGGTAGTGGTGTTACCCTACTCAAAAAGATAAATGAATATGCCGGTATAAATTGTTTTATACCAAGCGATGGATACTGGTTTGTAAAGGGCGTAAATCGTCTTTTAAACGAAGACTACACAAAAGAATTTCAAGATTTCATCAACAGTTTTTCAAAATCAAACAGAAAAGGAGTTATGACAACTGTTAGAATCTGTGAATTCAATAAGAAATTTAATACTTATTTTCAAATTTATATGCCCAAACATAGATATTTTCAACCAAAGAAAGTATCCGAGGAATTAGATTGGGTATTTTACTTACATAAATCGCATTTCTGTCTCATTAGAAGAAAAAACAAAACCTTAGGCATTAGAGAAATAGAAGATAATTACGATGAAAACGTATGGAGAACTTGTAGAGATGATAATGCGGTAACACAAGTTTCACCTCTAAAACTAAACGTTTGTCCAACAATTCACGATGATTGTTTATACGCATGGGATTGCGAAACCTATAGCGAAAAAGAAACGAATAAAGCCATTCCTTATTCTTGCACGTTAATTAATTTAGAAAAACTAAGAAAACTGTTAGACAGAATAAAAAATAACTTTCCAGATTTAAATCCCACTGATAGTATTCCAGAAGAATTTTATAATAAATTAATGAATATAGTAGAAATATTTGTGGGTAAAGATTGCATCGATCAAATGTTGCAACGTTTAGGAAAAATAGATCAAAAAGAATAACATTAATTTCTCATAACGGTAGCGGTTTTGATAACTGGATCGTGCTTAAAAATGCGAAAAAACGCAAGGTCCACTAGTAACAGCTAGAGGCATTCTGTCCCTACCTTTAACTGATTCATTCATCGATGAATATTTACAGAAAAAATTGAAAAGACAAAAACAAATAATGGGCAACTCTAATTATCTGCAAAAGATCACCGATATTAATATTGCAAAATACACCGAAGATAATTGGGAATCTTTAAGACACGAATGGGAACATTACGCTAAAAGAGATACGTTATGTCTTGGAGCTTGTTTGATAAAATATAACAAAGTTATGAAAGAAGTTGTATTCCAGAATATTTCCAATAATCTAACGGATCCTTCTTTATCTTTAAAGGGTTGGTATTATTTATATCATTACAGTAAAGAAATGGTAGAAGAAGAATGGTATGAAAGTACTAGAATGGTTCCGAAACACACCGAAAAAGAAAACGTAGAAAAAGTTTACTCACATACACACCCTTTTATAAGATATTTTATCAGACAATCCATTAAAGGTGGAAGAGTTTCGGCAAATCGAAAATCATTTGAAACGAACAAAATGGATGAAATTTGTAATGTATTATAGGAGTGAAACACCAAGTGATAATATAATTGATTTATTTAAAGAATATAGTAAAAGTAAAAAAGATAAAACGGAAGTTAATTCAAAACTTAAAAAAATAAAATGTACTAAATTAATGGCCTTTGATGCTAACGGTTTGTACGCTTCCGCCATGTCGGATTTAGATAGCGAATATCCAAAAGCGGAAAGTGGTAGACCGTTTCTACCGAAAGAAAATAAAGAATTTGTTAAGCTCTTTAATGAGCAGAAATTCAGACCTAGAACGGCTATTTTAAAAGTCTGGTTTGAATATCCTACCAAGATGTTCTTCCAACTCATACCAGCTAAAGATAAAATTATTTTTACGAACAAAGAAGGTAATAAGGAGACTGGCACTAAAAGTGGTTTCTGTTCAGAAGTTTTAACATCGGTCGATATTCAAGAAATAGTTAAAGCCGATGGACGAATTATTAAAATATTAGATGGTAGTATACGAAGAAAATTCCACCATATAGAGATTATATTTTAATTTTGTGAGATTTAAGAAATAAATATAAACGAGAAGGAAATATCGTAGGTAGTAATTGCATGAAATTATTAGGTAATTCATTGTATGGTAAATCTATTCAGAAGGATATAACTACATCGAGACATCTATATGGAGTGAAGCAACTTTAAAAACCAACTTGGATTCACACGTCAAAAGCTTTCTTAAAGTAATAAAAGACTCAATATATCGTTGAGATAAATGAAGAAGAAAAAGAATTTGACTGTACACCTCCTAAATCTACACGACTAACACCTAGTCAATTGGGGTCATTCGTATTATCTCACAGTAAAAAATAATGAATAATTTTATTTACGTAATAGATGGATTTTATAAGCCGGAAATATACTATACAGATACTGATATTTTATACATTTCGCCTAGCAATTGGGATAAATTAAATGAAGCTGGGTTGGTGTCCGAAAATGATTATTGTAAAGGAAAGAATGATTACGATGATGGTGGAATTATATATGGTTTATATTTAGCGCCAAAAGTTAAATACAATATAATTCTAACTTCCGACGGTATTCTAAAAGAAAAGAAAACGTTTAAGGGTTACTCTAATGATAAGATAGCTGTAGAAGATCATATTCGATTAGCTAGTGAATTTAAGAAACCATGGGAAAAAAGTTTCACCAATGGAGTAGTTATTTTAAAGGATGATGATAAACAAAAGAAAGTTTTTAGAAGTTATCCGAATCTCGTAAAGAGAGAAGCACCGGACGATGAAGGAATCATGTATCCTTATAGTGATAAAGATGACTTGAGTTTGGATGAAAACTATGAATTTGATGATTTCTATCTAACTATTCAAGAAGAGAATGAAGAGTGTTAATTTTTTTGTTTTAAATGAAGTTGAACAACAATTTCCTCGTTATCAAAAGCTATAAACCTATTTTTACCATCTTTGATTTCCAGATTTATATCTTTAAACATAAAGGAATTAAGTGGTAAATACGTCGTTTGAAATGGTTTCTCTATAATTCTATATCCTATTGGTACAGTGAATGTTGGAAGACTGTAAATAATCTGACTTTTGTATTTATTGAAAAATCCACCGTTTATCAAATTGCAATGTATATTTATCACATCGATATCATTCTCGATATTAGCTTTGTGTGGTATATTTGTTTATCAAATCCTAGTAACGCATTCAATGAATTTTCTACGTTGAAATCAACTTGACTATTATTTCTTAATAAATAATACTTTAATCCCAATTCATATTCTTGATTGCGATCGAGTTCGTACTCATAATCTAGAGACAATTTAATGTCTGATTTATTTGAGGTGATAACGAATAGTTGTTCTTTATTTGACATTTTTGATCACGCTTTTATAATCATTTTTATCTATAATACCTTTCTCTAGGAGTCTTTTTAGTATACAATTCACTTCATTATATTGTCTGTGTGATTGATGACCTTCCTTCATTGCCGCTAATATTACTCGTAATCTATTAAGTAGTTCCTTGTTGTTGTCGGATAAAAACGTTATACCTTTCCAGATGCCACCATATCATCGAATTCGTCTATTTCTTGTATGATTGGATAATCTTCTGCATAATCATTTGATACCTCATCTTCATATTCATCATCTTCATATTCATCAGGAATAACTTTTTTTTATGTATTTTTTCAACTTCTTTCGATCTTTTTGTTTCGGGTCCCGACTTTCTTATTGCATGTAGAAATTTTGAGTATGCTAGTAAATCCTTGTAATTGGCAATGCCAATATACCCGCCATTCATTAAATCTATTAATCCGTTTGTTAATGAAAATATTAAGTCTTTTGTATCGATTTTGAATAAAGGGGAATTTGCCCTAAATTTTATTCTAAATCCATTAAACAATAACCCCTCATCATCAATGATTGGTGTAATACTCTTTGGTAAATCTGCTTTAGGGTTTGAAAAAAGACTATTAATATCATCTAATGTCCTAATTATAATACCGCCATATTGAATTGGTTCTGGGTGATCTTTATGAGGTTCTATAGGAGATCTATATTCTAAAGCTAATTTCTTTCTAATATCCTCTTGAGATTTTAATATTGGTTGAAATAGAGTTTCTAGATTTTCTGTTAATCAAAGTTGTTGTAATTTATTATTTTCAACTTGGGTCTTTATTTTATTCTTAGCTTTGATATATTGTCTATTTCTGTTTATAATACTATTCCAATCACTACTCATTTTAAAAAAAATAAAATTAATATATATCTGTCATTACTCTTTCACCTGCAGGTTTTCTAGTATTAACGAATATATATCCATGATCACCTGGGTTTTTCCATTTAGTTTTACAAACCTTTTTAAATGCATCTCTGTCCATTCCGTGATTAATCGATTGAATGATTTGAGATAAATCTTTATCGTTTAATTCAAATAATAAAAAACAATTTGCATTTTTTCTAATGAACATAGAATCCATCCCGTAAAAAGATTTGGATTGGTATATGCAGTGACATTTGTGATGTCTTCCTTTCGTGAACAATTCTTGTTGAACAGCTTGATGTCTTTGCGCTACGCAGTCGTCAAATAATATTAAGTTCTTTCGATTGCTATCAATATTAGACAAGTCTAGATCATTAACATTTTTCGTAAGAAAGACTTTAATATCCGTTGGATTCTTTGCTTCAATGTAGTTATCTATGATATCTTTTATTTCCACTTCTTCTTGTCTTGAACATCTTTGTTTGGTAAATATTCTAAAGCTTTGAGGATATTGATAATACGATAAATGTTGTCCACATGTTAAAAGTGAGATGAGTTTTCCCAGAACCGGAACTACCGCATATACACATGAGCATTGGGTTATTAGGAAATATTTCTGAATGATTAAATTTTTTGCCCATTTTTTATTATTTTATTTTATTCCAAAAATCGCTCCTTCTCCTTTATACTTTGAAAGAAATAATCCTTCTCCAGTGTGTATATTTTTTTTAAATATTCCATTACCCTTATGTTTGACTTTGACTTCTCCTGTGTCAATACTATCTACTAATTTATTTAATCCTTGTTTAACAATTTTCTTGGTTTCTTCCCCAAATCTTTTTCCAAATTCTTTTATAGTGCCTATCATATCTCCCACTCCTGAACCTTTGGCTTCCTTTTCCATTATTAAATTATGTCTGCGTTCTTCAGCGGCTTTAGCATCAGCTGCTTTCTTTGCGTTGGCAGCTTTGACTGCGGCAGATATTCTACCAGTTGCTGCACCCGCCGCTGCAATACCATCAAATATTAAAGGTAGTAGGAAAGGTAAAAATCCACCTTCTTTTGCGTTCGCGTCAATTCTTTCTAAGTCTATATCGTCTCTGGCTCTTGACAATATTTGTATTTATCAATAAGTTTTGTTATGTTGATTTTTTTACCATTAAAAGTTATTACATTTGGGGAAGCTGTTTCAATAGCTTGTTTTATTTTCATAACTAAAGTTTCTGGTTTCATTTTTAAGGGGGTATTTTTTACTCAATTCTTATCATTCTTCTATCTGATATTTTAATTAAATGTTCGAGTAGTAAACAATACCCGGTCACATCTCCTTGTGTTTTTTCAATATGAATATTTATGTTCACTCCTGTTTTGAAAAGATCTTCTTGGTGAGCTGATAGATCAAAACAGAAGATTGGATGATTAAGTGCAAAATCTACATATTCAAACTGAGGTGGATTTCCAAATAATTCACACATATTTTTATAGTTTCTATACAATTCATTATAATCCTTTGTGGTTGGATTAATTGTTAAAGGTTGGTTAGGATAATTATCGTTGTTTAATCTTACTTGAACTTTATGGATTAAAGGATCTTGAGTTTGGTTCATTGCCACTCTGAAGAGATTATTGTTATTCGTTTGAGAATCTGGTAAGTTCTTGAAACCAACCATTAAATATCTTGCTGGTTTAATAGTGTTAGTGATTGGCCATGTGGTGGATTCTCCAGTTAAAGTCATGCTACCTACCGTATTACGATGAAGAAAAAGCTATTTCAATATCTTTAGTTAATGAGTTGAATATTCTTGTGTCTACTTCAATTGAGGGTGTTATTACGGGTATGAAAAGTTGGAGATTCGTTATTTCTAATTTTGCATTTGAAGCATTCTCTCCAAAGAATATCTTATCTTATATGGTAACCCTATGGAAACCTTTCTGTGTTCCAACAGACCGAATAAAGGATATAATTTCCAATTTATGTAATTACCCAACCTATTATTCTCAACAATATTGTTATACTGAAGTACTCGTTTTTCGAATCCATGATTAGCTGCTCGTCCTACTCTTTCTATTGTGTTCTCACTCTAAATGCTAAATCAGCATCATTTGGAACATTTCTTATCGGTTCTTTTAAAACACTCCCATCACCAACATCGGGTATCCAACCTGAGACTGAATCGAAATCTTTAGGATATAAAACTGTTTTCAACATTGTGTCGAATTCCCCAGGGTGTTTAATTGTTTCTATCGGATTTGAACCAGCTTCCAAAACCATCTCGCTAAATAAAGATGGAAAGAAATTGTTTTCTAACGTTGTATTAGATTGTGGTACACGAGTTTCATTGGGAGTTCCATCTTTTATTTTGAAATCGCATCTGAAATAAGCATCGGAAAGAAGCAACCAATTCGATAATGAATTTATTTCGAAGGTAATTCTACCACCATCATTCAACTGGGATTTAGAACCAACAGTTGGTGAGATGATAATATAATCCTCTTTTTTCTTGTTAAATGAATAACGAATTGGATCGTATAATCTAAAGATTGGATCTAGTATTTTATTTGCCATTTTTAAGGTTAAAAAATTGAGTAGAAAATTGTGTTTCCAAAAAAAGAGTTATCTCCCTTCTAGAAGTTTCTAGACTAAAAATAACATTATCTAAAACGAGGCTATTAAAAAACCGGATGTTAAGCGAAACAAGGATGTTATTTTATATAAGGGTATTTTTAATATGCTTTTTTTGATGGAATGTAGGAATTGATTGAAGGTGTTTTTGGTGTAAGAATATATGAAATGTAGGGAGTTTAGGTGTAAGAATTTATGAAATGTAGGGTGTTTAGGTGTTTTTTAGTGTAAGAATTTATGAAATGTAGGGTGTTTAGGTCTTTTTTGGGACCTTCCAATATGGTCGCACTTTCCCCATGAAATGAAATGGAATGGGGAATTCCCGTGCGACCATATTGAAAGGTCTAGTACTACTAATGGGTTCTCTTATTTTCATTTATGCATATTATATATAATACATATACATTTTAATTTTTAATAATGATTGTCCGGTGTTAGGGTGTATTGAAACGAGTCTCAATGAAAGCACTGGTCTAGGTCACAGAGCAATAGATAAGTCTATTAATTATGTGAAAATTAGTTAGTCATTAGTATGATTTTAGTTGAAAAGACACATAAACAAACATACACTGCATGTTATATTATATACTGTATCGGTCTCACACTTCAAAGTTTCAATATTATGTCTTTAAACATGGTTTGGCTTATAATATCAATACGAAAATGTAGCAAAATTATCATGGGCCATTTTAGTCAGTAAGTAAACAAGGAATCCATTTTTAGCTTTAGAAATCTGTTCCCCGGATTCCCTATGCTTTTCCTAAACCTCGCACAATCTTCAAACTCACGAGCACTGGCGAAACCTAGGCCAAAGAAAAAGACATCAAAATACATATCATTGTTTTTATTATCACTATCTTCAAGTGGTAACGCTTGTCTATTTTTACTTTGATATGTGGTTTGATGGTTGGGTTGATTCACGACGTTTGTATCTGGAACATAATCTTCCATCTGTCCACCATCTTTAATAATAATCAATTCAGTTTCAGCTGGTCCTCCATTAGATATGTTTTTATGAGCTGAGTCTGAAATAAGGAAATTTAATACATCATGGGAAAATATATACCTTTGCTTGGACACAATAAATTTAGCTTTTAACCAATTCGGGTTTAGAGATAATGGTAATGTGATGCCAGACATCGTTGTATTTCTCTAAACGATAGAGGAGATAACAATTATTCCAAAATACCCCAATATATTCCTTGGATTCACCTCGAGAAAAGTGTGTGAACTAATCATGAAAATATATTTGATTGTGGTATTGAGAGAGAGTTTAAAGATTGGACGATCAGCGAATGAAGAGTAAAATGTTTTCAAAATTTAATTTACAAACCTGAAGCATCTTGAAGTATATTGTGAAGAGAAACAGCTGCAAATTCCTGAGTTTCGAGTACAGCGGGATAATTCTGTAAAGGAAGTTAGATTAGTTAAATCACTTAGTTTCGAATAGGACTTAACAGCTAGAAACACCAGCTTCATCATTATGTAGGATATGTTGCCACTTAAATAGATTGCTCGCTTTTGTCAATTCGCCACCAAATGTGTCAACTCTGCAACAATATTGTAAAAGAATTTTTTAAATGAAAATGTATTATTCTTTGAACGTGTGGTGACATACAGTCAATCGTAACAGATTGCGTTCAGTCAGCGAAATGTTCAGGAACATTATTTTATATTGCATAAATCATGCCATGTCAGTGAAGCATGCGGACTCGTTTGTGGTTCTGATTTATCTTTTTCTTTAATGATTCTACGGTGTGGTATTTGGAGGGCGATTAACACCAATCTACCTGTTTTTTGGCAGGAATTAAAAACATACATAATGCCCCTATAATAGGTGGAATACCAGCCACATGGAAAGCTATTTTATAATTTCCTAAATAATCGTACAGTAGACCTGAAATGGATACATAAAACATGATTGGTTCAAGTTGAGAAAAATATTTTTCGTGTGGCTCTAACCCACTTTCGCCGACATGGCTAGCTACCATGAATTTTATGACCTTCATTTTAAGATATCTGAGTTTTCTTATAAAAATGTACCGAGACGTGGTTAATATGGAGTATCTTGTCTAGTTCGGTTCGATCAATAACCATTAATGGGGGGGTCAAGAAGGGGCCAGAAAACCTTTTTATTTGATACTGGGAGAGGGGGGTGCAAAGCCGGGCGTAGAAGCCCCACTGGCCACTTGTCATTGGCACAATTAGATTATACATTACCTGCTATAGGAGGACCAACTGATAAAGGTATAGAAAATATTCCTAATAAAAATCCTATAGCTTGTGAAGCACCAGTAGGTCCAACTAAATCAAAGGCAATTGGTCCAACTAAACAGATGAACAATCCATCGCATATTCCAAAAACCAAGCACATTACTATTAACCCGTAGAAATTTACAGCAAATGGTATACACAACGTAGTTATTCCAATTGTCACCAGCGCTGATTGTTGCATCCGAACCCGATTCACACACGCTAAGTCGGCTAATTTGCCACTTATAATCCGACTCACTCCGGACGTTATTCCTATACATAAGATTAAATAACTACCATCGGATTCTGAAAATATATCCTCGGTGTGCCTGACCTGAAAAAACAGAACCAATGGGATAATGAAGACATGAATGCTGTAATTGAGGTCGTTAAATAGACTAAATAAGCGCTCTTTGCTTGTGCACACAAATCTTATATTTATTAAGTAAGTAAGGCTATAATGTATTCCCTAATATATTTAGATGCATGGCATTTATTACTATAGCTGTATGATACTAGAACAAGGTATGGAATTGAATAATATTGCTCTATGATACTAGAACAAGGCATGGATTGATTAATATAGCTCTATGATATTAGAACAAGGCATGGATTGATTAATATAGCTCTAAGATACTAGTAGAAGAAGGGATTGATTAATATAGCTCTATGATACTATAACAAGGCATGAGTTTGGTAAGCATAGCTATATGATACTATAACAAGGCATGGGATTGAGTAATATTGCTCTATGATACTAGAACAAGGCATGGGATTGATTAATATAGCTCTATGATACTATAACAAGGCATGAGTTTGGTAAGCATAGCTATATGATACTAGAACAAGGCATGGGATTGAGTAATATTGCTCTATGATACTATAACAAGGCATGGGATTGATTAATATAGCTCTATGATACTAGAACAAGGCATGGGATTGAGTAATATTGCTCTATGATACTAGAACAAGGCATGGATTGATTAATATAGCTCTATGATACTAGAACAAGGCATGGATTGATTAATATAGCTCTATGATACTAGAACAAGGCATGGATTGATTAATATAGCTATAAGATACTAGTAGAAGCCATGGGATTGATTAATATAGCTCTATGATATTAGAACAAGGCATGGGATTGATTAATATAGCTCTATGATATTAGAACAAGGCATGAGTTTGGTAAGCATAGCTATATGATACTAGAACAAGGCATGGGATTGATTAATATAGCTCTATGATACTAGAACAAAGCATGGGATTGATTAATACAGCTTAATGATACTAGAACAAGGTATGGGATTGATTAATATAGCTCTATGATACTAGAACAAAGCATGGGATTGATTAATACAGCTTAATGATACTAGAACAAGGTATGGGATTGATTAATATAGCTCTATGATATTAGAACAAGGCATGGGCTTGATTAATGCAGCTCAATGATACTAGAACAAGGCATGGGATTGATTAATATTGCTCTATGATACTAGAACAAAGCATGGGATTGATTAATATAGCTTAATGATACTAGAACAAGGTATGGGATTGATTAATATAGCTCTATGATATTAGAACAAGGCATGGGATTGATTAATGCAGCTCAATGATACTAGAACAAGGCATGGGATTGATTAATATAGCTCTATGATATTAGAACAAGGCATGGGATTGATTAATGCAGCTCAATGATACTAGAATAAGGCATGGGATTGATTAATGCAGCTCAATGATACTAGAACAAGGCATGGGATTGATTAATATAGCTCTATGATATTAGAACAAGGCATGGGATTGATTAATGCAGCTCAATTTTACTAGCTGGGCTCCGTTTTTTACTGCTGCATCTGCGTCATGTATATTTTATTGTGTTGAGCTAGGACTGGGATTGGTTACTATAGCTCAATGATACTAGGACAAGGTATGGGATTGATTAATATTGCTCAATGATACTAGGACAAGGTATGGGATTGATCAATACAGCTTAATGATACTAGAACAAGCCATGTGATTGATTAATATAGCTCTGTGATACTAGAACAAGGCATGGGATTGGTTACTATAGCTCAATGATACTACAACAAGGCATGGGATTGATTACTATAGCTCTATGATACTAGAACAAGGCTTGGGATTGGTTACTATAGCTTTATAATACTAGAACAAGGCATGAGATTGGTTAATATAGCTCAATGATACTAGAACAAGGCTTGGGATTGGTTACTATAGCTTTTTAATACTAGAACAAGGCATGAGATTGATAACTATAGCTCAATGATACTAGAACAAGGCATGGGATTGATTACTATAGCTCTATGATACTACAACAAGGCCTGGGATTGGTTACTATAGCTTTATAATACTAGAACAAGGCATGAGATTGATTAATATAGCTGCGTGATACTAGAACAAAGCATGGGATTCGTAACTACAGCTCTATGATACTAGAACAAGGCATGGGATTGATAACTATAGCTGCGTGATACTAGAACAAAGCATGGGATTCGTAACTACAGCTCTATGATACTAAAACAAAGCATGGGATTGGTAACTACAGCTCTATGATACTAGAACAAGGCATGGGATTGATTACTATAGCTCTATGATACTAAAACAAAGCATGGGATTGATTACTATAGCTCTATGATACTAAAACAAAGCATGGGCTTGATTACTATAGCTATATGATACTAGAATAAGGCACGGGATTGATTACTATAGTTCTATGATACTAGAAAAAGGCATGGGATTGATTACTATTAATAGCTCTATGATAAAAGAACAAGGCATGGGATTGGCTAATATAGCTCTATGCTACTAAAACATGGTGTGGGATTGGATAATGTAACTCCATGACACTAGAACAAGGCATGAGATTTGTTAAAATAGCTTCATGTTCCAAAAACGGCGATAGTGCTACTTTGCTTTCCTTGTTGGCTATTTCAAATAACTTACCAAATGAAAAAATGGAACGAAATATCCAAATAATGATATTGATCCTGATAAAACCCATATAACATATCCTTTATTTTTCCATATACTGACATTAAGATATTTTCTGGTCCACGAACAACAGTCACCACATCGGTCATATAGACTTTCTGTTGATAGAGAGAAGGATGGATGGTTAGATTCATTGTGAATTAATGGTTTCCATGTTAAAACACAGGGTATAAGTAATAGGTAAAGTCCTCCTAAAAACAGGAATGTGTATTTTAAATTTGCGGCTTCCAGAAGATACGGCACCCCTAGAGAGAGCGCTATGGTGAATGCAGAACTTCCAAACGTCACGAAGCCGTTTACGATTCCGATGCGTTTCTTAAAATAATGCCCCAATATCACTAATGAAGGGGAATAGGCGAAGGCCGAACCAACTCCTAAAATAATGCCATAAGTTAAATAAAGAAGCTCTAATTGTTCCACAAAGGCACTTGAAACCAGTCCTATCAATCCGAGCAGTGATCCAATTAAAGCAGTCTTTCGGATACCAAATCTGTCACTGACGATACTGGCCACCAGACACATTAGAAAGGATAAACCAATAGACACTGACCCGATCCATGCTGAAAATATAAATGGAAAGTGACATCAATTTAGTCTGTAGAATGAAATATGGTAGGGAGAAAGTAATATGGTGAGGAGAAAGTAATATGGTAAGGAGAAAGTAATAATGTAAGCAGAAAGCAATATGGTAGGGAGAAATTAATATGGTAAGCAGAAAGTAATATGGTAAGGAGAAAGTAATATGGTAGGGAGAAAGTAATATGGTAAACAGAAAGTAATATGGTAAGGAGAAAGTTATATGGTAAGGAGGAAGTAATATGGTAAGCAGAAAGTTAATATGGTAGGTAGAAAGTAATATGGTAAATAGAAAGTAATATGGTAAAGAGAAATTAATATGGTAAGTAGAAAGTAATATGGTAAGGAGAAAGTAATATGGTAGGGAGGAAGTAATATGGTAAGCAGAAAGTAATATGGTAAGTAGAAAGTAATATGTTAAAGAGGAAGTAATATGGTAAGCAGAAAGTTAATATGGTAGGTAGAAAGTAATATGGTAAGGAGAAAGTAATATGGTAGGGAGAAAGTATTATGTTAAAGAGAAAGTATTATGGTAGGGAGAAAGTATCATGGTAGGGAGAAAGTGATATTATAAAGAAAAAGTATTATGACAAAAAGAAAGTAATATGGTAGGGGGAGAAAGCGATATGGTAAAGAGAAAGTAATATGGTAGGGAGAAAGTAATATGGTAGGGAGAAAGCTATATGGTAAAGAGAAAGTAATATAGTAAGGGGAGAATACTATATAAGTAATATGGAGAAAGTAATATGGTAAGCAGAAAGTTATATGGTAAGGAGAAAGTAATATGGTAGGGAGAAAGTAATATGGTAGGGAGAAAGTAAAATGGTAGGGAGAAAGTAATATGGTAGGGAGAAAGTAAAATGGTAGGGAGAAAGTAATATGGTAGGGAGAAAGTAATATGGTAGGGAGAAAGTAAAATGGTAAGGAGAAAGTAATATGGTAGGGAGAAAGTAATATGGTAGGGAGAAAGTAATATGGTAAAGAGAAATTAATATGGTAAGTAGAAAGTATTATGGTAGGGAGAAAGTATCATGGTAGGGAGAAAGTGATATTATAAAGAAAAAGTATTATGACAAAAAGAAAGTAATATGTTAGGGAGAAAGTGATATGGTAAAGAGAAAGTAATATGGTAGGGAGAAAGTAATATGGTAGGGAGAAAGCTATATGGTAAAGAGAAAGTAATATGGAAAGGAGAAAGTAATAAGGTAGGGAGAAAGCTATATGGTAAAGAGAAAGTAATATAGTAAGGGGAGAATACTATATAAGTAATATGGAGAAAGTAATATGGTAAGCAGAAAGTTATATGGTAAGGAGAGTAATATTGTAGGGAGAAAGTAATATGGTAAAGAGAAAGTAAAATGGTAGGGAGAAAGTAATATGGTAGGGAGAAAGTAATATGGTAGGGAGAAAGTAATATGGTAGGGAGAAAGTAAAATGGTAAAGAGAAAGTAATATGATAGGGAGAAAGTAATATGGTAGGGAGAAAGTAAAATGGTAGGGAGAAAGTAATATGGGAAAGAGAAAGTAATATTATAGGGTGAAAGTAGTATGGTAGGGAGAAAGTAATATGGCAGGGAGAAAGTATTATGGTAAGGAGAAAGTAATATGGTCGAGAGATAGTAGTATGGTAGGGAGAAAGTAGTATGGTAGGGAGAAAGTTATATGGTAAGGAGAAAGTTATATGGTAGGGAGAAAGTTATAATGCTAAAGAGAAAGTAATATGGTAGGGAGAAAGTAATAAGGTAGGGAGAAAGCTATATGGTAAAGAGAAAGTAATATAGTAAGGGGAGAAAGCTATATGGTAAGGAGAAAGTAATATGGTAGGGAGAAAGTAATATGGTAAGTAGAAAGTAATATGGTAAGCAGAAAATTATACGGTAGGGAGAAAGTAATAAGGCAGGGAGAAAGTAATAAGGTAGGGAGAAAGTAATAAGTTGGGAGAATGAATAGTATATTGTATAATGAAAAAATAGTCAAAGTTACTTACATGTTTTAAAAGAAATACTGGGATCATTTCCTGCATACTTATCTATTAATTTAACATACAATATACCAAATATATTAACAATACCATGGACGGTTCCATTAGCACAGAATGATGTGATGGCTACAATCCATGCCCGGAAACCTCCATCTGGTGGGGAAAACTCGTGATAACTGTCTCTCCGTCGGCCCTTTTCCACTAAGTTGTTTTGTTCTGATTTATTAAGGGCATCATTATCTGCCATTCTGACCACAATGTATTAATGTAATATCCTTTACATAAAATCGGTGTGGTCAATCTGTTACCTAGGTCATTGCTTCTATAGATAAGTTACTTCTGTAACATACAGTAATACCACATTGTCATATTACCCTGGTCAGGTGGGTATAGTTAATCATTATACAATTCCTTTGAGTTTATACTACAATTTCGTCGATGAGATACCCACTATGTTAAATCATCCAAACATTACATCTTTCTGTAAGATATGGTCCAAAGTATTAAGACGTAAATCCGTCATAATCTGTCTTATAGACCAATGTCAACACTCAAAAAATCTCTCAATAGCATTTGAAATCCACCATGTTATATCGCAATATTATCCTACTGGTTAACAGAATGTGAATTGGCAATATGTCAGTCTTCTATGGTCAGGATGTTAACATCTACCAACGTTTAGTTTATTTAAACGAGGTGCAAAGTACGTTCGACACTATAACACTATATTGAGTATTATTGTCATCCACTGACAATGTCATAATACATGTAACCTTGACGGGTTATATAACTACAAATGTTGAAACCGGTTTTGAAACGCTGTCCTTGTTTAGCATGTAGCCTACTTTTCATACATCACATGATATTAAAAATTTCACTGCCACTAGACTGCTTGTAGACTAAATCCATGTATTTCCTGTCACCTAGGCCTATCTTCCATATTCAAAGCCATGAATTACACTTAGCATTTCATATCACCGAATGTTCTTCAATAACCTTAGTATATTATTAGACGCTAAAACATGTGTAACATTATATCGAATATAGTACAGCCCACACTCAACCGACTGGCTGCTAATGGAATTTCAGTGTAAGTTTGAGTTGTTGCTATTTGGAACCTTTTCGATCAATATCAATCAATTACTGTACCGTATTTACTGTAAAAAAAATAATGATACAAGCATGGTTTTTAACCCTTTTTCTTTTATCAATTAGAACAGATCTATGAATGATTATGTTCTCTTCTTGTGACCATGGCCAGTGCGTGTGATGGTAAGTATCTTCTATAACTCTCAACACAAATTATAGATCACGATTTGTACCGTATTTAGTTAGCCTGTTTCCCTTTCTCTACATACTCTTCCGGATATAGCCATTACTATACCGTACATACTATATAAATAATTCTACAAGCACGAATTTATCTCAGAATATCAATTACTGTAGTTTTTATAACGATGCGATTATTTATACTCTTTCAGTTGTTATCCTTCATTCGACATTTACTGTTCTAGATTTTAACTTAAAAAATCAGATTGAACTATCCATTAATAACTTTACCGTACTTATTATAATCAATAACCTTAAATTGAAAAAACTATACCGTACTTACTCTAAACAAACTGCCTAAATAGTAACGAGCACAAATAGCCATTTGTGTCAAATTTTAATCAAACATATATCCGTATTTTGCTTTTATACGACATACATTGCTCATTCTATAATTCACAACATTCTTCTTTATATCCAGTTTGTCTAGGTATTGGGTATCCCAGAATACCTCACCAGTTGTGGTTAATCTCATGCTGAACAGAAGAAAACATGAGAGATGCTTGCATAGATTTCTTTCGTATTATTTAAAAAATAATGTAGACTATTCGCGTTAATTTATTGAATCGCCCCCTCGTTGTTCACAAAGATCAATGATAAATAAATCCATAGTCACGTACCAATCGTATATTGTTCAATCTAGAGGGCCATATATCCAATATCATGTTTATCGAACCAGGCGATAAGCTTTATTTCAGCGATTAACTAAGATATTTTTTTTAAAAATCCCCTGTATGTTTGCTTTATCACCTAAAACAGCTAAATTTCAGGTATCTGTATCGGATAATTTTTCAACATGACAACTTTGCATTAGGCTCGTTAACACTTCATAAAATGTCGATATGACCGCTACTAAGAACAGAACAACAATGCTACTAATAATTGAATTAAGATGCTATCAGCTTCTTAGTCTCTGTCTAGACTATACCTGTCTATGAAGCTGTGTAGACAAGGAGGGACTGGGTGATAGGGGCTATCATCTTCTCAATTTAAATCTTCTATATTTAAGTGTCGTCGGTTCCTATTTTTGTCAGGACAAGAGATGGAATCTGATGCTATAGAATGGTCTTGTTGCATCAACAATATTTCGTAGAACAACCATTCTTAAATCATTCAGTGCATCTTAAAACAAACCCCCTTGGTTTGAGATACTTATATAACAGTATAACTGTATGTAGACTATATGAATACAAAAACACGGTATAATTGCTATTACTATTAATGATGCAGATGCTGTCATAGAATGAATGTTTAGCCAAGAGACGCAAGCTAAAAAAGAACTGTGATAGATCTACACAGAAACAGGGAAAATACGTTTTGTGAAAGTAGACTGCGGCGATTAAAGGGGCAGTATGAAAATATGTTATTTATTACTATGTTAAAATAAAATTATATATATTTGTTCAACCTCAATTTTTTTAAAAGGTCTTATGAAAGTACCTGGTGTAATAATTGCTAATTTAGCAGTTTAAACTAGTTTTGCTGTTGGACCTTATAAAGGGTCGATAATTTTTGTTGAAACCTGAATGTTTCTATACATATTGGCGTTTAATTTTTTTTTAAATTATTTTGCCAACACAAACCAAAAACTTACCAACTGGAAAAGGTTTACGAAAACGTTTCAGAAAGTTTTGGTGGTCTTAACAGCAGGCATTTTTTTTCCTTTTGGTTCAGATAAGGTAAAGGTCGCGTATCTTTAGATTTTGAGATTGGGTCATTGGTGGCGTGAAGCTGTGGTTAATTTTATTTGTTTACTTCACAGAACTGTACCGATCAGTTTTCAGCTCCATTTTTGAGGAGTTACTTGGGATACCACAATGACCTTCGCACAATAACGTGATATCAATCCAAGTTTCATTGAAATTGTATAGTAAATATAGAACACTACCAATGTACAAGTCTACAGTAGTTTGGCACTAAATAATAACCTTGATCTTTTATAAGTATGGTAAGATAAATATACCAATTGCACTATATTAGCCATGAAGAAGAACCGAAAGGGACATCGAATTATCAAACTCTGTTGCAGGGTGACAACATAATATGTTCCAGAAGGGCGATCATGACCATGCTAGCAATGCGTGGCACAGTACTTAAAGTGAAACTCTCATTCAAGGAATATTTGGACTTTGTATTTCGTTTCGTGTTATTTTTAGGACTTTCTGTTTTTGAGTAAACGGAACATCTAGATCAGCATTTTAATCACATTAATAGAAAATACCCCTAACCCCCACTTTCAAATGTTTTAACCTTAGAATAGCCTGTGGCTCCCTTGGAAAATTTTGCTTTTCATATTTATATACGTTGCCCAAACATAGGTTGCAGAATGCACCACATCAATTCAATTTTTCGACAGTTGCGACTGTGACACCTCCACGTGGTTGCCGCATTTTGAATTCAGCCTCGACAGTTGCCCCCCTCCCCCTCCCCTCCGCATCGAGTCGGTCTGCCCCCAAGTTGTACCCTCAGTCTGGTGCCGCCACTGACTCTCTGTGTGCTGCAATTTCTTGAGAAACAGTAATTTTGTGTGTAAGAATTCTGAGTGAAAACAACCATGTTTATATTGTGATATTCTTCCATGTCAATGTACAGCTCTACCAAGTCAGTGTACCAATCTACCATGTCAGTGTACCAATCTACCATGTCAATGTACCGATCTACCAAGTCAGTATACCAATCTACCATGTCAGTGTACCAATCTACCATGTCAATTTACCGCTCTACCAAGTCAGTGTACCAATCTACCATGTCAGTCTACCATCTACCATGTCAATTTACCATTCTACCATGTCAATGTACCATTCTGACATGTTTATGTGACATTTTACCATGTCAACGTAACAAGTGGGATTGTGTTTGTTTGTTTGTGATGAAAATTCATTGTTGTCTGTTAATACATATCCATTATGACGTCATAATAGAATGAACGTCATTTTGGTTCAGATTCCATTTAGTTTTTCAATTTCAATCGCTGAAGCAGTATTTTTCAGTTGCTCTCAGAACTCTTCTGACAATCTGTATCAAGACAATGACCGTTATGTAAGTTAATGTACTAAATTACTCTCTTCGTTCACTGGTTATTGTTTTGTGAATCGAATATTAGCTCCATATAGTCTGGTGGCCAAAGTACATAAAATGTTTCATTTTTTTTTCTGCTTCAGATAGCCCATCTGTACACATTTCCATCGGGTGCCACTTTGGCTTCCTTGGGAATTTTTTTTATCGACCAAATTCAAAATGGCCACCGTACTCGATATTCCGAATACTAACTTTGCTCCTAGTGCACCATAATTTTTGTGTCAAAATATATGTTTTCAGGGTCAAGGAATTCATTTAGGTTTCGGGGAAGGGAGGGTTTGATTCTCCCAAATGTACAGGCCTAGGGTGGAGCAGACATTTTATTTAGAAATTAGGATTAAGGGTCTTGATATTGGGTTTTCTTCTGTTCTTATTCTGATAAAAATAACTCGCCCGTTGGGCGAGAAGTATAGTATCTGTTATGTACTGATTGTTTTTAGTTTACTATGAACAATATTATCATTTAAGCACTTATTTTTTGAATATGCAACTATCATTTTCTGCTTATAGACATGGGGGAATTTCTCTTGAAGGCTCTTATAGTGGGCATGAACTATCTTACTTGCTCGATTGCTGGTTGTATTAAACGGGACAACAAAGGGTGCTATGCCTACATTATGATGAATATTTAGTCCTATAGGTCTTGCTGTATTCAATGTCTCAATCCAATGGGCTTCCCTAGATTGACGGAATTTGGTAGTTTCATCTTCGGTCAAGTCAATTTCTATAAGGCTTTGTTGAAATAATATAGCCTTTTTAAAAATTCGACTCTATAACATTTTATGTAATTTACAATGATTTAGATATAAAAACTATAGCATGTAATTTCAAAATCACTTTTTTGAAAATAATGTGTGTTCTTGTTAAGTTGTTACTATCGGGGACAATATCAGGACAAGTTTCTGCGATGTATCGACTCAGCGATATAATATACGTAACCGAAAGTTAGCTGAAATTGCTATACAATTTATATAGCATACACAATGATACAACAGTTATATCTAGAACTATTTATAGATCAGTTTATTTGATTAATTAAGTTCGGTTAATTAACAGGAACTCCTCGGTGTAAAATACCACTGGTTGTCAGATCGATACCTCGGTCACAGTATCCAAAGGTCGACAACTCGTCCACTTAACACGAACAACATGCATAGGAATCAAAGATTTGAGACATCCAAACCAATATTTGGTTGTTTTAGTACTGAGTGGGAACGTTTCTGCAAATAACAAAGCACAGGATACAATAATTGCCCATCGACTGAACTAATTGCAAAAGAAAAAGTAATATTGTTTAACAACCGATCAATTCCATGACTGCAACCAAATACTACTATACACCATTTCCCTTTGGATATATTACTTGCCCCCCTATACAATTTATATAGCATACACAATGATACAACAGTTATATCTAGAACTATTTATAGATCAGTTTATTTGATTAATTAAGTTCGGTTAATTAACAGGAACTCCTCGGTGTAAAATACCACTGGTTGTCAGATCGATACCTCGGTCACAGTATCCAAAGGTCGACAACTCGTCCACCTAACACGAACAACATGCATAGGAATCAAAGATTTGAGACATCCAAACCAATATTTGGTTGTTTTAGTACTGAGTGGGAACGTTTCTGCAAATAACAAAGCACAGGATACAATAATTGCCCATCGACTGAACTAATTGCAAAAGAAAAAGTAATATTGTTTAACATCCGATCAATTCCATGACTACTATACACCATTTCCCTTTGGATATGTTACTTGCCCCCCACCCCCCCTCCCCCTTCCCCCTTCCCCCTTCCCCGAATAATCAAATCTGGCTAGGGTCCCGTTGTGAAGCAAATGAATGAAGATTCTTAAGTGGAAACGGAGTAATCAATACTTTCACGAGGCGAACACAACTTTAATTATCAGCTGATTGTCGGTTTAACGACCTAATTTCGCGATCGTCAAACGAAGATATAGAGTTGAAGATTATGTTCTGTTGTTTGTGATACAGGAAGGACGTTTCGATGTTACCCAGTGGGTGACCTATCTTATTTAATTCATTTAGTTCCATTTTGAAATTTGACTGAATTTCTTGTTTATTGGAAGTAAACTTATTCCTTCGTTTCCTTTATTATCTGTTTTTCTCAGCGTTCGTGGTGGAACAATAGAGTTCGACATTTTGGCATAGGATTCCGGAAATATTATATCTGTTTGGTAAGTTTGCTTCATATTAGCCTTCAGCAATATTGGAATATAAAAAAAAATCTGATTAAAGATATCATTTCATCATATTTCCATATATCTAAAGTAAGAGTACCTCTACGCTTAGATGTGTGACAAGGCACGTGTCGTTATTTCTCTTTTCTTTACATGTAGGCCAACCGTTGGCTGTAATACAGAAATGAAAGTTGACAAGAATTATGACAGTTGAATGGTGTTTATCTATATAATACATACTTATTAAAACAGAAATGAATACACACGAAGGTATTTAGAATGCCCTCTATTTGCCACTATTAAGATCAGGACTTTTCAACCTAGTGGTAATTTTGAAATTTTTAGGGGTTAATGAAATGCTTTGTAGGCTTGCAGTTAATCAAGGCTACTGAAAGGGGTAATAGAAAGAAAAATGTTTAAAACCCCTGGTTTTGATAATCTACATCTCTTTTAAAAATGCACATTTCATAAACCCATTATGATCGACTATTAAACATCCTTTACAACAACAGACTGACTGATATTAAATGGAGTCAACAGTGCCGGGTGGCTTATGGGGCTTTCTTGAGTCTAACACTACTTATTGGAAAGGCTTGATAACTGCAGTGCTTTGCTGTTGTTGGGTGTAAAACTTCTCAACTAGTTTGAAAGCGAACTGAAATTGAACAAACAGCTGATTATGTTCGTACTTTCAAACCAAGTTGGAAGTTTACCAAGTACGATATGTTAATAGAGATGCATGAGCGACAACTTTGATAGAATTAAGACTAATTTACCGAGTGAACCGTAATTTTTTATATTGATATGACAGGTCGAGAGGTAGGGTTAAATCGTTATAAACCCGGGGTTAGCAGAGGGTTAATATCTCATTTTAATTCATTTCTTATGATCGGCAGAAAGACTGTAACCTAGATAATTAAGATAGATTTGAGAACATTTTCACATAATGAACACTGGAACAGCCTTAGCAGCAGATCGTTAAAAAACTAAGTATATGCATATGCATTCATGCAATGATGATCGTGTAATCCTTATTCATGGACCACCAATCTTCCAGGTAAGGTCAAGTTTATGGCTTCTTTACATAACAAAACGGGCATCCTTCAAGATATCTAAAAAATTAAAGGAAAATTTCCAGTGCCAATTTATACATGGAATACCACTTCTAAGATTTAAGACGTCACAAATAGCATGAATGCATAAGTAACGTTATGTGTTAATTAAACGCCGGTAAGCTAGTCATGAGGGCTTGATAAACATGGTGGTCAAAATACAGCATCAGGATTTATATAGGTAACTAAGTTCTAGGTTCTAATGATAAAAGTTAGGGTTCTTGATTTCACAATTTGTCATTAAATTATAGGTACCATTGTTAGGACAATAGATATTTGCTATAAATAGGATTATTTCAATTAGTTGGCCTAGTCATTATCAGGTAGAAGAACAAAGAAAATCGGGCAAATATCGATCAATCTCTACTGGTTTTTATATGTCATGATTAAAGGGATTCGCTCTCTCACTATAGCTGCAAACAAAGAAATACCTCAAGGATGGACAGAAGATATTAGAAATAATTCCTTTAACAGGATCAATAACGGTCAGTGACTGTATTTAACTGATTTTGTTTTTCTGAATATGACAAGCGTAGATTTTTAGTGTTATGGATGGTTTAAATTGTGGTTCTTGCATCTCTGGATTATTTCATACAGATTAAACAGCTGATTACTGGATACTATCAGTTGTTTGAAGGGTATCACAGGTTGTGCACAGGACATTTATCAGCTGTTTGCAGGACACTTATCACCTGTTTATAAGACATCATCAGCTGTTTACTGTACACTATCATATGTTTACTGCATACTATCATCTGTATAATCAGCTGTTTTTAGACCACTGTCAGCTGTCTACAGGACACTATCAGCTGGTTTCGGAAATTTTACAACTGTTTACAGGACAGCAGAACTATCAGATGCTTATAGGCCACTATTAGATGTTAACAATTAACAATACCCTATCTGTTTTTAGGAGATCATCAGCTGTGTAAAGGACAATATTCATTGTTCGCCAGAATAAAGTAGGTCATTTCTTCATTCAATAAGTACAAAGAATTATGTTATTTATATCTTATTTTATAAGATAGCTTACCAGGCAAGGTAACATACGCCCACTACCAGCTGTCAGAAATGAAAATATTTAGTGGCTTAATTTTTAAATAATCTTAAAATCATCTATAAGTCAAGGCAAAAACCTGAAACAGTTCATCAAATTATCATCAAATTCAAACATGAACAATGCCTCATAGCTGTACAAACAAGGGCAATAACTCCGAAACGGTTACCAATTTAGAACTCGACTGAGATCTCATCAACATATACATGCATACCTAGTTTCGCGCCTACAAGAAAGAAATGTGAACGGACGGACGGACCGACGGACAGGAGCGACAGCAATATACGTCCACATTTCCAAGTGGACGTATAAACAGCGTATACATACCATCAAGAGACATAATGGCATGATAAAGTATGGCATTATGGATATTTCCTGATAATTCCTACGAAAAACATCACATATAGAAATTATAAAGCATGACAAAATAACAATATGGCATGATAAGTCTTGATAAAATGACATTAATGATAAAATGACATGATAGGTCATGACAAAATGACGTGATAAGTCGTGATAAAATGACGGAATAAGTCGTGATAAAATGACGGGATAAGTAAAGACAATTTGACTCGATACGTCTTGAGAATATGACATTAATGTTGAAATGACATGATAGGTCATGTTAAAATGACTTGATAAGTAAAGCAAAAATGACAATATGGCATAATAAGTCATGAGAAAACGACATAATAAGTAATGACATGACATGATAAGTCATGACACAATGACATGGTAAGCCATAGCAAAATGACAATATAAGTCATGACAAAATGGCAGTCATGATAAGTCATAAAAAATGAAATGAAAGTCATACTTAAAGTGGCACGGAAGTCATGACAAAATGGCATCACTGTAAGTTATGACAAAATGACATAAGTCATGGCAAAATGGCTTGATAACCATGACGAAATGAAATGTCACGCTTTTTACATGACCAATTTTGACTTTATAACATAACATTGATGGTCAAATGCTTAAAATGACACGGAAGTCATGATAAAATGACCTGATAAGTCATGGGAAAATGGCTTGATAACCATGACGAAATGAAATATTAAGCTTTACATGACCAATTGTGACTCGATTAGGTAACATTGATATAAGTCATGACACAAAAATGTTATTTCAATATGATATCATATTAGTTTTACGTTTTAACTAAGGACAAGTTTCATGATAACCGGTCCACAGTGACAGTTCCACTGGTTCTTCAATATATCAATAATATAGATAATCATGAAATAGCATTGAGTGTATAAGTAATAATAATATTTAAGATATATAAGATTCGTTCCATTCATTACCGCAGATTCAGCTTTACGGAACTACCGAGAGTTGCAGAATGGTCATAAGTATGTGACATGATGTGAGAATGTCTTGGCAACTTGACAATAATTTATTCGCGTTAGGGCCTATATTCTTATAAACTGAATGCTCATTACTTATAGCTCGATGATTATATTTCAATTAATATATTTGATCTAATATTTGGTAATTGACCTGCGAAACAGATATGATCTCAATCAAATCAGCCGATAGAAGCGTGGCTTGAGGACAATATACTAGACCTAGTATTACATCAGATCATAGCTAGGTTAAGATAAAAAATAAAATATATATATATATATAATGGTTAACCGTGTCTAGATAACGACTGTGTCTCGCACAATGTTTTGTATAATTTGCAATCTATTAGAATTGCTATGGGCGATGAAAGATGACAGTTGCCATCAGTGCTCTGGCCAACAGAGAGATTTCTTTTTCGGGGGAATTCAATCTTTTCGCTCGATACGACAACCCTAGGAATGGTTGTATTGGTAGATCATCGTAAATGACATGTTTACGTCCGCAAACTATATCGCAGACTAGGTAGTAATTGTAGTTGGTAGTAGGATCTTGATCAATTGGATGGTTTATAGTACTAGCTTAGATGTTGAGAAACAGTTCAAGGGGTAAGAATATAGGTTTATACAGATTTATCAACGATTCCATATTCCAAATCGAGTAGGCGAATCTGGCTGAGAATTTCACTCAGAGTTACTCCCAAAAAATTTGTTTTATCCCATTGCCCAATTAAGTGAGGCAAAAAGGTGGGCCTGGATGGATTTGGCATACAATATTGAACAAAAAGACGCAATTTCTTCATGTGCCTCCAATACGCTATCTGACCTTGCCTACGTTTTGGTTGTTGTTTCTGGTAAAATTGGAAACTCTTGCCAGCCTCTGGCGGATAATTTTATGGGTTTTTTTTGAATAATTACCGTAATGTATCTGTTTGGTTGGCATGTTTCGGACTATTATTATAGTTATTATGTTTATTATTGAATTTACGATATAACTGTTCAGGTAAATTTATTTATGTAAACTATTGTATTTATAATTGACTTGAATGTGATAAATAATGTTATTTATTATTAAATAAATATTTGTTCAAATTCCATTCTGCTAAAGTGATACCGAAATAACTCTCACAAGTTATTGATCATTGACCTAAACCGATTTTGTATTCAAACTTATGTCTTTAAAAAATGAAGTCGTTTGACTATATTTATCTTCTGAGAGCCAAATTTCAGCCATCTGTTCACTTAACAATAAGGGAAATCTTAATCCGGTTCTTCTACAATTTGCGTCATTGGTGATAGGTGCAATGGATAATGATAATATTATACTTGTAATATCGGCCACCACTGTCGCTATATTTATCTATCAGTAAAGCAAATATTTAGTAGATGATACCCCTTTAACTTCAACCGTCTTCATTAGCCCACATGGTGCAGAAAAGTAGGACGTAAAACTCCATTCATTTCATTTCCCTTTAATTTCAAGGGAATAATATACACTGGTGTCCGATGTCGCCCTCTGCTGATAAGGGACACAGCCAAATACATATACATAATGTTATAGACCTCCTTATAATAATATTGTTGATATATTGTAATTAATCAAGGAACATAGCGTTTATATTTTAATTAGGATGAAGGTTGGGATTGCTGGTGATATAGTGATAATAATTATAGGATCAGTTTTTATCAATTGAGTTGAAAAAATATAATAGTCATCCATATAATAAAGTATATTATATTTTTGAGTGAATGAATATTGATATTTGGTCTTCGGAACGGTTTGAAGGCATATAATATTTGAAGACTTCAACATAATCAAATTGGATTCCCGATACAGATTGTCTATACTGTAGAAAAAAATAAAAAAGATAAATGGTTTGGATAGATTGATTTCTGTTTTCTATTTACATTGTATCGAGAATCCAGCACCAGACACCATACCTTTTCAATTTAACTTTAATTTTGGATGCAGAGGATATCCAGACGATGTTTTTCTTTCTTAACCAACCTCTGAACTTGTAAGCCTTTAATAGTTTTAATTTATGATTTCAGATAATGGTAAAACATATGGTAAAAAACAATAGAATATAAAAACGCGAAGAATAGAAAGAATGACCTGTTAAGAACTTTATTACGTGGTGGGATAGTGTCGTCTGCAAGGTCAAGATTAACAATTTGCCCTTCAAACTCAATGAACACCAAGTGTACTTAATTTAAATATTGATGAATGACGATTTGAATTACTGATAAGACGATTATGTTGATAAAATAATTGATTGATACAATTTATCATTGAGATCGTTTACTTTTTATCATCCAGTGAAATCGTTGGACTGTGTTTAGACAACGGTCGTCTGGTAAAATTTAAATACTTGTGGTATTCATCGAGACTATACCCGACACCATGCCTGATAATGATTTCCTGAAAGTGCCAGAGGTGGAAATACCGAAACGTACCAAATCTAAGAGTGTGCAAGAAGAGTTTGTTCCACCAGACGGAGGATGGGGGTGGGTGGTATGTGTGACGTCATTATGGGTGAATGGTACAGTGTTTGGAATATTAAATACATTTGGTATATTGTATGTTAAATTAAGAGATAAATATGCAGGAAATGATCCCAGTATTTCTTTTAAAACATGTAAGTAACTTTCAATGATTATATTTTGTCATCGTCAGTGGTCCACTATTATTAAGCTAATTCTTATGCTCAAAGTTTCCTGAGGAGAGCAGTTCTAAGAACATGACATCAAAAAAGTGCTGTCTGTATTTTTGAACGGTATGTGTTACATATAGATATACGGTTTGATCAATATTTCTGTGATGTGAATGCCCTCTCATCATTAAATATCTATTGAAAAGACATATAAAAGGATACAGGTATCTCAATATCTGCCACCAGTTTGTCTAAATAAATAGTTTTTAATATTATACATACTATATGACGTTGTATGTAATGATAACATGTGAGTTTATTTTTATTTGGAAATTGAAAGCTATGGCATCTTCCGTTGGCATTTTTTTTTCTTGGAAAACATGGGGCCAGATAGGTATATCGTTTTCATTTCAACTGGTAAGGCGAATAAATAGACGACTGTATCCCTTCATGTTCTTATTTAAGTTGATGAAAATTGAATGTTGAAATTAGACATTAATATGTCTACACGTGACTGTTATCATCTTTATCATGATCTTGTGATGTGAGATACATAGCCGGCTTGATAATTAGAGCCCTGGATTCTAGATTCAGTTTATTTCTTGACCTTGACTGTATACTGGTTAATAATAAGCTTATCTTAACATGAAAGTCTTAAATGAATATTACAGTAGCTAGCATTGTAGCAAGTATTGCTAGGTGCCCTATGACTGTGGCTGGTTTTTTAACGCTTTTAAAAGCTTTTTTCAGCTTCCATACAATATAAGAAGATTGATTAATTCACGCAGTCCCTCATTCTTTCCTAATCGTCTTTCCAAAACACATTTCATGTCCAGGACAGTTGCGATCTTGATGATCTCATCAAAAAAAATAAAAAAACATTTTCTCAAGAATTCTTAATAAAACTTTTCTGCATTTGATATTGTTTCTAAAGCTAAATAATTTGCGTGCCAATATGTTCTAACGAGAAAATCAAGCGATGAAAAGATACATGCAAAATTAATACAAGACCATAAAGCATACTCATCTGATCTTTAAATATTTTTCAGCATGGATTGGTTCTGTGTCGACTGGAGTGACTTTCCTAATGTGTATGATAGCTAGTATTATAAGCGATAGACTTGGAATCAGAAAGACTGCTTTAATTGGATCACTGCTCGGATTGATAGGACTGGTTTCAAGTGCCTTTGTGGAACAATTAGAGCTTCTTTATTTAACTTATGGCATTATTTTAGGAGTTGGTTCGGCCTTCGCCTATTCCCCTTCATTAGTGATATTGGGGCATTATTTTAAGAAGCACATGGGTCTTGTAAACGGAATCGTAACATTTGGAAGTGCAATTTTTACAATTGGTTTATCCTTAGGACTTCCCTATTTATTAAAAGAAGTCGAACTGAAATACACATTTCTATTTTTAGCCGGATTATATTTAATACTTATACCGTGTGTTTTAACGTGGAAACCATTAATACACCATGAATCTAAACATCCATCCTTCGCTCTATCAACAGAAAGTATTTATAATCATTGTAACGACTTCTGTTCGTGGACAAGAAAATATTTAAATGTTAGAATTTGGAAAAACAAAGGATATGTTGTGTGGTCATTATCATGCGGTCTTTCATTATTCGGTTATTTTGTTCCATTCGTTCATTTGGTAGGTATCTTTTGTTTTAAATTATGCGCGTGCATTATATAGCCCAGTTCTAGTAATACTCCCATACAAATGACGACCACTTGTGATTAAAATAAGCCATAACATAATTTAGATAGGGTTTGAATAACTCGGTCTTGCAATATCTTATGCCTTTGGTTCCCTATATTTGTATCCCAGAGACATATATTTGAAACAAGTACTGATCATAATATTACACTAGGTTTTCAAATTGTTGAAGAGGCTCCAAAAAGGGACCCATTATATTCTTCGTTGTTAAACCTGACACTTCTACCTCAGTACCCTAAATGGGAACCAAGGTCTTCTGCCATAATTGCATATCCAAATGCTGCTGCAGTTTATGCTTTACAACCAAAGTTAGTTGATGTGAAATAATGGTTTATTATTTCAGGTGAAACATTCTAAAGATTTATTCCCGGATGCTGATGGAAACTATTTGATTATGTGTCTCAGTATAACGTCGGGAGTTGGTCGGATTATTTGTGGCAAGTTAGCAGACATGGCATGTGTCAACAGAGTCATCATGCAACAAACAGCGTTTGCTATTTTCGGAATAGCTGCACTGTGTATTCCATTCGCTGACAATTTCTATGGATTAATTGCTATTTGTCTCGTCATGGGCATGTGCGATGGATTGTTCATCTGTTTGATTGGGCCTATTGCCTTCGATTTAGTTGGACCTACTGGTGCTTCACAGGCTATAGGATTTTTATTGGGAATATTTTCAATACCTTTATCAGTTGGTCCCCCTATAGCAGGTAATGTATAATCTGAAATTCATAATTACAAACTGTCTCGCGTGAAAGTTTCGCTAAAGCTCCGCGACATATTAGATTCAGCTGCTGACACTAAAATTTTGAATTCTCGGAATTTAGGCCATTGACGTAAATGCACGTTCATCTAAATGTTTAGCCTTTAATTGAAAGTTGACTTTTACATTACATTAACATGTACCTTCATTGGAGACATGCACGGAGGGAAAGGACACTATATTAACAAAGACTGCGTCCACGTTTAACATGACAACGGGATTAAATAACTTTCATTTCGATTTTTAATTTATAAGAAACTTCGGTGGTGTGATTCACAAATGATTAAACATGACTAACTGATTGAAATTTAAGATGATTATTAATATCTATGTTAAGTCTGTAGTTTGTATCTAGTCCAGTACTCAAGTAGATATTAATAATGCTGGTCATACGTTGTTTATTACACTCCGGTCGACCCACTTCAAACTTGTTACGACTTATTTATTGTATAGCTATTCTTATTTCATTCTTATCTCTAGTGTATTATTGAGGTTATGTAGGTCCTATGTGGCTATCGGTTATGATATTACACGTATCTATGGGGGTCACAGAATACAACACTTGGTATAACACATCAAAGTAGATTTACCGTTTTATATGACATATCAATACAGATTTACCTTTTTTATAACATACCAATATAGATTTACAGTTTTGTATGACATACCAATATAGATTTGCCGTTTTATATGATATACCATATAGATTTGCCTCTTTATATGAAATACCAATATAGATTTGTCCTTTTATATGACATATCTATGTAGATTTACCGTTCAGTATGACATAATATTAAAGATATACCGTTCAGTATGACATAATAATATAGATATACCGTTTTATTTGACATATAGATACAGATTTACAGTTTTATGTGATATACTAATATAGATTTGCCGTTTTATATGACATACCAATATAGATTTGCCGTTTTATATGACATACCAATATAAATTTGCCGTTGTATTTGACATACCAATATAGATATTCCGTTTTATATGACATACCAATATAGATTTGCCGTTGTATATGACATACCAATATAGATTTGCCGTTTTATATGACATACCAATATAGATTTGCCGTTTTATATGACAAGTAAATGTAGATTTACCGTTCAGTATGACATAATATTAAAGATATACCGTTCAGTATGACATAATGATATAGATATACCGTTTTATATGACATATAGATCCAGATTTACAGTTTTATATGATATACTAATATAGATTTGCCGTTTTATATGACATACCAATATAGATTTGCCGTTGTATATGACATACCAATATAGATTTGCCGTTTTATATGATATACCAATATAGATTTAAAGTTTTATATGACATATCAATGTAGATTTACCGTTCAGTATGACATAATGATATAGATATACCGTTTTATATGACATAATGATATAGATATACCGTTTTATATGACATATCAATACAGATTTACAGTTTTATATGATATACCAATATAGATTTGCCGTTTTATATGACATATCAATGTAGATTTACCGTTCAGTATGACATAATAATAAAGATATACCGTTCAGTATGACATAATAATACAGATTTACAGTTTTATATGGCATACCAATATAGATTCAAAGTTTTATATGACATATCAACATAGATTTACGTTTTATATGACATATCAATATAGATTTGCCGTTTTATGTGATATATCAATGTAGATTTACCGTTTTTAATGACATACCAATATAGATTTGCCGTTTTATGTGATATATCAATGTAGATTTACCGTTTTATATGGCATACCAATATAGATTTGCCGTTTTATGTGATATATCGATGTAGATTTACCGTTTTACATGACATACCAATATAGATTTGCCGTTTTATGTGATATATCAATGTAGATTTACCGTTTTACATGACATGTCAATATAGATTTGCCGTTTTATATGACATATCAATGTAGATTTGCCGTTTTATATGACATAATAATAAAGATATACAGTTCAGTATGACATAATATTAAAGATATACCGTTTTATATGACATATCAATACAGATTTACCTTTTTTTTATGACATACCAATATAGATTTACAGTTTTATATGACTTATCAACATAGAGTTACGCTTTATATGACATACAAATATAGATTTGCCGTTTTATATAACATACCAATATAGATTTGCCGTTTTATATGACATACCAATATAGATTTACCGTTTTATATGACATACCAATATAGATTTAAAGTTTTATATGACATACCAATATAGATTTAAAGTTTTATATGACATACCAATATAGATTTACCGTTTTATATGACATACCAATATAGATTTAAAGTTTTTTATAACATACCAATATAGATTTGACGATTTATATGACATACCAATATAGTTTACCATTTTATATGACATATTGATTCACCCTTATATATGACATACCAGTTTTATATGACTTATCAACATAGAGTTACGCTTTATATGACATACAAATATAGATTTGCCGTTTTATATAACATACCAATATAGATTTGCCGTTTTATATGACATACCAATATAGATTTACCGTTTTATATGACATACCAATATAGATTTAAAGTTTTATATGACATACCAATATAGATTTAAAGTTTTATATGACATACCAATATAGATTTACCGTTTTATATGACATACCAATATAGATTTAAAGTTTTTTATAACATACCAATATAGATTTGACGATTTATATGACATACCAATATAGTTTACCATTTTATATGACATATTGATTCACCCTTATATATGACATACCAATATAGATTTGCCGTTTTATATGACATATAGATTCACCCTTATATATGACATACCAATATAGATTGACCGTTTTATATCAATATAGATTTACTGCTTTATACGACATATCAACATAGATTTACAGTTTTATATGATATACCAAAATATATTTACCGTTTTATATGACATACCAATATAAATGTACGTTTTATATTACATATCAACATAGATTTACCGTTTAATATGAGTCATAAAAGATAATTATTAAAATATGTTTCTGTAATATATTTTCAGGTCTGCTCTACGATTATTTGGGATCATATAAAGTAGCATTCCATGTGGCTGGCGTTCCACCTATTGTTGGGGCATTATGTATGTTATGTATTCCACGTACTAAACAGGTAAATAGATCTGTTAAATTTTCTTATGATTCATAATTATGATGAAGCTTATTTTAACAATTTAATTGGTGTTCTGTAAGCGAATATGAAATGTGTAGCGATCAATCGCAAAGTGAAAACAAAACAATCATTGTGATCAAATTCTCTTATCCATAAATGAAATGTTCCATCTCATATATAATACGCCATTGAAGGATTATGATATATACTATCATGCTATAATTTAGAATTATCCAGCTGTAACAGAAACTCAAGAATTTGCAGCTGTTTCCATGCACAGTATTCTCCAAGACGCTGCAGGTATGATAGCTTCGTTAATAATTTTGAAACCACTTTAAGCAAATCTGTTCGAAACTTTTAGTTTGAGCATTATCATATATATGGGGATTTAAATGACCTTACGCTTTGAGTCATCCGTATTACTTTTCATAATGAAATTATGTTCAATTTTAGATGCAGCTCATAAAGCTCCAGTAGACCTTGGTGGAGGTCCAGCTGAAACTGAATTAATTATTATCAAAGATGGTGAGATATTGGAAGGTTTTCATATTGAGGACGACCTGGAAGATTATGTTCCAGAAATACAACAGATGCTGGAAAATAATAATCAACAAGACAAGAAAACCAGTGAATTATGATCATATACTCAGGGGCCCTATCTACATCAGTTTATAAAGTGTGGCATTTTGGTTGAAATCTTACCACCAGCAGGCCCATTTTCTTGTCATTTCCTTACTTACATCGGTAACAAATGGTACAGAAGATGGCAAAAATGTTCGAATTCATCAACATTGTTTTATATAAAATGTTTTTATGAACTAGAATTTGGCCAAGCACTGTGGTTTGTTGGTGCTGTAATTGTGTTGTTATTTATAATACATGTACAAAAAAAGTCTTGAATTTGTGTATTAAATTATGGATATCAACGTGCAATTTGGATTGAAGATAATGCCAAACCCAGAAGCAATAACTGAATATAAAGTTGAAGACTTCCACTTCGTAGCGGGCAAGATTTTGACTTCCTCTTTTGGAAAGCTGGAACCTAACCTAGTCCGTCTTCAACTCTCAGCCTCCTGGAACTAGGGGTTCAAATAGTGGACAGACCAATGGAGGGTCATTTATTTCTAGCCCATTGGGATTTTTGTGAATTTTGCAAAAGATAGCAGGTACCATTACTGGAAATATGTGTCCAATACACCAGTTGACGCCGTCCGTAAGGCATTTGTTCGATATCCATGTTCTGATCGACCTGATACAGAGATTTTAGATTTACTTAAACTATGTTTAACGCGCAATGACTTCTTTTTTAATGGAAAAATATATTTACAAACATCTGGAACTGCTATGGGCAAACGATTTGCCCCTAGTTATGCGAATATATTTATGGCCGAGTGGGAGAGGGAGATAGAAAATATCTCACCGTTTAAACCTTTATTTTATGGCCGGTTTCTTGACGATATTTTTATCATTTGGTCCGATACTCTAGAACATTTCTGGAAATATTTCGAAATTTTAAACAACCACCATCCTTCTGTGAAATTGACAGCAAATATCAGCGAAAACAGCATGGATTTTTTGGACACCACGGTGTTCAAAGGCAACAACTTTCTCTCTTCTAAAAAATTAGACATTAAAGTATTTTTTAAGGAAACTGATACCCACCAACTTTTATACAAAAGCTCGTTCCACCCGAAGCACACATTTTCTGGAATAATTAAATCTCAAATTCTAAGATTTCATAGAATTTGCACCCAGCAGGCTGATTTTGAATCCGCCTGTAAACTAGTTTTTGACAAATTAAGGGAGAGGGGTTATTCCAAAAGGTTTCTTCGAAAAATTAAGAATGACACGCTTTCAGACATTTTGAGAAAAGAAGACTCCCCTCCACCTTTTATTGGATTCGGTTCATTTCCCTGTGGAGGTCCTACTTGTCGCACATGCGAACACATACATGTTACCCATTTTTTCAAAAATAACAAGAACGGAAAATTGTTTGCGATGAATAACCTAATTTCTTGCGGAGATCAAAATATCATATACCTAATTTCTTGTAAAAAATGCGATGTACAATATGTTGGCGAGACTCAAAATGCGCTTCGAACGCGATTCAATGGCCATCGCTATGATATAGTGCATGGCAAGGATAGACCAATTGCGAATCACTTCAACCTTCCCGATCATTCCATTGATGACCTTCTCATCATGCCTATAGAAACAGTTTCTACATCACCTAGCATGAAACCTAAGCTTAGACGTCTACAACGCGAAAGTTATTGGATCGATCAACTGCAGACTATGAGGCCAAATGGACTCAACATTCAACATGTTAACCAGATAATACCCTTTATAACGACATTTGATTCTACAGCTACCAAAGCCTCCATAATAGACAAACGCCATTACTCGGAACTTCAGAACAAATTTCCCCATGTATACACAAAACGTTTTGTTGTAGCTTACAAAAGAAATCAAAATCTTAGCAATTTCCTCTTTCACGGTAGACTTGAACCATTGAACAATGTCCATTCATCCTAGGAGCATAGATTTGTTAATATAAATGTATCATGTTCTATCAATAAATTAATCTATTTCTGAGTTAGATTTCAGGGAATACTTATTTCAGGACTGGTGCCATGGCTATATACAGTATATTATATAACATGCAGTGTATGTTTGTGTGTGTGTCTTTTCAACTAAAATCATACTAATGACTAACTAATTTTCACATAATCAATAGACTTATCTATTGCTCTGTGACCTAGACCAGTGCTTTCATTGAGACTCGTCTCAATACACCCTAACACCAGTTAAGTCACATCATGCACATTAAAGTCAATCAAATACATTATTTCAGTATGATAATAATAGACCAAGTACATGTAAATTATAGATAAAACTAGGATCTTTATCTGTATCAATGATATACTTGTACTTGACACCGACAGTTTTATCAAATAAAATATATCATATTCGGTTATCTTGTGTCATAATTTATACTTTCTTCAAGTGTCAATTTGATAGGCAACATAGATAAGCTAAATATCTAACTGTAATGGTTTAGTACAAAACACTTTTGCGCAGACACCTGTTATCAATGGCGTTTCTACTGGCGGAGGTGGAGAGTGGCAAGGGGCCAGAATTGATAATCATTTTACACAGGGCTAGACCTAGGGCTAGACCTTGAGCTTAAATTGAGAAATAGACTAAATTTCCATGGTACATAATATTTGTTGAAATGCAGAACTTGTAATAGTAATGTCATAATTATAATATAACAAGATATAGGTTATTCTACATCAGATGTTATTTGTGACTTAGATATAAAACAGTATATATACAGCAGGTAATATATATTATGTACAATAAAACATCAAACTGCATAGTGTGATAATAGATAATCATAATTAATATATCAACAAGTAATAATAGCCTGTCACAGATCTTAATATTCCTACAAGCACCACCTAAATATCAACATAAACAACTCAAATAAGATTTAAACCACATTTAGAAGCTGAGAGCACTTATAACTGATTACACAAAGGAATATTCTTTGGTCTAACAAAAACAAAGTACTTAACTTTTCAACACAATTTACATGTGTCATCATCAGATGAAATTTCTAAATATTCCCAGGTTTACCGGTACCCCCTCCTTCATCTGATGACGTAAAATGTGTTGAAATATCATGTACTTTGTTATTAAAGAAGTGTGTTATATTGTGTTTTTTGTGAAAAACACCTCAATTTCAGAAACTATACATAAATGTCAATAAATGTGCATGTGACTGATGATAATAATACCCTATTTCATTTCCTCATGACTGACACTGTATAATTCAATATCAAGACTGTCTTATTGTTATTTGGGTACATGCCAAAGTTCAGGCTGGATAGAAACATATTGACAGAGTTTCAAATTCTTCTTAAACACAACAAAAAATTACCAAAGCTTTGGAAAAGCTTGTGAAAGCTAAGCCAGGCTTTGAGGTTTTTTTTAAGCTTAATTCAAACTCTCAAAAATTATAAAGAAGCAAAACATTTTGGACCATCGCAAAAGCTTAAATTATTTTATGGGCTTAGACTTTCAAGCTAAATGCATTACACCATATAATAAAAGAATACGCATAGTTATAAACTAAACGCACTCATTTCTTTCTCAATTAAAATTTCATTTAACACCTTTAAAAACTTCATATTTATGATACGATTTCCAACAATGAAACAATGAGATATGAACAATGAACATGAACACAATATGAACACTAGGAATGATATCACTGTGATGTATAATGATCACGAGGTTTTGATTGATGAAGAATATAGATGATGTCATTTAGGGCCAAGTAAAGTTTGTATCAGTATACATGTATTTAACTATTGTTGCAGCACTCTGTGTAGCTGAATCTTTTGTAGCTGTAAATTGAAAATAACCCAATCTTTGTAAGACATATAGAAGCAGGAACAGAAAACAGGTTATATGGATATTTGTTAATCATTTTACTTGATAACGTTACCTGTATGTGTTTCGAAACGTAATAAAACTAGAAGTAGTATATCCATATAACTTGTGTTCTTAATGAAAATAACCCTTTTCACCTTTTCTTTTAAAGAGAATTGTAATAAGTGTGTAGGTATAGTAATTCATGTCTTAACATTGACTGTTCATTGATTGAAACACCAACAATAGGGACATCAATTTATTTTGAATTTTCAGCTAAATTCAAAACCTCTTTTGAGAAAATTCATGGAGGGAAGCCGGTTAAGTTCACATGTGAATTTAAAATTTCCTTTAATTAAACAGAGTAATAGGGTTTAATATTATAACTCTATAATTCTATTATAACCTTTAGAACTAGCAATGCAGAGGTGGAGGCAGGGGATCTTATCATCCTCTATAACATGATGTATATACATGATATGGTAAAATCTAACAAGTTACTTGTAAAGGATGGAAAACATTTTTTACAGAAGGCAAAATGACATAAGAAATTAAAATCTCTGCAGAAAAAGTTTTACCTATATGATTCTATATTACACCACGGGAGAAACATATAACTGTAAAGAGGTTGTTAAGAGGTTTTCAAACTTTTTTTTATGTCTATCAGGCCAATGTATTGCTTCTATTTGCATTATTTATTGAAATTCCACTCAAACTAAGCTTTTATTTCATTATCACAAAGGCCCTTAGATATCAGATATAATATTTGTTAATCAGATATCAGATATCATTACCATCTTTCAGGATAGTGTCATCATAAAAAGCTTAGTTATAGTTTAATTGCAGACCCACATGTCTCTGAAAATTGAAATGGTGAAAATAAATGTTATCAGTGTCCCTGACAAATATAAAAAGATTAGAAAACCTCTTAATACAAGGAGTCTTTAAGATTATCATTTTGTCACACAGCCAGTCAGTCTGATGTTCCTGTCAATTGAGACAAAAAACTTCTTTTGCTTCACCTGTAATATACTTTCTGTTTTAAAGGAAATTCACATGAAGTTGAAATGAAAAAGTCCACATTTAAATCCTGCTACTATATCCCTGGCACTATTCTATAACACAACCATAGCATGTCATTTTCTCATTTTTAACTTCTGTACTATATTACACAGTTTTAATATTGGTCCTAACTTTAATCCCATATATTTCATCATCATATCACTGTTGAGTAACAATAAGGCTTTTCCATCAATCTCCTGAAAATACAATAAACTTTTACATCCTACTTTCTTGTAAGAGTTGAAAATTTCAGACAAAGCTATTCAGTATTCAACAGGGCTGTTAATTTCGCTGTATTTTCTGGACATGACCGGCAGACCAGCTCCAATGTCCTTTTCCAATGATCTATCAGATATCAAGTATTTGGTTGGAATGGAACTAACGAATGGACAAAGTCAAAATAAAAAACAAAATGAAGTCAGTGTTTTCACTTATCAGGGTATCAAAACGAATTAATGACATATTAATAAGGAACAATCTGTAAGGATAAGAGTATTGATTTCATATTCGTAGAAATTCACAATGACATTTATTTTATGCATTGAAAAACTTACATGTTTTCTGAATAATTCAGTATGAACTGTTAAACCAGGATCTGTTTCTGTTATAAACTGTACTACATCATCTATAGACCAATCTTCAGGATCACTGGATAATCTCCCTTTATTATTATCATTAGTTGTTGAACTGGCTGTAATATTGAAAACCAGTTTAATAACATTGGTTGATTAAAAATATTAGAAGTTCCTTAAGGAACCTTGATATGAGGAATCAAACAAGCATAGCTAGTCAGGCAAAGAAACATACGCCCACTGAGAGCTTTGTTGAAATATTAACATTTGACAGTACAGCAACCATCACCAGTTTAAAATATTCCATCTTTACTTAAGAGTTCTTTTTCAAGTAATATCACATATTTTCCAATTTTTTTTTTACAATAAACACTTTCATCATGTGTAATCAGCATTCATCTACAATAGTGACTATAGGGTTTACAAGCTAAAAAATTGAATACAAGGGCAATAACCCATTGTTTATATAAATTATTCATGATAAGAGCATATCAGACTTTAAGATATAAGCCTATAGACTGGCCATGTACGAATGGTCAATGGTTGAATATGACTTAACAATTAATTTGCTTTTAAAGTTCTATCCCTGATAGAATTCATCATGGCTTGACAATGCAATGTGGCACTATTATTTAAATTAACTCAATTTCAAGTTTAAATTATGAAAGCCAGGATAGCAAATTTATCCTACCTTCTGCTTCGTAACTAGAATAACGTCTGGATACTTTAGGTACTGTACTGGCACTTTTATTACTGTCTACACTATCATTAGACCAGCGTCGTTTTGGCTGTTTAAATGAACTGTCTTTATCTACTACTGGAGCTGGAAATATAGTCCATTATTTTTTATTAAAGATAGCTTGCGTTGCAAGGTATCATACGCCCACTGGCGGCTGTCAGAAATAATAAAACAGTCTTTAGTGACTAAAGTACGAATTTTCTCATATTGAAGAAATTATTTATACTGAATAATTCCACAAAATTTTTTAAAATCAATATCAATAACCCAAATACAACAAACAATAAAATCACACAGCTCTAATCAAGTCAAGGGCAATAACTCAAAAAATGTTCATCAAAAATATCTCTTGTTAGAACTTGTCCGAGATCTTATCAATTCCAATGATCACACCAAGTTTCATCAGAAACGGTTGAAAACTGAAGCTTCTATTGTGCTCACAAATAAATTTTGACGCGTTTTTCGTAAGTTAATGGCATTAACTCAAAAACATTTCATCGAAAATGCGTCAAATTAGAACTTGTCCGAGATCTTATCAATTCCAATGATCAGACCAAGTTTCATCAGAATCGGTTGAAAACTGTAGCTTCAATCCTGCTCACGAACTATTTTTAACAAATTTCGACGCGTTTTAACAAAGTCAAGGGCAATAACTCAAAAACCGTTCATCGAAAATGCGTCAAGTATTCATGTGGGCGTATAAAAAGGTGTCAGATTTGGTTTAAAGGGGTTGTCGGTCCATTGACATTTTTCTTCAGATTATTTAGTGATTCAGTCTTAACTTTTCAGAAATGCCAGTTTATAAGGGATGTCGGTTTATAGAGGATGCAGTTTCTAGTGGTTTTCGCTGTACAAGAATAGAAAAGATACTCACCTGAATGTTGTTTGAATTTATTACATTTATTACAACCATTATTAATAGGAGAGAGAAAGTTATCACAACAACCTAGATCATCTAGAAACTTATCTATAAATCTATATAACTCTTCTGCTGTTTCTATCATAGATAATCTTTTAGTATATGTCATATTGCCTTGATTTGCTGAAAAATAATAATTTAAACCATAAATCATTTATATTAGAATTAAAAATTTCCATAAGGATATCTATAATCAAAACTTTCCGAATCAAAAATCAAAGAAAAGATAAATTCTAAACAAAAGTTAAAGAAAGCTTTTCTGCATGTCACTTTTCTAAGTTTCTGAGTATGACATGTTTGACATAAAGATGCTTTCAAACTTTTATCTGGAAATTTTCACTACAATTTTAGATTGCAAAATTGTTTTGACTTACCATAAACAACCACCTTGCCATTTCCATCTCGTAACATATTAAACACAACCCTCTCTTGTACACCACACTCAATACACGACTGTACAACCTCACGTAATACCTGATTTAATGGTCCCATACCAAACTGTGATGGTAACTGAGAAACTTTACGCTGACTTAAAAACGTACCAGTATTACAAGATGTATTCACATACATACACACTGAAATAGGAAATAGAACAGAGTAAAGATATCATTCTGTTATTGTAAGGTTATGCTCTATTGATGAATTTTGAACATGTCTCATCTGTTCCAATTCTAGGCATCAATCTTACAGTATGGATCTGTCTCTGTCACATTTAAGATTAAGCCTTCATTCCTTTTCCACCATTTTGCATTCTATATCAACCAACTTTTCAAACTTTTTATTGAAGTTCTGGTTGATTCTATGAATCCCAAATGAGTTGAACTCAACAATCCAGTGTCATCCTTATATGTATTGCATTAGTTTTTTATGGTAAAGCAAGTGGAGCAACTTTGGTTTATTAGACTACAACTTTTGTAATACCTGAATTTGATGCAGAGGATTTACTGGGTAAAGCTGAACTAGTATCAGGTTCTGTAACAGTGACAGCAGGTGATGTGGCTTCTCTAGGAGACATCTGTTGTTTGTCACTTGTTACTGGACTTGTAGCATTGGACATGGTTTTCGTAATTTGACTAGATACACTGCCAGTTTTACAACTAACTGGACTAACAGATTGAGGTGATTTGGTAATTGGACTTAAAACAGGTGGTTTAAGGTTTGTAGGACTGGATGTTGGAGTTTTAATGGGTGTTTCTGAATTAGTTTTAACACTGGTCTCAGCTGGGGTATTGGAACTAGTTGTGGTGGCTGATTTTTTGATCTGGGCTTGTGAGTGAAGTGATAATAACAATTCTGGATCTTTCATTAATTTGGCTATTTTATACTGTGGTACTCCTAAAAACAAACACAATTGTAAGCTTATGTAAATAAAACCAACACATGAGTAGTGAATCAAGAATTAAAGTATGAAACTTTAGAAACATAAGAGAAAAAAAGTTTTATTTACATGACAGGCTAATTAGAAGGATATGTGAATCCAAATGCTTGCCCCTTGCCCAATGTTTTCCAAGTGTTTTGTTTTGCAGTTCGGATTGTTAGTTCTTAGTTTATTATTTAAAGAACAAAACACTGTAGATGCAAATTCAACTCACTGTCAAAATAGTTTCAAGCCCATTACTGTAATAGTAGGGCATATCCCAAGGTTGGCAGTAAGTATGAAACTCACTGAGTCGAGTCAAACCATAGATCATGTGAGACTAACTGATATTTTTCCAAGTCATTAGGAAACCTCTACTTTCTATGTATATAAGTATAAGCATTTTCATTTTCATAAATGAAAAAAAGGAAACCCATCTCTAAACAAAATTTCAGTTTTATTTATTTTTTCTTCAAGTTCGACATGAGGCATTTGTAGTTATGGTCATTGGCTCACCTCTCTGTCCTGGGGGTTGAAGATTATGACCACTTATAGCACTCCAGCCTACAGGAAATATATCTCTAGAATCATAATTACACCAGTAATCAAAGGCACCACGCCATCCATCAAATGATATATGGATCTGATCTTCACTAACATCACCAATCGTAGCTGGACAGATTAACTGAGGATTCTTTCTATCTACTGCTTCTAATTTCATCCCAACTTTAAATAAGTTAGTCTTTGGACTCTTACATTCCTAAAATATATTCCCAAAAAGGAACAGAATAAACATTAAGTTGATTCAATCAAATGAAACTAAAGTTTATATCCTGGCCTGCAGTGTATTTGATGACAATTTACCAAAGTAAATTTTGTCAGGGGGAAATCTTTTGTTAATTCAATTTTGGATGTTTAAGATCCATAATACTAACAACTATTTACTTTTCTGATGTCAGCCCCATCTCTTGTCAGAATAACTGCATCACAAGGAAATCGTTGAATCTACTATAAACTCAATGTTTATCTTAACATTTTAACATAACTTATTATGATGATTATTCGATGGTTTATGCATAAGGAGATTCGTCTATAATGTTTGGGTGTTTACGAGTGAAAAAAGATCATTACTGAAGTTATTGTCTACATTCAGAGATAACTGTGTGTAAAAAATATAACCCACCTCTTTAAAAGCACTTCTTGGAGCTAACGGTGCTCCTGTCATAGTTCTCATTAAAAACGTTGGCCAAGATGCTACATCTTTTCGAAAACCTGCAAAAAAAAAAAATGCATATTATTACAAAATAGTACTAATATGTAAGAGGCATTCATCTCAGTTCATACTGTAACATGGAGGGAAGCAACTACAAAAACCTTCAAAAAAGTTGAAAATTCATGCTATTTGTATACATTTGAAGTGAAAACTCTTGTAAGATGTTAGTTTTTGTTCTTAATTTGATAACCAAATTGCAGCAAAAATAATTAAAACCTACTGAGGCCTAGTCTAAGCCACACTAAAGTAGTTTCTCTTCTTACCTAAAGGTGGTTGTAAAAGGCCACCATGTTTTTCACAATAACCAATAGGATGCAAATCTGAAGAATCCACCATTCTCCAGAAATCATTCTTATTGTCACTACCATCCAGTCTTAATCGTAGTCTTGGACCTTGAGTACCAACAACTGTAGCTATACATGATGAGGTAATGTTCCTGGGATCTAATGCCTCTAATTTCATACCAACTTTAAACTCATTTGTTGGTGGTGGGAAATGCTGAAATATGATGGAAATAAAAACCTAAAAATTTGCTACATTCACAATCATACTTCAGCTTAGCTAAAAAAAAAAACATGCAAATGGCCCGACAATGGTCTATGTTCAAAAGATATTTTGGAAAATAAACACATTTCTTGGAGATTTTATACGCATTATTAAAGCCTAAAGGTATATATTACATCTTTTCTACCAGCAACTGTTTTGTTAGGTTAAAAAAACTAGTAAGTTTTTCTTGAATTAAAGGAACCAAAGTTAATTGGAATAAAAATGTTATGATACACATAGAAAGGCTAGAAAATCTATGTATATTTTAAGACTTACCTGTTTGAAACAGTTGTTTGGTGCAGGAATGGCACCAGATTCTTTTAAGTAAGCTTCCCATGAAAAACTACCTGAAAACAAAAAAGATTCACAAAAAAAGTTATGGAAATGATATTGAATTTTACTTCCTAGTTATCTGAAGTTGAGTGCTCTATTGAAGGCAGTAAACTGAAGTTTGCCATAAGATACACCCAGGCCTGAAAAAGAATATATAAGTGAAAAACTCAAAACAGTAAGGCGTGAAGAAAAAGACACATTTCATCAATGGATTCGTTATCAATTAATAAATTTGCACATATTTCCAGTAGAAAAAATATATAGTAACCCAATATTTACCTTGGAATTCATACTGATGAAATGATCCTTTTCGAGCAATAACATTTCCTTTCTTTGCTGACATTTTAACTTATTTTACTGAAAAAATAAAAGTAAACTATAATTACTGCAGCACTGGATGAGATAAGAAATCTTTTGTCGGTCGTTTTTCGCTATGGCAAATAAAAAAAACCAAGTACTAGAATCCAAACCATAATATTACGATAATCACATTAAGATCATGCAATCAAAAGGAAAATTAATCTGATTGGATGATGACAACAATCAGCGACAAAAATATCATATCATAAATCCCGTTTGCAATGAGATAATTTTGACGTGGAAGCACTGACACACATGAGATATACTCAAGATTCAAGTAGGGCGATAAATGTTGACGACCAAATCTAATTGTGTGCCCGCACCAATAGAGGACTAGCCTTAGTTCATTAATCAGTAAATAGGTCTTTACCAGTTATTGAACTAACCTATGGTTCTAAGTAGAAGTTTTAATAGCAGTCATATAAACGAAAGTGTCTGTAATATCTGTATTGATATTCAAAACGCTTCAACATAAACAATTTCAAAATTTTACTTTGTACGGGCCTACGTAAAAATTGTTCAAAGACAACTTGTGTGATTAGTAGACGTCATTTTGATCAAGAAACAAATAAACTAGTCAGTTAACTTAAGTCAGCAAGTGAGAATTCTGTTGCTGACCAGCATTAATGACATGGGTCTAGGCCTACACTACTCTCTGTGACAGGAGCATTAAATAATTTCAAAATAATTGAACTTTTTGACATTGTCACCATTGTGTTCCCAATTGAAATTAATTTATTCATCTGAGCTAATGAGCATCTAAAGGTCGTGATTTATTTTTTAAGTATCTGGAGATAATCCCAATAACTAGTCCAAGGATGATACATAATAGCCTACAGACCAGTCAATATATTGATTTCTTGGTTAACCAGGCTGTTGTTGTATGGAAGAGCTTCAGCCACTGTCTGTCTGGATAATCACGATGAGAAAAACAACATTTCGGTCATAACGACATATCGTTTTCAAAGACTGACATTGATTATTTCGAGATACTCTGGCAATAGTTTTAAAAGGTTCAGTGGAATACACATTTAAATTATGCAGATATGACTAAATTAATACTAAAAGATTACTAACCAAGCATTTATTTACAATTTTCTTGTTTTCTAAATTTTTCTTTCCGCCATATTTATTCTCGTTAAATCTCATTGTTATCGGCGAGATACGCTCGACATCAACATCGCCCTCAAAATTCCTTTCATGTCAATTCGGCAAATCAGACAAATCGACCAATATTTTGGAAGTATTGTTATCTAAAGCTGCCGATGCGCCATTTTTGTTAGCAATCGTACCTTAGGCTTAATCTCAGAAACGGGATATTTTTTCTAAGCTAATTAAGAGTGTTCACAGCTCACTGTCGAAATTTGAGCCTTCAAATCCATGTGTCCAGAATAATCCATGTTTAAAAGTTAACAAGAGTCGTCTCTTCTTTCCACACTGCCATATTATATTTGGAAGGAATTATGCAATTTTCACACATTTCTATTACTCCCATCTAATCAAAGATTGAGAGTATACCTTTGTAGTTTTCAACCTGATTTCATTCTGTCAATTTTTCAGGTTGAAAGGGGGGTAGACACAAACAAAACATTCTAGTTGTACAAAAAGGACATTAACTGGGTTGATGAGCTCTGCAATTTAAGATATCTGAATAGCAGGAGAGAGTAAACTTTCACTGCTGTCTTAAAAAAAGTATTATGCTATGTACACTTCATAGCATAATTTATCTTTATCAGAAGCTGACAAGGTCCCTGTGAAAATTTATAAAACAATTTAAATTCTAGGCTTTCACAATTTTGATCTAATATTCACTTTCTGTGCATAGATCAAGAATCTTTCTTTTTACACAATTTCAACTTATATATAAAAAAAACCCTTTCAAATGGTATAACAACTGAATGTGTAGGATGGCATTTTGTATAAAAAATAGTTCAAATTATAAACAAACTTTTTAATAAATCTAATTCAGGGGGGGTAACTACAGATTATTGGAATTTATAAGTTCTATCCTTGTAAGCTATTTCACCAGTATTACATTTTCTTTCATGTGCAGCCTGAAAAAAAATGTGAAAATTAAATTCAGTGCACAGTATAGCCCAATTGGTATTTCACAACAGTGAGCATATGTCCCAAAATTTACTGCATCATTTATGGAACCAAGAATGTTAAATCGTTTGTAAAAATGAAATGAAGTTTTACATTCTACTTTTCTGCAACATGTGTAATAATGAAGACAGGCAACGCCATGCAGGGTAAAATGTGGGAAATTTTGCCAGGACAGCGGCTTCAGCCTACCCTTTTTTTCGATTTCCAACTTTCTAGGGATCTTTAACATGCACAGCTTGTAGCACACAGGGCCTCGGTTTATGGTCCCATTCCTTGTCAGCCCCTTTTAACTGCATCACTGACAGGGGGAAACAGGGTTAAAAAATCTGAAGGTATCATCTTGACCTATGTCAGGATTTAACCCTGAAAATGGGCAAACGTCTACTGAGCCACAGTGTTTCCTTAAGTCGTTTTGTAGATTCTATCTTACTGTTTAGTGTGTCACTTACAATCGCTTTGAAGCCAAAGTATATCAAAGCTGTTAAAGGTATAACATAAGTCATCATTGCCACAGCTACAGTTTTTATGTTTGGTTTGAAGAAATGTACTTGAGTAGCTCTCATGGCCATGTGTCTCTGGAGTGCAGGATCGAACTGAAATATTTCATGAGAAAATTCATTATTAGTATTACTGGTATAAGATAGTATGTTCTTCAAACATGGCACTATACATTGGTAACAATAACATACAATGAATGCTAGTTCCAAGATTCATAGCTTATTAATAATAGTCATTTATCAGTACCAAAATTAATAATGACTTAGGCAGCTTTAGACAGCCATTGCTTCAAAAAGTCAGCTGGGTTTTGGCTTTTTTAACCCCTTGACAGTGATAAGTGGCATGCTTGCATATGCTATCTTCAAACTACATAATAAGAGTTATGATCTATTGCATCATTGCCATTGGGGAATAAAAGCAAATACCAGTACCCATGTTTATATCCAAAACCATTGACTATGCACAGGCTCTTGACATTCTGAGAATAATGTCAAGGTATGTTTAAGGTATATAATTATGCATTCTATCATTTACACTATTTTCTTTGCATTGCCCCTATTTCATTAATATTGACAGAACGTCAAGAGCCTGTGGTCTATGCCTCAACTTACAATGAAACCCTCAACACGTCTGTAATACGGATTTGTATATTTCATCTGAAATTCAGCCTTCATTGCCGCTCTGAATTTAGCCCTCTCCTTAATAGTTCTCATTTCCTTTTCAGACACATCATACACTTTCCAAGGATTCCATCTCAAAGCAGATGGCTTGGACTCAGGCATCTTTATTTCTGGAAACAGTCCGTCTTTCTAACTGATCTTGAGATGGCAACAATTCTTCAATTCGACATTTTACTTTAACCTTGAACTTGTATAGTCCGAAAGTGTCTTTATGCAATTTCGTTTGGAGTTTTAATACAATTTTAGTTATTTTACATTCTGTTCCTTTCTCTATTTTAAATTGTGAAGTCCAGTTTTATCTAAATATTATCCATGATCTACCAAATCTAGGACTATTATGTCTGTGAAATTGAAATGACAAATGATTTAGCCAGAATAGAAATGTATCATTGCGGATTAATAAAATAGACATGAGTGTAGCCGGATGAAACAGTCGAATGCTGGTAGGAGAAAACAAAACTAGTTAGTCAAAATGGACTATGATTTTAAAGTGAAAACTGCAGCTGAAAGAGCTAAAGTTGAAGATTTGTTTAATTATGAAGGATGCAAGGTTGGCCGAGGAACTTATGGCCATGTATACAAAGCTAAAAGCAAATCAAAGTTGGTACCCATTCAGATAAAATGCCAGATATTCGGCAATGGTTGTTAAAAACCGTCATTGGCGTCATGTCGGACACATGAGTAGGCCTAATGTCAATTCGCCTATCTTGTTGGTTGGCCAGATAATTAAGTGTTGATTACTGTTGATCATTGAAATAATAGTTTCCCAAGCCAATGTGTGATATATTTTATATTGTGCACACGTATGCTGATGATGCCCTTTGCTGTTGCTTTGGGTTTTTTAAGTACTGAATGATAATATCATGGGTGACCGCTTGAAACCTCATATAATGATATATGACGCGAAACTACTTTTGGAGAAAAACGCAAAAAACTATTTGTAGTCGTATTTTGTTAAAAAAATTTTGATAATTTGTTTTTTACCGCTATACGTGGTTTTCATTCTTTGAAAATATAAACCTCGTATAAGAAATTGAGTACTCAGGCCTTTTGAACCAAAAACTCGTATAATAGTACAGTATACAAGGTTTTTCGTTTTCATCCTCACAAAAAGGAACATTGATCCTCGTATAATATAATATTTTATGAGGTTTTAAACTGACTGTTTAAATACGTGTTATTTAATTAGTACTTTTTGAGTTATTTACAATCAAGCTAAGAATACGAGGTTTTAATCACAAGATCCGCGCTTTTACGAGCTTTCGAAGGGTACCAAAAAGTCAAAATGACCAAATATGGCATATACGAAGTTTCAAGCAGTCACCCACGATATGTAATTAGCCCGAATACATTCAAGTTTTAAGAATTACTAAAAAGAAGTTAGTTGTTACTCAGAGTTTCATGCTGTGTGATCTTCAGACAACCAATATGCTTCAGCCTGTTTTTACATTTTTAGCACTATTTTAATAGTGAAACACCTTGTTATTACTATGTGATCATTATTCTTTTATCTTTTGTTATCATTTTCCATTATGTAGTGCTGAAAATGATAAGAAAGAATATGCATTAAAACAGATAGAAGGAACTGGTATATCTATGTCAGCATGTAGAGAAATAGCTGTAAGTTTCACAAATTTTGTAGTTGTGATTTGTCTGATCTATAGAGATCTATTAACATAAAGATTTGTCACCATAAAAAATTGGTGCAGAAAAGTAGGACGTAAAACTCTCTTCATATCATTCCATAAATGACTTTAAGAGATAAGCTTATACTTGCATAATTCCTACAGCCTATTTAATACTGGCACTGATCAGCTATTGACTCCTGATATATTCCCTTTTCATGATAAATAACAGCATTATCAAGTAAAATAGATGATGAACCATCAATCAAACTTTGAATTTTATTATTTTTAAAATGTTTTTAGTTATTACGAGAACTAAAACATCCCAATGTTATCATTCTACAAAAAGTGTTTTTATCCCATACTGATAGAAAAGTTTGGTTGTTGTTTGACTATGCAGAACATGACTTATGGGTAAGTTTTTAACTTTGTATATTGAAATATCAAATAGAATAGAAATTCTTTGTATTATATAAGCTTATTGTTTTTGCTTTGGATAGTTCTTTTGAGAAAGATTTTTATCACAGGTTATCTATTTTAATATTCCTGTGCATTGAAAATTTATTTATTTGAGTAGTTGTGGGCTAGATAGTATTTTAATTTATGTTTTAATTCCAATGAATTTTTCGATCTCTAAATATTTTCAGCATATTATTAAGTTTCACCGTTCAGCTAAAGCGAACAAGAAACCTGTACATAGTTTAAGAAACATGGTGAAATCTCTGATATTTCAAATTCTAGATGGAATACATTATTTACACGCTAACTGGGTGTTACATAGAGATCTGGTAAGTAACTTTTAATTAAAAGCTTTAAAGAAAACAATAGTATTGAAGTAGATTCAGGCCCATACCTCTGAAAAAATTCCTACAACGGACCAATTCTATTACTGCTGCTAAACACCATATACCATTGCCCCTCTGGATATATTAATTGCCCCTCCATACAATTAAATGTAAAATGTATGGCAGTTATTTAATATATTGTATTTTGGTATCAAACACTTGTTTAAAAAAAACACTGTGTTTCTAAACAATATACTTTTATATTTTAGAAACCAGCTAATATATTGGTGATGGGAGAGGGACCTGAAAGAGGCAGGGTTAAAATTGGTGAGTCAGAAATAAATTAACTGTTAGTTTAAAGTTGGATAACTTCTTAACAAAGTAGACAATATGCAATGTACAGAGGCAAAAACAATTTCTGTGCAAGGTAGCTTTTTTTTTATTGAACACATATTTCACATCAACTTTCTGTGGCCAGTATTAAATTTTTTTGCTTATTCAATCTTATGAAGATTTATTCATTAGAAACAATGTAAATCAAAACCCCCTGTAATATGTTTACGGTTTTATTCCCACAGCTGATATGGGTTTCGCTAGATTATTTAATTCACCATTAAAACCACTAGCTGATTTAGATCCTGTTGTAGTAACATTTTGGTACCGAGCCCCTGAGTTACTACTAGGTGCTCGACATTATTCTAAAGCTATAGGTAAGCTCAGTTTGTCTAAATTGAAATTTAAGATAAATTCCTGTATACTGGTAAGAGAATCTTTAAAGGTATGAACATAAAATTTAAATACTCAAACTCAAGGAGATAAATTAATCAGTGGACTTAACTTGTGTCATAACTATACCACGGAATCCCTGTACATATGACCTAAAATAGTCCATAAACTATTAGTAATTATTCAAGGTATTATTGACCAAGTTTGATTGAAATTTTATGTTCATTCTGAGAGGTAGGATCCCTTTAAGACTCTTGTTTCATCTGAAATATTGCAACATATTCTGTCTGAATATCTTTTTAGCATGCTATCTCAGTCTTAGGGAAAACAAAAATGAATTTTTGCTAAGTGTTGAGTAGAAAGCCATTTAGTATCATTACCTGACCTGTTCTTATGTTCGTTTGTAGATACGTGTATATGGGCTATTGGTTGTATATTTTCAAAGTCCTAGGGGGCACAGCGACACAATTATTGGCCAGTTTTGAGTAGAAATCCATTTAGTGATCTGTCCTAATGTTATTTTGTAGATATATGGGCTATTGGTTGTATATTTGCTGAATTATTAACATCAGAACCTATATTCCACTGTCGTCAAGAAGATATAAAAACCAGTAATCCTTATCACCATGATCAGTTAGATAGAATATTTAATGTTATGGGATTTCCACAAGGTAAGTGGCAATGGTAGTTCTATAGACTGTGTAGTTTTAGTATTTTCTCAAAAATATTGCATGCATAACAAATTGCACATAGAAGATTCAAGTGTGAGGTTGTAATAATGCTAATGTTCAGTATAGAAAAACATTGTATAATGTTACATATAATTAATTTTTGTCAGTTAATGGAGTTAAACCTTAAAACCATATTACTATCAACTTATGAATTAACTAAATCACATGTTTATTCAACAGAAAAAGACTGGGAAGACATCAGAAAAATGCCAGAACATCCAACATTGATGAAGGATTTTAAACGATCCACGTGAGTCATAGCCATTAATTTTGTAAACATTCATTATTATCCACATTTAACCCTTTTAACATAGAGATTAATAGATTTAGAGTTTGATTGTTGAATATAATTGTGACGTCAAAAATGGCTTTATTATCATAACTTTGTTACATGCAGAATTGTCCTAAAGGTTTGAAGGCAAAAGGTATGTCGTACATATTATTATATTTGAATGCTCAGAAGAATATTGAAAACAACATCGTAGAAAAAACATTTTTACTTAAAGATGGGTTCCCTTATTTTTTAGTGTCATATGAAGCAAACTATTTGATTAATTGGTGTTTCTAATGAAATATCATGTGTTCTTAATCATATCATTATGTTCTTATTGCATATTATTAAGAGTTTTAACCAATCATATATGTCCATGTATTTACAGTCTTGACAACAAAAAAATACTTTTTAGCTTTTCCTGATCATTAGAATTCTGCAGGTTGTTCTCTTTTAATTTAGCTAATTATGAATAAATTTTGAACGTTTGAAACAAACTGGTATTTTTTCAAGTCATTTCTATTCAAATAAGTATTAGCATTGTCATTTTCATAAATTAAAATAAGGGAACCCATCTTTAATAGAAACTCTACAGATATTTTGAAGTTTCCTCTTTCATCAGTATTTTGGTAATAAGTACTACTATGTAGTTATATTGTATTATAGATATGGTAATTGTAATCTAATGAAATATATGGAGAAACATAAAGTCAAATCAGATAGTAAAGCATTTAGTATGGTAGGTAGTATTTTACTTCAGTATTTTATTTTTCTGTGCCAAGTAACTAATAACTTTGAGTATGAATTATATCAAGCAAGTAATACATCCATTGTCTGAGTTGTAGGCTTATGCAAATGGAGTCTTCATTCTTTTTAACCAAATTAGACATAATGATTTGGGACAAATTTGAATGAAGTTAAACCCACCCAAATAGAGAAATTTTTAGTAGTTAGATTGTTTTTAGTTGTTCATGTTTATTTTTAGGATAATTATTTGATATTTTTCAGTTACAAAAATTATTAACCATGGACCCAACTAAAAGAATGACATCGGAAATGGCTTTAAAAGATCCATATTTTGAAGACCCACCACCTAATCAAGAGTAAGTTGAAATTTTCAAAACTTTATCAGATTTTTATTAATCTGTCTATGACTCAAATATAATGCTCCCTTAAAAATAGGTGCAAGAATAAGAATACATGATACTACCACTCAATATTATGTTGTCCATGCCAACTTGATTATTTGTTTGTCCAGCCTAAGTGCATACTATTATCTGTGATAGGTATTTTTCCAGATTTACTTGAGCATAAGAAGGGATACACATTATATTTGTAATTATGCAGTGTGTGTCTTTGTACAAATCTTTAAGTAGTTTTTATTTTGATATTTTTATCTATTACAGTGTATTTGAAGGCTATCCTATCCCCTATCCTAAAAGAGAATTTATTAGTGATGATGATAATGAGGATAAATCAGAAAATAAAGTGAGTTGTCTACCTTGAAAATAATTTTTACCTAATTTATTGTATGTTCAGAAAAGTTGCCCTGCCATCAGTCTGTTTTTCTATACCACTTCTCATTTTATCCTGCTGCTAGTCCCCTTTTGAGATTTCAGTCCTGAAACGTTATATTAAATCATCTCCTTCAGTATAAAAAACCATAAAAGGGCTTTGTAATGTTTTGATTAACATATTTCAGAATCAAACGAACACAAACCAATCTGATCAGCCTCCCCAGAAAAGAGTAAGAGTTATGCCCCCTGTTACTACGAGTAATAGTAATAATATGGTTAGTGGTGATTATCAAGTAAGAAAGGCATGCTATTTGTCAATTCTCTACATCAGCTAAGTATAAAGAAAGTTTTAAGAGAACAGTATTGTCCAATATGTGAATAAGATTTAAATTGTGTATGGTCCTAGCTTGTAGAATTTTACTATTAGAATTGTCACTCAAATTTTACAAATTATGAAAAATATAACTCAAAAAAAGGTGTGTTGAAAAATAATGAAAATTGTTGATTTTTCAGCTGATATAATGCTAATTTAAAAGTAAATTTGGAAACTAAAGAAATAAAGCAATACTGATCATCTTCCAACTCTGTGTGCCCCAACCCCCCTCTTCAGTTTTATGAATGTTGCATGTTATTAGTTTAGTTTTAACTTACTAACTCTCTTTCTACTTGTATTCTTTCAATTTCTGTGTGTATGTAAATATATTGTAAATATGCAAAATACTTTTCAGACAGGGTTCAGAAATACTGGAATTTTTCTGGTCTCATAATGATAGTTTGAATTTATTCCTCCACAGAGTTGCTGCATTTCAAATTTAAACTAGACAGTTTTATCTCTTGTTATATGTTGTTAATTTACTTCTTTTTTTTTACCAAATAAGTGATGTGTTATTTTGTAACTTTGAAGTGCATGTAATTTCGAGTTTGTCTATAGAAATAATTGTTTTTTCAATAAAATTAAATATTATTAATTTAAAAATCAAAACTGTAAATCAAAAATGCCTAAGCTTGTTTTTATCGAAAAAGTTCAAGTATAAATGTTTTTAATTCGTACTAAAAGAATTTTCAGTGAGAAATGTTCTTAGAAATATGATGTACTATTAGGTTGACTTTAATCATGAACTGTTTTATATTTCAGCATGTTCACAATATGCAACAATCTAACTCTGGACAACAAGGAATGAATTTTTCTGCTGGTAATGCATCACAAGGTTCAGCCTCTTCAGGTTTTGGAAGATATGGATGATGAATGGTATGATCTAGTGAGATATTCAAACTTTATATTAAATGCAACAACTTATAGCTTCTTAGATCAAAGGAAATAATGTGGTCAAGTGATTGCCCAGCTAAAGATTTTAAAAAGATATTTTGTTGTGAATATAGAAAAAATCATGAAAGTTTGGGTCATGGTCAAGGGTCGTGAAAGAATCCAAATCAATTCTTCTGTTTATACAAATATAGGACAAAAGAATGGTTTAGAAACATGGATTAAACTTTAGGGTAAGCCCTTAAATGCTGAATAATTATGATATTGAAGTTGAAGCAAATGGTGAAAAATATCTTGAAAATGACTTTTTTTAATGAATTTACATGTTCTTCAAACAAGGATTGCCCCCGTTTATGAAAAAGTTACAATAATGGGATTAGTAATTATCTTGCATACTGTAGTTTAAATATCCAGGAGTGATGCAGAGTAATAAAAGCTAAATAGGAAAGTAACAGTCAATGTTACTCTGGGTTGGTATCTCGAGATCATCACAAGAATATAAGTTAACTGATAACAGTTTGTAGATAATGCTAACATTACATCTATTTTATGGTTGACTTGAATAATTAAGATCTTCTAATGAGACAAGTTGGACAAAGAGAATTTAAATATCAGTATTATAGTGCTTCTAGTGTCTCAATAGGGTCAGTATAGAAGCTCATAACACAGGTTTAAAAACTGGAACTGCAAAAAAGATTATACTAAATATTATTTATTCAGCAGAAACTAAATATAAAACATGTGTTTATTTCACAATTATGTTGTTGTTATTTAGCATATTTTATAAATCTGATATAAAAATATATTCATTGTATATTGATGGTAATTAATGATAATTTCATAGAAACAGTCATGCTCAACTACTGAGTTTATAACATGGCACAATGGCAATTTCTTTTATTGTCCATATACATTATTCATGTTTCTTTTAAGAAATGAACAATTATGTTGTAAACAGTTTACATTTAAACCTGTATAATAGAAAATTGTCAACAATAAATCTAAAACAATCCAGTTTGTGCATGTCTATTGTGTATCAGTTTCCATGTGTTTGTCCATGTATAACATGACGGATATAATATTTCTACTTTTATTACATACAATGTAATGTACATGTATGTAATACATTGTGTTATCAATTGTAGTATGAGGTTATATTCCTTGTCTTATACAGACAATTGTTGTCCAATTATTTAGGGTAGCATGTTTGCCTATATTGTCAATTACCAAGACATGTTGGCTTAAATTCTGAACATTTTATGATATTTAAAGCGGTAAAACTTTAAGAATAGTGTATCAAAATATTTCCTTAATATGTTGTAAAGAATCCTCAACTTCAATTTCTCCAATATAACATCCCCCAATTTCTACAGCTTTTTTTAGTGAACATTCAATATAATGTTTATGCTAGCGCTTATTTGGATGAGTGTAATACACAGAAAATAAATAGTGGATTCAATATTCTTTATCATAATATGTTTTGACGCAGCATAAACTATGTCATGTAATATTATAGTATATAATAGGCAACAGGCTAAAAAAAAAAACTGGCTCTGATAGAAACCTAACGCTTCTATGTTAGAATTCAGAGCAGACATGACAGTCTATTTGACGTTCACAATGAGAGTACAAAGATAATTTAGCCTTCTTTGCTCATTGCCTACACAAGATATTCTAAGCCTATTTTTTTGTAGTGTACTCTTATCAAGATTACCCACGACAAGAGTGACACTGGTTATCTCCAAGGCCATTCAAAATTATTTTATTTTGATTTTTTTTAAGATTTTGCTTTTTTACTGGGAAGAAAGTAGGCCTACAGGAATTGATAATCTACAGTGTATTTCTATTATTTATTCTTAAAAATCTTAATTTTGCATAGTAATTTTCAGATTTTACACTGGTTATTGGATATCTTAATGAATTATTGGTAAGGCAAAATTGGGTGTTTGAAATAGCCTACTAAAGCCCAAGCAAATGTTGACTTCATATGATTTTTAAAGCACAGTCCAACACTATCTTTGGACAAATTAAGCTTTTATGAAGCTGCTTTAATATTAAATTGAGCTTGACAACTTTTAGCACTTTGACCTTGCATATAATTTTGTTTTTCATTTGACATTTTCCTGACAAACAATATGACATTCCCAAATAGTTTCATATTACAAATTACATTGGTTCACATAACAGCATTCTCAAATAGACTTGTTTTTGTGGGAAGGTATTTGACTAGATTTAATTTGTTATCCTCTAAATATCATATGGGATGAGTTTTTGTCATTATATAGGACTATAATTATAGGTCTATACAGCTGTGACAGACCTGTAGCCTATAAATTCTAACATTTATGTATCACATGAATCCTGTACATAGGGCCTACAACAGGATACCAACTTGTCTTGTGGATTGGAGTGCTGTGATATAAATCAATATTTAAGACCATCCATTGGCATTTAGGCCTACTGTACAACCTAGGAAGAGCTGGGATTGATTTCAATAATTCTAAATAAAAAAATTCCAGGCCTTGGCTTACATAAGCAAAACAGGGTAAGAGGGTTTTTTTTCTTCTCAAAATTAACTAGGCCTTAGATTAGAATATATTTTAAGCCTAAGGAAAGTTTGGTTACGGTAGGCCTAGCCTTTTTTTTTTTACGATGCGTCTCTATCTTACGTAAGATAGGTAGCATCGACCTTGGAGTCCTCCAAGCATCGACGTAGCCTACTCCTAAGAATTCCGTTATGATTTCGTATTTGTATCATTGGCGTTATGACGGCATCACTGACAGTGACGTGAGTGGCAACATCATTGACGGAGTGATGGATATATTTTGATTTGAACACTGAACAGCATTCTCTGACAGCATGCAGACTGCTTTAAATGAAGAATAGGGCTAAGCCTACTCTGCAGACTCAGTAAATTTCCTATTCTAGTCTGAATGAGTACTACCCAAGCATATTCGTTCTCCTTTAATTTTTTTCACAGTTAAAAATAACAAAATCAGACTCATTTTAGACGATTTGGCTGTTGGTCGATTTGTTCATCACTTCCGGTGCCGTTCAACATGGCAAGTGTGGAAGAGAATTTCTTTGAGGGGACAGAAAAACTGTTGGAAGTTTGGTTCGGATTCAAGACAGATGCAACAAACGGTGATCTTAGGATTATTCCAAGGTAAGGAATGAGTGAAGTGTCAAGGTCTGAAAGCTTGTGACTTTGTAACCGTTACGATGATCATTTCAAATTATTTTTCGAACAAATTCGTACTTTATCCAAAGTGTCCTCTTGAAATCATCAATGCAAAATAATACGTCAAATGAAACAAACTCTGAAATTGATTACTAACCATATTTATTACTATGAGCCTCTATTTCAGCTTCTGAAATATATTTTTACAATTGTTGGCATGAGTTGAGTCAGAAAAACTAGGCTCTGTTTAATGGGGATTTTCCACAACTCATAAGTCGAAGACGCGTTGGCTTAACGATGACTGAAATTGAAAATCTGTGTTGGGCATCAATGTAACATTCCCTACTCTGTTAGGCCAAGTGTAACTTACTCTGTGACCTTGAACTTTTGGGTGTGCACACAGTTTTAAATGACCGACGAAAATCAGTTAAATCGATTTAAAAATCACAGACATGACAGCAATGATGTAGGGGTATTTTAAAGGTATGACTCTACATGAGTCGACAACTTTCTAAATATCTTATCAGAGACTGGAATAGAGACATATATTTTGGTCTAGTCCTAGTCCAGTACTTATTATCTCCTAACTAACAGGACTGTTAGGAAAATGTGTTTTAATGGGAGTTTTGGAGGATGCTTGGCGACATGGTGATTCTTCAACGACAGAATTCTCAATCTTTCTCACTTTTCATGGGTACCAGTAGGTAAACCTTAAGTAGACATTATTGTCAGTATCAATTCTCATTCTCTAAACTATTGTTTGGTTGAATTGTAATAAAGTTTGGTACCGTAATTTTATTAAACTTTTCTTATTAGATGTGAATGGGAAGAATTGTTGAAACTGGCCAAATGTGAAATAATCAGCTACTGTAAGAATGAAGATATGGATGCTTATGTTCTGAGGTAAGTTATACTAGTCTATGAAATTATCTGAAAATAATTCTATATTACTTAGATATAAATCTAACATTACCATGCTTATGCCTATCCTATGGTAAAACATACATTTAGACTACCATACTATCTGTTGCAAAGGTAAGCTTATAGCGCCTTATTTTCTAGAATCCAGTGTAAATCGATACTGGGAACACAGAGACTGAGAAAGATAGATTTATTAGTGATGTTAATCCCTCATTGAATCACCAGTTTGGTCCCCAGGCCTGGTTTGCTAAGTAAATGAAATGTATCATGTATAAGCTTATATTCCTGTTTGGAATGATATCCAGTTTAGAAATCTTGTTTTTTAATAATCAAGTGTTTTCATTTTTAAGACATTTAAACTATTTTCACTTTTGTGTTGCAGTGAGACCGCAGAAAAGTAGGACGTAGAACTCCATTTCATTTCATTTTCTTTACAGTGAGAGTAGTATGTTTGTGACTAAAGATAAATTTATATTAAAAACATGTGGTACAACAACACTTCTACAGACCATTAAACCTTTAATACAACTAGTTGATTCCCAATGTGGTATTAGAGAGATACTGGTAAGATCTGATAATACTTTTCAAATCTAGCATTTGTACTACCAAAAATATAATTATGTGATACTAATATTAACTTGAGTACACATGTATAAAAGTATGTTCAAATTTAAGTGCCTATTGAAAGTAAAACAGATTTTTTTAATATAGTTGTCGAATGATGCTGAGCTTTTTAATGCCATATAGAGTAATTTTTTAATTTCATACTTTCAGGATATATTCTACTCAAGAAAGAATTTTTCTCGTCCTGAACTGCAGATTGGAGTCCATCAAAATTTTGTTGATGAGGTATGCTTATTTTTTGACAATTAATATGTGTTTCTTATTGCTTCTTGATTGTTAGGTTATCCAGCTCTTTTAATTAATGTCTCATTTGACATAATTATAGTTTCCGATATATAGTTTATTGTTAGATTGATGCCTGAAGATCATAGTTGTGTATTACAGTTCCGTCAGAAATGACAGGACCCTACCCCATTCAACATCCCGTTCATGTTAAAATAAACATTTTGAAAATAATAAAAGCCGTCCTTTAATAATATATAACTTATTTTATAGGTCGGTCATCTAGATAAACAGTTTCGAGGTAAGATATTCTTTGTTAGAAATCATGTCAGATCGTGATAGATTTATTGTCAAACTACCTTAGGCCAATTTATGTCCTTGTTTTACGGTTCCTCCTTCTCCAATTTTCTAGAAATTGAAAAAAAAAAACATACTCTATTCCCAATGACAAAAATTCACAACAGAAATTACCATCAAAAGATTATTAATAAAATGTGTTATTTTGTTAGTTGTTTTTTTTTTCTCCCATTCTTCACACAAATTTAGTCTTGTCCAAACAAGACAATAAATTGGTCTGGCCTTACGTAAAATATATAAACAAGAAATTGGGACAATTAGGTCATGTCATAATAATAAATTATTGTTAGACTATACAAACTTGTGATAAGTATTAACATTGGGTCATGCTTGACTGTTTTTCCAAAATAACCAGATTTTTACACAATAGCTATGACCTATTTTTAATATTGCTAAGTTCAAACTGATATTTTTTGACAAGTACTATTAAGGACTGATTAGGAAACAGTACAAATTATAAAATATTTTACCTATAACCAGTAAAGCAAAAAACAAATTGAATAGATGAATTCAAAGCAAATAAATAACTTTGACCATATATGAAATATACGAACATTGATGAAAAGTCAGCCTTGGCTTAGAATTACATAGGTTAAGAAACTTGAATTCCCTGACCCAGAAGAGCGATTCTATTACGAGATAAACCATTTCTAGCAGAAAGAAAGAATTCCCTTCCTAACGGTGACTCAACCATAGAGTCATGTAACAAACTATAGCAAGTTGACCCTATCTCAGAACCAGGGGATATTATAGGCTCACAGAAGTTACAATAGCTATATATACTATACAAGTATTATCATAAGAAAGAATATTAGAAATCTGAAAATATGACTATATTTTCAGATGGTGCAGCCTATACTTTAGGACGGATGAACAAAGATTGCTGGTAAGCAAGTTTTTCCTCTTGAAGTTCCAGGTTGTATGGAACTTTAACATTTTAACATTGCATTGAGTCAACAAATTTGGTTGACTATTAAATCTGATATGAAATACTTTCTTTCAATTGAACTTTCAATGAACTTTTATATAATTTGAAGTTGTTGATGTCTTCAATGAACTAACAATCTAATTTTAATTCTTTTTGGTGTATTTTATTTCTTTCATCATCAGACCTTTGGATTGGTTCAGTCAGTTTTGAGTATAGGGATTTCTGCAAGGCAATTACTTTAAAGATGAGAAACCTCTGATATCTTTCCAGAAGGTTAGAGAGTTGTATTCGAGGATATTTATGTACATTTGAGTGTCATTCAAAAAATAAAGAAGGCAATAAGTGGTAGTTTAAAATGTTCAAATTAGATCTGTATAATATTGTATTTTCCAGGTATCTGTATACACTAGATAAACATGGTGTAACTCAACCCGATCAAACTTTTGAAATATCCTTTTAAAACATAATATCTGTATAAAAACATTCTCTTGGCATTTGATAAAAACTTTCTCATTCAAGAGACAAGTAATAATAATTAGAAGGGTGGAGACTTCTGAATGGGTTCCATCTGTTTCTATTCTGTCCGAAGGAATGGTTTGTTATATTTAAAATTTTTGAATCTATTTCCTTCTCCGCCATCTCCTCCGAATTCTGTCTGCACCTACTATTTTTTCGGCAGACATGGAATGGATTCTGAACTCTATCCAATATTGATTCCGTGAATCCTGAAAGTTCAAAATTCATCAATCGCTAAACTACGAAATTGTTATTTCCCTTAACTGATGTTCACTTATTGATGTGGGATATGTGTGATAATAGAATGAAGATTTTTACTAAAGAATTCAGTGAAAGTGGAGCTGATGCTACTAAGGTACAAGTAATTTTCAATATTTTCCATTTTGCATTTTTGCTTTCCCTATATTTTAAAAAGATTATATTTCTGACCCTTCTTGAAAGCAGAAATACTGACTATAGATTCTCATTAATCATGTATTATGTATATATACAGTCAAGTAACCTAATTTCGTGGAAACCTATTATTCGTGGATTTCCGGAAAGGATTAATAATTTACATGAGCGACCTTGCGCGACCTCAGCATTAGTTTGTTTTAATAAACATGGGTTTTCTCTACAATATCAGCTATTAGAATGAATTCGGTAGTTTCAAGCAAGGTAAAATGTAATAATGTATACTTAGACAAATACAAAATGGCGGATTTCACTTATTACCAAACGATACCATTTTTTATCGGCCGAATTTCCTTATGATCCCAAGCGGTAATCGTCTGCTAGATTATATTCCAACGAATGAAGTCACGTGATCAACTAGCGGATTCCGTGTCAGCAGAAAATTTCTATGGAACACAAAGTGGACAGTATTCTTATGTTGTTTCAGTGACTTTTAGCAATAAATCACGCTATCTTATTTTGTCAGGCACTATTTTTTTTTTAAATCGTGGTTCTTTGAAGGAATTGACACTAGTTATAATGAATTGATATTAAAGATAAATACTAAGAGAAGTTAATTATACCACCCGGTATCCATACAACGTGTTTTTCTAGACTTATTTATAGATCAAACATTGTACACGAAAATAGGTGAGGCATTCTGCCGCCGTTGCCGAGTTGGTTGCTCATGAAATATGGGTCAAAGTGAAGGATTCATAAAGAAAATCGAAATAAACCAATTTCTATTATTTTGTAGAATATCTGAGGAAACATCTAAGACATAAAAAATTTTTTTCGTCTTTTTAACTTTGACGAAATTCAGTGTTGAATCCTTATATCCACGAAAATAGGTTACACCACTGTACATTTTAATACTTGAACAGTTTTTTAATTTTTGTGCAAATTGGTTGGTTTTTAAAGTGTTTGTTGTACCAAGTGAGACTATCTGAAATTGCTCAACTATTTATTGTAGAAATCTGGTATTTGTAATATTATACCAGGAGCTAAGATAGATGATGTTTTATTTGAACCATGTGGTTATTCTATGAATGGTTTATTACCTGATGTAAGTATAAACTGTACATTTATTCTTTCTTTAAATATATCTTTTTCAACTTTTTTGTTCATATGAAATGTCTTACATGGATTCTTTTTGTTTACACATTAATTCAGAAATAATTTGAAACAACGTATGTAGTTAGGAAAATATGCCAAATAGTACTTTACAAGTTGAAATTATCAATTCTAAAGAGGAAACTTTTCACTTCCCAGAGGTAACGCAAGAGGCTCATAAAACTTTGGTGGTAATATTCCATAATATACATGTATACTTAGAAACCTTGCATTGTTTTAATCTTTTGTATGAATATTAAACAATTTCTTTATTATTTTTAGGGTTATTACTTCACTATCCATGTAACACCAGAGAGTCACTGTAGCTATGTTAGTTTTGAGAGTAACGTACCAAGGGTAAGTAAGAGATGTGTTATATCGGTATATTTTCGCTCCTGCTGTGTAGGATCAAAGGACCAATCTTCGAATAGTCAGTAAGCTGACATGTTTGTCAAGACTGGTGGCAGTTTGTGTGTTGAGGCATACCTTGTAGTTTATTGACTATGTACATGTTTGTCATACCCTTAAACCTTTGAAATGTAGATTGTAAAACTCTTCTTTTTTTTTTAACCCTTTCAACACAAGCACCCACTTTATTTACTACATTGTTACATGATATATACCCATGCATCTGATAAAACTCATCATCAAAATTTGAGCAGTTAAATCAATCAGTGTCCAGAATTATCCGCATGTGAAAGTTAAAATGAAGATTTGTCTTTTCTTGAGAACCACGCCATATATAGAAATTTCTAGTTTGAGGTATATTTGAAGTGATTATGTAATTTTCGTTCAGTTCTAGTACTTCTGAAGACAACATTGTTTCGAGAACTCATACATTATTTATAATGTAGATAGTCATAAAGCAATGGTATTTTATATTGAACTGATGAATAGTAATATTATTTTATAGGAGTCATATGATGAGCTGATTAAGAAAGTACTGAATATTTTTTGCCCAAGAAAATTTCTGATGACTGTATTTGCTAACCGGGTAAGATATTTCAATTTTAGAATATCAAAATTTAGAGTGTATAGAATCAGTTTGATGTCTTTCTCTATTTACATGAATAATTTGTCAAATTTTAATGTACATATTTTTACTATTTTGGTTTATTATCTTGATTTAATTTCTTTTTCAGGCTTCAGTTGCTAAAGATTTTCACAAATTAGTGAATGAAGCAGATAGATTAGATGGTTATGTCAGACAGGATCATCAATTCTGTAATTTTAAGAATTACAACCTAACCTACACTTTATTTAGTCGTCCTATTCTATGAGATTCACTGTGCAGTGGTCTTCAACTACCTTTGAGTCTTTTTGCTTCGTCCTTATATTTCCCCTATAGTTATAAATGTAAACCCTTAAATAGCAAACAGCTGAGCTGTAATACTTGTAGGAGAGGACACTGCACGACCAAAATTTTCTTTTTTAAATATTTTTACCTTATAACTTTAGATAGAAAAACATGTATGTATTTTATTCACTTATGGAAATCAGCTCAAAGTAGAAAAAAACACAAAATACAATGTGGGTATATTTTACGCAAACCTAAATGATAGTGTCTACATACTTTTTCAACTTCGAATGAGCCTTTTGCCAGGTGAGTTTTTGAAATATGTTTCTGTGATAAGAGAGCAAGAGTTGTCCATGTTCCTAAGTGATCAGTTTTAACTAAGTACCATAATATGGTTTAGATGGCTATGTTCCTTTCCAATTTTTAAGTTCACAGATATAAATGATAACTCAACAGTAAAGCATTTGGAATTTTAAGATTAATTTATTCAAAAATTGAATTTGTATTCAATATATAGTTACTTTAAAATCATTGGCTTCTATAATATACCCTAGAATATTTTACATTAGAAATTATACAAATATTAACTACCATATTAAAGGGATTGTGAAGAGGTTTTCTAAATTTTCATGTGTATCTGGGACTCTGATAGCAAAGATTTTTAGTCAGATGTTTCTAGCATTTCATGACGTCACTACCGCAAAAACTACTGATATTTAAGACCCTTGGTGATCGTGATGTCATAAAAAGCCTAATTAAAATGGTGCAAATCGATGCTATCAGTGTCTTTGATACACATACAAAGTTTAGAAAATCTCTTTACACTCAATGATAAAATTATTATACCTGGTCAATGCCCAAGAAATAAACTTACCTGACTTGAAATGGTTGTTATATTGTAATAATTGGGAGCAATATAGGAATTAATATTGACCTATTCTTGTTATGATTGTTGTTGAATTTCTATTGACCCAATAAAGTCGAGCGAGTATAGGCGAGCCAAGAGTTTCATTCACATCCACACCAAGGTTAAAACATGAACACAAATATTTCACTATATTTTAAAGGAATACTATCTCTCAGACTGGACATAAAATTTGAAGTTTCAATCTTGGTAAACAAGTGTATATATTCATCAGTTGGACTTACCAGGTGCCATGACTAAAGAATAAAATAGAATATATATATATATATATGTATTCATTAAACTAAATAATTCTTGAAATATGCTTCTAAGCCATTCTGAAATTACTTAGTTTAATGAATTATTACTTAGTTTTATGGCTTTATTGGAATTTAGAGGGATTCTGTTGTATAGTTATGACACCATTTAAGTCCACTGATCAACAAAGTCTCATATTGGCCAAATTTAAAAACTTAAGTTAGAATGAATAGTCATAGAAACTGTACAAACTAGACTTGAATTGTATTAATGAATATTGAAACAACCAAGTTACATGGACTGCTCATGTTGAAGTATTAACCCAGATCTAGATGTGCATGAATATCTTTAACCATTGTTTACATTACTGAGTTTTTAAAGCAATAAATTACCTGCAACATGTTATATTTTTATTTTATTGTCTGTATATGTCCAAATCTTAAGGCATTCAATCGTCTTAAGGAATAGGGTAGTGGCTTATGAACCTAGCTCATGAAGCCAAATTTCTTGGGTTGGCAGGGATGTGGCCTTTGTCAGAACTAAAACACAGAGGTTTTTCCAGTTCTGTCTCCATAACATGGTCAGGGTCGTAGCCCAATATAAGTTCAAAGTTGAAAATAAGGCAAAGGGGGTTCTGGGTATAGTTATTGCCCCGTCACTGTGTCTGTTCACAATTGTCTTGTGCTCACTATACAGGCAACAATTCTTTAGATTTTTATTTTGTGGGTCAATGTAATTATAAAGATGATCCCTAATGGTTTATAGTGATGATCTGATAATTTCACCAAAATATTGTGTTCGAATTAGCGTTTTCACTCGTATATTATGATTCATATTGATGTCTTAAAAGAATCAGTCTTTGTGTAACATTTATTAGACTATAATATTATAGAAAATTGATAATCCATCAGTCACACTTAGATTAAGTCTTGTTGTGATGAATAATATCTAGACAGGATTATCACTGATAGAATTGTCTATTATCCATTTCTATTATACCAGAGACATGTTCTATTTTCTGTTATTAGACAATCTAACACTTATTACAGCTTTACTTTCTCTTTATTTATAGAATTATCTCTTTTACTATTTTTAGTATTAAATTCTGCTAACTTGAATAAAGCATCCCAGATGGTCTGTTGATATTGAAGCCTTCTCCAGATCTGTATCACTATTCAATCTAATCCCATGAGAGACACAGATTACATACAATGTATAATAAACAGGAAGCCTCTATTATCCAGTCCCTCTTTGTCTATGCAGAGCTGTGATGAAAAATATCCATGTCATAGTCAGGAGATGTCTTGGCATCAGAGGCTAATAAACCATAGGCTTGTCTAAATCATAGCAACATGATATCTTTAGACTGTCCAAATAATGCCATCATCATCAGATTTTAATAGCATTATTATCTTTTCATTGTAAGGTTTGAACACAAAGAACTCACCATGATGGTCATATATTATTCCTCTAAATAGCTTAAAAACCAAGAAAAAAACTTTTTTTTTAGACCAATCTTTATTTAAACAGCTTTCCCACCCAACCAGTTTTTAAATAACCATATGATAAGATAAAAAAAAAAAGACCTTGTTCCCAGTAAAATATCAGACAGAAGTTTGAATGTGAATCTTTTTCTCATTCCTGTCCATTCTATTGAAAACAATGTTTTTATTTTGTGCTGCTTTGAAACAGTTCAACATTTCAGTCTTTGTTTCACAAAACATTTAATTTTATTGTGTCAACTTTCATGTTTATTGATCGCTATATGCTTAAAGTGAGCTCCGTTTTGGAATCTGAGGCTGTAAGTTAGTGCTAATGTTCTTGCAATTGTATCCACTATCCTCACCTCCACCCCCATGAATCTTTTCATCTCCTCTTTCCTTCCCTTTATTGTCACAGTTTGCCTTATGTTTATTCTGGATTGCAGTCCAATACAATATAGGTCCTGTGAATGTGCTTTTGTAACTTTGTCATTAATACACAGTGACAACCTTTACTCCCAATGCTATAAACTGTGAATGCTATTCTTAAGAAGAAATCCGAACTTTCTTAAGTGGCATTTAGTAATTGAGGTATGAATATATGAACACAATTTTATAAGCCATGCGTGATAAAGATGAAAGTATCATTATCGAAACGTCGCAAGTTATTTATTAAAGTAATTGTTATCCATAAAATTGTGTTCATATATTAAGAAATCCAAACTAGGCTAATGCATCCTTTTATCTTTACTAGCCCAACACCCCCACCCCCACACACCCCCTTCATCCCTTTTGGTTTTTTATTGATCAATATCATTTGACTATTGCAATCCAATGCTATAAACTATATGTATATGTGAATACTATAATTGTCATTAGGTTATCAGTTGTAGCAATTCTATCCAGTAAAATGAACTCTTCTATATTGATTATTTTATAAGGATTCCTCCACTCTGCTACCTACACACTGTTTCACATAATTTATTACTTTTCATTCATTGAACACACTACAGACAAAATGGCTTCTGGAACTGTAGAAAATATTTAAATATGTCCACATTTTCTGTAATTTAAACCTATTTCAATCCTTGGATTCCATAAGGAAAGTAAAATGATGAAAGTTCAAAGACCACTTTGTCCGGATATAACATTCAGGTGAGTCAGTATTTTGTTATATTTTGTTATATTTGTGTAAAAGCTTGGTATCATGTGATAGGATGTTTTATATGTCCCAGGAATATGGTAACCTATATCTTAAGGCCTTTATCTTACTAGGGCAATGGTCAAAATAAAAGTTCACTTTGATTTCAGGATTGTTAAGACTTGACAGTTTCATTAAAAGAGGGTGTGTTTTTCTAGGGAGACTGATTGACATTTGCTATCAGGACTGGTCTGGAGTTGGTGGTCATTATCATATCCATTTTTAGAACTTTCTACGTAAAATGGAAGCTATTAACAAAGATATTGGCCAATATATTCTGTTTAGTAATTTATTTTATAGGTCTCGTGAGGTTTGGACAAGCAGTGTGAATCTAAACAAGCAGGGAGACTATTATTCAATAACTGTTAACATTAATTGAGTTTTTCTGGAATTGAGTTGATAAAGGCTTCTATTTTGACAGCTTATGTAATGAGCTTTAGATTTTCAAGATGTCTTGTGACTTGGTCTTAATTTAAACTCCCAGAATTCTTGATGCTTTGACATTTTCAATTCGTTAAATTTTATGGATTTTTCTTCTCTTGAAATGAATCGAAATTTAAGTAGATAAGTCAATATTTAAAGTGAAAGGTATTTTTATATCCTTTGTTCTCACATATTCATTTAAATAAATTATGTCAAATTCAAAAAGAAATCAGGCTAAATGTAGATGTGTAAAATGAAATATATATATCTACATTTGAAGAATAATTCCTATTCAAAGCAATAGAAAATCATTAAACTTAAGAAAAGGAATTAAATAAAGTCTGCTCCTTTCATCACATAATCAATATGGTTGTCTTGCTTAATTGCAAAATTGGAAAAATAATATTTCTTATTTTGAAATTAGAATTTCTGCAGTCCTGGCTGATTGATTGACTTTAAGTTTGCATCTGTCACTAGAATTAGCAGAGTTAGACAGGGCTAAATCAAATATTAATTATTAATGAAATGATCTTCATTAAGTTTTGGATAATTGTCTGAATATTTCTTCTACATTAATAATTTATCTGTTGTGGAACAGTGATATATCTAGAAACTGAAGATCTATTAACATGAAGTTCTATAGCAAAATCTTAAATATCTGTATGTGTATTTTCATAGATTCTTTGCCACATGATGTTATAAGCTTAAATATTGTATGTTGGTTGAATCCAAAATTCTTTCTCTGACACCTAGAGCTCTTAGTTTTAACCTGCATCTTTTCATTTTGTAAGATTTTTCAGCAAGGATTTCATTTATTGAACTTTGTATTTTAGATTGATACATGATATAAGCCCAGATACATTAGGTGATATTAATGAGCCCGGTGAACTCAGCGAGAAAGATCTACGTATCACTGATTTCTTATCAGACACCTACAACAATTGGATTAAAACTTCCAGCGATATCACCAATAAAAATGACAAAAACAAAGAATATACCAAATCATCGAAGATTATCGCCAATGATTCAAATAAGAAAGATATGGCATGTGAAAATGATGATGCGTTGAGATTTTTAGAACATGCTTTGAAAGAAAGAACTCCCTATACCAAGTCTACTAATAGTATTAATAATAATATTGTAGAGAAAAATTACCTCAGTAAAGAATTGGTGAGTTTTTTCCTATGTTATGGAGGAAGATTTTTTTTTAAAAGTGTTGTTGCAATTATAATTAGACAGTTTTAATCTCTCATTGAGTAGAAGTGGTTGGACCACAATGTTTGTTTTAATTGGAAAAGTTTCTATAAATTCTAATAGGCTTTCTCCTTGTAACTGATGCCTTTTATTCTTTGAAAAAGTCTGGCCTTATACCATTGTACCTTATATATTATATTAGACAATGGCTTATTATCTTGTACTTTCAAGCTTATTATCTTGTACTTTCAAGCTTATTATCTTGTACTTTCAAAGCTGAAAATTGGTTGTCAATTAAGTCTTAGAATCTCATGTAAATAAGGACTTTGTTCTTTGTTATATTTTTTGTAACATAAAAGCTTTGATGTAATATTTAGCTATATTCTGTTCTATTGTAGATTTGTACAAAGAATGAATGGAATGAGAAACAATTAGACAATAGACTATCACCTGTAGATATTACATTAAAAGAAAATAAACCCAGACGCCCAAGAAAGCTTCCAGAAATACCAAAAAAACATCATGGTATCGTCTTTTAATATACTTTATAACTTATATCTTTTAACTGCTATTGGACATGTAGACTATGAGAGATTAATATTATGTGCTGTCTAGATTTTCGACGTATGAAAGATTCACTTGAATTATTTATTATTAAATAAAGCACTGAATGTGGGATCAGAATTTCTTCCTACCTTGAGGAAGATTCAAACCGACGGAAGCTAATGGTATACCAGACAACAATCCAACTCATTACTTACTGAGTTCCAATGTTATGATAAGAAATTATATTATTTAGGTCTCGCTGCTGTAAATAAGAAGAGTTTAGCTGAAGAATTAGGAGATGTGTTGATAACCAAACTAGAGAATGATGACACTGACGATGTCTTTGATGAGAATTCGGAAGATGCGTTTTTAAGACGTCATGCAGGTCATTTATTTGATAGAGCAAATCGTAGTAGTAATACAACACCACGTAGTAATAGATCTCGTACTGGTAGTAATTCTACTGATAGTGATTTTAATATAGATGATGATGATACAAGATCTCAACATCCCTCTGTTATATCTTACAGTAGTGGTAGAGGAAGAAAAGGTTCTGATGATAATAGTAAGACATATTTTTACTTACAATATTAGAATGAACATAAAATTTAGATTTTCAAACTAGGCCAATAAGAGTATATCATATTCATCTTTGAACCCACCCAGTGCCATAACAAAACAACAGAATCTCGGATTATACTGAATTACTGTTGTATAATTATGGCAATGGGTAGGTCTAAAGATGAATATAATATTCTCTTCTTGTAATAACCAAGTTTGAAAATTTGAATTCTATGTTCATTCTAAAAGGTTGTTTCTCTTAAAAGAAAAATTTTCACCACACGGGATTCATTTTCAATTGAGTGTACAAGGCCATTTCACTCCTTTCCTGTCCTTTAATTCAAGTTTTGAAATATTTGTTTTTTTTTATATTTTCATTCTCGATATAATCTTATATTAATTTTATTTTTTATTATATGTTATTATTTTTGTTTAATAATCTTTTTCTCAAGTGCTCAGGTGTTTTATAGACAGTGTAATATCATTAATTATATAAAATAACATATTTCATATAGATTTATTTTCTCTCTAAACATTGTTGTTGATATAGATAATTTTTATATTTTAACTCGTACATTAAGATGTATTACCAATTTATTTTCAACAATTTTCAAAACATGATCTTTTTGTTGAATCCTCTTCATTGAGATATCCAGTAACATGCAATCAAATCAACAATCCTAATATTGAAAATCAAAATTTTTGTAGAAAGATGCTTACTCTTGATGAAGTATTTCTAGTTAATTGTTGTGCATATTTTTCTTCCCAGGTTATAAGCGAAGTTCTACATCGTCTAGTTATATATGTCTAGAAGAACATGATTTAGAGGTTACTCACCGTGGTATGCATCGATTTATAACACGACATGAAGATGAGATGTTGGTAGAAATAGGTGATCCTATACATGTTATAACAGAATCAGATGACTTATGGTGTGAAGGTAGGGTCAGTTTGAATAGTATTTCTTATGTGTCTTGAACCTTATTATTTTTTCAGATCCCTGGCTAGTTTAAGGTGTTCTGGGGGGAGGGGCGGAAATTTGTCAAGGAGGGGCTCAACCATTTGACTCAACAGGACAATCAAGACAAACATCATCAAACTACCAACGGTGATCTGAGATATACAGAAATACTACAGACTAGAGGGCTGTCATCTCTACAATGATCAGAAAGCAGAGCGCAATTTAAATAATCCTACAGAGCAATGTAATCACCATTGACTTCATATCACATCACTGAAGAGTGGGGATTTTTTAGTTCCTCAAGATCAATCCTGAGAAGCATAGTGTTATGGGTTCATAAAAATGTTAACTCTTGTGTATGGTATACATATACTTACTTTTTTTTAACTTTTTTGTTTTTGCATTATGATAATTTGTATTATAAAATATTACAGGTATCAACCTGCGTACAGGTCAGAAGGGTATATTTCCTGCTATGTATGCTACTGATTTAACTTTCTTAGAAGAAGAAGAGGACGATTCTGAAGGTGAATTGTTTTTTCATGTGACATTGACCCCTAACCTGGTGTTCAGAACATATATTTTTTTAGGTTCTTTTTGGATTTATACTATTGGCAACAAATCACGATTTATGTTTCTGGATTAGAAAATCTAATGAAACTTGTCTTCATCCCTTTAGGTGAGTTCTCTTATAATGTTATTTCGTAATTTCTACCATAATAACAAAATTAATATCTATTAAAGGTGAATATAGAAAATATAACCTACAGTTTCTGGGTTCTGTAGAGGTACAATGTCAGAAAGGCGATGAAGTTCTCTGTCAAGCTGTCAATAAGGTAAGTTATTCCTGATCAAAGACTGATTAATAGTTAGGAATTTTCATCATTTGTCTTATTATTCCTTCATTTTGTTGTCAATACAGATACTATTGGGCAGTCATAATAAGAATTATAATTAGCCAGTAGCGTGTATTTAAGCTACACACAATAAACCTCCAATAATATATGCAAAGTACGACATAAACTCTAATTAATTTCCCTTCATTTACTGAAAAAATCAATTTTACAATAGCCAAGAAAGGAAGGTAAGATCTTGTAACAAGAAATATAGATTGAATATTGATCAGTGTATATAAAATGGTATATGTATTATAAATATTAATATTCTAATTATGATATATGTTTAGGTTGCGTTAGCTAGAAGATGTAACCTGGCCATCAACCCACCACCTGTTTGTACTCTAGAAATCAGTCAGTATGGTATTAGAATGATAGATAAGAGTAAAGAGGGGGTAGGAATATATATTTCTTTCATATGTTGTTGAAATTGAAATAGAACCTATAGAATATAAATAATATAATATGATATTTCTATTTTTCTGTGCAATAAATAGAATTAAGCTCTATTTTAAAGTCAAAATATTTCTTGTTAATAATATTGTGTTTTATAAATTAAGTTCTTTAAAATTGATCTTAACCGTTTGAACCCTGAGTGTAAATAAAATATAATGTCATATACCCTGAACTACAAGTAATAAAAGTAAAAGCGTATGACGTTGATGTTGTATGACGTTACTTAGCAATGGCCGGTATACCGGACGCTTGGGTATATATTGCATTAGTGTTTGGCTGGTAAACGGGCCGCTAGGGTTAAACATGTCAATGTCATGAAAACTTCAATTTATCAACACATGCTAATAGTTAGCAGTGGCTATTAAATTCATAGTGAGCAATCTACAAACTCAGCAAGCCTCATCTATTTATGAAATCTCTTTACTGTCTGTGAGTTGGTTGGTATATGACAATTTAGCATACTGCATACTGCTAGGTTTGGAAAAGGAGATTTTAAAGCAGTTATCTGCAAGGTGGCACATTGATTTGAAAATCATACAGAGAAACCTAAATATTTACCATTATATTTTGATAACTTTTATGTATATATTTTTTTCAGCATGAAAGTGACAGTTTTTCCCATTTCTTTGCTTTGAAAAATATATCTTTCTGTGGAACTCATCCTAGAAATGATAGGTAAGTTTATTCACCTTTTTACACTATTTATCTATTTGACCACCATAATTATATAAATATCTACAAAAGCAGTAAATAATAACCACACCAGCCTTCCAAGACCTAGGGTACAAATAGCTTACCAACCTCCAGGCAACAGCCTCTCGAGACTGTGGGTACAATTAAGCGGCATCCTGACACATATTTTGGGGCATAAAGGTAAAAAAATTATATTTTAAATATGTTAAAAATAAAGTGCGAGTACAATTGGGGGATGGGAACCATTTTATGAGGCGGTTGCCCCCCTTTAGCCCCAGTGGCAAAGTCACTGATAGTAATAATACTTTATGAGGGAAAGAAATTGAACTTATTTCAAATCAGTTGATATTGATTATATTGATTTATCTTTTCAGGTATTTTGCTTTTATCACCAAACATCCAGTAGATATGAAGTTTGCTTGCCATGTGTTTCTCGGTGATAGATCAACTCACAAAGTTACTGATGCTTTAGGGTAAGTATCTATATATACAGTTTAATTTGTTTTCTAAGTCTTATTCCGTTGCTGTAAACTTTATTTTTTACATTGTGAGTAAATGATATATTTCTAGGTGATTTCAAGGGAAAACAGATTAGGTCAAGTTAATGCATGGATATTTTCATGTTCTCATTTTCTGATACAGTTTCAGCAATAGGTTATCATATTTTCTATTTCAGATTTGCCTTTAAAAGATTTTACCAAGAATATATGGCATTTACCCACCCTACAGAAGATATTTATTTAGATTAATGTGGGAGACTTCATAATATTACATAACAGTATTCTTAAAACAACCATAACAATAACAGTAGATGGACAAAACTGTATATTACTGTATATAAGGCAGTAGAGGGACAAACATTCTCTGCCATTATTACTAGACCAAGTGCAAGAACTGTTCCAGGATTCATAAAAATCAAAATCAAATGGTGACAGAAACTTTTGGCATTATATGCAGAAATGATTTCTCTATGAGATACGATGCAAACAGTGTTATCAATTTAACCCAATAAGAACAGCCAAACAGACTGTATATGAGATCTATATTTAAACCATTATTAAACAAGTGTAATGTAGTGCTCCAAAATGAACCAAGTTGTTATTCCAACTGTATATACTGTATATAGACAGTAAAAACACAAAGCATCTGGTGTATTGTGGTGTTGTTGCTAGGTGAACACTCAGGAGTACTGGAACCACAGGACAGGGGACATAACTTTCAATATAAAATGTCCTTCCATTTCAAAGATTCAAAAATTAGATAACAATCTTGTACAGGGCTGGTACCTATATGTATCTTGAGATAATTTGTTATCAAATTGTACAGAAACATGGTAACTGTCTGTGGTTAGCTGAAAAAAACAAAGGACATATTGGTGCAAATCTTGTTGGAAATCAAATCTTTATAACTAGGCTACTATTAATGTAGGAATGATTAGCGACTGATTGTCAACTGAAATGACAAGATGTAATGAATGTGACTCCTACTAAGATGAACTTCAATCAAGACCAGTGAGATTGGACAATCTGACATATGAAAGAAATCAACATGGGTTTGTATTCAAGTCAGCATGATGCAGTATATTGAACAAAACAACAAATGAGATGAAATCAAAATAAAGCTGGTGGTTGATCAAATGTTATTATCTGGTTTACAAGATTTTTCCCAAAGAGGGAATTTTTGTTTTTTTTTTGCAAACAACAATGGGTTGAAAAAATCTGAACACAAATCCAATGGATTTAAATCATATATAATTTTTTCGTTTTGTTAAAAAAAAATGTCTGGCCTTACAGTCTCACTATTGAATTATTTATTGACTATATTTATAATATATGAAAATATTTCTAATATTCAGAACTAAAGTCCTACGTGACTGGCAATTACAATTATATTAACATCCCTGATAATATGTGTATAGAAATGTGTATAAAATCATTGACACTGCCCCACTCAATGCATCTACCATTGTGATGTCATAATTTTCTGAAATTACAGGAATCACAAAAGATGGATTGGAAATCACCATGGTCACAATAAATGAATGACCAGAATCAATGTACGTGTCTTGGTACACATGTGAAGGCTACAAAACCTCAATCCTGTAAACTAATTATTTCTGGAATCATACAGACCTTGGTCAGACTCTAGTCTTCTGCACGATCACCAATACTCATTCAGATTTAAAGTCAAGTTTTAAGTATCTGAGCATTAAGTGGGGCAATGTCCAGTAGTGTATATACTATAGTATAAACTTAGCAAAAATGACAAAAAGTATATAGATGTATGTAATTGTATATAGGTGTATAAATAATATGTACTAAAATGATGTTACCGGTCTACTAACTTTCTTCCTTGTCTAGCTTAAACACGGATATCTTTCCTTTTATAATTAACTACTTAAAGGAAAGATAATCCTAGGGTCTGTTGTGTGAAAGATCCTAACTTAAGTGATACCACATCTTTGAATGAACATAAAATTTAAGTTCTCAAGAGTGGTCAATATGAGTATATATTCATCAGTGAACTTACCTGGTGTCATAAAGTTACAACAGAATCTCTGTAAAATTCTAAAGATTCATTAAAACTAAGTATTGAAATAATATTAAGTGATTAACAATAGTTAATTGCATATTTATGGATAATTACTAAGTTTTTTGGATTTTTCTGATTATATAAGGATCCTGTTATGTTATTTATGACACCAGGTATATCTACTGATGAATATATGCTATTTTTGGTCAAGTTTAAAAGTGTTCCTTTAAGGGATATACATGTAAATGTAAAATTATTAGGATCTAAACAATTTTAAACAGTTAGACTCATTTTGCAACTTCTTAAAAAATCTAATGATAATTTTTTGCTGTATGTGTGGTATCTCTCAATGTTATATTTCATACTTATGACAAATTCTTATCACAAGATTTTTTGAGAAATGGTTCCTGTTGTTTTATTCTCTAAACTTGGTTTTAGTTTTAGATAAGATCCAGATTTAAAGAAATACAGTCATTTTGAAATCGATTTTGAACGCTAAAATCATGTAAAGTTAAGTTTAGGAGACTCAGACCTCTGCTGGTCTAATTTAGTGAGATTAACCAATCAGAGATCCTGATTGTATGGTCATGTACTATTATTTAAAAGTTATGATGTCTCTAATCCCTGATTAATAAGTTACCTTCATCCTCAAGTCTCTCCTTCTTACAAACAGAATTTTTACACATTTCACTCATATGCTTGGTCACACCTAATCATTTGAATTCTCTTTCAATTTATATCCATAAAATAATGAAATTTTTAAGAATGGTTATATCATGTCTATATAGAAAAAATCAAAATTTAGTAATGCTGGAACATCATCTTCAAAGTATCAAGCTATTAAAAAGTGTGTCTTATACCTTGACTGCAATAGCCACCAGTCTTGTATTACAGTTTGATTGGATTGTATGCTAGCTAATAAAGCCAATCAGAGCCCTTAACAGAAACTTTATAAACCATAAGCCATAATGTTTTCTTTATGTTGTCTTTATGTTATTGGCTCTGATTGGCTGTATTTTTCGCTAGTATACCATCTAATCACATCACTCTGTGCTACAAAAATGATGGCTATTGTAGTCAAGGTATTCGAAAATATGAAATAAATCTTCTAAACTTATTAACATCATATATAGTAATTTTAACTATGAATTTTTGAAAAAGCATTAACAATTAAATAATCCATAAATACAATCATATATATATATAAATTGTCAATGTTGCATGCTATTGTTAATCCCTATATCTCTATATAATCTTTTTATTGATGCAATTATTGTTAAGTTGTTATATTTATCCTCAATATCAATATGGCCCAGATAAAATTGGACCAAATGATGGAGATTTTTGTGATTATTTTATGTGATATTATAATTATTAATGTTATAGCCTACTTGATTCCAGGCTTATATTCTATTCATAGGCTTTAAGGCCAGGAAATATTCAGGGGTGTTGAAAATAATTCCTTTATATTTTCAAGCTGCACCCAGCACCCTCGACACTCATGCCCCTGTTTATTTTGTCAGTCAACAGAGTTATGGTTCCTGATACATCCATAGACTGGGAATTTAGTCACATGAAAATATCAAAGAAAATCCAAATTCAAATTTGAAAATTAAAGACTGAAATCAGTTTTGACAACTTACTGTCTTGTACCTGTTGACATTTTTGGGAAAAAAATGAAATAACACAAGTTATGGCAGCAGGACCAAAACAATCCTTACTACCTACTAGACCAAATTCATATAAAACTCATGGTATATGATACCAAGTTTTAGAATATTTTAATATTTTAGAATATTTGATTATGATTCTATTAAAACTATAATAAAAGTTCTGTTAAAATTGCTGTACAGATCTACTTATTCCGTGGTATTTACCATAATCTCTATAATAATCAATAATTCTTTCACATGTTAAAAGACTACAGAAAGTCAACCTCTCCATTTCACTATCTATTCAGCAGATAACTGTTTCTAGACATCATGCTATCTATGTAATTATTTCTCACCGCTTGAAACTTTGCTTGAATCGAAATTATGCACTATCTACTATAGACCATCAAAGAATTTATTAAGCATGTACTCAGGAACACTAACAAGGACAGTAAACTTGAAAAGTATTTGCAAATGCATAATTCTAACCAATATAAAGGTTAAAGGTCACAAATGTGCATTGGCCTACTAAGGAATACAATTACTAATTTTATAACAGTTTCACCTAGGTTTCTCTAGTATTCATCAGTTGAAACTATGACTGTAGTAAAACTAGTAACATATCAATTGCTATAATGGTGAATGCCATTTAAAAAATATGATTAAATATAAAGCTTCTATAAATATCTACCATGTTAAAAAGTCACTGTATATTCAAGTAAATGAGTCTAAGGTTGTGATTCATTTTATCATGGTACAAATTGATAGCAGCATTTACTGGTATATTAACATTTAATCAAAATATTTAGTCTTCAGAATCTGGACTGCTATAATGTTTTTTTTTGCCAGTTATGTCTCATTGGAGCTCCCATTGGCTTTAGATATTTTGGAATAAATGTAAGAGAATTGGATAAATTAACTTACAATTCTGTTCTTTCGGTTTTTAATTCAACATAAAGTAAATCAATCAATGTGCATGTCTTAGATACTGCAATGAAAAATGGGAGCACCTGTAAAGACTGGCAAATAACTCTGCTTAAGCTACCATATTACTCTAAGCTTTAAAAACTGCTCAAACTAACTGTACCTTGTGGCCTGTTTTTAATAGACTTAACTACTGTCAGGAATTTCTGAAATAAAGATTTTCTTTTTTTGGATGTTGAGTTATTTACTTTGTAATGGAACTGTCCTGTGGGAATCATTAATCCTTTCCTTGGAGTGTGCAAGGAGAGAAAGTCAACAGAATCAACAGCACTTTTATTTCCAACAGTTGGTTGAGATGTAACAGGACTTGGTTTTTAATATGGTCATATCTCTATATATTATCAACAATGATGTCCCTTGATCCTAGAAAACACTTTAGTCTAAAATAAAAAATTGCTACAGCTCCTTAAGTTTTCAAAATAGACCACACCACTAATTCCTGTGCCTTCGTAACTTTTTCATTAGTATAAACTTTACTCCCCAACCCAACAACTGGATACTTTGCACAGTCAGCATGACAAGCAGAAAAAAAGAAATAAAAATGCTAAAGTTTGGAATGTTATTTTATGAAATAAATATAACGTATGATACAATATTATAAAACCAATTCATACACACCCTCTAACATACATCTAACATTATCAGTATGGTTAAAATTAAATTACACATATAACCCCATATATACATACTATATACAACATAATAATCTCTTTCTAATTCTAACAGGTTTGTTTTCATAAATACACGGCTAATTTATTGTTTCAGTATACAATGGAACTAAGTTAATAAGAAGCTTTAATATCCTTATGCTTGTTACTGGGTAGGGAATATGAATATGATACATACTGTATATAGTGTCTGAATATCTTATATCATATAACAATAAACTGAGTAACAACTACACATATTTCACATTTCAAACACATTTCAATATAGTGCTGTTCTAACAGCATTTAGAATTATTATTATGTCAGAAACTCTTTGAATTATTTTGATAAAATTGTTTAATTTTCTACTTTTTTTGATTATCATAATAAAATTATCATTAAATATTATAAAATAACAAATGGATTATGCCTAATTCAACATAGCATGTCTATCATAGATATTTCTTCTTTGTTCTTGTACTGTTCCTTTCCATTTTTTCTGTTCATTCGTGACTCTGTTAATGATAGATCTATCTCCCTGCATCGGACGATTCACTGAGGTTAGATAAGAAGATTGGGGATCATCCTGTAAAATATATTGATATACAATTATAACTAACAAATATAAACCAAATATAGGCATGTTTAATTGAATGAAACCATTATTGAAAGGGATAAGATGACTACTGAACACTGACCACAAAATACATTAATATCTTAATAAAATATTAATGATAAGAAAATTAACCAAATGAAGGAATTATTTGCACAATACTATAAAAGATGTGGCTATGATGAAAGCACAACTTCAATGTGACTTCCGAAGTTAGTTGCCGAAGGATATCATAATTCAAGATCCCTTAAAATGTATGAATTTAGAAAACATATAAGGCCCAAGCTTTCACTACTATGCACCACTATCACCTGTACCACCAAATCACGAAAGCACCTAGCCTACTCTCCTTCCCAGCATGCTATTCTACTGTTATTATTCATACATTGCAATTTTCGACTCAAGCAATGCAACAATATACATGTATATATAGTTTGAACATCGGGTTTTTGTGTATATTATACGAAAAATCCAGATATCAATAGTATAAATGGAATGAATAGATATGATTAATAATGATAACATATACTAAGAATATATAAACATAACAATAAATTATGGAATGAATAGACAGTTACTATTAAATGAATAACATAATATTCATTATGAGAACTTTAAAGGTAGTCAACTTATTATAGTTATCTACATGTAACCAAATCTTGCACTTCATTTTGATAGAATACATGTATTAAAACCTTGACACAAGTATATTAGTTTTCGGGAATGGTCCCAGAATTCCTATCTACAGTATGCGAAGACAACGCTATTATCAGCAGACTACTACCGCTGGTACACTAGAGCCACCTTGTGCCCAAGGAAAGATAAGCGACCTGAACTATCCCCATTCAGTACAAATAAACAGAATTATTCTTATAATTAACTAAACATTTCTAAGCTAACCAGCACTTTGAAATGAATAGTCGTTTGTTAGGACCTTGACTAATACCTACAATGAGTAAAATTTTCATTTTACCTTAACACTTGGACCATGCTTTCTATGAGTTTAATTCTTATTTAACCTTAACACTAGGAATTGTCTAAGAGCTAGAAAGTAACCTTACTTCAAACCCAGATTATATAATAGAGTGATAGATATAATTTTTTTGAAAAAGATCATACTACTAAATAAACTAGTTAGAAACTATGAGCTTGACCTAGTTGACAGAATCAGATCATGAACAAAGTGACTTCCATGTAAAAGGTGTGATTTCAACCAATCTACTGTTCTAAACTGGAAACATTCAGACGTAATCAAAATATATATTAAAGAAATATTTTCTAAATGCTTAGTAGAAATATTTCTGATCTTTCAAAGTTTGGTCTGGTGTAGTTAATTTTGTTATTTCTACATAAGAATTACACAAGAAAGATGAAATTTGATTTGAAAAGTCAGAAAAGAATAATGATATAGAAAATGAATATGTTAGTAAAAGCCATGTTCCACAGGCAAGAATTACCAAGTTCACCTCTTCATCAGCATGTTGTACATAACGCGTTGGTCTGTGAGTAATCAATGGATCCAAACATAACAGGAATAACATGTACACAAATAATAATGAAACCACACAGATAATAAATATCACTACCACCTGCAAATAAACATTTAAAATAAAAATTTATTTTATCTACTAATCAAACAAGTAGTTACTATAAACAAAATAGTCCCAAATATCCAAATGAGGTAATATACAACCATTTTTATTATATATATATCACTTCCAAGATTGAATATAATTGACAGACAAGAAAAAAAAGTACTGTACTAATGAGCTCTTCCAATTAAACAGGTTATGCAGTTTCATATTGATCTACAATTTTTTATATTCTCAGTTGTAACGGGATCTTTAACATGCACAGCCTTTTGCATACAGGGACTCAGTTTATTGGCCCATTCATACCACTAAAAACCTTTTCCCATGTAAGTCACTCCAACAATCATCACTAACAGGGAGAAACAGTTGGGAAATACCCTACCTTCCATTATCCCACAATTGTTATTTTCAATATTCTTACCTTAATAGTTGTAGTATTTCTACTTTCATATTTACATTCACATCTAGCACAGGAGACTTGAGGGTTCTGGGGAGACACAACATAATCACAAGAACTGAAAACAAAATCAGATATTCAGTTAATATTTTATTTGTACCATGATTTTAAAAATTGTATAAGCTTATTATGATAGTTGATACCCCCTCATTCTACTTTTGAACTTCTCACCTAATTTTTTTTTCAATCAATATGGTTTTTCAAGAGTAATTATTGTTTTGAGCATTGTGGGGGAACATAATATTCAATTCAAGCCTTAGTTGCTTAAAATATCACAAGTATTTTTCAAATGAAATAAGTAAAACTGACATATTGTGCTACAACAATGAGAGACCACCAACTTGAGAAATATGTTTTATAAAGAAATACAAAAATATGTTAAATTTGATCAAAACCCTCCAATAATTTGTAAAACAAGCTTACAGATTAATTACAAAAAAATCTGAACCTACCACAGATTGGGATCAAAATTATCACTGATATAAACTGCTTGTGTTGTAACAGAACTGTTGGATGCAGACGTTCGAGGACAAACACACTTACATCTCATATCTTCAAAACTTGCCTACAATTAATATATACCAAGTCATAAATTAAATTTACAAGGATTGTAAAGAGTTTTTCTTGCCTTTTAATGTGTATAGGTTCAGTGATTTTACATTCCATTCCAGAAATTCATTGAAAATGACCTACTTTTAGGACTGAAAATTCACCTGTAACTTTAAAATCATATTTACAAATAAAAACTTTTCCAGTGCCATGGTTAACATTTTCATCACCCCCAAGCCCCAATCTAAGACTATCAGTAGTATTTTGTAGTTGATATTTCAATTCATAAGGAAATGATTGCCAAAATTCAATTCAGGACATATTGTACTTCAGTACTCTCCGACTGCATTGAGCTTTGAATTAAATTTTTTGTCTATTTTATAAATATTCAAAATAAAATTTTCAATTGTATGCCTTAGAATGTCTTCAGGTCCATAGAAATATAAGGTTCAGTGATTTTACATTTTAAATAGATACACTTCCCTCAATTCAGATGAAAATGAACCACTTTTCAGAATGAAAATTTCCCTCATCAACCCAAAGACAATGTAAGACTCTCAGTAGTATTTTGTAGTTGATACTTCAATTCGAAAATGATTGACAAAATTAGTCAGAGTGTAGGCATAATATCTCCCATCTCATGGATTTGCCCCACCCCCACCATTTTATAATTTTACAAGATAACATGTTTTAACTTACCCATGCTGTTGGCACTATAACAAACAAAAATGTGACAATGAAATACACACATCTTAACCCATTCGTCGACATGATACAGATTTACTAGATCACATTTAAAATCAATGAGTGACGGAATTTATTATTTATTCAGAATTATTTTTAGATTAAGACGCCATATTATCGTAGCCTGTTCGCTTTTTGTAACATTGCTACATAACATAATATTTCGTCCATAAATTTCGAACATTTCACATTTCAAACATGAAATCTTAATGATCTTAATCTGTCACTTAGAACATAGAACTGTCATTCAGTTCTATGCTTAGAAGAAAGAAATGCTGAAAAAAAAAAGAAATTAAGATCCTACAAACTGGAATCTATTACACTTCATGAACCGAATGCTTCATCATTTCCCAATTTTGCACTTCCGGTTTTCGGCCACAGCAAGGTCGTCCAAAATGATGTCTTTGGTAGCAACAAAAAGTGGTTAGTATCTGTATAAAATGCTTTTGATCAATGTTTCCTTTCACATTATTTGTTAGACTAACACTTAGCCTAATTAATCCTTCCTATTTTGGTGCAGCCGATGTATAATATGTGACTTCAAATGACAGACTTGTTAGCTGAAGTTAATCCGAATACCTCTGATTTTCAATATCATAGTAGTAAAGTAGTTCTAGCCCACTTCATTGGCACTTAGCTCCAATTCTTGCATATAGTCTACAGAAATAAGGGTGCATGTGCCTGGAAACTGGCAGTATCTACTATCATTTATCAGTAGGCTATTTATGATCTATCATTAATCTCTACAACAAGGTATTATGTAGCCTACCCTTTTGAGTTCTGACTTCTGTCACTTCAACCAATCAGTATCTTTTATGTAATACAGTTAAGTAACCTAATTTCGTGCTAACCTACTTTTCGTGCATCTCCGGAAATTATCAATAATTTACATGTGCGACCTCGCGTGACCTCTGCATTTGCTTGTTTTGATAAACATGGGTTGTCTGCACACTATCAGCTAGCAGAATGAATCCAGTAGTTTCAAGCAAGGTAAAATGTATTAATGTATACTTTGACATATACAAAATTGCGGATTTCAGTTATTATCAAATATCACAATTTTTTATTGGCCATAAGATCCCAAGCTGTAATCGGAGTTCCAAGTGTCATCTGTGTCAGCAGAAAAATTCCATGAAACACAATCTGGGCCATATCCTTATTTTTTTTAAAGACTTTTAGAAATAAATCATCACTCTTACGTTTTACTTACCTAGTTTTGTCAGTCAAATTTTTTTTCCTTAAATCATTTATCTTTGAAGGAATTGTCATTAGTTATAATGAAATACTATTAAAGATAAATACTAAGAAAAGTTAATTATACCACTGGGTATCAATACAACAGGTTTTTCTCGACTCATTTATGGATCAAAATAGGTGACGCCTTTGTTGAGTTGGTTACTCATGAGATATGGGCCAAAGTGGGGGATCCATAAAGAAAAACGAAACAAACCAATTTTAATTATTTTATAGAATATCTGAGGAAACTTCTGAGACATAAAAAAAAAAAATTCCTTTTAAATCTGACGTAATTCGGTGTTGAATCCTTATATGCACGAAAAAAAGCTACACCACTGTACTAGTAAAAATAGAGTTTAAAATTCATTCTGTGAAGAAATTATGATATCTCAATATAAACTAGATAAAGTAGTTTAGTATAAATGAAGACAACAGTAGTGTTTTAGTCTATTAAAGATGAGAGAATAACTGCATTCCTTTTGAAAATCCATTTTTCTGAACATTTCAGGTGTAATACCAAAATCACTTCTGAAGGCACTGACTCCAAGGTAGGCTATGAGGTCATCTTACGAACTACTAATTTTAACCAATTAACTAATTTTTAAATCAAGTGGCCTAGGGAAAATGGGAGAAGAAGAAAGTTTATCAAATTTAAATAATTAGGAACATAAGGAAATCAGTTTGGTTTGTGTAGCTCTGAAGTTTGAACACATTAAACAGCATGAATTAGATTAAAATGCTTAAAACAGCTATTAAATGATAAAGATGCAATCAGATTAATGTGGTTTTTGCAGAGGTGATGTAAAATGCTGGCAAATTTAAAAAACAAAGTCACTTGATATAAGTCTACGAACAGCTGATTTGGGAATTCAATATTTAAACTTGAGCAAGGAACAATAAAATTCTACTAGTATCAAGTTTCAAATAAGTAATAAATTTTGTATCATGTTGAACATTGTTTTTTAGATTACTATGTGCATCTCAAGTCCAAGTGTCCCAGGTTCAAGTTGCTCACAAGTCTGATTTTGTGGAGATGGTTGACAACTGGAAAAAGGCCAGAGATCTCTTCTATGGTCCTGAAAGAGACATGAAAAACTTCCCCACAATAAAACAACAAGCAGACTCTCCGAAACTTCGACATGATTTTCTACCTGATGCTTGGTTTCAATATCTGTATCCTAAAACAGGAGCCTCCGGTACTAAAACCAATTTTATTAGCTACTATATTTAAATTTGTTAAAATCAAAAAATGTAAATTTATGTTCAAATAGCACAAATTTGATCTAGTCACATATATTCCTACTGAAAGAATGAATCATCACTTTTGGCAAGAAATTTTAAAGCCATTTTCTGTTGAGATACGGTAAATAGCGCAAATTATAGTGAATTATAACTTTTAAATTTCAGGTCCTTATTTTTTGATTACTGGGTTTTTGGGTTTCATGTGCTCAAAAGAATATTTTGTTTATGATGAAGCTTTTCAAGGAGCCCTTGTCAGTCTTGCACTATATGTCATATTTAAATCAAAATATGAAAAAAAAGTGGTGGAAAGATATAACGAATATACCAAGGTAGAGTTATTTTTTTGCAAGATAAATTATGTGCCACTTAAAGAGACGGACTCACAATTTTTTTGAACAATAGTAACTAAGCCTTAAAAGCTAGAATTTTTTTAGTTAAGCTAAATGTAATAGATCAAAATTTGAACATTCAAATCCATGTATGTCCAGAATTATCTGAGTTTGAAGGTTGAAATGACAAATCATCCTTTCTTGATACCATATATAGAAAAGACTTATATAGAAATAAAAAGTGAAATACCTATTTTGAGGTAATTTTGAAGGAAATGTGCCATTTTTGTACATTTCTGGTACTTCTGCAAACTACACAAATATTCACTACCCAAATCAACCCATTGGAAATGGTGATTCTGTCCCTTTAAATGAAACTTTGATTTCAATGATGAAACACAATCTTATGGTTTTCTACTCATGAATTTTATTGTACACGTTATAACAATTTGATAACTGTCATCGTTTTCTTATATTGAATAACTAATGAAATGGTCTTCCATTGTTTTGTGATTTTAGTTTAGGTGCTTCAATACAGGGTTTTAATCTTTGTTTTTATAAATTTTCTAATGACAGATTGCTTTTGAAATTTTTCCTTTGTAAGCTTTATGTTCAACTCTTATTAGGACCAGAAAAAATATTTCGAAATTGGCTGATATTATTTGTTGAAATAGTGACTAATGAAAGCAATCTATATTTTTAACATGTTACATGATGTTGGCATTCAGACATTTTTGTGTTGTTTTTTTTCTATTAGGGATTAAATGAAGCCAGATTCATTACTCCTCTACAAGAATTAAAGGACCATTGTAATCAAGACATGAAGAATGCACAGAAAGAGTCCTGGCATGCTGAGGGCGAGACTTATATGTTCGAAGCTAAAAAGGTAACTTGTTAGACTTTGCTTCTTTCCGTTGTTAATAAATAGCTAAATATATCATACTATATAGTGATGTTCTGTTTTTCACTGAAAATCAAAACAATGCTAATAATTGATTCCCAATCTTGAATGATTTAATACAACAATCATATTGTTTTTTGTTTGTTTTGTGTTGGTTAAAAAAATATAAATTTCATTTTGTGACAAGGGGATTGTAAAGAGGGTTTCTAGCCTTTTATGTGTATCAGGGACCATTTGACATTAGGACATTCAAATCCTTGTCCGATGCCTGTAACTCCTGCAATTCCAGAAAAAGTTAACCAGAATTGAGAATGCAAGAGAATTCGTTACCAACCTAACATCAGACCACAATAACATAATAATATATGTTATCTCCCCTTACAAAATGGCTGCATATCTAACCAAAAATTGAAGACAAAAAACAACTGAGAAATGAACTTGTAAATCCTTTAATCGTGTACATTTTACATTTTAATAGATCTACTTATTTAGTAAATTCCTGTATTTTGTGTTTATTTAGGAAAATGTTGGTTTACAGTTAGAGGCTGAATACCGACAAAGACTTCAAAACATACATCAAGCTGTTAAAAATCGACTGGTATGATAATTATATCTTAAATATTCATGATATAATACCCTATATGGACTATTCTGGCATGTACATTACATTACCTATGGCCATTACTTGGAATTTCCCTCTTACATTCTGGCATATGTATTATGTGCATTCAGGTTTAAACAATTTCTCAAAACCTGACTGATTAAATTATCATCACTGGTGAAATGGAAACCTTGGCCTCTGTTTTCAAACTCTAGTAATACATGTCAGGTAAATACAGTGGAAATAATAGGTTGATTAAATACTGCACCAGGGGAGTATGAGTAATTCCTATTCTTTTTTTGTTAATTGAAAGCTGCAGTGGCTCATAGATTTGAGCAAAGTCATGAGTGCTACAGGCAGTGCATTTAGGAAGAGCTTGGTTGAGTCTTAAAGATAATATTGCCTAGTTGCTCTTTTGCAACTTTTTGCTACTTTTTGCATATTGAACACTGCATGGATTCGTTTGTCTTCATTACCTCAATACTTTGCTGAAGTAGTTAGAGATTTCATATTATGATCACTAACGGTCGTTTTTCACTGATAATAAATTCTGTCTTTCTAGGACTATCAAGTAGATGTTGTAAATACCAGGAAACATTTTGAACAAGAACATATGGTGAGATGGATATTGGATGGTGTATTAAAGGGAATTACGCCCCAGCAGGTAAAAGTTGTATTCAAGTTATATTTGGTTTTCTATTGCAGGGGTAATTCGTGTAAAATTTGTGAATGTCTTTTAGTACCAGACTGGTACAGGGTTCAATTTAGATTATAAAATTTGATGAACTATTTGTTATAAGCTTACATATGTATTTTTGGCTTCGTCAATTAAAATTTTGGTTCACATTTCAGAAAAATTTGTTAGCAAATGAAATCACATGTGAAGGTCCAAAGTCGATGTAAATACGACAATTTTATGGATAGATCACCTACAATATGTATTAATGAACATATAATTATTGTCTATTGCAGGAGAAAGAGAGTATAAATGCCTGTTTACAGACCTTGAAAGGACTAGCTGCTACTGCTAAATAGATTATACCTGATTTAAACATCATATTTCTGGATTTGTTATTTATGTAAACATGGAAAATTGTAGATTAAAAAATTATTCCATCTATGTTTTGTATTTGAGAATCCAATATGTGCTGATATAGATTGTGGTACTTTTAGTGTAGTTTGCAAAGAGAATTCGCATGTTCAATAATATATATTCTGAAACTTGGTTAAAATGAGTCTCTGTTCATCAGCAGACTTACCTGGTGTCATAACTATACAACAATATAATCCAATAAATCCATAAAACTAAGTAATAATTCATTAAACTAGGTAATTTTGAAACATGCTCAGAAATGTTTTTCAATAATAATTTAGTTTAATGGATATATCAGCTTATAATAGAGATTCTTTTCTTTAGTCATGACACCTGGTAAGTCCAACTGATGAATATATACACTTGTTGATCAATTTGAAGACCTTAAATTTAATGTTCATTTAACAGTCTTCCATTCTGCAACACGTTTATAATTTAAAATCCTCTGTATTGGTGTCAATAATTTTACATGTAAAATATCTCTCAATCTCAAGACTGTAGGACATTGCAAATGTTATAGTTTTTTTTGACAGTTTTCTTCAATGGCTCACATTGCCATAAAGTCTGTAGTGTTGGTCAAAGATGTGGCTTTGGTATCACAGTGTACATCAGGGTTTCAGAAGTCAGCATGTAAAAATTAAGTTAAAAACGGTTTTATTAATGCCCCTCGTTCATTCTTTATTACAAGATATCATCACTTTAACCCCTGCACCAGATTTGGCTGTTTCAAAAGCTTGTAATGTTTCCTCCAGTTTAAATCTGTGTGATATCATTGGTTTAATATTGATCTTGCCTGACGATATCATGGCTATAGCTGTCGGCCATCTGAATTAGACAAAAATAGCTCAAATAGATGTACTAGTGGAAGGATATGCGGCCATTTGTGTGATCCTTATCCTCAATATCTATGGATTCCATCAATCACAATCTTACAATTAATGCAAAGAGAAATTCTATATTCATTGCTATCTTTTTAAAAACAAAATTGAAAAATGTTAGGCCGACTAATTCTTCTACAGAACTCACTGGAATGAGGCTTACCAAAGTCTACTGTGAACATATAGGGCGTTTCTCATTTATCAACAGGACATGATAATACAGCCTTTACTATCAGATATTACTGATTTCTAGCATACTCACGTGTTCATGTATCTGAAAGAACCTCTTATTTCAATTTCTCTAGCGATAGCAGCTGTTATTGGTATAGCAACTGGGTCTGGACCATGTCCTACCACCGCGAAAGCACCACCTGGTTTGGTTGCCTGGAATTATATCGACGGACATGTACTTATCAACTTAAGTTTGACAAACATGTAGGCCTATCATCACATGAATAAAATATGTCTTCTTAACTTCACCAGAAGCATATATCATAAAGCACGACATTCCAGTCTTTAACTTCGTACAGAAATTGCAAACAACACTAGATTAAGCCTACCTGAATACCAAGATTAACTGAAAATTCAGCACCACTACATTCTACAGATTGGTCAGGCATACCACCAAGCGCTGCTTTAACCTTGCCAACGACTTCCAGAACGTCTTTAGATTCGATTTTAACTGTCACGTCGGCTCCCATTTCTTTGGCGAACTCCAGTCTCTTTTCATCTATATCTGATATAAGTAATATTCAAAATATAGCATAGACATAAATGTTCTGTGGCCATGGTTATGTCCTGTTAAATTTAAGATTCCAGCGGTGGCGTTTCTATGGAGAGGCAAGCTGAGGGTGCATGGCCCTCAGAGCGATGAGGCTGGTCATCCCACTTTCAGAAGGTATCTAGGTAATTATTGTTGCGTGTAATTAGAATAGAAATTTCAACCGACCTGTCAAACAAACTACAGCTGCGCCCATGGCTTTAGCAGATAACATGGTTGACAATCCAATAGGACCTGAAATTACAGATTACCGTTATCTTGTTACCGGTAGAAATGGTTAACTTAATCCCTTACCTCAATTCATCCAGTTAGCTGTTTATAACGACCCAGAGCGCCTGTAAAATCCATTGCTAAAAACATGCCGTTAGATAAAATGTAATTCGTTAAAGAGATATGTACATATAGTAATATATCCGGAGGGCCAATGGTAAATGGTGTTTAATTGTAGTCATTGAATTGTTGTTGCCCCGTGGTAGCTACGGGGCCTCTTTTGTAGGTATGCATGTGCAACAGATGTTTATATTTTTTTCTGAAGACGTTTTTTTTTCTCAAAAAAGCCCAACATTTACCTGCTCCGCAAACCAAAACTTTACTTCCTAAGGAAACACCAGCACGTTGGCAGGCATGAAGACCAACTGACAGAGGTTCAACTAAAGCTCCTTCTTCAAAGCTTACATTGTCTGGTAATCTAGAATCGGAGAACAGAGAGAACAATTTTAGCCTTTTGGATTATATAACACTTTGTTACAAAAAATCTAAAAGCGCGATAGTCTTATGAGTATGAAAGACGCGATGTGCCAAAAACACATTCCAACATGTTATTTAACTGTATTGGTAACTTCTAAATGCTTTGTGGAACATAGTAACTTGTCTGCAAAGTTAAATTTACAGATGATTCCAAAAAGGATAATTGTCTCGAAATTCAAGATGTATCATGCACTCGCCATGCAATAAATTGTTTGGGGTCTGATGCTTGACTGCTATATAATACGACTGGGATCAATTGGTACCTACTTGAAACAGAAATCGGCAGCATGTACGTGATATCTAGCTAAAGCACCGCTATCAGGAGCCGTGGCCAGGAAGAATACATCAGGACAAATATTATAGCGACCACTTTTACACCATTCACATTTTCTACATGGTATACCTGGCTCTATTGCTACACGATCACCTATTGAAGGATTACAAGGAGATTGTGTCTTTTCATCAACAAAATATCTAGCGCTATTAACTTGACGCAATTATATGGATAACAATTACTTTAATAAATAACTTGCGACGTTTCGACGATGATGATTTTGTCTTTATCAAGCAATGACACCATGGCTTGATAAAGTCGAATCGTCGCAGGTTATTTATTAAAGTAATTGTTATCCATATAATTGCGTCCAGTTATTCATACTCCAGTTATTAAATGCCACTCAAGGAAGTTACATTGAGAAGATTTCAATAATATTCTGCACGTCATTAAGGCTAAATAAGCCTAGGGCCACTCTTCAACTTCTCTTTGAATGCATATTGCAACCCATTGCTATAGCCAACTATACGTAATACAGGAACGATTTCTGAAAAGCCCAAGGGTCTTTATGCGTTGACTTACCAACTTTCAAATTAGTCACCCCTTCACCAAGTTTACTGATAACACCAGAACATTCATGACCGAGCAACATGGGGCCAGTAACCACAAAATGACCTATAGCTCCCTTTTGCCAAAATTTGACATCGGAGCCGCATATTCCCATCTTCTGCATACATATTTGAACCTCTAAAAATATTTTGTGTATTAGTTTAAAAAGATGCGCCAAACTTTTAGCAGGAAGGTAGATCTACTCAAGGTGGAGAATAACTTAGGGGATTCGAAAGAGGTTTTCAATCCTTTGAGGCTGTATTACATTATCCATTTGCGCCATCTGATGTTCATGGTTCCTATTGCAGACGAACTTGACCAGATTTCAATTTCAATTAAAGGTCTTATCAAAACCTCAAATGTATGTGTAACCAATTTGTGGTCATCTTTACAGCAAGAAGTTTGTGGACATGGGTTGTCTTGCAGACAGAGATTCCTCAACTACATCCATTCGGAACACACTATGCCACTGGGGCTGTCTAATAGGTAAACAGTTCAGAATGTCACTCGGATAAAATAGTTGATGGAGGTTATTCAATAATTATTCATTACATACCCCCTTGGCCAGGTTCCGGTATTGGACGATCAACCTGTAAAATAAAAAATGTGCCGATGCAGTGATGTAACACAATGTATTATTAGGGTTGACTAGCAATGAGTGTCAGAACAGGTACGAATAGAATATTTTAAATAGTCAATTAACACCTCGGCTACTTGAAATTAAATATCTGTTGTCATTGCTAATGTAGCATCTACATCTAAGGTAGTATATTAGATAATACTACGTACGTTGCCTTTTAACAGCTTTAGTCCTTGACAATATTACCTCTTTGTTCTGAGTCTACCTAACTAATTAAGCTTATACTTATGAAGTATTATAAAAGATTATGCATTTTGTTCCTGTGTCAACAAATGTCAACATTCTCATGGTCAGTCCCTTGACCAATCAACGCCCTTCTTGCATTATGGACGCTTAGGTTTCAACCAATCAGAATATAGTTCATATCTCTGAGCCTGACAAAAAGGAATAGGACCTGATTCTAAAAAGAAGAGAGACCTAGGCGAGATCTAAATATAAATCTAGTTAAAGGGTCATGTAGTTTGTGAGTCCAGTTTCTTGCTCCAAGTGGGCCCCTGCCCTTTTGGTCTCGGGATGATAGATGTTCATGTATTTTACCCGTATTGATGTTCCTGTGTTTTACCTGTATTGATGTCCATGTGTTTTACCTGTATTGATGTTCCTCTGTTGTACCTGTATTGATGTTTATTGTTCCTGATGTTGTCCTTCCCGATTAAATGTTATTCAAACCTTCAAAGCCGTTACGTTATTATGTTTTGTAACAGTGAATACAAGGCAGAAAAGTTGATTTGAGTCTTGAATATTGCCTTCAGAAGTATTAGAGATGTACGAAACTCGCAAAATTCCTTCAAAATTTTTTATTTTTATTTCTAGAGATGTCTTTTCTATTCAGACAAGAAAAGGCGACTCGTCTTTTTAACTTCCAAACGCGGATAATTCTGAACACACATGAATTTGAAGGCTCAAATTTCGACGGTAGGCCTATGCTGCGAACACTGATTACTAATTGGCTTAGCTAAAAATAAATCCCGTTTCTGAGACTATGGTATATATGATGGTAAAAAAATGGCGCATCTGTCCCATTCAATTAACTTACTGATTTTGTGATAAGGAAGTCATCGCATCCTTGTTAATCGAATAGACGTGACCAATACTTAACAATACAATAGTCGTTAAGTGATGCCATGTAAGATTTGTAGATGAGTTGCAAATTAGAGCCAATGGAGAGGGTGAGGGTAGAATAGTTCTTAGTTTTATAGGCCTACTTACCAGTCTTAGATCTTGTGTTTTATACAAAACAGCTGACAAGTTGGTATCTGTCATGATGACACACTAAAAATATACAGATTTTATCTCTGTAAATGCTTACAGGCATACTTACCGCTTACTTTTGCAAGCTCATGGTCAAATTAAGTTAAGTTGCTAATTCAGCTTTGATGAGCTGAAAAGGTATTTTATCATCATGTGACATCTCTAGATATATTCATTGTGCTTATCTTGGCTTGTCAAGCATGCCTCAAGCATGCCAATAAGAGGCTTTTGAGTCCTTAATATAGGCCCAACTAACTGTCAGAAATCTGCAACTATGTCATTGTTTTTCAACAACAATAAAGACGAACAAACTTACCTAATGTGCAACTAGAATATCTCCTGTCTCGTAAAATAAATAAACAAAAGTCATATACAGTTCTAGGACAATACTAGTGGCCTAGTTAGATAAAGTTAGGGTTAAATATCAACAAAGAAAATTATCTTATTTGTATTTATCAATAAGTCACTCAATAATAAAGTCAAGTTCATAAGCCTACATGCCTTACTCTTAGTCCATCGCCATGTAGCCTATTAGCCCTGTGTACGGGGCATATCGGACGAATATTTGTTTTGAAAAAAAAACATGCATTTGAGATGAATTATGAGAGCACATTTAAATTGAAAAACTATTAAATAACTATTTATGTAGGTATATAACTATATTACATGTTCGGTCAGTTACAGGCCTATATTGCCCTCCATACATTCACAAAACATGGTACCTTGGTTCTGTAGTTGAACAGGGGCATATTGAGCCCCCCCCCCCCCCCCCCCCCCCCCCCCCCCAAAGAAAAAAAAACTAATACAAAGGCTCATTTCTTCTATTCTTCTGTGCATTTTAATAACTTTGAAGTTGAAAAATAATTTGAAAGGTTGAATTAGCTGTTGTCTGATTCTGCAGGAGTTATCTTTTCCTACCTTGTAGAGGGCTTTACTTCCGGCCACGTTAATGTTGATTTGTCAAAAGAATAAATATAGCCGTGTAACTAAAAAGTGAAATTAAAAGAGATTGATCTTAATTTGTAAAACAGACATTGATAAAAAGGCAAGTTTCAGTCATTATTTTTGTTCTGTGATGAGCTTTTAGTAGAATTCGGATATTGACAATGTACAACATAAAATTATTGTTATGTTTTTTGTTATTCAAATATTGTCTGGTCTTGTCAATATTTCAATAAAATAGATAAGCAAACTGTATTTACCAGTTTCAGACTGAGAAAGATCCTTGCTTGCTCTGTTATGAAAATAAGTTTCATAAACTTCCCAAAAGTTCCGAAAATGAATTCAATGGCCACTTACATCTTTGGTGATGGTAATTATTGATATTTGAAGCAATTGATAAATTATAAGTCCTTCTATTTAGAAGTTCTCAAAGAGACGTATTTTGGTGCCAATCTGGCTGTGGACAAATAGTCTACTGTTGTCATGTGTCATTCAAGAAACTTGCAATTGTTTTTTCTCGTTGAAAATTGAATATTTTTTTTGTTTTTACAGCAATAGGCCTATAAGTAAACAGCAAAGATGTCTTTAGCAGAACAGTCATGTTACACATTGATCAATGTGCCAATGGACTCTGAACCTCTAACTGAAATGCAGTTACGTCAAGATCTAGGTAAGTGAGGATAGATGGTTGGACCGATTCAGCTAGAAATTAAAGAATACTTTATTTTTAATCAATTATGTCTTTATGTTATTTCCATTAGATTTTCTTTTTAGTATTATGAAGTATTTCATTTAACACCCTTTAGTTAGATTTCCATTGAATAAAAGCTTTTTTTTTTCAGAAAAAGGTGATGTAAAGACTAAGATAGATGCTCTTAAGAAAACAATTCAGATGATATTGAACGGTGAAAAAATGCCATCACTGTTGATGACCATTATTAGATTTGTGATGCCGATGCAAGATCACATGATTAAAAAGTTGTTGTTGGTATTTTGGGAAGTTGTACCCAAAACTTTACCAGACGGCAAGCTTCTACAGGAGATGATTCTTGTTTGTGATGCTTACAGAAAGGTTTGTTAACATATTTGTTTTTCCCAAATCCAAGCTGATTTTTCCTTGCTTTTGGCTGGCAAGAAGCTACCTGAGAAGATTGTATTTTGATTTGTAGATGACAAGTTACCTACTTAAATACATATTATATGGGTAGTTAACACTCTCTAGTATTATGATTATTTCCTTAAAAATCAATTTGTATTTTCTATTTTCCAGGATTTACAACATCCTAATGAATTTATCAGAGGTTCAACTTTACGATTCCTGTGTAAAATAAAGGAACCTGAATTATTGGAACCTTTGATGCCTGCTATTAGACAATGTTTAGAACACAGACATTCTTATGTTAGACGTAATGCTGTACTGGCTATCTACACTATCTTTAGGTAGACATGATTATGATGATTTCTTTTCTGTGTTCAAATTAAATTAAATTCTTATAATAAGCTGTATATAATTTAAGATTATTTAAACACTACAGATACAGGCAGATCTTTTTTCTAATGTTAAAATTTATATATATAAGAAAAATAAGCAGCATTCTACTTCATATTATAATATTACTACAAGATATATATATATATAAAAGGAATATTTTCGCAATTTGCTTAAATGAATATTGTCGTTATAAATTTATGTTAAGTGGTATCAGTACTAAATAATGCTTAAATTTAAAAAACTTGTAAATCTGTTTTTCAGAAACCATGACTTTTTGATCCCTGATGCACCAGAATTAATTGCTAATTTCCTAGAAGGAGAACAAGATATGTCTTGTAAGAGAAATGCTTTTATGATGTTGATTCATGCTGATCAGGTAATTTAGACTTCATACTATAGTCTTGTAATAATATTTTTGTTCCAACTAAGACTTCAAGCCACCAGTGTCATTGATATGAACGACGACGCATTTCAATATGATATTATTTTACCTTTTATATTGAGGTGTAATTTGAATCTTAGTACAACACAATATTGTAATTTGAAGGCTGATTTGCCAAGAGCAAGTGTGATATTAATAAGTAATATTCATACATGGAGTATTTCGTGTAGAATGTGCTGACTTCAATATTTTTCTTTATTCTAGGATAGAGCGTTGAATTATCTAAGTGGTTGTATAGATCAAGTTACATCATTTGGTGATATTTTACAGTTGGTTATTGTAGAGTTGATTTATAAGGTATTGCTTTATTTATAAGATTTGAGTCTTATTTAGAACTGAGGAGTACATATCACAAACTCAAAACAATTATTATGAAATAAAGCACATTTCATCAATAAAATTTCACACAATTTACACATGTCATTGTCAGATTAAATAAACATCCATTATTCCATATAATTGTCATGTGTTTGTCATATAGTTTATTGACAACATCTTGATATTTGCTGTTGTTTAAAAATGTTCTGAATGTAAAATGTAACATCACAACCAAAGGGGTTTAAATTGGGGTGGAATTAGGAGTGTTATTAATATAATTATTCATTCAATAATTTCAGGTGTGTCATGCTAATCCATCAGAAAGAGCTAGGTTTATTAGATGTATTTATAATCTATTGAATTCCTCAAGTCCAGCTGTCAGATACGAGGCTGCTGGTACATTGGTCACATTATCCAGTGCTCCTACAGCTATCAAGGTATGTTCAAACTTATTGCATCTTCAGCTGTACCAAGGCTATCTTCTTTTTATGTGGCTTCAGATAGTGACATCTTATTCTCCAAAAAGTGTTGACATGTCAAAATTGTGAATGTCATGGGTTATACTATTTGTTGATGTACCTAATTTAGATTACCTACTATCTCTGGGAAATATTATTGAATGCCTACATAATTGTTGATGGTCTTATTTCAAACTATGCTTATTATGGGTAATTGATACATGTCATTAACTTACATTTAGTTTTATAAAATTAACAATGATGGCCATTGTCTGTGCCAAATATCAAATTATTTTAAACTGACAAGGTACAAGGCACATAAATTCTTTAAATTCTATAGTGCCAGTGCCTTCTGTTGAATATTTTTTAGTTACTTTCAATCACCTCTGTCACAATTACAGTAAATGTTTTTTGTTCATTTACAGGCTGCAGCTAGCTGTTATATAGAACTAATTGTTAAAGAAAGTGATAACAATGTTAAATTAATTGTATTAGATAGACTGATTGCTCTTAAAGAAGTACCAGCTCATGAGAAAATTCTTCAGGTGAGGATTGGATCTCTAACAAACATTTAAGTTTAGGAATGGAGTGAAAATGTGCCCGCTGAGAGACTTGAGAAATTTGGGCTAATCACCCTGATCACTAGACAGCTAATTATTATTGAAGTAAATGGCATTTTCTACCTGGGGATTGAAGATAATTTGGTTCTGTTTGTTCTCAAACATAGAAAAGAGCTAGTTTTCTTGATCTATCTTATCACAAATTATTAGAATGCTTTAATGTATCAAGATAAACAACTCTCTATTTAGAATTGGGTATATTTGTAGGATCTAGTAATGGATATATTGAGAGTATTAGCAGCACCTGATTTAGAAGTTAGAAAGAAAACATTACAACTGGCTTTAGAACTGATAACATCACGCAGTATAGAAGAGGTAAGTGACATTAATAAGATATGAAATAGCTAAACTCTCTAAGGTATTGGAGGTGACAGTCGCATCCATACTTTTTCACCTACTTATATATATATATACTCTTGGAGTATTTATTTATTTAATTTATATTAATCTTTTATGAAAATCAGAAGGATAATATATACAGATATTAAGTTCGTGAATACTCTAAAGACAGGATATTAAACCTATATCTTCCTAAGCTCTTGTAGTTCACATATAAGATAATTATTTATAAGCTTATCTTTAATAAATCATTGCAAACTTAGTGAAATTGTCAAATTTTTCTAGGTTGATATATTTGTCCCCTGTATGTAAAGTAATATACCTTATATATATATTGTAGATGGTATTGATATTAAAGAAGGAAGTAGTAAAGACTAATAATGTAGAACATGAAGACACTGGTAAATACCGACAGATACTAGTACGTACATTACATCAATGTAGTGTTAAATTTCCTGACGTGGCTCCAGTTATTATACCTGTGGTAAGTACATAACATTCTTTATTCAATAATCAAAGTTTTTAATTCCAATAATGTTATTCAGAGCTTGTTTTGTGTAAAGTTGGATTTAGTGGTTAGGAGCCCAGTACGAAGTAGTAATTTGAAAACTGATGGTTGACTGACATTACAATAGTTCACTAGCTTTGTATGACAGGTGAATTTGAACCAATCAAAGCAACCCTTTTCATCTATATATATTTATGATAAATATAAGTTTTCAGCATGTGTTAATCTTAGGAAAATAAACCTCGAAAATGGCTATGTAGAAGTATGTTGATTGACCGGTTTGAATATCATGTGAAATGAATGTTTATTACCTCAGTTTGCCTGCTGTAGTGAAAGATGTTAGAAATATATATTAGTTTCCAACATGTTGAAGAGAAGATACCATTCCATTAAATGGTGATGACTAACATGTTTGCCAAAAAATATTTCAAAATGAACGAATTCAATCATATTAAATTGTGTACATAAGTATTTATTATCTTCATTGAGATATAACTTAATGCTTCTAAAATCTTCTATATATTCTAGTTAATGGAGTTTTTGGGAGATCAGAATGAGCTAGCAGCAGCTGATGTATTAGTATTTATGAGAGAAGCTGTACAAAGATTTGAACAATTACGACCACTAGTACTCAGTAAATTACTAGAAGTTTTCCCTACTATTAAAGCTGTCAAGTAAGTATGCTTGTTGTATTGTGACCATAGGGCTTCTAAGCTGTTGGCACAATGTTTCAGATACAAAGTCTTTATAATTGTTTAGAAATAAAGTTTGTATAATCTTGAGTTTTAGTATGAGAAGGGTTAGCAAACTGACTGAACAGGAGCCAAGATGACAATATACTCTCAGCTTTAAATCTTACAGCAAAACTTTTGGCTTTTTCCATATCATAGTTTCATGATACAAGAATGAATTGTGACAAACAATTGTGAAATTTTTAGTGTAAGATAAACTGGGCAACTTTACTTATTAATTTATTGTTTTGTAGAATTCATCGAGCTGCATTCTGGATATTAGGTGAATATTGTACATCAGGTGAAGATATACAACAAGTTATGACTCTAGTTAGACAATCATTGGGAGAGGTAGGTAGAATATTGTATATATATAATATATTGTATGGGTGGAGCTGTTCATTCTAATTATTATAAAAGATTTGCTAGATCAGAAACCTTTGAAACATGCTTAATATAGTCAAACCTTTCAAGTAATTAGTACATGTAGACTGTCTATTAAGTATTCAGTAAGGTTATGACTAGATTATGTTATATATATTGATTACTAATTGATATTGATTATTATATATTGTAGATACCAATAGTTGATGATGAGATGAAGAAAGCTGCTGGTGAAGTACAAGATGAAGGTATGGTCTAATTAGACAGTCAATATTTTCTTACAACTTTTTTTGTTTAAGTTTACAAATTTTAAACAGAACGGCCAGATCAGATCTTATATCCATTTATAACCACTTTGAAACTTACTTACTATATTATCAAAAGAATTAATGTATGTTTTTATTTTATTTATTGAATAGAAATCCAGTCTGGTGGAGCTGTACAGAGATTAGTAACAGCTGATGGTACCTATGCCACACAATCAGCTCTTAGTACTTCTTCAGTTCGCAAGAAGGATGAAATGTAAGTACAAATTCTAATCTGCATCGGTGTAAGCGTCTATCACATCTGTCACATCTAGTTGAAAACGTTAAAAATCTTACAAGTGTGTTTCTTGAGATTAAGATTATAAAAATAATAGATTGAAATTATCATTTAGTACTGTTTGTAAGACAAATAGAAATAGGCATAGGTAAGGATATATAGATATACTATTTCTGATATATATTAACTGTAGTCTTGTAAGATTATTCATTTCTCTTGATAACACGGGCTGTATGAGCATGTGTAACGTTGAGTTAATAAATATCAGAAACAGTATATCCATATATCTTGTGCTTCTTTATCATTTTAGTGGTCTAAAAAAAAGTTTCAAATGCAATTCAAACTGTGTCGCAACTGATATGATATCTTTTAAACTGTATATGTATTCAAACTCTTACAACTCTCTGTATATTTCAGGCCACCATTGCGACAGTATCTAATGGAAGGAGATTTCTTTGTTGGTGCAGCATTATCTACCAGTTTAACTAAACTAGCCTTGAGATATATACACCTTCATAAAGATGCTAAAAAACAAAATGTAAGTACTTGATATAAATAAATATGCAGAACCAATTCATAGTTATAAATTAGAATCAGAAAGCTTTGTAAGACAAAGAGAGACTCAATCAGATAGCATACTAATATGGACTCTTCTGGCTCTCATTGAGATTTATATTTATCTAGTAATGATAATAACAGTGAAAGTAACTTGAACTGAATATCATAATTAATTCAGATTCACTTTCTATAGATGTTAACAATAGAAATCTCAATATAAAATAATTTTCTAACCATGTCTTTCAATATTCTTAGTTTATTCTAACTTGTATTTCTCTTTTCCAGTCATTTATTGCTGAATCTATGTTGATTATGGCTACGATGATACATCTAGGAAAATCTGGTCTACCTACCAAGGTGATTTATTAAAATACTATATAGTCATTGCATTAGAGCCAGGAGCTGAAAATTTGAATATTATTTTTCTGAATTATACCTTGAAACAAAGTAAGGGTTTTCAATGACAGTACTAGTTATAAGAATAACATTGTGTTACTCTTAAATAGTAATTAAAGATACACTGTTTCTATAGGTATTCTAGATATATTGGTAATAGATGATATGTATTTGATTATTTCTATTGACAGCCTATAACAGATGATGATGTAGATCGTATAGCTAACTGTATTCGTGTATTAGCTGATAGAAGTGATTTTATGAATGATATATTTAACAAAGATTGTCGAGGCTCTCTATCTCTAATGTTAGCTGCTAAAATAGAGGAGGAGAAGGCTGTACAAGAGGTAGGAAAAATGTTCAGTCATTTCAAATGACTTATTTTAGTATTCAGGTCATCTCAAGATTGGTTAAAAACTAAAACTAATTGAGTTTTATCAGCCTATTGGATTACTATATATATCAACATATTGAATGTTTCTCAGAATTTTGTGACAGGTGCCATATTTTATTTTATTAGTTTGATTGCCATTTAGCAATTTAATCATATTAAAAGATTTAATTCTGTTAAGTTGCAGATTGGTTAAAAGAAATTAGCTGTAATATTGCCATTCTACTATTATCTTATGAAGTCTTTTGCTAACATATATTCTAGGCAGCCGAGAAGAAAGTAGTAAGAGTACATGCTGATGATCCTGTATCATTCACTCAGTTAATAAACAGAACAGATTTAGGTACTGGAGAGGTAAATATTGTTTGTCTTATTCACTTATTACAGTACTTGTTATCTTAGTTTTTGAAACATGAAATATAAACAGGATAAGAGAACAGGTCTTTGCCTGTATAATATCTCCATCTTTAGATAAAATATATATGAAATTAATTCCTATATACCAAATTCAAGCAATAATCATTCTATATCAACTTGACAAATATGCTAAAAGATTTTCTCACCAAAGCTACACTTCAAGCATCATTATTATTCTGTTTACATATTTAAGTTATTTATATGTATTATGTTGTACTATGTATATTTATTTGTATTTCTAGAATATGTTTGAACTGACCTTGTCTCAGGCTCTGGGTATGACTAATAAAAAAGACTCTGATCCTATTGGTTCTACTAAACTTAATAAGGTAAGTTAGACTTCATAAATTTGAATTATAGGCCAATATATGTCAATCTTGCAAAGTGATTATAACCTTATTGAAGTAAACATATTCATGTTATTTTGGTAATTATAAGGAATTATGAATGATTCCTTTGTTATTGTTTCAGAAATTCACATATTTTGAAAATGTAGACTTGAAGGTTGGTTTGAGTCTATTTAATGACTTTTTTGGGTGCAATGTCAGGTGAACCCTGTAGATCATTGTCTGATGTCAATAGTCATGTGATCCAATTCAGCTCATTAATTTGGTCTATTTTCTATAACAGGTGACCCAGTTAACAGGATTCTCTGACCCAGTTTATGCTGAAGCCTATGTGAATGTTAACCAGTATGATATTGTATTAGATGTCTTGATAGTTAATCAAACTTCAGATACATTACAGAATCTTACTCTAGAATTAGCTACACTAGGTAAATATCTCTTTTATAGTACTCAATTTATCATTGTTATTTCAATGAGATATTGATTTATTTATATGAAATTGAAAAAGCATTGAACACATTCGCTTTTAACGATAGTTTGTAGATCCTGATTTTCTCAAACCAATGAGATAGAAATTGATTATAACTGGACACTATTATATGGATAACAATTACTTTAATAAATAACTTGCGTCATTTCGATAATGAGGCTTTCGTCTTTATCAAGAAATAAGGCGAAAGCATCATCGTTGAAACATCGCAAGTTATTTATTAAAATAATTGTTATCCATATAATAGCGTCCAGTTATTCATACCCCAGTTACTAAATGCCACTCAAGGAAATTGATTATAAAAGATAGTAATTTCAATAGCTAGTAACGTGTAGAACAGATTGTCCAAACCAGATTTACAATACATTCAGCTATCTTATTTTGCAACATGAATAAAAACAATAAGTAAGTGACAACCATGCATGTGCTGTGTCACAGAGAACTAATAAATGATGTCTGTATATTCTAGGTGACCTAAAACTAGTAGAGAAACCACAAGCAATGACCATGGCACCACATGATTTCTGTAATATTAAAGCTAATGTTAAAGTGGCCTCCACAGAAAATGGAATTATATTTGGAAATATTGGTAAGTACAAATTGTTAATATTACATGCTGTACTTTATTTATATTGATTTTAATATGCTATCAGTGTCCAAAATGTTTTAGAAAAGCTCTTTACAGTCACTTTAAATACCTCTGTCAGTTGTTGGCCCAGTTTAGGACTCCCAGAACATTGATTCCTTAAAAGACAAAAACTTACCAATAGAGTTGTGATGGAGAGCCTTAAGTTTTTATTTCTAGACATTGTAAGGTATTTCAAATACTCCATTTGTACATTTTTAAACTTAAAAGCCTTGGCCAGTTCATGGTTGATTATTACAATATCTTTCAACTAGTAATAGTGAATATGTAATAATTAAATTATATTTTTAGTATATGATGTAAGTGGTGCAGCCAGTGATCGTAACTGTGTAGTATTAAATGATATACATATTGATATAATGGACTATATAGTACCAGCAACTTGTACCGATACCGAGTTTAGACAGATGTGGGCTGAGTTTGAATGGGAGAACAAAGTAGCAGTAAATACTAATATTACTGATCTAGCTGAATATTTACAACATCTTATGAAATGTACCAATATGAAGTGCTTAACTCCAGAAAAGGTTTGTTTTAACTCAATTTTAAATGAATTTTAACCTTTCATCTAATCATATGATGAAATTTATAATTATTATTATTATAATTATAATGAGATTTTGGCCAGTGCTTTGGTAACGATGTTCATACAACAGAATATTCATTGGCTCTATAAAATACTTTTCTTACAACAATAAAGAGTGTTGTATCACTGCAACGTTAACATGCAGTTGTCAGACTAATATCATGTCATGTAATAATCATGTAGAACCATAAAATTAAGTTCTGAACACTTAAAATAATTATGAAAGACCTTGCGAGTCAATTTTGAATTGTCAAGGTCAGTATAAAGTCAACGGAAAGTTTTTTTCTCTTGTTACAGGCTCTATCTGGTGACTGTGGGTTTATGGCAGCCAATATGTATGCTAGATCTATATTTGGTGAAGATGTACTATCTAATATTAGTATCGAGAAACCAGCTCATCTTGGTAAAGATTCACCAGTACAAGGTCATATTCGTATCAGAGCTAAGAGTCAGGTTGGTATTGTACTTCTAGTGTTTTAATACTTAGACTTGATACTGTTGATAGTAAAATCTTATCAAGTCTTTGATTATGAACTATGCGCTTCTTTGACTTGTTAGTATAGGATTATTTGTTTTGAATAACTATCATTTCATGCTGTTGACACATCATTCTTTGGGTTTGAAAACTTCCTCAAAACAATTGCTTAGAAATCAAGGCTCGATATAATTCAACAGCCAACAATCAACACCCCTAATTTTACCATGAGCACTTCCAATTATGTTTTACACTGTCATATTGAATTTAAGTTTGAATGTGTTGAAGAGTTCAACAAAAAGATCAGGGGTGTCATGTAGAACTATATTCAGCTTTGGGCAATTGGGGTAAAAATCTTCTAAAGAGAAAGCTAACCTTAACAAACATCATCATACAAATTGTAGACTACTTGGACTAAAAGTATTGGTGTCTTTTTGAATACCTTATTTTTGTATTTTTTGTTGAACTTCAAAACCTTTGTGATGTTTTTTCTATGTTCAAAAACTTGTATGAATTTTGTTTAATTACTGTAGGGTATGGCATTAAGTATGGGAGATAAGATTAACCTGTCACAGAAGAAGAGTTTGAGACCAGGAGCTTAATGTTAAGCTTCAATGCCTAAGCTTGTTATAAGCTTAAACTAATAGTAATATTACTAAATGGTTTTTGTTATTTCATATTATATATTTATCATGTAAATGTTAATTATAATAGCGAGTTTATTACATACTAAATTTCAGGGGTGTATCTAGAAAATGAGAGGTGTCTCTTCAAAGCAAGGCCCAATGACCGACCTCTAAATAAGCCACTACTTTTGGCATTTCTTTGCAATATATTTATTAGAGTAAATGTATAAGCATGCAAGCAGCCATGAACATCACCCATATTGTAAGTGAATGACAAATGACACTTCATGTAAGTCTATTATACTACTTTGCAGACTGATTTGAAAGCATAGAGATACAGAACAAACTTGTTTGAGTGGGCCATTATGTTTATTATCAAGTTGGTGTATCATCATATTATTTTGGTTTATAATAGATTCTCTACTTTAGTTCACTTGATTTTGATGTAAAATGGTGTAAAGTGCTCTGAACCCTAACAATTGATAATTTTTTCTCTGGTTGTCTTCATTAATAAGGGGCAGAAAATTAGGACTTGAACCCTATTTCATTCAGGTTGTTATCTCTGTTCTTCAATAATTACTTTATTTCTGTTTCTCAACAAACCTACATATTGTGTATTGGTATCACATTAATTGTTCAATTACTATATTACATTCCTGACTTCATCATAACTTAAATCATTGTAAACTTGTTACTGTATCAGTTTGGCTTCATTAATAAATATTTGGCATGAAATTCTGTGGTATGATAATTAATATATTACATTGGTTCCACAACCAGTCTACTTTATTTATAGGTAGATTATATAGCATTCAAAATAATGTAAGTTAATTACTGTTTATACTACCTAAAAATATATGAGACTGTTCATGGTAATAGCTATACCTCTCTTTATTTTGTTTTGATTGGTCAAGTGTTAAATTAATTTCAGTGTTAAACTGCATACAATCATTGCAATAAAGGATATATATTAACAGGACTGATCAAAATTTTCACTTATCCAAAATGACAGATTTCAGCTATACAACTTCATTTGTCACATAGCTACTCAATTCCAACACTTGATTGATCCTTAGCACACAATTTTTGGTGGTATTGTATGATTGTGAAGATGGACTATCCCCTCATGTCATCCCCCATCCAGCAGTTTGCTCATGAAACGAGGAATAATGATTAAAAGAGTTTTAATTGAAACCTCAATAAGGTTTTAATATAAAGATGATAGTAAATAACAGATGTACATAAAGTAGAAAATACATTCAAACTTTTATACTGATTGACCTTGTCTATTAATACAGTTAAACCAAGGCAGAATATTGCTGAAAAATGGAAAGATTTGATGTGCCAAACTATATTTTCAGCCCTAAATGAGCATCACTCTGGCTTTAAATACTCTTTTGCCATCATACGTTTGATGCAAATGCTTGATGATGTATTGGTGTAGGCCTTATGCAAACTCCTTTGTAATGCTGAAGACCTAAAAGTTTCTTGAAAAGTTGAACAATTTCAAACATGAGCAGTTTCAGCCTAAAGTATATATAATTGAAACACAACAAAATAGAGTTATTTGAGATTTTATGACAATCCCCAGTAGAGAGATTGTCCAGCAATATTCAACCTTGATTCAATACAAACTTACAACTTATTATCAATTTACAATATCAAATGGGTGTTTTATTGTCATATTTTGGCTGTAATGAGAATAGTAGGAAGTAATTCATTTTGTGCTATGACATCCTCATTTTGTGCTGTGACTCATGCAAACTAAATTGTGCTGATTTCTCTGCGATAATCTATGTATGATGAAGAATTATCGATGCAATAGAATCAAATACACCGATATGTGTAGGGGTCCGCACCATTTTGATGACAGGATTTGAGTCTCAACTCAACATCAGATATTACTGGGAAACGATAAGAGCCAGCATTCCTTCAACTTCATTTTCAATTGTGCACATTTCCATAGATCAAGTCTGTGAATTCAACATAAATTGGGTAACATAAATATATATATATATATATATATAAGCATTATACAAAATATAAAATAAGAGCAATAAAAAATATCATTTCAGCATTACTAAGACTAAAAGACATAAAATATGCATAAAAATTCCAGATATGTAGATTTTAAAGCAAAATACCAGAAAATAATAATACTCTATCAAATTATAACTGTCAAACATTATCTTGTTTCATAGTCAACTTAAGTTCAAGGTGAATGGTTAAGGCTTCTGCATCTTGAATGACCAGAAAGAAATGATACAAGACTGCAAGATGATTGGATGGTTTGTCCTCCGTAATTCACCTTCAAGTGAATTTCAGCATCTTAAATTATTAGACAATCCAACAACATCAGACAATATGTATATACCGAGCCTTCAAAAATGCAGAAGATAATAGATCAACTGATACCCTGTTCGCATTATTATTACTGATAGAAAGTTGACCATGAATAAGACATACTGTATGTTATTATGGGAATACTACTCGACCATCAAAATGGTGAAATTAACAACATTATTACTATGACATGAAACTAGCGACTAGCCTTGTAACAGTCAAATAAATACACATATAAATACACAATGGTTGAAGAAGCTTCAATGAAGTATTATGTTTCTATAAGTCATTTGTTAAAGGAATTTATTTGTGGTAGTTATTGTAAAAAGCAATTGTATTATGCAAGAATTTGTAAATTTGACCAGTGTGGCACTTGATTGGAGAGAAAGTTTATCTGTTTCTGGCCTCATGGTATGAACAGTATGAAAGCAGATATTTTGCATTAAAATTTTTTCGTCTTTTTCCTTCTCCACCTTTTTGAATTCTGTCTGTACCTATTATAGTTTCGGCACACATGGAACGCGTTCTGAACATCCAGTTGATTCCGTGAACTCACCAATCAAGAGACCCCTATATTCAGAGATTTCAACACCCCAGGTATCTTTAACTATAAATTACAAATTAGATATAAACTAACATTCAGTCTACAAAAATAAGTGTTTGTGACCTACTTACAATTCTAGATTTTGATTTCTGCTGTTGAGGTTCAACTTGTTGTATTTAAATGCTGGATAGAGACAAACCCTAAAATTTGTGTCTGAGGAACATTTTGAAAATCTGAGAATAAAAATTAGCTAAAGTGAGGGATAACAAAATTAGAAATAATGCCCATAAAACATTTGATCAATACTTCAGAAACAGAGTCCAAATGTTTGAAAAAATCCTTTGACACAAACTTAACGATGTATCACTGCTGACATTTTTCTGAATATAGACCTTTCTTTTTTAAGTATCGATAAATACAAGACCCTGGGTCTGTGAAATCTCTGAATTCAGTCAAACATTATGAATTAATCACAGGTAAATAACAATACTCTTATTGTTATAACATAACAGGAATGATAATAGATGAATAAATAGTTCAATATCAACATAGAAATACATCAATCTGATTCAAATACTGATCTACAAGTTTCATGGTTTTCCTGCAAGTTACTTTACTTGCCATCTATGATCTAACAACATTTTCCTTTAAATTGTGGTCATTACTCTTTGACCAAATAAATTATAATTGATGCTAACCAATCATGAACACTATAAAAGGTAACAATACAAGTAAATTACATGTCATCAGTAAGCATTTGATTGGTTCAATATTTAAATCATCAAGAACATGTGTTGCATAACCATGACATCAGATCATGGATAAGAAGTAGAGTTCATCACAGGAAAAACTATGAACAAAACTTTTAGATCGGCATTTCATTCAGATTTCTTAAAAGTTTTATGGCCTGTTAAAGTTCAAGTAGAACCTTGGACACTTATCCCTAGCTCTTAACAACTAACATTGTCTATTGATATTACTTTACATTTTCCCTTTTTTTTTTTTACAAGGAATTGATAAGTTCTAGAATTCAATCAATTAGACATTTTATACCTTAACAAATATTCAATAACTTTGACTGAAAAATTCTCTATACATGACTGGTAATTTAACCAAAGTAAGAGCTCTGACTTACTTATAATTGCATATGGCACCAAGTAAGAAACAATGACAGCCACAGAAAGTCACATTTCAAGCAAAACATCAAGACAACATAAACAGTTTTAACAAGACCAGATATAAACTTGATCGATATTGTAAAACGAGAAGAATTCTGAAATATTACTGCAGTTTGTATACAGTTAATTGTGGTTGAGAAAGATAATTATGCACCTGGGGTATTTCAAATCATAAACAATACCGTTATTCAGTGTTCTGAGGTCAGAACCACATACTGGGCACTCTCCAGGTTTGAAGGTGAATTGTATGACATAGTTGTGGTTGCATCCAAACTATCACCTTAAACAAGTCTCTGAGTAAAATTCAATTCCCTGTTTTTTTTTTAATGAAGCAATGTAAATTTCTTGATCTACAAAAGGATCATTTTATATTAGGTCTTCCTTCTAATTACTTATTAATTGTGAGTAAATGACTGTGAGCTGTGTTTAACCTTTGAAATATCCTCTGATGTGTATAATTATCTTTAAACCACTTGATATGATCTCAATAAACAGGCTCTATCTTATTTTATATGGAAATTGCAAGAACACAGAATACTAAATAAATGTACAAAAATGCATAAACAAAAATAGCAACAACATAACATAAAAATCAGCACATAAATAACAATTTCCCCCGTCTGCTTTTCTTATCTTCTGAATTATTTTACAATATTTATACAATGCAGCAGTAAGGGATGCAAAATATCCACTTCAATTTTCCTCTTGGCAAAGTTACAGTTTCAAAGAAACCTCATTTTATTACAAAGAATAACTTGTTTGGTCTTGCATCCTTTATGGCCAATATAAGCAAATATTTCAACAGAGGGAAGTCTGTTGGCATAATGCAGGTGTAAATCATTAGAATTAGAATATTATGACTAGACTAGGGAAGAGGTTTTAAATTATCATGAATTAATGATATTTTTTTTTTAGTTATATACAATATGTATATAATCAAAATTTTCAGATCATGGGTTTGGGTTACTTTAAACATTGTAATATTGAAATATTATTCGAATTATTCCTAAAATTAATGTTGGAAATGTTGGTCAAAAAATGTCCTTGAAAAAAGAATATGGCTTTTGACCTCCATTTTTTTGTGTTAATCAGAATCATGAGTCATAATTCAAAGATAAAAGCCTTTTTGTCTATAAACTACAAACTAGATATATTTTACAGTAGGCACTTGAATATAAAATATCAATTTGAAATAATTCAATCAGAATATTGGTGTCATGATCAATTTTTACCTAAATTCTTATATTCTTGTGTTTTATTTACAATTTACAATTAACAGAGCACTGTATGTGCTATGTTTATTTGTCAAATGCTTGTGTCAGTTTTTTTGAGATAAAACCAATGGACCAATTTAACAGTTCAAATTTATTTTTGGGAAAGTGACATAATTCTGTCTTTACTAAATAAACTGTTAATTATCATTATCAAGTATCATGATTTCACAGGTTTTATGGTATTCATTTCTAGCAAAAAGACTAACTAGCTTGTGATCAGTCTCCTAAGATAGGAATCTGTTAATTATTGTAAGATTGTAGTGCATTCAATAACAAATAAATATGATTATATACAATGACATAGTTTACAGTATTACTTACAAATAACATCAGAGAAAACAAAACATTTTCTTTCATGCACAGGAGAATTTTCTTATCAATTTGACCCTAACCCATTCTTTTTTTATAATTTTTGAAACTTTTTTTGACTATTGGATATGAGTTGCTCTCATGTCTCCATTATGTCAAAATACTGTTACGTCTTTTTCAAAAGTATTTTTTATAAAAAAGCACTAAAGATTTAGCACTAAATATTCTCAAACAAACAGTATCATATAGGAGTTTATCCAAAGCTAGTTTCCAATTCAAGTTTTCCTATTTTGGAGCTGTAGAAATTTTGAAGTAGAATTTTCCATTTAAAAAAACGAAAAAAAACGTGAATACTGTCAAAAATTTGGCGTAGATATTTATTTTGATACCCCATTTGACTAATTATTTACCTTGAAATTGGTTTATTCATTCATTTCTGTACATCAATAGCTTACTTCTGATTGGTCAAACTAAGTAAATTGCAATGGAACCAAACATGATTTGAAATCATATATCCCCATAGGGACGACTGAGTTTGAAATGAGAGTAAATCCCAATATGAATGATTCATTGCATAAGAATTTGTAAATTGACCAGGATAATTAAACTAGGTACATAATGAAAACCCTTGGTATTATACATAGTACTAGACTTGACCATATAAACAATGCTCAACACTGCCTTGTAGTTGAAATCCAAATTATTATGAACAAAAATCATAGAGTAAAAAGCTGCAAGTAATGAAGGGCTGTCACAGTATCAAACATTTTTTACTTTTCTTTTTAGATTCTTTTGCTGGTGGTCTTTCATCTGCTTGGAATTTTCTGGAGAAGAACAAACAGATTTTTAACTAACTAACTGTGTAAAAGGACGTAAACTAAATCTTACATCAGGGCAAATGATTCATTTTGTCAAGGCAGAAATGTCCTAAAGATTCAGTTTCTATGCCACATAAGAAATACTAATACAGAAATAAGCTATTTAAGACAATACATGACCCATTATGTATCTAATGCCACTCTGTCTCTGCATTTGTCTACTTCAATCCAGAGAGTCTACATAGTCATAGTTTACCTGGTATAACTGTTTTACCAAACTTTAAATATCAATATCGTAACATTACAGAACTAATTTAAAATCAATAACCTATATACCTGATTATCCTTACTAATTCATAAAATGCTTGATCAACATTGGATCGTATTTTGGCACTAGCTTCAATATAACTAATCTTTAAACTTCTAGCTAATTCCTCTCCTTCTTCTCGTGTTACCTATAAAATAAACAGTAAAACATTCATATCAGCTTTTAACTCTTTCAAACCTAGTATGTTTACTGGCCATACACGTACGCAATATATAAGCTACATGAGCAGTCAGTAGGGACAACATTAACGACATATGCTTTTACTTATTTTACTTGAAGTTCAGGGTATAATCAAGGTATTCAAGGGAAAGAGAGCAAAGTTGTAACACAAACTCACCACTCTAGCAGAATCCAAATCTGATTTATTTGCAGCTAAAATCATAGGAAATTCATCTCTATCTTTCACTCGTAATATCTGTTTATGGAACTTAAATATTTCTTCAAAGCTGAAAATGTGACAGAAGAAATAAACTTTTAGGGACGGTTTTACTTGTATGCTTGTCACTAGTAATCAGTTTCACTTTGGGAAACTCAATGACAATTGCATAAAAAGGATATCCTCCCATTGGTTATTCTTATCACAATTTTTTGGGATACTTTTTCTATAAACAGAGCACCTTCATGCAAAACAATTCCATTTTGATGGATAGTATTAGCTTATTCATGATTTAGGTAAAGATATATACATGTATCCCCTTTGATAAATGGTAGTCAGTTTATGGCCTGCTATCACATCATTTGGACAGGAGAATAAACGATTACCTGCTTCTGTCAGTAACAGAATAAACTAATAAAAAACCTTCTCCAGATCTCATATACTGTTCTCTCATAGCACTAAACTCTTCTTGTCCTGCTGTATCTAATACTGAAAACATAAACATTACCTTTCTTATCTAAACAATGTCTATTTTTATCTTCATTCATAGCTCTGATATTTGATAATTCCAATTATTTTACCCAGTCCTAGTCCTAATATTTCATTTAATATGTACTCTAAACCATGGGTATTCGCTTGTTTCTATAAAACAGAGACATTTTATGACTTGCGAAAATGCTGGCAATCAATAAGTGATTTTTTGTGTATTATAGACATTAACAGCTTCTATTTTCAACACATTAGAAATTCTTAGATGTTCATGCATTGCTTTGACAAGTTGACATAGATATATATATATATATATACATATCATTGCCCCTTTAAAGCCAGGTTCCTGCAATTCCACAAAAATTGACATCATTGACTGACATCATCAAACACTTACTTTTAGTGGAATTGCACGAACAACAAACATCTGATTGAAAATTGGATCGGTGCAATTGAAGCTATCAGTGTCCCCGATACACATAAAAAAATTTAGAAAAGCTTTTTACAATCCCTTTAAAGTCCCTTCAAAACTATTGTTATATCATTTTTCCTGTTCACTTAGTTGAATATCTTTTATGAATTTAGGTACTGAAAATCTACAAAAGTCATGTTTTCTTATTTTTTTGCTTTACAAAATAAAACTATGGCTGTGATATTTCAGAGACAAAGACAGCTTTTTAATGGTGAATAAAAGTTCACTAGATCTCACTTCAAGACCACCCTTTTATAACAATGACAATTATACTCTGAGAATATGACATTTAAACAAATATCATAAAAGATATGTTTTATTTAGAAAACTATACAAACGACAATGCTCCAGTAACCTGCTGAATTCAATGTATGAAAATATTTAATATAAATAAATGTGTTAGTAGGCCTTAACAAAATTTCTAAATGAATAGTAATTATTTGTAGCAAAATATTAGTATCTAAATATTTGTAGCAAAGTCAGCTAATCATAAAAAAATTAGGAAATATTTATAGATATTTATATATATAATATCTCTTCAAACTATGACATGAGAAGAGTGTTACCACACATCAAAAAATGGCAGCAATTATCATAATTCCTACTGATCATTGTTTAATTATTCTAAATTTTTGACTACAGGTATGTCTTTTATAACCAAGAAAGCAATACACAAACGTTTATAGTTATTCTTAGCTCAATTAACAAGAGTCAAATAGTAACTTACTATCTAATCTGGCAACAACTTCATCAATAACACATTGTTTAGTGTATGAATCTTCTATAGTTGGGTCATAATCTGTTACAAAATATGACTGAAATACAAAAGAGACTTAATAAAATATGCTCTTCACTTAAGAGTCCCATTTGAAACATACATTTCTTACTTTTTTGCAAAATTGAGAATGATTTTGTTCCTAAGATTTTCCCCAAAATCTGTATTAATACTACAATTCAGTCATCATGCATTATGGGTAAAAATCGTGATTTACATTATCTGCAGGAATAACATAATGTGTGAAAAAAGTATAGAATATAATCATTATAAAAAATACTAATACTGCACAGAATTATACGAAAAAAAGGAAAACAAAGTAATAAAGGAACTTGGTTTACTTGATAAACTTTGTATGAATGTGATAATGCATATCAACCTGATGTGTATCATAAATATACAAAACCTCACAAATTGCCATCTAAAGGGAGATATTTTTAATTCATTTCTTGAGATAAGGCCTACAGCAGCATCTTGGAAAGTCTGCATGGCAAATTCAATTAGTCAACTTCCATTTTTTGAGTAAGTGGTTTCATATTTCATTTGAAAATACATAGGCTATTGAAGTATTGTGTAACCTACATTTGAAGGGCCTATTACTAAATCATAATTTATTGAACAAGTTTCCTTATTTCTTCCTTAATCCTTATGATAAAAAAAAAATACTAACAAAAAAATGATAAAAATTCCATCTAAAAAATATACATTCTTTACATAGCAATAAAAGCCATGTCAGAAAGTATGGGTGTGACAAAGAACAATTTGTTTACAATGAATTGTAACAAAATGAAACAATGCAGTATACTGTTACACAAAAGGATACTATTACATACAATGTACAACAATACAGTACCTGAATAAACTGAATGGTCAAAGCGCTTTTACCAACACCTCCCCCACCGACCACTACTAACTTATAGCTCTGGCTAAAACCAGAAGCATCGTTACGGGACATGGCTAATACCACACTAATCCAGCTAATTAACTAATCTCTCACTGCCCCATTATTCCGTCATTTTTTTTACCATTTTTTTCAAGAACATTACGGTACTTTCCGCTGTCGGTTCATTAAATTCACAAATGTTGCCTAAATAAGAAACGAAATATTGTTTTATACAATAAAAACAAATAACAATAGACACATATGGATATCATAAAACTCTGACCCAAATATATTTCCAAACCGGTAATGGGTTTATATTTCTCTTGCATAAATATCTAGTGCGAGTAAATAAAATTCTAAACGATATCTTGCACTTTGGCCGATTAAAGGGACGATATGCAAGTGCGCGATATAAGCATAAACTATTTTATCATACTTAAATCATTTAAAAACATTAATGACATTTAACCTCTCTTTAGCTAAGAGCATGTACATGTATTCAAAGATCTTTTGGCCTTAATGGCCCATGTGAAGAAAATACATTTTGCATGGACGGTTGTTCTTGTCAACAAAAATATCATAAATATGACATAGTGTCTCTTTAATTTATTTTAACAGGCCGAAGTAAGATAACGGGAGATAATCACCACTGTCATCAGCACTGTACCGAGCCTGCACTCAGCATGGTTATCGTGACCTGATTTTAAAACGGCATGCTACATCACTACATCTGAAATTTTGCAACAATTTGTGTATGTATAATGCAACATGTTTCTGTATTATTCAAACTTTTCTTGTAATATTATTTGCATATTTTTATAACCAACACTCAAAGAGATGCCAGTGGCTTTCAGGAAATGCACTGGCAACGACCGAAATCATATCTGCGTATGATCCGACAAATGGTTCGCGTTTCATAGGTAGGAATTTCTAAGAAGGGTGCCATTCCAGCAATGAATCAATGGATTTTTTTTACAAAAACAAATAATTTCGTAAATTTCGTTTTCTAATCAAATAGGTTGAATATGTACGATGCAGGATTTAGACAACTAACAATTCCTTCAATATTGGTGTCAAATCGGACAATAACAAATTAGACCTACTCTTGAAACTAAGATTTAATTTCTCCTTTCGGACTTTTCGCATCGTTCATTTTTCTTTCAAATTTCTTATTACATTGTCCTAGAAGTAAAGAGAAACTATTTGAATTCTGAATCTCCACTGAAATATTGATTATTGAGCAGCAGGTGGTTTACAATTTAAAATAGATGCTTATGACATTGACACCTCATAGCAGAAGTTTCACACACTAAAATTATCGCTAAAGTCGACTTCTGTCATTTTCAAATATCAATCTGCTCTTCCACCTCGGCGGTTAGTCGGAAAAACATGATTTTCACCGACTGACGGCGGCGGTAGGTCTAACGTAGCGACAGATTTCCCCCTTTCAGGCCTTCTAATCGCAATTTTTTTTCTGTTGTAGGAAAAACTATAATCTACAGAGGTACTCTGACTAAAATTCACTCATGGATCCCGAGCATTTAAACAGTAAAAATCAACAACACGACAAAGAACATCCCAGAAACCTGATTCCAGAACTTTGTCGACTATTTTATGATTTGGGTTGGGTTACAGGCACGGGTGGTGGTATAAGTATAAAATTGGGAGAAAAGATTTACATTGCCCCGTCTGGTGTCCAGAAGGAAAGAATTCAACCCGATGAGCTTTTTGTGCAGAATATTAAAGGCGTCGACATCGAAACGCCTCCTCCTGCCAAGAAATTGAAAAAGAGTCAATGCACGCCCCTCTTTATGTGTGCCTACACAGTGAGAAATGCTGGTGCAGTCATTCATTCTCATTCCAAATCGGCTGTAATGGCAACTCTACTGTATCCAGGTAAAGAATTCCGGATCACCCACATGGAGATGATTAAGGGGATTAGAAAGGACACCAATGGAGGGTATCTCCGGTTTGATGATATGTTGGTGGTTCCCATAATCGAAAATACAGCCGAGGAACGTGATTTGGAAACATCCTTAGCAAAAGCAATTGCCGAATACCCGGATACCTGCGCAGTATTGGTCAGACGGCACGGGTTCTATGTTTGGGGTCCGACATGGCAGAAAGCTAAATGTATGTGTGAATGTTATGATTATTTGTTTGATATTGCTGTTCAGATGAAAACTATCAATTTGAATCCCGAGAAAATTCCTGAATAAAGTTGATAGCATTGTTTCAATTTATTGTTTTATTACACGCCCATTTTTATAATGTGGTAGTATTGTATGTATGATCACCTCCGCTGTCCGTCCGTAAGACCACAAATGCATTTTGAGGGGAAAGAGGCTACATATTTGATCGGATTTTAAGGATGAAATATTCTGTCTTTTGTTCAAATTTTCGATGAATATTTTTTTAGTTATTGTCCATAATTTTGCCAAAATACGTCAAATTAGCTTGTGAACGCAATAATGTATATACAGTATGATTATTGATGACCAAAAATTGGCACAAATAAATATTATTTTTATACGCCCACATTATAATGTGATCGTATATTGTCGTCGCCCCTGTCGGACCGTCCGTCCACAATTGGCTTGTGAACACGCGATAAAAATTACAATTCTTATCTGATTTTAATGAAATTTAGTGTGAGAATTATATTGATGAGATCTTGGTCAAGTTCCAATTTGACGATTTTTCGATAAACGATTTTCGAGTTATTGCCCTTCACTTAGTAAAAACGCGTCATAATTTGTTTGTGAACACATTAGAGACTACAGTTCTTATCTGATTTAATGAAATTTGGTGTGATCATTTATTTTGATAAGATCTTGGTCAAGTTCTATACTATGACGATTTTTCGATGACTGTTTTTTTAGTTACGGCCCTTGACTTAGTAAAACGCATCAAAATGTGTTTGTAAACTCAATAGGGACTACAGTTTTCATCCGATTTAAATGAAATTATGCTTTATAATCAAATAAGACACTTTTGTGATTAGTGACGTCATCAAACATTTAGTTTTACTGGAATTGCAGGAAACACAGATGTTTGATTGAAAATTGGAATTGGTGCAAGTGCAAATGGACACTATCTGTGTTTATGTTCCCGATACACATAAAATTAAAAAAAAAACTTTTACAGTCCTTATAATCAAATTAATAGTATACATATCGGCCATTAGACAAGACTTGGGCATAAGTTACAAGCTAAAAAGTAATACAGTCATAATTCCTGTTGCACACACTCCGTTGATTGCTTATCAATAATACATTTTCGTGACAAGAAAGGGTAGTCACATTCATGGGCATCTTGGTCGAATTAACCAAAATTCAAGAGGACGGTCTGGCTACTGGGCGATTAGACAAAACGGGTTTTATATTTACATTATAAAAATAAAATTTCTTTACAAAATGAAATAATGATATATTTTCAAACTCCAAATGGACGCACCAAGTTGTTATTAGGATTTGTCCCTAGCATAAAATTCAAATACCAAATTAATTTGAATAGCTTTATATGGCTTTTGTTTGTTACGCGCATTGTGATTGGTTGAATTCTTGGAGCTAGTTTTAAATAAAAACATGGCGGAAATCTTGAAATGATCAAAAAGTTCAATTGACGTAAAATTGAAATTATTACCCCATTGATGCCCACCCGTTCCATTGCGACTGCTTGGTTTGTATTATATTCATTTATTTTCAATAATGAAAAGGAAATGAGCAAATCGTACAAGTTTATCGCCCTGATTTTTATGTATTTCCTGAACTATATGACTGACACCTCTGTCTTTCAGTCGCCACTACATTAAAGTTTGAACTGGATGTTCATTCAATCATTTGCCTTCGAGTAACAAAGTGAAAGTGACCCATCGGCATTTCTAATTCAAACCCACATTTGAAATACAAATCCCCTTGTAAAATCACTATTCCATGTATTAGTGATTGAAATTTCCAGTACTATTTTAAAGTTAATGTCTTGGCAATTCTTACAAATATATGAAACAATTGGCAACCATGCAATATTCTCAGGAAGAAGCCTACAACCATAATTAGTGTAAGGAATAAGTAAGTTAATGGTTTGGCTTTACTTTATTGAAATAAATGCAATTTAAGAACTATTTACAATTCAGAATAAATAGATAAATGGAACAGAAACAAAAAATAATCTAACTAAACTAAAGGAAAAATAAGCAAAACGTGTATCCAACTAAGTAATCCAATAATAAATAATAAAGAGTAGTTACTTGTATCGTTCACAAATGAATTTAAGGTAAAGCCTTCCTTTGCTAATTATCTATTTTAACAAATTGGCAAAATTTAACAATTTTAGCAAGACACAAGTTGTCCCATTACAGATAAATAGTTTAATGCGCATTTATTATATTGATATTATTATTTTCAGATATTAGTGTATCATACATACAATACAATGATGAATACCAAAGTTCCCCACACACTAGGTCTATCATACCTAGAAACAGTTTATGGTGATTTAGATCAAATTTTATCAGAATATGAAGATGATTTTATTTGGCTTGATGAAATATTGGAAGCTTGTAAAAAAGCCTTTGTTACGTAAGTTTTGAGTATTGTAAGAAATACAAGAAAATATGATAAGCTTATAGATTTAAATAAATTTTCTGTGGACTTTGGTCAAGTCTTTTCAGGATTCTGTTAAAAAAGAATGGTATGAACCTGACTTCATAACATACCAGTACAAGAAAATTGTCAGTTTTTGGAAAAAAAAAATCAAGAAGAATGTTTCAAAGCCATCAAATTGGTTAGGCTATTTAAAGATATAAGCTTATATTCATATTTATTTCTTCACATTTTTATCTATCTTGTAATATTTCTAGGCCAGAAGTGGAGTTACTTCCAAAGACTCCATCATTTAAGAAAACTAGAAGTAGAATAATACGTAAACCTCAGTCTGCTGAAGTGTAAGTTATTTTTCAAGCATTTTCTTTTGCCTCTAAAGTGCAGTGATAGAGTTGATTCATTTCTCTTCAGGAAAAACTTCAACTCTCTTACTCTGTTTTTTCCTTTCTTTGATAGCAGTATTTGACTATTGAATTTTGTTTTAGTATTAATGAAGACAGAGAGAGTGATGCAGATGATGAAGAACAAACACCACCGAGTCGTAAACAAAGAGTTCGACAAAAATCAACCAAAACATCAAATTCCAACAATTCACGACCCTCACGTACCACACGATCTCGAAAACAAACCAATGACATATCAATGGAGAGCCCTAGAGAAAACAAAACTCCTAAAGCTTCATCTAAGATAGCTATGAAACTAAGTGAATGTTCTCAATTAGAATTATCAGACACTGATATGACCCCAGTTCCTGCCAAATCAAACACAAGTGTGAAGAGGACTCCTGTCAAATCTATTGGTGCTTCACCAGTTGTCAAAGGCTCAGTGAGAGAAAGGGCGTCGGCTTACGAAAATATGATAAAAAGAACGAGTGCAAGTCCACCAAAACGTACGCCAAATCAATCCTTTATCACACCTGATAAACATTTTACACCAGAACGCTATAACACCCCAGATACAGTAAAACATGTTAAAACAACATCTGTTATATCACAGTTATCTGCTGACAAAAGACAAAGTAAATCAAACCGTAGCTCCTCCTCTCATAGAAGGTCTTCACGTAAATCACTCAAAGTTTTATCAACTAAGTTAAAACGACTGTCATCACAAGGTTATTCAGCTAATAAACTCTCCATACCAAATCATGTAGTAGCAGATTCTTGTTCTTCTGAAGAGGTAGAGGTATGTAACAGTCTTTTTTATTGAGGATAATTAGCAATATTTTTGACTTTGCATTTTGAAATTAGTACCATTTAAGCTGATGATTTTTCAAAGCATACCTCAAGAGTGTGTTATATTTTTATGTTCTGGTTGCAATTCTTTGCGACTGCCTTGAGAGGTTCTATAGTAGGAATTTTCTCTCATTTCTATGATGGTTGATTCTTTCTGAAAATCTATTGAATTGAATTTTATAAATAATGTCTCAAATTCTCATAAAGTTGCTGATCATTCATAAGTAAATGAAAGTGTTTCTGAAGAAGGCGGTTAGCCGAAACATTAAACAACAAGACAATAATATAGTTTAAAATAATTCTGTAGGAGCCTAAAGAAGACAAAAAGAAACCTAGAACAAGATTGCGATTAAAAAAGAACACTTCAGAGGTAAGTTTCACTTTTTATCACGTCATGAGAGGCATATAAATGGATTCCTGAATTTTCTTTATTAATTAAACCACCATTGAAATAAATCCCCAAAGAAAATTAAAGATGACCCAATTTATGATTTCTGTATATTTCAGACAAGACAAGAAGACAGTGAAACAACAGAAAATGAAGAAAGTGAAAGCAGATTGGCATATCAATCACCAGTTAGAACTCCTGTACCTAAACCTCGTACAACAATAACACCGAAATCAACACCTGTTAAACAACCTAATCTGAATGCAACTACCACTATAGTAGAGGATAGTGATGAGGGCCAGACTGTTACACCTGTTAAAAAACTTCGTATTAGTTCCAAGAAATCAGTAGAGAAAGAACAGCTGGTGTCAGAAACAGACGAAGTAATGGAGGTTGGAGAGTCTTCAGATGAAAAATCTAACAATAAAAGGTCTGTTACCAATGAAGATAGAGATTCTGGTATATCAGGAATACTAAGTGCTCAATCGAGTGCGGTTAGTTTAAAGAATTTGGAAGTTGAAGGTAGTTCAGGTCGAGCCAGTCGGTCAGGAGTCAAGAAGAACATTGTGTCCTCACCTATATTAGAATCAAGTGATGGAGATAATTCTGTATTTGTAGAAAATACTATGAATGAATCTAAAAGGTAAGAAATTATTCTGATCATTGATTATTCAGGAGGAAATAAATTCGTTGGAAGACAAAAGATGGCTAGCAAAACCAGGAATATCTGTATTGCTATTTTTTAGACCTAGTCGTTTGCTTATGAGTGAATTCTTATATAGTCTATAAACACTTCATGGAATCTTTATGAGTTTTAGTTATGAAGTCTGCCTTTGCCTTCTTTATGACTGAATTATTTAACTATATTTTATAGGAAAAGATCTGAAGATAGTGAAGAAGTTACAACTGTTTCCAGACCAAAACGTTCCTGTGTTGGTAGCCTCAATAATGTGTCTGAAATGGTCAGTAGAAATTTTACCGTTTTTGTTTTCTCATATCTTCTTTTACCATGAGGCCAATCTATCTGTTTTTGTTGCACTTTGTAGATGTATTGGTACATAAACATTGATATGTAGCCTCGTTGTTGGATGGTGCAGAAAAGTAGGACGTAAAACTCCATTCATTTCATTTCGTTGTTGGTTGGTTATATCAGTCAGTAGAGTTATAGGACCAGATAATATAGTGTTATAATTATTACTATTACTACACTCTGTATTTCACCCACCCCTTTTTTCCCCATCATTTTGTGGCACTATTTGTAATGGTTTTATTGTTAAATTGTTTCAGGATGAAGAAGAGCAGGAAACAGTTGAACATTCTGATTCTGATGAGTGAGTTTTCAGTCTTTTCTTTGCGTTGTGTTTTTAAGCTATGCTTTACGCTTTCAATGATTTTCAGTAAACTAAACATCACATTTTGATAAGGGAGTATTTGAATGTCGTATATCTTTGATTTCTTCAGTGTTTCTGTAAGTATTTAAACATGGCATGTTAGTGTACTTATATTAAGCAATGCAATTACAATGCTCATTGTATTTTGTCTAGTTATGAGAGTATGGAAGATAGTGATGATGATAAAACTCCACCAGTTTGTCCACGAGCTAAGGTAACTCTTCTTGCTAATCTCTTATTTGTGATTATCATCAATAAACGTTTGCAGGGCGGTCAAGACACCTACACCTCTTGTCAAGGAAAACTTGCTTATGTCTATAGGGTTCTACTTCAGTTCTGGGCACTCACAGCTAGTGCTCAATTACAAAGAATGTACAAAATATTAAATATTAAATTATTATGTAAGCTTGGTAAAAAGATATTTTCTGTCATACATGAATCAAGATGATATAGATTGATGAATTATACTTAACCCTGTATTTAATATTTCGTAAATCTGTCCAGTGTTGAATTGAGAAGAATATGTCATGTTATTGCAGTTTGTAAAATATAAAATATGTCATGTTATTGCAGTTGGTATAATATAAAATATGTCATGTTATTGCAGTTGGTATAATATAAAATATGTCATGATATTGCAGTTTGTAAAATATAAAATATGTCATGATATTGCAGTTTGTAAAATATAAAATATGTCATGTTGATGCAGTTGGTATAATATAAAATATGTCATGTTGATGCAGTTGGTATAATATAAAATATGTCATGATATTGCAGTTTGTAAAATATAAAATATGTCATGTTGATGCAGTTGGTATAATATAAAATATGTCATGTTGATGCAGTTGGTATAATATAAAATATGTCATGTTGATGCAGTTGGTATAATATAAAATATGTCATGTTGATGCAGTTGGTATAATATATATTAATGATATCTTTACAGATAGTTAAACCTGTAATAAAGAAAGCTGTCACGACACCTAATAGACCATCTAATCTAGTAGGAGGATTCGTTCATTCCTTTATAAAACGTAATACCCCTGTTAAACCTGCTACCCAGTCAATAGATCAGAAACAGAAAGATATATTAGATAAAGAAAGAAAGAATGAATTAAGATTACAGAAAAAGAGAGAAATGATGAATGAACAACTGAAAGAAAGGAAAAGGTATATATAGTATAATCTTTAAATGACATTTAGAAGTAGACGTAACATAACGTAATTAAATGAAGAAAAAGATTATCTATGACACTGTTTTTCTCTTTCGAAGTACCGTAGTTTTATTATGAAATATTTTGAATTTTACAGATTGAGATGATTTAAGAACTGATTGTTCGAATAAAGTTTATGAATTAATATATTTGCTGAAAGTAAAGTGACTGAAAGTTTGACCAACAAACATTGCTTAACTCCTGATTTTGAAAAATCTATTCTTTCAAATTGTTTAACAATAAGTTAAGTGATGATGTTGTAAGGTGTAATCTGAGGTATTGCTGTATTAATATATTGTTTGTAATGTTTAAACTATTTACAGGTTACGTGAAGAAAGAATGGAGAAAGTAAGAAGATTAAGAGAAGAACAAGAGAAACGTGATTTAGAAAGTAAAAAACAGAATTTATTAAAGCTAGATGAACGTGTTAATAATAAAGATAAAATAGAAGAGAAAGTAAGGGAGGAAAGAATATTGAAAGAGAAACACAGGTAATGATAATTATGTAAAATGATTTAATGTTATTTAAATATTCATAGAAGACTGGAAGACAGTAGCTAAATATCATTTTAACCATCTAATACAGATTTGTTTCCAACCAAACAGAGATGAAAAGTGGTATCTAATTGTGGTATTTGGAAAGGTTGTTGTAGTGTAACTAGAAAGTAGTACACTTGGTATTTATAAAGATTGACATTACATCCATGTGGAAGTGGAATAAGAAATATTAAAACAGAACCTGAAACATGCTGTTACTTAGTTTCAGCGAGTGTCTTGAATAATGTAAATAACTTGTGTATAACAACAAATAAATGATGATTTGTTATATTTCACCAGACAACAGAAACAGAAGAATTTAGATGAGAAAAGGTTAAAAGAAGAAGAGGAATATATTAATCGTATAAAACAAGAACAGGTAGGATTTATACAAGTATGGTGCTGAAGTTTGCCACTGTGGCTCAGTATTTTGTTAAGCCCTGATAGTTCAGAAACATTACTCCATTTTGGTTGTTTCATTTCTGAACTCTAGCAGTGTAATTATCTTTTGTAATGGTAGTTCAGTATTTTTTCAAAGTGTTCTACAAAACACTAATCAATTCAAACCCTTCACAAAGTACCTTTCATAGCATATGGTAATTTTCTGTCAGGGTCTCTTGTATTGATTTCAAATAGCCTTCAAATAAAACACTATATGAAAGTAAACAAATATTCTGATGAACGTAATATAAACTTATTGTTTTCTCAAATTACAGGAAGACAAAGATAAAAGAATACGAGATATGTTTCAAAAGAAAAAAGAACAAGCTGAACATTCCAGATTAAAACGTCTAGCTGAACAGAAGGAAGAGGAGAGATTAGCTAAAGAAAGAAAAGAAAGGTTTGTATGTCTTCCTCAGCATCTTTCATGATTTTGACAGACCCTGACCCTGTGGCTGTAAAAATCCACAAAGTATTTAAACATTTCAAAGATCAAGATGTCAAGCAGTACATACTGAGGCAGACTATAGGTATCACTAGTTGGGAATTTGAAAAATTTCTTGACTGGAAAGTTGAAATCTGCTGAGCAGACAAGAATGCCACTCACTGTCTGTCTTCTATAAATACTTCTATCAAATTGAAATTAATATTGTAACAAATTATTTATTATAGAGAATTGAAAGAGAGAGAACACCAAGAGAAAATAGATAGAGAAGCTAGAATTCAGAAAGAAATGGCTAAACTACAAGAATTAGAGAAAGCTAGATTAGCCAAGATAGCAGAAATGAAAGAACAACAGAAAGCAGAACAAAAAGCTAAAATTGCTGCTGCCAATGCTGCCAGTGCTGCAGCTGCAGCTCAGAAAGCTAAAATGAATACAACAATGGATAAATCTGAAAATAATCCAAGATCGTAAGTCTTTTTTGTTCGATCTGTCACAAGTCTTGTCCTGGTTCTAAAAACTATACTAAAACTAATTAATGTCAAGAATTATTGTGTATATTAAGATAACAGAACTATTTCCATATGAATATATTGTAGAAAATATGTTAATATTAAATAATAACACAATCATACTGCATGATCACAGGAATCTAAACCATTCCTCACTATAACTGGATATGATGTGCCAGTAATATACTTATTCTGATGTATTGCTATGAATATTAAAGATATAATTGATATATAATATCTACCCTATAGGTACATGATAACACCAGATAAAAAAATAAAAGATAACAGTAGTAATCAGGATTATAATATACAAGATCTACACTCTGATGATTCCACTGATGATGAGGATGCTCCTAGAAAGAAAATTCCAATTTGGGCTCAAGGTACTTTATTCATATTATTTCTTATTTATTATTATCATCTTGTCAATTTGAATATCAAGTCTATTTTGGACTGGTGCATTTGAACTTTGAACCTAAACAGTAATTGAATCTAATTACTAACTATTTTAGTAAATGAAACAACTAAATTTTGTATTTTTCAGGTAATAATTTGAAGGCAGCTTTAATCAACCAAGAATATCATCCACCTAAATTAGATGAGATATTTTCTGTGGTACCAGACCTAGATCTAAATGATGTATTTGTTAAGAGAAAACCCAGATTTAATAAAAGAACAAGTTCAGCTGTTTGGGATTCTCCAATGTTAAAACCATGTCAAGCAGCTCAATTTCATGTTTAAATATTTTATGATATAAGAAATCATATTCATATTTCATACAGGACCAAGTCATCACTTACATTATTTTTTAATGGAAGAGATATAAGATCTGTTCATGTGATATTGGTGGAGCATATAGTATCTATGAGTGTACCTGATTAACATAAAATGACTAGGAAAAACAGTCTATAAGGGGCAAAATAAATTTTAACTATCAGATTTAGAAGTTTAAATTACTGTTATAAATTACATAATTATCATTTCTCATTTGTAAACAACAATTAATTATTTCAATATACAGTAATTTTAGAAAGTGTATATATAAAAACATCTTATAGTAAATTGTATCAATTGTTTTATAGATTGGTATTTAGATCTTATTCTGTCATTGTAATATAACTAATAAATTATATACTAATATCTCATCTTATGATGCAAAGTCAAAGAAAACTTAAATATTTGCCTGTTTCAAAATAGCAATAGGAAATTGAAGTTCATCAAACTTGATGGGGTTCATAAAATTCTTTTACCTTAAGCCTTAAAAACTTCCAACCCTGAAAGCTTCAATGTGACAGGATTTGGTATGAGCTGCTTCTGGTCACAAATATATCTTAGTTCTATATCTAGTAATATATTATATCACAGAGTAAGGTATGAAAAATTGATGTCAAAAATGATGGTTTGAGTTGCATGTCAACATCTCAGCTTAAGAACAAGTTAGTAAAATAATAAGTTAATCATTGGTGCTTTAAAAAGGTGATTATTATATTATGTTTAGGTATAGTGATCAATTTGTTGGTTTCTTTCCTTTACGTTTTAATCAACCGTCTTCTAATGGAATGTTGAAAAGTAGCACGTAAAACTCTATTTATTTATTTTCATTTCTAATGGAATGTCAAGAAGTTCTAAAACTGTATAAACATATAATAATAATCAAGGTGATGTTATTTGCCAATGATTTTAAGCATATTAAAAAAAAGAATGACAATATGGGTGCAAGTTATCAATGGGTGGAAGTTATAAAGAGGACTAATATTATTTAACAGGACCCTGTCACCAGTTGTGTATAAAAATAGCAGTCATAAGTTTTGAATGCAACTGAGCTGTGAGTTGGGTTTGGAACTTTCATTATTCACTACCATATGGTGTGAGGGCACCTTAAAGTAATAAATGTAACTAACTGTGTTTTCTGATAGAAAAGTTTGTATAATGTTGATAATATATTCATATTTTGTTTTTATTTGTCTTGTAGATATATTCTGTTTTCAGAATTATTATAAAAATCATATTCCTCTCCTTAATTTCATTTAACATTCTTCCTTTCTTTTCTGCCATTAATCATACATTCAAAATTATTTTGAGATGAACAAACGAGCTATCTTAGAACAAAATATTTGAGCCTTTGTATTTATTTATTCCATCAAATTAAAGAGTTAACTAATTTGTTTTTCATAACACTGAAATGTAAGGTCAGTCATATATTCCTACTTAATTTAAGTATACATTTACACAATTCCCTCATGTTCACCATTATTCCCTGTAGATTGTAGAAATGTTTATCTTAAAATAACTCAAAGAATCCATTAGTCTAGTTCAAATGGATTTTTTGAGCCACCATCATTTCATTTCTGACTCCACTGTGACTTTTCAAATCTATTGTAATATATTTCATACTTGTGGCCTTGTTTGTTTTAATTTTGTTGTGTGAATTTGTAGATGTCTGATATAAAGTATGATGTTTATGATAATGAATTCACATGACAAGTAGTATGTAGAGAAACAAGAGTTCAGTCAGATTGTTGTATTTTTATTATTTTTTTAGTGCTTGATTATAATAAAGTTTAATGTCTATATTATTATATATATCTGTATTTTGGGGATTATTATGTGGAATGATTCAGTTCGTAACAATTTGGATTGTCTTTTTCCTAAGTAGGAGGTGGAGCCAGATCTGATGATATGGCCAGTATATTCCAGATTTATATTTGATGATCCACAAAAGCTGAGTAAGTCATGCGTGCTCACTTGACTCTTGATTTTTCTGCATGTTGAAGTCGCTTCCTCTACCAAAGTTTGTTATGGTTCAGATAAAGTAAAACAAGACTTATGAAGTTTATTTTATTGGGTGATAATATCTCTTTTCTACATCTTTATACAGGTTGATAAACATTAACAGTGAAAAAAGAGATCTAATAGTCTGAAATAAACAGTTATAGGGGAAATCTGGGAGAGGAGTACACACAACTAATATCCTATCCAATTAATGTTCATTATGCTAATCTAAGAAATGTAAAAATAATAAAAACATTATGAACATTTGTTGACATATTTATATTAATAACATTGTGCAAAAAAACTTCAGCTCCAATTCGTAAAAAAACAAACAATATTTTCCAAATATAACCTGTGTTTGTGTTCTGCGAGTGAAATGGCATCTCAACTCTTTCAAAATAACTGATATAAATTATGAAGGAATTTTTCTACATGAATAGTATGAAGTCAACAAGAAGTTATGTTTTGATTGCCTTATTCTGGTTTAATTCATTTCCCTATGGTGATAAAACCCTAAAATAGCCACAATTATAATCATAGAAAAAATGAGTTTAAAAAAGACAAAATAACAATGCACATTGTGGAAATGCTTTCTAATAAAACCAAATGTTATTGACCAAGAATTGTTTTTCTTAAATTTTCTCTTACCATGTTTTCATTCACAGAACCAAACACAAGGTCTGCTAACTGTAAAGTTAACATCAAACTTTGACAAAACTTAATATTGCTTATACTACTAAATAGAATCTTGAACAATAATAATATTTACAACTTTTCCATTATACTTTTATATAACACAACAAATAAATAGAGAGTATTTCACATGTCATCTTGTAGTTGAAGGATAATTGTGTTTTACAACATCTCAGTCTTTCATTAGAGACAATTAAATAATTTTATACATTATACAATGCTTTAGAAGGTTGGAGTGAAATTCTGTAAATGCAACCACATCAAACAATTCTACATACATTTAAACATTTTTTATCATATTTTGTGTAACATAAAAAAAAGTAGGTTAACCAAAAACTATTATGAATTATATCTCTGTCATTCTTATATTTCCAAAGAAATTTCTATGTTATTAGTAGACAGGTTTTGTCTGGGCATCTGAGACTAGGTAGTTATAAGACACAATTATCCAGACTATAAAATGGTATAAGAATTTGTTAAACTTCAGTGCTGGAACTAATGAGTGCAATAATACAAATATAGACTCAATCTCTTATATTGAATGGAATGCACAACTGTTAACATAGGGTCATTTAGACTGTCATAAAACCATCTCTTGTTTCTGTAGGCTATAGGCCTACTCATTAGTATTGTGTATCCAAGGTACATGTCAGAAGCAAAAATAATCTCTAGTCAAGTAAATTTGTCATTGAATTTTGAACAAATTATCATATATCCTAAATCCTAACGAGTCATGTTAAAAGATTTCATGAATATGCCACAAATGACGGTTTCATAAAGATCTAAAGAGTGTTATAAATTCATTTCAATTCAGGCACATTGTCTTGATAACAACTTCATAGCTTCATAATACAAACTAAAGTGCCAATTCTGTAAATAGAATGATTATCTAAAATACAGTAATAAACTACATCAGTTTAGATTTTATAACAGTCTAAAGCCAGCCCTAGTTAACAATATCATAATATATCACCTACCAATTATTATATATACAACCATTATAACATCCAACTAAATATCATTACCATATACTATTACCAACATACATTATGGCCATGCAGTGTACGTACAGGTGAACTACAATTCATCATTTCGTACTTATTACGATTCCTTATACACTTGAAACTCAATACAAATTATAGTCCAGCTGAAATACTTGTTCAAATCAGAGAACTGAACAAAATATGAAAAGCTGAGATATCTCTTCACTTCAGACAACTCTTCAAAACAGAAAAAAAACATTTATTTAGTTTTGAGGTATATCAAATAGTCATAGAAACTATACTACCCAGACATATATATTGTGTTCATTACCACTTAAAACTACCTCATTATAATGTAAACTGCTCAAGTATACTGCTTGCCATTTTAGAGTTGAAGTCAGTCATGATAGGCAAATAAATTCAAAGAAACAAGCTGTTTTGTTGTCATTGATTTGTGTTAACGTAACAGTTCATTTATCATCTCCACTGAAATATGTTTTTAACATACAATGCCGACGGTAATATGATTCACCACAAACCAGGGGAAGGTTAGGTTTGGAAATCTACACAATAAATATTCAGGATAGAAAACCAATTGTCCATATAGTCATTAAAAGACAAAAAACAATTGGTATATTTATCTTTTAAATTTCATATTATATTCTTTTAACTCCCATTCTCTGTCTAGGCTGTTAGCTATATTTAAAACAAAATGTTCTTTCAGCAAAAGTCTCTAAGACAATTTTACAGAGAAAACAAATTATGTCCAACTCCAAACTGACTATACAAGACTAGTACAAGGACAATTTCTCAACTTTCAATTATCAAATTTACACCTCAAAAACCAAAATAAATACAAAAATTTATAATAAATTAACATTAACAAAATTAAAGGATTTCAGAAAATAACAACACTATCACAGAAGTCTTAAACACTAGAGAATTTCAGACTGGTAGATTGTGTCTAAACAGGTAGTCTAGAATTTCTTGTCATTATGCCTTTTGAATGTAAAGGAAATTTTATGCATAATTCATAGTTGAAATTGTGCTTCATTACATTAATTCATTAGAGTCAATATCTGATATCTGATTCTATTAAATAATACTTTAAGAAATCCATTATGTGTGCATAATGTTACATTATAGTAATCATTATGCAAATTTATGCAAATTTTTAATATCATTTATCATAAGATGTATTAAAGCATTTTAAATGTTAAGTAATATGCGATCTTTGTACACCTTCTTTTTTTGCACTGAAAAAATAATCAAAGAATGTCAAAAAATATTTAGAATTTCAACCAATTCAGAGAAACAACCCAGACATTTAATGAGTTTCAGATTTGCACTTTTGTTTGAATTGGTTGATAATCTAAATCAATTTGCAATTCAGTAAATACTTGGTATATTGTAAGTTGATAGTTATATAAAACTGTAAGAGTTGTGGCCATTATAAAACAATGTATAATTCTCAATGGTAATATATTTGATTATAGTAAAACCTAGATAACTATGATCAGAGTTATATTATAAAATGGTCTCATGTAATTTTATAAATCTACTTCTAGAATTTTTCTAATAATTTCTTAAGACTATTTCTGTTATTTAGGAAATTCAAGAGCAGTCTGTAAAATTTGACTACCGCTATTTGTTTAGTTAAATGTTTTAGATTATTATAGGTATATACAATAAAAATTGTTTCATTTATCTATAAATAGTGCTTTCAATATGCCATTGAAGGTTTTTTTCTAGACTTATTGTAAACGTGTTCTGAAAATATTTCAAACCATTGAGACATGTTATGTTTACCACTGAATCAATCTTGTTTTGTGTTATCTTATATATTTTGCTGTATCTTTATAAATGATAAGATTTTATTTTTAAATATAGATAACTGAAGTGAAACTATAATATATACAATTAACATCACAGTAGATACCCTATAGAATTCTAGCTAGAGACAGATACAGGCTCCATACTTTATTTCATCATTACATTACTTAGCCTACATACTTATACTTTGTCTTCACAACAATTTTTCTAAAATATATGTAGTACTATGCCTTTGGTTAATTATAATTGGAAATTGAAAGTAAAAGTATTATTTTGTATATAGAATCTACAAAGATCTACCTCTAGCTAGAATTCTGAATAACAAATGATTATTAAATATATCTTGTTACTATAAATAGACTAGCTTTAACAGAAATATTATACACAACATATTGCACTTGTTCACAATAATTACACAGTTTATATCTTTGTTCATAGTTCATAGTTAAATACTTGTTCACAGTCTTATATTGATGGGCTGGGGGCTGTCAATGTGTCTATACAATGGAACAGCTCTATGGGCGTAAAATAATGATTATAATTGAAAGTGTACACAAATGCAATTATTGTTATATTAATAATGTATTGTCTATACTATACTACACAATACAATAGTATTTAATACAAGTTTTCGAATCCAGGACATAAAAATGTGAAAATCCATTTTATTTCTAATCAAGAATCTCTGCTGTTTTCTAAAGTCATACTATTATTTACAAATGATATTTAAGCAATATTAAATAACTTATTCTAATCATACTGATATACTTTTGGAATTTCTAGCACACTCTGTTATATTGCACTAGAGAATTAAAGTTTTTTATAGAAAAAGATTGTGTTTTTTAAAATATCTGCAGAAAATTAAATTGTTATGGTAAAGCTGTAATCAATTTGTATGGCAGTGATATTTTCAATGTATGAAACTTGTATGTAAGTTTTTAGAGTAGTTACATTACAATACAAGACAGTGATCAATTATTCACTTCAACTAGAATTTGTTCCCAGATACACAGAAGAACTAAAAATAAACTCATATCATACAAATAGACAATAAATAAAACATAGATCAGCAATTTACAACAAATAAAATCACATCCATAATGGAATGAAAAGGTCCCCAATTTGAGCAGAATGATTTCGGGGAAAACTAAGAGGTATTTGATCCTGTTAACTAAGCCACTTTTAACGTGAAACTCTCAATCTCCGGCCGTGCTATTGGTGCAATATTAGAACCAATCTGGAAGAGAGGATGGTCAAGAGGTCTATAGCGGTAGACTACAGACTACAGCATTCCACCATCTTATTTATCTATCACCAGTCACTTGAGGAAATAATCACTGTTAAAATTGGTACCATTTTTTATCCTTGTATTTCATCATTACTTGATGGGCTGCTTGAGCAAAACTTTCTGCTTGTGCCATCATCTGAGCTGATCTATCATCTAGCTCTCCTATTCTCTCTCCTCTTTCATTTAGAGCCTGTAATAGATTGGTATAGAAATTATTTAGAAGTCATAGTTATTATCTCAATTTACATGATATCATTTCAAGTCAATATAAAATATATTATATCAAACTAAGGTTTGACTCTATATTTTATATAGCTATATTTTAACAAAAAATCAAATTATATAGTAGGACAACTCCATATATACATAGCATAAATTCCAATAGGCAGCAAATATAATGCAAAGGTAAGTAATAACATTGTATTAATAATAACATTATTTATAAGTTAAGTTTGTATCATAAGAATTATTGGTTATTAAAAGTTGGCAGTTTTAACATTTGTCAGTTATGCATCAATGAACAGAGAAAGGAGAAACAGTTTTAACTATTTCTATACCTAAACAGTACAATCAATATAAACATATGAGAAAACTTACCAATCTTGTACGAGCTAAATCTCCAGCAATACCCTGACTTTCAGCTTTAAGATGAGCCATTCCTCCAGACCCTGGTATATGTTTAGCTAAACCTTTAGATGCTTTACCACTAGCTTCTCCAACTACAACACAAATACAAATCTTAACAACTAGACGATTATAAGTTACAAACTTTCTGACAGCAGATTGCAGCTGTTAAATACTGTTATGATTAAACTCTAGAGCATGTAAACAAATAAGCAAGTATATACATAAGTATTTTCTAAAGGTATTTCTCATAACATTTCTCAAGAGATAAGAATAAGTATTCAACTGAACAATAAATAATTTCTATAGAAATTGTGTTCCATCAGTTCCGATAACAAGCTTATTTATTTGACACAGGTGAGGCATTGATTGTTTTGTCTTAAACTAACTTTTAACAGTATCATCTCTATTTGACAACAGCTCATCTCATTTTACAAAATAGTAGAAGATTCAGATACAATGCAAACACAAATAGTTTCTTCTATTTATACAGTTAATCTTACAATGTATGCTGTACAGGACACCCCACATTTTGTATTCACACCTTACGTCCACAATTAAATCAACCTAAAGATACTTACAGAGTTCTTCTCTATCTAATGTACCTGTCGTTCCACCAAATAAATTCTTAAAAAAACTCTGTTTTGGTGCTTCAGGGGTTTCACATGGTAAAAATAAATCTCCTAACATTTCATTTAAATTTTCACTGAAAAAGATGTAAATATCAACATCAAAACAATGGTTCTCACCTCTCCGTCAGAAAAACTATACCAAAGCAAAGATATTTTAACCCTTACTTTGTGTACAGAAACATAATTTTTGTGAAAGATCCTTTACATTAAATTACAGTGGGTACTTGTGTTTGTTTTTCTCAAATCAACATATCATCCTGATAAATATTTTTGAGTGGCTTGCATTGAAGACAAAGTCATATTAGTGAATCTGTATCCATCTTCAATTTATTCTCATTATAACAGAATATCCTGTCATATCCTGTAGATGTAAAAAGAACTGCATCTGACTATTCCTAAATTATAAGGTAAAGATACATAATTACATACCATATCTCAGAAGAATAAGTTATTTTCTGTATTTCAGTAGGGGAACACAAATATAAGGCATGACCACTATTACTAAAACAAAATGTGCGAGCCACCCTGAAGTTAAAAAGAGTAACATAAGTAATGACTTAATAAGTCAAGAGTCGATAATATTTCAACAAAGCCTTCAAATATCAATACAAATACCCTTGTCAATTCCGAGTCTTCAACTGAATTATCTTTTATAATGGTACAAGTAAGGAATACAAGACAAATAACAAGTTATATGATTGTAATAAGATAGAAGACAAACCTGTAATCAGTAAGAGGGAGAAAATCAACATGAAGTAAAGGTTTTAAACTGGGTAAACTATGAGCCATTATTCTACCATTAGCTACATAACTCATTAAACATACACTTTCTATAAATACAAATTATTAATCACTTATAACATCATACAATAATACATTTACATATCTTTCAAATAACATTAAAATACTTGAAATAGATGAAAGATTTCATTTTGATTTTTAAGATAATACACCTTCTCAATATTCTCATTTAGAATTGATGGCATAAAGACTGAAATATTCAACAGATTATTGTAAATTTCTGGTAAAGTTACATAAAACTAACTCCACATTATCTTTCATTGTGACTTTAGCCAGTGGTTTACATAGAAGTTATAATAAATTAATACTATTTTAGCTGTGCAAATAAATATCCTAACTGATGAAAACTTAGTACATACCTCTAACAGAAACAACTTCAGCACGAACAACAAAAGATGTTTCTGTTATCTGGGTTTTATAAGCACAAGTTTGGGAAGGTAAAGACATGACCTAAAAATAAACACAACAGATATAAATTAAAATGAAATGATCATTTACAGATTTCACTGTCTCAAAAATTTGTTTGAAACACATGGTCATGAAAGACAAAAGTGTTTTGGCTCCAAGAAAAACATTAGTTTGTTAAGAGTTTTTTTTATTCTGAAACTTTCCCCTAAATTGGATCATGAATTTTATCATTTACGCTTGTGTTCTACAAAAAAAAAAAAATTTTTTAAAATTTAGTATTAAGTCTTATAATTCTTTCTGTATTATAAATAACTGATAAGGAATATTTTTTAAATACATAATACTGATAGAAAAAATATTAAACACAATCTGATTCTTACCCTTGCTTGTTTTTCAGAACAAATAATACCAAATTGTCTGTCACTCATTTCTGTTGAAGATGTGGGTGATATTCTTTGTTTACTAGATACAGACATTTGTCCTGAAAAATATATTAATACATATTACTCATCATGGTGGACTATTATAACTTTTTAATAATACAGTGGCCTTATTTGTGAAGACTTAACTTAAGATGATTTTAGCAATGCAATCATTCGAGAGGTCAATGACTAAATTTGATTTCTAATTTTTTTTTTTTCACCAATCAGATAATCATATTTCTTAAATTCTGGATTTTATCTTATGTTTTTGAGAATTACGGCCTTGATTCCTCAATGAGTTTTTTTAAAGGTTTTACAAGTAGATTTTAAATGTTATGTATCTTTAAGCATTTCTAAAATCATAAACCACAGACACCTGACAGAAAATTTGAATAATGATAGAAGCCAGAAGTGATCCTGATACACAAAAAAGTAAGGAAATGTTCTCACAAAATCAATAATTTGATAATGATAAGGTAACTTGAATAGTGTGATCTTAAAATGTTTTGTACAACTAACACACAGTATTATAATATATATCAATAACATATTTTACTCAAAATTAGAAATAAAAATAACTTCTTGTAACTTACTAAATTTAAGAGCTCTTTCATCTCTAGTTAATTCTCGAGCTTCTTTCCCTGACGTTTCTTTCCATTGTTCAGACTGTGACGGTATTAAAACTCCATTACAATCTAGGAATGACATTGCTAAAATGGCCCCTTTTAATCGAAATATTGTACCTGAAACAGACAAACACCATGATAAAACTGTTTTAACCAATGACTGAAACTATAACTGGTTGAGTTTAACAAGAATTAGTTGCGTTAAACTAGAACTGGTTTATACTTAACACTAAGTGAAACTATAACAGGTTGTATTAAACTATAACTGGTTGAGTTTAACTATAATTAGGTGTCTTAAACTAATTCTGGTTTATACTTAACACTAAGTGAAACTATAACAGGTTGTGTTAACTAAAACTGGTTTGCAGTGGCATTTCAAGAAAACATTAGGTGAGGGGGCCGAGCAGGGGCCAAAACAATTTCCAGCTTACACATAAAACTGGTTTGTACTTACCACTAGGTGAAACTATAACTGGTTGTTTTAAACTCAAACTGGTTTATACTTACCACTAGGTGAAACTGTAACTGGTTGTGATAAACTATAACTGGTTTATACTTACCACTAGGTGAAACTATAACTGGTTGTGTTAAGCGTTGGTCTCCTGGTGGAGGTAAATTTAAAACTATAACTATAACAGATCCAAGACTTGTACCAACATATAAACATGGACATGTAAAATTATCTACAATGTAAAGTTCAAAAATATATACATTCTTAAAAAGATATCAAATAGGAACAATATTACTTCATAAATAATATATTACTCAAATAATAAATTCATTTATTAACAGAAAGTAAACTGAATTACTTTCCGTCATTCAGTGTTTGAATAAGGGTGTTGAAACTACAAGTTTAATATTCATTTTGTATATCTAGTAGATTCCTGTTTTAAAGTCACTTGAAAAGGACCTTAATCTGACACATATAAAATAATAAATTATATCTATCATTGATATCAAATACTTTCCAACAAATCATAATCAATTGGGTGTCTGAGGTAAGAACCACATTTAATATAGATATGTTGTATGTTAGGTAAATAGTTGTTATTGTATAATGAACCTACCTGTTTTACGAGTATAAGAATCAGCGAATACTAAACATTGTATGGCCTCTTTTGATACATTTTCTATACTAGACATACTTGAACTGCGCGATCTTGAAAACGAAGACCCATCATTTCGATCTAGATAAAAACATAAAGTCTACATGTTAATCATTGATCATTTGAACTGAAATGAAGACAGTTTTACCTTGAATAATTGAGTACAGTTAAAAGTGATTAAAAGTTTTGAATTGTTATTGTTTAATTTTCTGTAATTTTAAGTTTATGGGTAAAGAAATTTTTTTAAAAATTTCATAAAAAATTAAAGACATAAGTAATTAGTCATTAAAGAATATTAACATTGATATCATCAGAAGACCTATCAAAAAAGAAAATCAAAATACCTGGAAAAAAAAAAATTCAATTACAAAAAAAATATTCTGTTCCACAGAAATATAAATTCATAATAATATACACAATACAATAATAAGAGGTGCCCACACAGTGAAATTTTCATGCTTTTTACAACATCAATATAGGTAACATCTATACCATTCAATTTACATGGTTAGAGGTCAATATAAATACCATTATTATAAATCTAGACTGCGTATTTAGATACTGTATAATCATGAATATAAGGTGCACCCTTCAGACTCTCGATAATATTTTAAATATGTCTATTCTTGATTTAGCAATGATTAACACAGAGAAATGCTTTTGAATAATAAACACAGTAATTTAACAGTTCAAATTTTATATACAAGTGAACTTCTTGAACATGAGATTTTCAATTTAACTATTATCCTAGGCATTGCCACTTCAATATCTTATTCTTTTGAAATTAATTTTTGATATTTTTTATATCATGATTTTGGTTGATTAAATTGAGATGACACAGAATATTTATACCAAGATATTATTGAAATATAATGTACGACAACAGGACTGCAATATACTTAAACAATATTTTAACTGCCACAAACAAATATCAGATAAAGAATATTTCCAAATTAAAGCAGATTTGAAATTTTAAACTCATGTATATTTGATTTATGAAGAATTTCAATGTCTTTATGCCAATATTTTAGAAACTGATGATTCAAATTTGGCACAACTGATCAAATATTTCAAGATTTAAATAAAGAGTGAGAAATAAACTAGAAATATATTGCTTTATTAGCAAAATGAATGTGGTTATATATATACATATACTTCAGTTTAATATGAAACTATAAATTATAACCATACACATACATTGTACACATATACTATCACTTGGCCATAAGACAAGACAATATAAAACTATTACAAACATAATAATAACAAAACTGGATTAGACTGGGTACACCCTATGACTTAAACAACTCGTTGTGTGGAGAACTTCTATCAATACAGCAAGAGACAACTAACATAAAATAATGGGAAATACTGGGACCTGAGACTAATATCAATTGTTTTTCAGGATATTAGTCTCATGTACTTCCTCATAATCGGAAGAGCCTTTTTTTTTTTATTGAAAATCGTAATTTTTACTACTGAATTTTGAGTATTGGATTAAGCCTAATTGTTCCTTTCAACTTCGAATAATTAGTATTTTAAAAGCATGTTAAACAAATTTCCTATGAAATACTAATTAAACATTATCAATTTGGAGATGGGTGATTTAAATTTGTTTGAAAAAAATAACAACATTACCACAGAGAATATCTGTAAGTGAAGAAATGTCCTACAATGTACTAACAATAAACATTAAAAATATACTGGAATTCTGTTTCATTAGGCTATTACATTTATATTAAATAAGGAATTATTGTTATTTAAGAATGGATGTCGCTCCATTTAAAGATTAGTGCAAACATCAATCAAGGTTCATGCTTTGTGCTTTCGTGGATGACATTTTGACTTTACGATATTTGGTTCATAGGGTGTCCGAATAATTTTACTACAACTAAATATAAAATAAAGCTGGGCACCTCCACCATTAGACTCTTCCACTGAGGCTACACTTTGTATTTTCTTCAATTTAGGGTTGGTACCTTGAGACTTGGTTCTTTGAATAGCTGGTGGCCGTTTATGTTTGAAAGTTGTGGGACTCAAACAAACGCCATTAATCTACAAATCAATGTTATAATCAAATTGGAAATTAAATAACAACATTCCTAGAAATCTAGAAATATAAAAAAATGTGCTAAAATATCCATGCTAATTAACACTAGAAGACTATAACAAGTAATAGTAGGGTGATCTAAGTGAGGTATAGAAACCATTCAGACAATTCTCAGAATTTAAACAGTGTATATCTGTCTCTTAAATTGAATAATAACCTCAATAAGAATGAAAGAAACAACTATATTTTACAAGGAGAACAACTGAGGATTCTTTCTACCAGCTGATGCTTGGCCTAACCTCTTGGCGTTGATATTTCTCTGATTATCCGTACCCATTTACTTCAAAGATGACTTATTAAAGGTCACCAGATTTCCACACTCTAACAGGGATTAGAACATAACGACTAATGATATAACATAATTACTATATTTTGATTTGTATAAGTAAAATCTAGCCAATGTTAATGATCATTCAAATTCTGAGAATATCTAAAGAAAGGTAAAGTAAATTGGATATAAAAACCAGATAACAAGAAACATTGACTTCTCTCACGAGTTGTAGAGAACCTTACCCTGAAAATATAACATTAAAAATACAACATGGTCCCAGTTAGTATAGGTTTGTATAGACAGAGGGTATATGTTAGTGGTAGGGTGGGAGATGCAAACAAAGGGACAGCACTCATGAAAATATCAGTTTAATTTGGGTTTATCATTCAAATTCTTTTGGAAATATTTCTTTGCTTTCTTTTCAAATATATTAGTATAAGTATAAGAATAAAATAACTAAATTCCTAATGGTTTATCAAATATCACTTTTAACTTATGTCCATGTTCCAAGACTAAAATGACATTTCCAAGATGACCAAGTCCCTATGTTTCTCACTCAACTGATATACCTACCCAATTTAAAGACATCCACTCCACTCATACGTCTTACAGTTGGTTTTTTATGTAAATGTTCACTTGTGAGATCAACAAAGTCAAACTTATAACAAGATTTGGGTTTTTCCTTTTCCTTTTCTTTGTCTTTTTCCGCGTGCGACTCGTCATGATCTGTATGCTTGAAGCCAGCCATTTGTTTGATTTTTGTACTCATTTTACGCATTAAACTTTTATTGAAGTGTGATTCATTTAAACTTGTGGTACAAAGTTCTGATTCATCATCTGTAACCTTATTATTATTATTTTCAACTAAATCAAGATTTTCATTGTCTTCCTGAGCACATTTAGACTTAAAGAAATCTGAATCAGGATCAGAGGAAGAGCGTCTAAGAAAAGGGCGTGGTTTAGGTTGTATTAAAGCTGTTTGTGGAACAGTCTGTTTATGGTGACTAGTATCAGAAAATGTTTTATTTAATGCTGTCTTCGTCTCAATATTTAATTGTAAATTTCTCGATTTTTTTTCAAAGCCACTTGTACTTTTTGATTTGTGTTTTAGTTTTCCTGGAGTTGAATCTTCACTTTTTGATTTTTTTTCGTGAATAGTTTCATACTTTACTGCCTGTTTTTCTCCATTTTTAGCGACTTTCTTTTCATACTGCTCCCTTTTGTCAGGTTTATCGCCTTTTTGCTCTGGTTTAACATAATCTTGTTCTTTTATATCGCTTTTTTCGTTCTTTTTTTCATTTTTATCAGACTTAGCTTCATCTTTGTCCTGTTTTTGATCATGTTTCTTATCTGATTTTTTTTCATCGTTAAAATAATTTTCTTGCATATCTGATAGATAGAACTCAGTGGTGTCCTGAGTTTCTCCGTTACGCGGCAAGAAAACGTAGGGTGTATACGGAGCCTCACTATCAATGTCTTTGTTCTCACAAGTGTCATTATCTGTAACCAAGGGATCCAGCTTTTTACTTCGACTCTTATTTCGCGGAGGTGGAATGGGTGCAACTAATTCAGGCTGACATTGTGTAGACTGAAAACCAACACCAAAACAAAAACAACAATTAAACATAAAGCAAACTAAAGATAAGATATATTGAATTCAAACCAAATATAATCAAATATCACAGATGCAGATCTGTACCATATTGTCAGATATAAAAAGTTATTAGTTATTATAGTAAATTAGCACAGGTTTATAAATGAGTTGCAGCAAAATTCAAAATTCAAAGCAAAAATAAAATTGATTTCATGTATAAACAGTCAGCTACTATTGCATGTTAATATGCTAGGTAACTTTTCTTTTCACAAAATTTTCAGCCCCATTTTTTTTCTTTTTCATGGAATAGAATTGCTTCAATTGAAGGTTAAATTTTGCTATGACCAATGGAGTAATGAACCATTCATAAGGTCAAAGTTTGAAGTAACGCAAGCTTGTGTTTTGACAAACTAGATCCTGCATCCACGATAAAAACAATATAAATATAATAAACAAACAATATCTAACATAAATAAAATATCTACAAAGATGGTAATGATCCACATGAAACAGGAAATCAACAAAAATTCAAAATTTGAATTCAAAAGAAATCCAGTAAATAATAAAATAGGCATGATTGTATAATTCCTTTATAACATAATTTGAGAACTTTTAAGAAAATAAAATACGAATGTTCTTATCAATTGAAGCTGGTTCAGGGCTGTTGCTTCTAAATTCTTACACATTCCGTTCTACTATTCTACCTTGTCCATTCATCGTGATAGAAAGATCAAATAGATACTGTCTCATCACAGGTATTCATATTGAGTTGTCCTGATAGATCTTATATCAAAAAAATATATTGGCAGCATAGAATGTGTTATTATCCATAAGTTCCAAAACTAGTGGATGAATATCTAGTCATATATAATCAGTCATAATGTCAAATACAGCAACAGCCCTAAACAGATTTCCTAACCAGCACCCATTGACGTGCATGTTAAAGTCATTTTGTGAATGGAATCAGAATGTTTCAATGTAAAATTAAAGAAATGACTATTGCTAGTAGATAATGGACTTACTTGATCGTTGACTGGAGACTTACAATCATCAGAATTTATAATTGTATTAGGAGCTTTATTTCTAGGAGAACGTGGTGCCCTCTGATACGGATCCATTGAACCTGCAATAATAAGACTTATTGTAGAAAGCAGCCCCTTTTGCTAAAAAAAAATATAAATTTCTGCTGTAGCTGTAAATTCCACATTAACAACAGACCTTTAAACCTTGAGTACAGGAATACTGGACAAAACTCTTTATCTTGGCACATAATTGTCTCCAAAAAGAATCAAAATATGCTCTTCCAATGAGGAGACTCTACACAGAGCTCTGAAACAATCGCTTTGCATTTCTGAATTATTTGTCTATCTTGTAAATCTCTCCAGAAGTAGGTAATTTCCTATCAAATTGATGTATTCTAATAAAACCTTATACAGAGCTTTTGTGAGCAACTTAACAGAAAAGACACTTATAAAAAGACACTTGACTTATACAGAAAATACAATACAGAATTTGTAAGATATTTAACTCACCATATAAATCTGGGGTACCTAAATTTAATAAACATGATTTCTGTAATATATCTATAATAGCTATACCACTTTCATTACCAAATGACATTCTGTAATATAAAATAGATAAGAGGTTATGGGGGGAAAAGGAAAAAAAAACTCTCCAATTAAAAAACCAGACCCAAAATTTTACATGTCATAAACTTCACATATATAAATGACTCTCCAAATTATTTTATAGAATGTTATAATTTCTTGGGAGATAGCTACATTATAAAAATTTGTTTCCATTTCATCAGCATTCTGTGGCACTTATATAAGGAAAGAATTATGTTGGATGCCATGCACTTCACCCGGTATACTGACTTTAGTATGACATGGTTTGGAAACCAAGGACAATAATTCTTATAATCGACAAAGTCTAAAATATTCAAACCATATATGAATTTATTCAATTCGGCTACTTTGGCAAAATGAAAGTTAAGCCAATACAATGGTTAACAGTGTCCAGGTCAAAGTTCATAGTTCAGGATCAAGGTCACAATAATGCACCATCAGAATATATCAAGTCTATAAAGTATTATCTTTTTCTCATGTACTTACAAACCATAAGATGAATTAAGTGAGAGGCTTGTAATACTGCCTGGTGGTTCACCATCAACAAATGTTAAAACACAAACAAAATCTGGATGATAACCGGCACACCATTTTCTACCTCCCCCTTTCACTCGTACTAATGTTTGTTGATCCGACTGAAATAAAGAAGGAGTTATCATTGATGAACAAGTTAGAATTCCATAGTTATAAAACTGAAGTTATTAACACTCACTGTCATCATGTATTTCAGGAAAATACAATCTTACTAAGTGGGTATGCAAAACATTTGCTTTAGCTCTGATTGATAGCGCAACAAACCAGGGCAAAAAAACCCACACTATCAACCACAAACTAAAATAAAATTTCTAATTTACTGAAGATTTTAAAAAAAAATTGATTCTAGGCTACTTTAAATCAGCACTTGATGTAAAATGTGACCCAATCTAAAACAACAACTTACAGATCCTTTAGTATCGGAAGTACTGCTGGAATGTGAGCCGACACTACCACTCTGTTGACTAGCAGCCACTACACTTAGACTAGGTCTAGGATAGTCACAATCTGGAGAATCTATCTCATCATTAATCTCATACACTATAGATACTTCTATCATCTACAATATACAAATACAGCTGATACAATGGGTTTTCTGTACAATGTCAAGGACAAGGTAATATATTTCAAGTTATTTTTTACTATCAGGCATCACTCTTCTTTCCTGTATCATAATATGGGGTAATCCTATTTCTTATATTAGAAGTAGATGTAGTTTGTGCTCACTTGTCAGGGTCAAGGAAAAAAATCATTAACCTTGCGATTTGTCCATCTAACAAAGATTACTCTCTTCTCAGACTGTCTTATAACATGGGAAAATCACATAACATTTAGGGATATCTGAGACTGTGGTATAACCATTGTCAATATGTAATTTGTGACATCGCTGTAATTTTTCGTGTCCATCGAGACAAATATGTTGACTTTTGAAAATATATCTATACAAAACTAGCTTGGTAATTCCTTTGTCAAATTTCACTCAACTTAGTTATTAGGGGGTGAGTGCTGACACCTGGCTGTCTCATAGTGTTCAATCCGTATTTTAACAATAATGGTTAATATAATTGGAAAATCAGTAAAACTTCTAGTTTATAAATTATCTTTAAAACTTTGTCAATAATAGGAACAATTCATCACTTTATACAATTTGATATGTATTTATGATGAGGTTAACCAGATTCTCCAAAGTAATACATTGTTACATTTTCAGAGATTTTACAATAAAAAACCCAGCTTTATAATTTAGCAGTAATATTTTACTGATTACTTCATTTTACCAGCAAAATATGACAATGTGCTAAAGTTTGATGAAATATGATAGAAAATATGTTCTAGTTAGAATTCAATAGAAACTTGTCAAGAGATGGTCTGTCCCCAGAGATTCTCTGATTTAGAAAAGTCAATAACACAGATTACAGTGACCTTCACTAGGCCAATAACTCTATATCCAATATTCATTCAATGTTCTAAACAGAGTTGAGATTTTAATATAATTATAGACCACAGGAGATCAACTAGTCTCATTTATTTAGTCAGAAGCAAAGATATTTTTTCACTTCAACTGCCAATAATCTTGTATATCAATGTCATATTAACACCTATAAAATATTCTATTGACAATGTGATAGACTGTAATTTCGGAGATGGCAGACTGACCTGTTCACAATTGCCCACTAGCTGTTTCATAAAAATTTGTGCGGTTTCGAAGCACTCTTGGATGTAATAAGTGTATACATTTTAATTTTAGTTGATGGCATAAACATATTCAATAATTAGTAGCTACCCAAGGAGTGGGGCAAGGGCAAAAACTCTCATGAAAATTTCAAGTATATTGGTTGAAAACTAAAGGTGTTTTCACACTTTCTTCTTATAATGCAAGGGCAATAACTTTCAAATCGTTATAAAGCACTATATATTAGAACAATTCAAAACAGTTTCAATTAATTCAATTTGAAGATTATATAAATATGTATATCAAGTTTCATGAATACATCAAAATCACTTGAAAACTGAGCATTCAGGACAAAATTTGAAATAACAGACTGAATTGAATTCGGTGTACACTGACTGATATTACCGCAGAGAGAGGTGTGTGTTGGGTATAAAAGATGTGCTCAATTGATTTAACCAATACTGCTGTAAGAACAGAATTATTGTCTAGCTTAGAAATTGAAACTGTCATTGCAATTGTTTGGATGTATTCTATAGACTTTAAGATCAGACATGTGAAAAAGATAAACAACTAGCATCAATTTTATAGATTAATAGAAGCTCCCTTAGAGAGGTTTTCTAAATTTTTTATGTGTATCGGGGACATTTGGAATAATTGGAATAATGCAAATTGATGCTATAAGTGTCCCCAATACAAATCAAAAATTCAGAAAACTTTTTACATTCCTTTTAAGTAAACTTAGACTACTAGTTTTGATGTATCCAATGAACAAGAAATTTATCGTTTGGCCTAATACATATATTAAGAATATAGTCAAATTATATTCAGTGGTAAAGTGGTAAAAATGTCATGTGTATATTTTGTATTAAACAATAATCACTGTATTATATGTAAATGTCAGTCACAAGTGAGTTTTCTCTTTGATGTCGGGAAAAAGCTGTTTGTTTTCAATCATAGTTATGGATATTTTAAGAGAAAGTGAAGGCTTTCCACTTTGTTAATGGATATTTTTGAACAAATGATAGAATCAGTAGTTGTAGTCTGACAAGTGGTTGCTGAGAAAGTTGCAAGGCAAAGATCATCAAATAGTCATAACATTCATGATATTGTAATGTGAATGTGTACATGAAAAATGAAATAATTCTGAATTTTTAAACTAGTTCCAAAGTAATTACTAAAATCCAAAGAAGCCTTTTACAACTTAGAAATTTTCACCGCCATTTTTGGAAAATCACAAGCAATCACTATTTAGTTAGAGCACCGAAAACACTTGGCTGCAAATACAGACAAATTGACAGACCATGATCAGTCGTACTGAGTACTGACTGCTATCAATGATGTAAAAATAGAAACCCTGTGAAACGATCACTGATACGTATCTTCAAATAAAAAGTCAACTTACTGGAATATCTATGGTACTTTCTTGTTTACAGAATTTGCATAACATAACATGCGTTGCCCCGGCAACACACATCATTCGACTCTCTAAACATAAATAAATCATCTGAATAGCGAAAGGATCTTCATCTTGTACGTCCCCAGTACGTTTTGGTCTTTCAAACATTTTGGCAGTTTTTAGCTTATAAAGAACTTGTAACGTCACTGCTGAGGCATCCCAAAATTTTAGTGAACCATCAGCATGCCTGAAAAAAAAATTTGCTGCATTAGGAATGAAGTTTTATTACCCATCTTTCTCAATAGAAGTTTAACCTCCATCCTTTATAAAGAGTTTCTATTTTAACTGATCAAAAAAAGAAAATAGGTTTGTACTGAAATGTAAAACAAACATTAAGAGGATGTATCAAAAATATCTTTATTTTCAAAAGGCATCCGAAAAGTAACTTTTATTTGGATTTTTAGATACCTAAAAGAAGCATTAGAATGTTATAAAAGACACTTATATCAGTTCCTAAACTGTAACCTCAGGCAAACCCTAAGTTTTTAGTTTATTTCTTGCAAGTGTCAAATTACAACATTTGACACTTTGCAATTAACACTCAGCTTATTTCCTTGTAAACATATTTGTTTTGAAATAAAATGTTATTTTCCAAAAAAAAAGAATTCAATTTTCAAAAGACCATTTTGGGCCACCTTGCCTAGTTTCCTCTTTAAGTCTAAAGATAAAAGTATAAAAGACATTTTCACATAGTTATTGAAGTCAAACTGCAAATTTATAATAAGAAAGAGGACATTTTCACAGCTTCATTTTCCAAACACTCATTTTGAAATAGCTATCTAGGACACTTTGCAATTAGCACCTGTATGGTTTCTTTGTAACACGTTTTAAATGTCAATTGTTTTAGCCTTTAAAACAAGAAAAATATTAGAATTCTTGACCAGTGCTTCCAGAAATTGTCCTGGTAATTGCTTTATCCCTTTTTGCACCTAATTGTTACCCAAGACTAAAATTAACCTTGATATTTATGGTATGAATAATATATAAGATACTGACCCTGTTATGATAATTTCTGGATAACTACAAGTTGTTGTTCCCCATTCACCACCTTTTATAGGCCAAGGCTGCAATAAATATTTCAATATCATTGACCTTTATTCAATTCTGCTTCAAATTTATATACATTGTGCTGGTGTTATTTGAGTATATATAAAATATGTAAAAATAAATTTGGGAATATTTATTTCAGATGTACATAGAATGAGTTGATATAAGTTAGTCAATGAACTCAACTATATCATCTTTAGCAAAGAAATAGATTAAAATTCCTTTCATTCTCTAAACTAAGAGTGAAACCCCTCTAAACTACATCCTCTATAACTCTGTTTGAGTAATTTATTGCACAATAAACCAGCAGCCCCTTTATAACTTTCAAAATTCATACAAGTCTACTAGTATTATTTTTGTTTGATTGAATGAAACTTGGAAGCTAGTTGATGCATTTGTAAAAGTACAACAAATCATTCTGGTAAAAATTCCTCATGTCTGTCATAGTGTCTCTGGTCCCAATGTTTCCAAGGTGATTCTAGTCCATAACACTTAAATCAGGCCGAATAAGTTCACAAACTTTGCCTAAACCAAGAAGCTGTCGAGGGGCAGAGGAATGTTTCAGTTCGTAACAAATCTGATTTGTTTCTAGTAGGCAATTTGGTGTCATACGATTGAAAGTCAAGGTAAGTAAAAATAATGAGATCATGGCCAGTCCCAACCCTAGCTTAATGTCAACAGTCTCCCTCTATCGCTTACTATATCAACCTATAGTTAAATCTTTATAATTCATAATTATGTTATTCAGTTCTAATACATTAATCACAATCATTAATTATGTCTAATTATCTTAATTTATTAATTACCCTAACCTTTAACAATCATATCATAAATAATGGTAGAAAATATTTCTAAATTATTTAGTCTCATGTCCTAAAACTGTATTCAGTCCAACCTTTTACAAAAGAGTTAAACAATTGGAAGTATTGGGCAGTCATATATACATATAACCTATTGTTCAACACCTATAGAAATTAAACCATTCTTATTGGGCCTGCTGCACATGGATGTATATATTCTTGTGGGATGGCATATCCCTCTTTCTCTATGGAAACAACCACATCAGCTTGTTCATGGCATATAAATAAACTTTAATAAGTGATTAAATTTTAGTCATCTGACTTTTCAATAGGTGTATTTTTTATCAAAATTGTACCACAAGATTCAAATTAATTTACTAGTACCAAGAATTCATTCCCTTACCTTTTCACTAAATCCACTTTTTTTCTGAGTTTTGGAGCCAACTGAGTAGAATGCAGGAATGAGATCAGGGGGACAGTCGGCGTAATACTGACAGGCTGTGACAGGTGACTCATGGATATCCATAGGATATGGATTTTCAAAACATGGATAACTGAAATCAAAATTAAACTTTTGCATTTTTTTACAATCGATTTAAAGAATCATATAGAGAGTCGAAATAGTGAAGAGCATTTATTGGCAGAATGGAGCTTATATACTTCATATACAATATATATATATCTGATATATGATATTTCTGTATGTTCATTACCAGTTTTGAACTTTTTAACCAGACATCGAGCTCCAGAGTACCTATATTTCCCCGACAACTTTGACTTCATTAGAAGTTTATATTTAAAAATAGGTTATTATCATATTATCAGGATGTTAAATAGAATTACCCTGGTGTGGTGAGATCAACAACAACTAAATCATTTTGCAGCAGAACAACAATAGCATAGGGATCTTGGAAATCTACAAATCAAAAATAAATTTGACGGACAGAAGACAGAATGTAGATCATGATAAGATTTCATAAACACAATTTGGAGATATCAGTTTTTACTATGTAAGATTGAACTTGTCAATGGACCATTTATTTGACCTTATATGCTCATAAACCAATGACTAATTCTATTCGGTTGTTGCATTTCCTCCTACACATATCCTGAATAATTAATTTGTATCAACGCTCAATTGCACTTAAATCAAGAGATGTTGAGTGCTTCAATAAAAGGCGCTCTTTAATTCTCTGTCTAAATTTCAAATGAAAAGAAGATTGATATATTAAATGGGATATGTTAAGAGTGATATCAGACCCACAGAATGTATTCTCAAAAATATAATAGATATATAATTACAGAACTCCAGCTTACCATTTGCCCAAGGAGTTTCACAAAGAACAACAAAATCAACGACATTATGTTCCATTTCTAATACAGTAGTAGATTTTCCATTCATTACAGTAATACAGGGAGTTCTACCTGCTCTGTCATATGACATACCACCCGAAAATATTATCAATCCTTCACTGCAAATATAGAATGAATGAATGAATGAATGCTATCAATCCTTCACTAACGCATGAATACAAAAATTTGTCTGAAGGAATGTATTGCATAAAATCTGGATGAATGAATGAATGTTTCCAGTGTATTTGGCAAATGAATGAATGTTTCACATAAAATTGCCTGAGTCAATATTTAAATGATTCATGTATATTTAGCTAAATAAATAAATGAATGAATGAACTTATGAATGAAACAAGAATTGAATGACTGACAAATCAACCTTTAAAGAAACCTCAATTGAACTTCTAAATACAGAACAATTGGTTTCTGGTCAGAGCAGACAATAAGAGTCTGAGACATTGCCAGATGAAAGACACTACACGTTCAACAGATTGATATCATTATACTCCATTATTCTCTTCAATATAATGGTAAAGTGTGTATCTTCTTACTACATCTTAATCTCAACATATTAAAGAAATCAAGGCCTTTTAACATCTCTGAACTCAAAATTCCTGACAAACACAAAAGGCTATAGATAGCAGGAAAAGTATATACATGTATATATATTTACTATAACCCTTAAAAACAAGAAACTTTTCACTTCAGAGAATCAAATACCTATCAGATTCTTTCATATACATGATATCAAAATATTAACAAAGAATACATACGTTCCATTTCTTATAGATTTCCAGTCAACTTTAGATATTGGTTTACAAGGATCTGGTTTGCCATCTTTTCCTATTTTACCTACAAAATATTACATAAATAATAAGCACTGATACTCAAAAATCATAATATTGCATCAGTCTAAAAAAATCATAAGAATTACAGGTCAAATATAGAAAACAAGAATATGTTGATAAATCTATAAAATCATCTGCCCTTTGCCTACTCTTTTTCAATTTCAACTCTTGTGGAATCTTAAACGTGCACAGTCTGTAGCATATGAAGCATTTTTAGTCTTATCCACGGCTTTTTCTATGTTGGCCTCATTGACCTGCATCACTAACAGAGAGGAAACTAATTCATAAGACAGAAGAAACTCATGTTACTTATTTACCACTTGATGTCATACTCCTGGCTAAACATCTGTTTGACTAAGGTCACAGCCTTGAACTTTAACAGGCTTACCTAGACAGCCATTCTGAAGTTCTGAATAAATTCTATAAATTCTATGAAGAAAATTGTACTCACCATGTGGTAACATAACATTGGTAGGTTTTTGAGGAATTTTACAACTCCAGGTAGTGAGACTGCCATCAGAATGACTACACATAAACTGTTTACCTTCATGATGCCAGGCTGTAGACCTTAAAGCCTACAAAACACACATTAACAATTGTTGAAGTTTATTAAGGGAGAGTGTGTACTATTATTAAAACAGTTATAGGGACTAAATTCTTTCTTCCAGCCTTAAATAATATGTAGGTTTTGCTTATAAGAAAACTGAAAATAATTTGGTTTTTCAGTGATGTCAGAAGAAGGAGCATCTTGTTTTATGAGCTTCATTTGTTTATGAATATTTCAAAATAAACCCTGAAAATTAGCACATACTGCCAGTAAGATGCTTTTCCAAACTCCAGTAAATTATGTGCCTGTACTAGTATGAATGGATGATTTGATCTAAAATTAACTCTGTTTGATGTATAACAGTTTCAAAACAGTATTTAGTGCTTTCTTTGCTCATACAATCTTCAATTTGGAAACTTAACCCCCAAAGAGGTTTTTTTGTATCTGAAAAAATGTTGCCTTCATCAAACAAGCACCTGCTAATTGGAAATCTACAGAGGATTTAAAACAATACTTACCTCTGGTGTGGGATATCGAAACTCAGCAACTTTAGTTTTTAAATCCCATAATACAACAGCACCAGATTCAAATCCAATTAAAAGCTGAAATATAAAATAATCAATATACTGCCCTGGAGACTAATGGTATATCTATCTTCTATTCCATTTAAAACATGTTTATATAATTCTAAACTTTATTTTTTTCAAATATTTCAGCGTTTATAGTTTTAATTACTTTATTTTTAAACAGCCTATAAACAGTGCATCTAAAACTTTTACAATTTACATTAAATGATGCTTTCTTTATTCATAAATTCTTTGTATATTTATGGATGTATCTTTAAAGCTTTTATATTGTTTTGAAAAGTTTCAAAAGGCCATGACAAACATGTATAGAGCTGCAAAAAGGGGTGGATAACTTACCTTTCCTGGGTCTACAGGATTATCACTAAGATGAACAACAGGACCAGGATGGGTTTTACGAGACCTGAAACACACAGTAACAATAATTTGAATTTAATCAATCAAGGACCTAGCTCTACCAAATAGTTCTAGAATAATAACAACAATTTTAAGTCTTGCTTTATTTTTAAGGCTTGTCACATACCACAAGGCACCGGGCAAATACCTCTTCATCACCAAAACTCTTATTCATTACTCAATATAGACCACAATGAAAGAAGGCAATATGACATAAAAATAGAAAAAATATTAAATGTATAATAATGGCCATTGTTTGAGACATCAAGGTCATTGTTATCCATTAATATATATATATATATATATATATATGAAAGTTTTTACTTTAAAGAAGGTACATGTGTATTTATTTTTTTGACTTTGTAATAAATGTTTTACCGTGGTAAAGATTGGTGAACCCTTACCGATGATATTGTCGGAAAGTGTGCGGATGTATCCGATAAATTATTGTGACCTAGTTAAACAGTAGCTCTACAGAAAACCGATAAAGGCACTCCAGTAACAATAAAAATATTGGTAAGTGTTTGTTGACTGTACGTCCTGATAATTTGATGGCATTGAAAAATCTTACAGCATTACATCAAAAAATTGGTAAATAAGACAAGAAACTACATCGTTCAAAATATACAGAGCAAGGAATAATACTAGGTATAATTGGTTAAACATTTCTCTCAAATTTATCTCATTGTGAAAATGCATGATGTACATTGACATGTAGACTACAGACCAATTGAAAAAAGAAAATGTCCTTATCAATTAAACTAATTAAAGACGATGTTAATTGATCAATTAATCAAGAGAAATCAGGTGATTTAATTGCCTAGTCAGCAGCCATACATAATTTATCACCTTTAATCATGTAAAGTTTGCAGTCATATAAACCCTGTTGAAAGATCATCAGGTACAATATAAATTTTTTAACAGTTCTGAAGATTTTTCTCAACTCAAGATAATCTCTCTTGGAATTTATAAACTTGGGTAAGCAGTTCTTGAGATCTCATCAAACATATCTAGCACATACCAAGTTAAATCTGATCAGACCAGCTACTTAATACATAGTTTGCTTAGTCAAGGGCAACAACTCTATAAAAATATATCATAGTCTATTACAAACTTTTGATTAAATTCTCATCCATGCACCAAGTTTCACAAAAAGCACATGACATCTTTGGGCTAGAGCCCTTTCAAATACTAATCTTGACATCCATCTTAGCAATTTATAATGGTGGAGTTTAATTGAATAGAATTTTCGAGTTAAAAGCTGATCTGAAATATCATTCACAGGCAAAAAAGGATAAGTATAAAAAAAAATTGGTTGAAAGTTTAGTCAGTAGCCCCTGTTAGTAAGGCACTATAAACAAACAGATGGCAACACAACAGCAATAAAGTCTACAAATATATTGTAGAATTTTAATAGCATTAAGTTCAAAAGAGCTTTTTACTATAGTAGACACAGTTTCCTGTTCTAAAAGATCACTTATTACTGGTATTCAATGTTTACTTGCTTAAAAATATATCAATAAAAGGAAAAAAAAAAGAAACTAAAGTAGGCCTATGTTTTTCAATTTAAAGCCCTAGCCACGTATTCTCGATCTTAGCACTAGGATATCCTAGAATCAATGTTAGAAGATAAGAACCTAGGACATACTAGCACTAAGATCGTTTCGAGAATACGTGGCCTGGTTCCCAACCTGTTGGTGTGGCCAACTGGTGTAGGAGAAGAATTTATTTTGAGTTCAGAGAGAACCTCACATCATCACATGCTGCAAATTTGGATGAAACAAACTTTTGGGGCGTGAAAGGTCCACGTGATTGCTATAGGGGTATGAAAGCTGAAATAGGTTGGGAACCACTGATTTAAAGGGATTACAATAATGTTTTCTGGACTAATAATATAGAAATCAATGTAACTCTTGCAAAAATTAATTAAAAAAAAATAAAACCAGCTTGAAATAAGCATGAAATGAGCAGAAAGACTGGGATATAACAAGAAAAGTTGCTAATGGTATACCCTATACGCATACATAGGTTACATAACTTCTTTAGAATTCTTGAAATTCAAAGCATGTTTAACAGAGTGAAATAGATGATAATAACTTACAATTCAATAGCCTTGTTCCAGTTGATAACATAACCAGAAAGTATGAAAGACTCTATATTAACGAGATGAACATTGCCACGTTCTGTTCCTATATACAACCATTTACTTTGAAATGGTAGGTGACAATATGTGATTCTGAAATAAAAAAAATATTATCATATAGATATTTCATTAGAAAATATTTGGTTGGACTTCTTATATTGAAACTTCTGGTCAAATGTTATCTGAAATAAATCCTGTTTCTAATTCAAGTTCTATAGCACAATCAATTAAAGTGTTGGTTCTTTACATTTACTTGATAGAACAAATGGTGGCGATTGGTTTTAATTTAGGTCAGTGTGTGAAATTCTGATGGCTATAAGAAAATCATAAATATTTCTACATAATTTTAGTTGACCCAGCTATAAAAGGGTACAGATTAACTGAGAAAGATCACTAGCCATGGATCAGCTAGTAGAACCCACATAGTTGTCCCTGTAAAATATACATTGTACACTGAATGAAACTTGATCATCATCTCATACAGCAATATCTGTCCCACAAACATTTGAACCTACTTGGTCTAGACCTTAATGGTCAAACAGATGTCAATACTATCAGCTTCCAAAAGACCTATTCCAATAATTAATGTCAAAGGACAGACTATCGATAATTTGTCGATCCATACAACATGTAAAAGCTCCATATCAAAATATTGAGTATCAATCATATGAGAATTACAATCCCTAACTAAAACAACTGAAATGAAATTGAGCTTTAGAACTTCCTTTTCTATCGTTATTGGGTCATAACATTTAAAATATCAATGACAAGCCATTGGTACCAAATATACTATACATAGTTCCATTGATTTCAACTGTTTTTTACATTCTAACAATGGTTTGATTATTCTGTAGGGAGTTTTAGATTCAGACCACAGCTGGGTTCTGTCTGTTTGACCCATCCTGACCTCTCATCATGATCATTCAACATTCAAGAACTTGCTGAATAACAGGAAATACTGATTCTTCACCAAAAATGGTAATTTTGTGAGGCAGGTTTGGTGTCATCAATCCTAAAAAATACCTTCCATGATTTCTCTATAAAGGGTCACAAGAAACATGTCCCACATGTCATAGAGTCAAGCATTACAAAAGCAAGTATCATATGGGTAAAAGCACCCATATTGTATTATCAATCATATTCATAATTCAACACTATAAACAACATCATACATAATCAAACACCATATGTTTTCCATTTGCACCTTATATTATTAACAACAGATAGCAAAATGTTGTACTTTCATCAATATCTTTATAAATCAATTTAATAAGGACTGAATACTCTGTCCTCAATAAAATGCATTGCCCATCCCAAAGCATCATTTTATGAATCATTAATAACATCAATTCACATCTTGTGGTACACAATTTGAAAGTATTGTAATAACAACTTAGAAGGTAGTTTTTCAAAGTCAAAAGGTCACAGAAAAAAAAAGACAAAAGAAAACAGTGTTTTAATTGATCAGTTACTAGGTGCATTATTTGTTTTTGAAAAAATTAGTGGGAGGACAATATAACAATTCAATGATTGAAATTAATGTATCAGGGCTTGGCAGCTATTAGATTTTGACACTCCAGGTGTGAAGTCTTATTCCGTGCATAGTTGGAGATCATACCATTTCATTCTCTCCAAAGGTCTTATCACCATATGGAAAAAAAATCTAGCCATTCAGAAGAAGGCAATGTGAAATGAAGGAAATTTTGCCAGGACAGCAGCATTTAATTTTGTCCAACTGTCCAGGTTTTTTTTAACGTAAACAGCCCGTAGCACACTAGGTCTGAACAATTCAACACTTGTTTCATATCAGTTCCTCTGACCTGCATCAATGACAGCGGGAAATCGGGTTGAAAAGTCCGAAAGTATATAAGTACCCGCTACATGAGCCTCATGCAGAATCCATTTCTTCTCTGATTAGGCTACTACAAAATGGTCCAGGAGTCAAAACCTTGACACATGTCATCAACTTGCAACCCCACAGAAAATGGATTAAACAATGTCAGAAAATACTTCATAAGTTTCCAACTCTGTACCACCTAGTTTAACAAGAGTATAAATGTTTTTAATTTCATGAATAAACAGATTTAAGTCTTCAAAGAAGACTTTCCTTTCATTCCAAATGAAACAGAAGGATCACATGTTGTATATTGGTTCTCATTTCAGGTCTAAATACCTTCACAGTGGGTTCAAGTTTCTTATTGATAATGTGGTGAAATAGTTTAGAATAGGATAAATGTCTCGATCGTAAATCCAATTCAATTCTGGTTAATACAAAAGTGGGAGTAATAATTCTAAACTAAAAACCCAAGACTAAATTTCAATTCCAATAGACCATTTCCTCTTGCCTGTCCGTATTTTTTATTGGTAATTCAAGATCAGATATGAGGTCACTTTTGTCTGTTAGCATCTTTTTTATTGTCACAAGAGGACTGGATGTTTATGACTTGTAGACGGCATCATTTAGATGTATTTGATTTGATTACGGGAAATAATAGAAAGTCATTCGAACAAATCGCAGTCATTCAATATATTTTATTGGGAATCTTCTTCTGCTCCAATTCTTTTAATTACATATCATAGAGAAATCAGATTTCTTCAATACATTGCCTTGTATCTCCTGTACTCTCATATGCACAGACATTTCTATAGCCTCTAAAAATAGATCATAGTGCCTTTCATATCAAACCTTTCATATCAAAGCAGTTTTGATGGAATTACCAATCTAAAAAGCCTACATAAAACCCAGAGCAAATAAAAACCACCAAAATTATTACAGTTATGTACAGTGATTTTCATATAAACACTATAAGCAAACATTTGAATTCTTCAAAAGCCATGACCAAAGTGTAAAAGCAAAATATAAAGAATGAGTCACCTAGAATTGCAGTTCTATTGTTTTTTTTTTTTTTAAAGGATTTTGCAAATTTGTAGATCAATTTTCTATTGATACTTGACTTGATATTGTTAAATTTTCTACAGAAAAAAAAGCTCTGTAAGGCTGCTTTTCAAACAAATTATTTTGCCACAAATTTAAGAGATAAAGTTCATTTGATGTACTCTGATAAATAATATTGCCTCAGTGCCTCAGTACAATAACTAGTAGAGTAACATTAAAACTCTGTCATTTTCATGTCATGCATTTTAACTATTAGTTTATTGAATTTCTACTCATTACCATATATAATACTTTTCACAATTACCTGTTGGTGTGTTACTTACAGCTTTATCAATAATGAGCTTTGGATTATAAAATGATGAAATCTAGTGCTTTCAAATATAACACAAATTTAATACGATTCTGAGTAACGAAACATCAAAATTTAGCGAATATAAGTAACTATTAATCATGGATTCATCAAAATCCAGAAATAAGGGCTAGGTTTTTCATAGATAGTACTGTTTTTGTCAAGATAAGGTTTTAACTATATAATTTTCAATCGTAAAGTCCTAGAGCAGAAATTTTTCACTGCTAACAAATCTAGACAAACTAACATGTGGGTATTGTTTCCTCTACATACAGTCAATCAACATGTAATTTCATGGTTAAGTAATTCAGAGACATCACAACATTCCACAATAGTCAACAAGAGTTTAATATCATAATCATGAGACTTTTGTTCATAGTCACACATCGGAATAAAACTGTCAATTTTTTTTTTCAATGTGTTTCAATACGATTATTCATATAATGTGAGAATGACAATTCATGGATTGTAACTATAAATAGACTTCTTATCTATATAGCTTGTTTCCACTTGAACCAAATTTAAGAGACTATTCCACATTGTAATGACTTTGTTCATATCCTTAATATAATCTGAATCATATACTAAAATCCATTATAGAAATAGCAATATGGTGACTGAAAATAAATCATTTACCTCCTAGACAGAAAATTAAAACCTACCTACCCGATCTACATAACTAGTAGGGGTAATGAAACTAGTTTGAGTAAGAGTATATTACACTATTCAATCCTGTTAACAAATCAAGCATTCTTACCATTTTGCTTGAGGTGACCCTGCATTAGGTCAATTTGCCCCTGCATTTAACCTGAAGTGCCTCCGCATTTATTCGAGGTGTCTTAACTTTTTTTGTAGCATAAAAAGAGGTCAAGAATTTACTCTTGCTTGGTTGCCCCTGAAGAGTTAAACTTGAACGAAACAGGTCGGATCGTACACACCAGATCAAGGGTTTCCTAAAGGAAAGTTCTTCTACCCTCCCCTCTTCTTTACAATCCCTTAAAGTTATTGATGCCAGAGTAGAATATTACAAAAAAATACTTGATAATGGATATATAGTGGGTCATTCCCTTTAACAATCAACTAGTATTATTGCTATGAATAGAGAGCTAATGGAAATGTTATAAAATATGAAAGAATCCTCTCTTTAAACACAATAACTTAGAGATGTTTATTGACATCAAAGGAGGTGGAATATGAGTGATATGAGAAATATGACTCAATAAATCTTCCCTACATCATTTAGTCATTCACAATATTATCTTTAAAGACAGGTTCCCCAGGAATAACAATGATACAACAAAATGATATTGAATGATAATATTATCCTTAAAGTGACCTGTGGACAGTGTAAATTCAATGATATAATATTAAAAATAGCAAAATAGTCAAGCATAAACATTCGAAAAAATTTTGTTTTGAAATAATGGTTTAACATCCTGCTTTACTGTACCTTACTGTGCTAAGATGGTTATTTTGGTTTTGAGAGAGTTGGAGAACAAGTTGGTATTGAAACCGGTAAGACAAACTTATCTGAGGACATTAGAAACAAGATCTGAGGACATTACAAAACAAGATCTGAGGACATTACAAAACAAGATCTGAGGACATTACAAAACAAGATCTGAGGACTTACAATAACAAGATCTGAGGACATGACAAGACAAAATCTGAGGACATAACAAAACGGGATCTGAGGACATGACAAGACAAGATCTGAGGACATGACAAGATCTGAGGACATTACAAAACAAGATCTGAGGACATTACAAAACAAGATCTGATGACATTACAAAACAAGATCTGAGGACATTACAAAACAAGATCTGAGGACATTACAAGATCTGAGGACATTACAAGATCTGAGGACATAACAAGATCTGAGGACATAACAAGACCTGAGGACATAACAAGACCTGAGGACATTACAAGATCTGAGGACATAACAAGACCTAAGGACATAACAAGATCTGAGGACATAACAAGACCTAAGGACATAACAAGATCTGAGGACATAACAAGATCTGAGGACATTACAAGATCTGAGGACATAACAAGACCTGAGGACATAACAAGACCTGAGGACATAACAAGATCTGAGGACTTAACAAAACAAGATCTGAGGACATGACAAGACAAGATCAGAAGTGCCATTTATTTTAGGCATAGTGAAATATAATTCAAACTTAACAAAAGTTTAATTATGTTCATTGCAAATTTGCCATCTTAAAACTAAGTGGGCTACTAATGTTTTGTTTTAAATCATGCAAAATGTGCTCAAATGGCTATGTTTAAAATTGAGTTTTTTAAATGTCTAATTCTCTGTGTCATTTGATATAGTAGGTTATACAAAAATATCACATTTGGCACAAAATAGAACTCATTAAAAATGCTTTTAAATACAAGTTCCCATAACAATGATGACTGTACTTCAAAACATTGTATTTTATGTCAGAAATTATTTATAAATGATCTGAATTATCATAGAATCAAAATATAAAAGTTCTACCTGTAGACATATTTAACATAAAGTTATCACCCACAGATAAAATAATATATCATTTGATACTAAACTCAACTATTCAATTGAAATATCATCCCTTTAACCAGCATGCCCACTTACTAATGATTTCAAATTAACAATGATCTAATGTTAACATGATATTTCCAAATAAAAATTTCATCTTCTTGAAATATAGACTACACTTTCTGTGCTTCCATACAAACAAAAATCATAATAAGACTAAACAATGATACAGCAATTTCTTTTCATATAAATTGTTTTTTAATGTTACAAAATAATCAAAGTCTAAAATCTTAAAGCGACTTGTAATATGTACAGATCACTTGAATTATAATGAATAAATTAATGTTTTCCTTAGAATTTTATGCTTTAAGAGTTCAATCATCCTTGCATATTCTTCAAATTTTTCTTTAATCAATATTTCATTCCTTACAACTTATTACAGAAAACATAAACAGTTTTAAATTAATTTGTAATTAAAGTCAGCTGTTCTCACCTTTATACTCGATTACCTTCATAAATTAATAATAACACATATTTCTAGTCACATTTGGCCTTCATTATTTATTCATTTCTTCAACTTAAGTCATTGTTAAATAGTTCACTTATAATCTAAAGGTATATTGCCATTTAATATTTGTATTACCAATGGTACAGTTTATCCTATTCTTCTTGTAGTTGAGGCTAGGTTTCCTCACTAGCAAACCAATGTAGCATAAACTTAAAATCCCTTTAGCACAACCCTTCAAAATCCATATTTCTTTTTTCACTCGCTTTCTTTGAAATTGCTAATTTTGATATTAACAACTACTTTTTCAAACTTTAAATCACCTAAATTTTGCTTGAAGCCATTTTATGGGATATCGTCCCTTCAATAGTTGTCAAAAATCATCTGTTTCAGGTATTTCCCTTAATGTTTTTAAAGTTGACTACTCTCAATTATTAATTACATATTTGTTGTCACATTTGGTTACTATTATTTATACATTTATAATAGTTTAACTAAAGGAAAGATAATTTCAGTAATGTACCTAGCTTTGTCATATCTGATGGAATTGTTTATGATTTTCAAAAGCTACATTGTTTGAAAATTTGAAGGGCTGCAAACAGGAGCTAACTTTTACGGTGCACAAAAAATGGCCGGCATCTTAATGTCAAGAGCTCGTCATATTTTTTTTTTATTTTCAAAATTTTAGATTAATATGCAAAAGACTATATCGTTAAAAAATTCTTTAACTGAATCTCTATCTTAGACACTGTAAAAGTTATTTAAGTTGAGTAACTAATTGTGTAGCAATATCTCAAAGTTAAATAATAAACAATATAAAATTTTTCAAAGTAAATGTCAACAATATCTAAAAGCTAAGTGGAGCCCTATCTTTAACTGGACAAGTAGATCGAGTGTCACAAGCTTTTAAAGGTATTCATTCACATCATAGATTAATGTCACTCAATAACTATTCACAATATAATCTCACCAACAATCAGGATGATGTGCTTTCCTCTGCTAACAAATTGATTTGTGGACTCATATACAGTGATCAATAACTAGGCTATTATCATTCCAGTCTTAAACAAATAAACTCTTTAAAGTCATTTTCACACTCAATCTTTTAGTTAAGACTCACAATTCAGTTATATTTTATCAGAGTAATTTGGCTGTTGTAGCAAAATAGCATTTGCATTTTCTGAAATTATACATTTGCAAGGATTGACACATAGATGTCATAAAAAATCATTGTTCCAGTCTTATGCTAATAAATATATATATATATATGAATTCATTTTCACTATTTGAATTCTTGATCAAATATCCAGTTTAAAGTGATTTTCAAACTCCATCTTTAGTAAGGACATGGAATTTGTAACTTGGTTGTTCTTTCGTAATACATGTTAATATTTTATATTATATTAAGAGTTGTAATAACTGTACACAGAAGTTTGAATTAAATAAAGTTACTTTGTAGTTGGTAAATTGAGAAACTTTAATTCTATGATGAATTGCACGCCTTCCTGCATAAAAATAGTTGAAAACTGGGTGGAGTCAAGATACATCCACACAAACATAGCTGGCATATATAAAATGATATCCCATGAACAACCTTGATTATGAATAAGTCATAGAAACTGGAGGAACAAGAACAAAAATATATCATGAATAGTAAAGCAAAAATAATTGACGTATATCCGGGTCCAATTGAAAACCTAAGCAAGAGAAGTCTATAGTGTTCATAACTATCCATCTTATAACTTAATACAAAATTTGTTTGTGTATATGTTTTGAATCTACCCTAATTTGTAGAAATATCTTTGCTGGACTGTAGTAAATTCATATTTCTAGAATCAGATGGTATCTTATTACTAGTAAGAAAGACTAACTGTCATGAATGTCAGGTCTCTCCATGCATCATGAGTTTTTGACAGTTCTATTATTTACTTCTTCACTGTATTTACAGTTCCTAATTCACAATGTCAAGAGTAATTCCACCTCCGATCTCCTACCCTTTGATTCCTGGTGAGTATGATCTGTTACATCATCAAAAATTTATCATTTTTACAGAAATAAGCCATTTACCAAACACAATGAAAGCTAAATATATTGAATGTGGCTAAAAATAACCATTATTTCTCCAACATCATGTGAAATTACTTATACCATATAAATAATGCTAAATATACATGTAATATATGAATTTATAACAAGAATTTCCCGGGGGGTTGACTATTTTTTGGTTAAATAAGGCAGGGAAGAATGCTAAGAATGGTGAAGAACAATCCATTTCTTAGTAAAACTTTTCAATAATTTGCATATATATCCATGATCCAATGAATTATTAATGATCAAATGATCACTAGTAATATATTGTAGACAGAACAAAGAAGTCAAAAATATTTTGCTGAAACATGGATCGAGAAAAATATCTGTTTTACTAAGACTTACCTTTCTCTTTGGAATTTCAAGGAATGAACAATTTCTGGTCTTTTTTGTCGAAGATTCCATAAATGGAGACTGTCATCAGAACATACAGTTACAAGAGCACCCTAAAAAATAATATTAAACAATCATAATAATAATAACTTCATAGGGTGGTCAACTAGGCAGGCACAAAGCCTCTCATTTTACTTTAACATTAAGGGACCCAAAACCACGACACATAATTGGATATCAGATGACAATCTAACTCAACACAAATTTGATGACAAAAAACATTGAACATTTCTTTAAAACAAATGCTAAGGTTTGTGATAATCTTTTATCAAGAATGTGATATAATTCTTTTATACATGTACATTGTCAAGGACGCAAGTAAAGTTAATGGTGACTTGTTTGTATTAAATAGTAGATATTGGTAAAATGACACTTTTTTAACAGTTGTGAGTTATTTATGTGATTTCTTGTTTGTTTCATTACACACTTTTGGAGACCGAAACACATTTTCACAATCTGTTTTTCATCCAAATAAGTCACAAATTTGTATGTTGAACTATTTCAAGGTGCCTATTATGAACTATTTTGTGCAAATTTTGTCTAAAAATTTAAATTAGTTATATCAAGAAGAGAATGAACATCTGAATGACAATTTTAAGCATTAGCTAAAGCTAACACTTTTTTGGCCTCAAAGAAAAACAAACTCTATAGGCACAAATGTGAAAATGACCAACCTTAACCTTGAACATTCAAAATAATTGGTCACTTCAACCTAAGATTTGAGGTCAAGAAGATCTCATATAACCCTACTGCTCTTTACCTCTCAATAAATACTCTTTCTTCTGGCAATTATATGCAATTCATGTGTTTTTAAGATGTAAAGGAAATAAGATTTAAATGAAGCTGGATTGAGTGGTAAAACTACTTGTTTAATAATACTAATAATCAGTTTGAACTGTCCAACCTAGACATCAAGTCAGCTGGATTCCTCAATTTCTTGGCGTTTCCAATTATCCCACTGAACGTTAAAAGACAAAAAGTCAAACTTTAGATTACTTGATGACGTCATCAAAATGATGGTAACAACAAATTTGAAAGAAAAAAATTTGACAAAAAGAAATTTTAACATTCATTTTGAAGTACCGGGTATGAACATTTCCTTTTGTTATATAAAAATTTAAATCACCATTATTGATATTGAATTACAGAATGTTGCTACCAAGGACAATCTCTCCAATATGGAAAGCAATAAAAGGACTGCATGAATATAAAACCATACAAATTATGATTAAAATCCTTACTAAAACCAGTCAATGGGACAAAGTCTACAACATTTACAGATTTAAATTTCAAGAATATAAATGACTCTTCCAAGAATTATTCTTCATTCATAAATTTAACAAATTTAACTCTTAGATTTTATGTATAATGAAAATTTATTTAATGCTTTTTATTATTCTATTATTCTTTAGAACATAAAAGCAATCACCTCTAAATGCACTTGACAGGTCATGGTGGAGCTTACTTGCTAACCTGGAAGTCCAGGATTTGAGATAATACCCTGAGATTTTTCAGCAAGATTTCAATTGCAAGCCGCAAGTCTGATTGTGTGCGTTAGAGATGGCTAGAGAAGCATTAACTGGAATTCAAGGGGTATTCTGTTTTATAGTAAACAGTTTTCATTATAGTCTAAAAAAGCGGATTGTCCCTTTAAGGATTAAGCTAATATTGACGCTTCAGCAAAATATCCTTAATTGCACACTGCATGGTATAGATATTGCCTTTCTTAATTAGTTTAACTGTAATCAGAAATGGACATTCACTTGGATGAAACATATTTTAGCGATTAACCATTCTTCAGAGATTGTATCTTAGCTCTAGAAGGTCTGTGACTTGAAACTTTAAAAAACAAGTTCTTTTAATATTCTTAGCCATTGAAAAATATAATTTTGAAGGATTTTGTCTCAGTAAAGCAGCAGACAAGCAACTTATTATTGTCCTGAAATCAAAATTTATTGACTGTCTGATCTGAAATGTCAGGTTCATATATCTTGATCAATCTGATTTAAAAAAGATGAACAAATTCAAATTACAGCCATTTATTGCAAGATTTTGAGAAAATAGCCTTATAAAAGTAGTGTGATAGAAGTACATCTAGTCAAGAGAGTTGGGAATATAAAAGGATAATTACTATGTCTACCTATCTTCAAGCCATTTGAACTTTTCAAATCTGATTTATTTTAACATTATTTCATAATTTACAGTCTTTATCCTGCCTCTCCCTTTATAGGAATTTATTCAGAATAGAACCGTTTGGCTCTAATAGACAAAATTATAGTTTATTTATTACATGATACATAATATGAATAGCCATTATTCCAACAGTAAAATTCACAACGCGACTAGCTTAATGTTAGACTTCTTGTTCCCACCCAATAAAAGCTCAATGCTTAACAAGAGAAGCTCGGTTGAGTAAAAGTCTGGCTTCAAGCCAGATTTAAAATAATTGCCAGAAACACGAAAGCCACTTTTCAACCTTCTACAATGAAGAACAGATCGTACCATGCCATTATGTGACATTTTAAACAATATATGCCTTATCATAGGTCATAGGTCTTGAAAAATTAGGGTCCATGGTTAATTCATGGTACTGGTACTTTCAATTAGAGCTTGGAGCCTGTTAATTTCATTCATAGCCTTCAGCCTTTTACACACTTCTTGAATGTAGATTTCGTCATATGTAGCTCAGAGCAAAACAATGTCCTATTTCTTGAAAAACTGGAATGGATACTATTGGTTTTTGTTTTAAGAAGTCAAAGCAAAGACTATTTAAAAAGCCGGTCTAATTGAATTAAACCAAACTTTCTTGCCATTTTTATTAACTTTTATCTTTAATTTAGAAAGTTTAAACTAATTTTAATTGGACTGATGAAGGCTTTGTAAGAATACCACATTGAAAGACAATTATTCCATACTTTGAGCTTTGAATAAGCTAACTAAATAAACAAGAAAAGCTATTTCACTAATTGCCAGTTAATATTTTAAAAGGAATCATATAAAGCTATCTGGCCTCTGTCTGTGTATCTATTGACAATCCTTTTATTTTCACGACCAATGTTTTTGGTTAGTGATAAACTTAACTTGATTCCAACAACAATATCACTTAAATAGTTAAGTACTTTTGATTGTGACATTATCATTGAGTTTTTGCTGTAATCACAGAAACTGCAGTGAATGTGCAAATAGAAGCTGGAAATGTTACTGACATATGTACAAAGACTAGAAGACCTCTTTTGATTCACAACAATTAGAGCATACTCTATTAATAAGTTCTCACTACAACTAGTATGTAGAATACTCAGATATCCTGGTCTGAGTTTTTATCAATAAATTTAGGCTTTATCAATAAATATAATCAATCAACCTAGCCTTTAATCAATCAACCTAGGCTTTAATCAATCAACCTAGGCTTTAATCAATCAACCTAGGCTTTAATCAATCAATATGTTTCGAAGATTTTAATCACAAGAAAAACATATTAAGAGTAAATATAGATCTTGACTAATAAATAATACAGATTACATAACAGTAAATATGGACTGGTAGGTAGAATACAATAAAACAGATGTTCACATCATCAGCTTTTTGCAATGGACCAAAAAAAGTTGAATTGCATTCACAACAGCTTTAACGCTCATAAAATGGACTAAAAACTGGATATTAACAATCAAAGTAAAGGGATAAACAACTTCAAACAATTTACATAAAAAAACTGAAGGTCAATAACTGTTTATGGAAACGAAATAATAGGAGCTTTACATTCTACTTTGCTCCATCTGATTGGGACGCAGGGCAACCAGTTCGAAAAATCAACAGGTATTATCTCAACCTATGCCAGGATCAAACCCTGCACCTTCCAAGAAAGCATGTAACTGATGAGCCAATGTGTAAAATCAACGATAACACAGAGTATTCTTGGTTAGATGATTCGACAAACTTTCATTTTGTGATAACTATATATCTCAATATGACAGAAATGGGCTTATTAAAACTGCATGTGAGCAAATAAAAATCTCCAAAAAGAGGGCTTTAATGGGCTCATAAAACGTTACAAGAAAATATAAGCAGAGAGACAAACATTATAAAATATGGTTGTCTAAAAATAATAGAAGATAACAAGTGGTTGCCTAGCAAGATACGCCCACTTTCCTCATACATTTTCAAGGGCAGTCACCTATCTGTGTCAAATCACACCAAAAATCTAATTATTGCAAGATATTGTTGATTTAAACAAACACACATTATATAATAAAATTCTGACATAAACTTTCACCTCTATTGCTAACAAATTTTGATGTGTTTTTACTAAGTCATGAGCAATAACTCAAATTCCGTTGACCAAAAATATTGTCAAATTTAATCTTGACTAAGATCTCATCATTATAAATATTCACACCAAATTTCATTTACAGTGGATGAAAACTGTAGTCTCTATTCTGTTTACAACCAACTATTGATGCGTTTTTCATAAGTCAAGGGCAATAACTCAAAAAAAGTTCACTGAAAGATTGTCAAATTCAAGATCTCATGAATATAAATTATCACACCAAATTTCATTCAAATCAGATCAAAAGTGTTGTCTCTATTGCGTTCACAAGCCAACGGACTGGGGCGACGACAATATACGACTCCATAATAATGTGGGCGGATAAAAATAAATGAACTTACCTCGTTTGCGAGAAATAATATTTGATTAACAGCTACATCTCCATCATGTACACATTGACAATCTACACCTGATTGTCCAATACTAGATTAAGGTTAAGGAATTTAAAACTTCATTTATCCAATGATTTGATGTACATGTAAACTACATTAAAAGGAAAGATAGTGGACCACAGCCATATACGCCCACCACGGCATGCAGATGGTAAAAACGAAACATCCATTTTAAGTTTTATCAAAATCGGTTGAAAACTAAGAGAGTAATATTATACTGAAGATTTTGGGGCAAGGGCAATAACTCTGCTTCTAACGGTTGAAAATAGCTCAAATTCGAATTTGATCTTCGTTTCATGAATATGTATGCACATACCGAATTTCATTTGATTCCTTCCAACACGAGTGTTTACGAGCAATTGATGTTGACAGAAGCATTTACGGTATGGAGGTTAAAGGGCGATAACTCCTTAAAAATGACGTAAAAGGCCTAAATCTTGAATAAGCCTTAAATTTAATCAGAATTAAACTAAACTTTCTCAAACCTTTCGATTCAGGTCCAATAACATCCATTTTAAATTTCATCAAAATCGGTTAAAAACTAAAAGAGTAATAGCCTATTCAAGATTTTGGGGCACGGGCAATAACTCTGCTTCTAACTGTCGAAAATAGCTCAAATTCGAACTTGATCTTCGTTTTATGAATATGTATACACATGCCGAATTTCATTTGATTCCATCAAAAAATCTAGTTTTTAGAGCGTTTACAAGCAAATGTAAACAATATACGTCCACATAGAGAGATGTGAGCATATAATGATAAAAAAGAAAAAAGGAATGCATAAAACATTAGTACAATCAGAGCTATGAGATATAAAGCAAAATCTACAGGTGTTCCTGATAAATGGTAAATGGTATTCGGTAGTAATGTGCAAAAGATGTGTAAGCTTTTTTGGGGTTGTTGATTTGTTCAGAAGATTTTTCAGTAAATTGGTCATATGGCAAATGGGTTACTGGCATTAGGTTACATGTATGCTAAATGGTTACATGGTAAACTGATCATAATAATGCAGTTACAAGGTAACTTGGTAACAGTAATTTGGTCACAAAATAAATTGTCAAAGTAATTTGGTCAAAAGGTAACTTGGTAACAGTAATTTGGTCACAACAAATGGTAAACTGATTGTAATGTGGCCAAAAGGTAACTTGGTAACAGTAATTTGGTCACAACAAATGGTAAACTGATTGTAATGTGATCAAAAGGTAACTTGGTAACAGTAATTTGGTCACAAAATAAATTGTCAAAGTAATTTGGTCAAAAGGTAACTTGGTAACAGCAATTTGGTCACAACAAATGGTAAACTGATTGTAATGTGGCCAAAAGGTAACTTGGTAACAGTAATTTGGTCACAACAAATGGTAAACTGATTGTAATGTGGTCAAAAGGTAAATTGTGTAAGTAACTAGTCTCAAGGTAATTGACCAACGTTTTTTGGTCAACTATTTTTTTACTAGTCATTGCAACAAGGATTCTGAATTCAAGGAATGTATAATAGGCCCACTTGACCAAAACCTGTGAAATGATAATTCATTAGAAACACAAATCGGCAATTGGTCTCATAAAAAGTTTAAATATTTGACCAAAGAATTTCCAGCAAGATTCTCATGACAATTTTCAAGAAGTGTAAAAAATGATGTTTACTGGCTGCCTGGTTATAAAAATTAGAGTGACAATAAAATTAGAAATAATGTCAGGGTTGAAACAACAAGGAGTTGAATTATCAGACAGTTCTAGGAGTAGGTCACATCCCACACACATACTTAGTAACCTTTCTACCATCCATTATAATATAGCCTTCTCCTTCATACTCCATACACTCTACATTACTCTCTAACTATTTAGTTATTGATCAATATATTCATTATACAACCAGCTGTCCAATCTAGTCCATCTGTAGTGCAGTTGGAGAACATGCTTACCCCTATTCTTACTTTTTACTCTAATAACAAACTAATGAGTTAAAAAACTCAAAATACCAGTATTTGAAGTTTTTATCCAAAACAATATATGGGACAATTTTAATTTGATATTTATCTGTGATGTGGCCATGTGGATGAAAAAATATTGGGAGACCTCAACATTTTTTACTCTAATAAAAAACTAATGAGTTAAAACACTCAAAATACCAGCATTTGAAGTTTTTTGGCTCTAAAGTCTTAATTTTTTCAAAGTTTTATCCAAAACAATATCTGGGACAAAAAAATATTGGGAGACCTCAACATACACAAGTATTTCTCTTAAGAATTCAATATTCTTATTCCCATTTTCCTTCAATAATGTTATGATCAACATGAAAGCCTACTTCTCTCTTAAACCCGACATTTAAATGAAAATGCTTACGTAAATTAAAACAATTACTTTAAGCAATTTGTTCAAAAATGGCAACAAATACAATCCATGACATGTTTTCCTGGTCTAAATTTAGGCTTTTCACAGTTTCTAGGTGTTTCCACTGCTAAATTCTGATTTCCTTTGTGACATCCATGGTACTAGTAGTCAATATCTCAAGGCCATTCAAGAAATATTGTATTTATTTGCCAAATGAACATGTCACAATTTGGTCAATAAAAATTGAATCTAGAAAAGATCTTAGACTGATAAATTCCTTCCATTCACCTGGCATAATTTATTTCCCATAATTTTATATCATTAACATCATTATTAATATATTTATTGAGCACTATTTTAACAACGAAAATAATTTATTATATTATTTTTTATATATAAAACTACATTATTGAATTTAAATTGTGCAATATTTTAATGGGTAAGCTAATAACATGCCCACGCATCATACTATATTGTACACCTAAATTGTAATTTTGAAAAACAAGAAATATAGATCACATTATGAATTTAATTGCAGAGCCATTTAGATATTGTTTAAACAAACATTAAATTTTGTAATCTCAGATTTACAAGTTTTTTAATTCCTAGTTTCAGGTATATTTAAAGGAATTATGCCATTTTCGTACATTTTTAGTACCGGTACTTCTGAACATGTATATTCAAGACCCAAATCAATCCCTCAAAATGGCGAATCTGGCGCTTTATGGTTTCACAACATTAAACAAATATCGTTCCAATTCAAATTTTCTGAGGGATACTTTGTCGATATTATTTTCTCTGAGAATTTTGTTATATTAAACATTCTTCAAAAAAGGAATAAAAAAAAAAGCATAAATTTGAACATCTGTATAATTTCATTGAATCAATCAGGTCATGGTCATTGACAAGGGCAATAACTCTTTAAATAATTTAATGTTTGCATTTTTCTATTTTCCAAAATGTCATGTAGGCCTTAAGCTTATATTCAGATAGGGTATGCATTTGGCTCACATCAAACAATTTAAAGAACCTGTCCAGTAAATTTGCTTACAAAGCATAAACAAGTCAAATACTAGAAATTCAACCTGATTTCCATATGAATTATTCATATCAAAATAATATGTTGACAACATATGAACTCAATTTAGCAGGTGTCCCCTCACTCTAGCACTAGTAATGAAACCTAGCTAATGTCTTAAAATAGTTTCATGGTCTTATTATTGCACAACTAGGACCTAAACAAAAAATCGAGAATAAGTAGTAAACAACAAATAGAGACGTGTCATAGAAAATGAAAAACAAATTGGGTAAACAGCACCATGTTAACCACCAGTCTGTAGGCCTAAATTACAGGGCATCTCTGGTCCTACATTTACCACAGACACTTACTTACTTACTTACTTAAAAGATGACATCAAATTATTCATCAACTATTCACCCGTTTTTACACGTTTTCATACAACACAATTATATCCTCATTAAATGAGCAAGATGAAATCCCAAATTGTCACATAAACATAAAATCATCATAAAAAGGATACATTCTTAGGGATCCTGATTTGGTGCCGATGGCCAAAATATGTTGCACTGGGTCAAATGCCACAGCAGTTGGTTGGAATGGAAATCCATAACGTACAGTCTAAAAATACAGAAAAAATATTACATTAACCAATAGCATATAGTTGAAAATATACTAAACAGATTAAAAGTGCACAAAATCGACGATATTTGACATCAATAAACGATAGTAAAATGAGTACAAACTGGTGTCATTACCTTACAAATCTGAAAATGCTGCGACAGTAGCGATTCCTCTATCTCGTTTTCTGATTTCGGTGCAGTGCTCACAGACGAGCGTAAATTATCCAGGACCCCCTTAAGGGTAAACCTTTTCATTTTTCTGTTAACTGGCGAAGCCATTCAATTTGGTTTTACCAAATAGATCCATATTGTTTTTATTTACTTTCTAGCGAAACATTTTAGACGTTGAAGAGTAATGTACGATGATAAGATAGCTGGGAAATATACACCAAATACCCGGATGTCAATCCCAGCAGTCAATTCTCTCCATTATTATGGTGAATATTTTTATGTCGACGTGCAACTTCTCGCCACATTTTTATAGCTTTTTTGCTACTAATTCTTGTTATCGACAGCAGATTTCCGGAAATTAGAAGCCATAAATAAAGTCAGTTGGAAAATCGACAAATGTCGCCATTGTCTTTTGTCATAAATTAGCGGTGATCTTATAATAAATTATAATCTATTCAGTGACTTTCTACAGCAGGATCAATCAGCTATTGTACAGTAGAACCTGTATATTGCGACCAATTGATTTTCTGAGATAGAACCATTGTAAATAGTATTAATAAATAAGGCCAGGATTGATGGTCATGTTTACTATTATCACTGCCAATCTGTAGATATAGAAATTGATATATTGCAATAGTGTCCCTTTAATTATGATACTGTGAGTGTAGACCTATTGCCTATTCCGTATCGAGAAATGACACAGTATTCCCAGTAGTAATCATAAGAAAGGAAAAGCTTTGGGTCTAAAAGATGAATAACAAATTTAATGCATATGAGTTGTGATAAATAAAAGACATATGTTTTGATAGTGTTCCTTTAATATCGTTTTATAGACGCTCTGCAATGAGTTATGAGTTAAGATCGATACATAGTACAGTAATATGAATTGATATAAGTGGTATTTTTTAAATCACATTTCTTGTACAATTCACCAGAATTAAAAAAAGCTAAAAATTTGGTTACAACATAATTTTACTTTCGGTTGAACCTTATTGCTTTGGAGAAGAACCAACAACTTTTTGTTTAAAATTGAGTGCAAAATAAGAATATTTTTTTGAGCTACTTTTATTCCATTATGAAAACATATGAGTGCATTGACCTGACCTAATTAGAAATTGATCCAAGGGGATTGAGAAATTTGACAATATGTTTCAACTTACATTATTTTTTTATTTTAGAATTGTATTGAGTAATGTCTTTCACAACCATTCTGTCCTTCACCCTATACCGAGGAAGAGTCTTTCTTAAAAATGCACAAAAACACAGGTATTTTGTCTTAAATCATTTCAAAAGATGCCCATGTTATTCTGGTGCCTGCCTTGTATAACAAATCTAGGTGATTTATTGAGTTAAGAGGATGAAATAGCTTGATAATGCAAGGTTAATAACTGTTATACTTTTTGAATAGTTTTGGCTTATGCTCCCTCAAATTTAAAATTGGACTGAATCCTGTATGGTATTGCCACTCTGAATAATATCATTAAGGTATAGTGTTAAGAGTGAAGAAGTTCCTAAAAACTTCTATGTAAAGCACTGGCCAAGGTCACAAATAAAGAGATAAATGTTCAATACAAGATAAGGTGAAGTTAGCATAGTTAGTATTAAGTTAAAAAAACAACCACGAGTAATCTACAATAAACAAAAGTCTATAATATGAAAGAAAAGAGTATGAATAGGTTCTGAAAAGATGTAATAGTAGGTCTAAATAAGATAAGGTTGGATTTGAAATTTTGAAGAGGCTAAATCAAATTTGTGTATGGTTGGGGTTTCAACTGTCTAGTTTTTTTACTAGAATTCAATTTACAAACTGTATTCTATTTTGATCAATCTGTGGTTTGTTTCAGATTTAAAGTTCTGGGTGTTGGTATAGGAAGCAGTTTACTTGGCTATCTAAATTCATGTAAAGTAAGTAAGCTTTATCATGTTTATCAGATTTCTAGCAAGGGTTTAACATATGAACACAAGAAGTAAACAGCCTGTTCCTATCTAAATCACATTCGCAAGACTTCAATCATTGCACAATGCATGGTATTTGTCTTCATTAACCTATTAAGGTGCAGAACTGATAGATACAATAATTGTATATAATTTCAGGTGTATGCTAAAGGTAGAACTGATTTAAATGATTTAAAAGCAGGTTGGATGGCCGAACCATTAACAGATATCAATACATTGGACCAGGTCTGTAGGAGCTCTTGGACTGAAGTGGGTTGGGAACCCTTCCCGATTCTCCCCCCCCCCCCCATTTTTTATAATGAAACTACTGTTTTATTTATCCTTAGATATTATTAGCAGCATTGTGATGGTGACCTAAAATACATAGTTTTAGTGGATTTGCTAAAGCCACAGACATGGTGGAAAGCCATTCAAATTGAGTGTCCCAAATACATAAAACAGTTTTGAATTCAACATTTCTATTTTGAGGTTGGATATGTCGTTTTGAAATATGGAAACAGTTTTTGAAATATATTTGTATCATATATTAATACACTTGTTTGTCTGTAGGAATCTGATGATATGAAACGTAGAATGGAGATGATGATAATGAGAATACAGGTAGGTTTGTTAAAGTGATACTACGTCTTAGAATGAACATAACATATAAGTTTTGGAATGGTCAATATAAGTATATATTCATCAGTTAGCTTACCTGGTGTCATAAAGTTACAACAGAATCCCTGTAAAATCTGGAAAATTGGAAAATTCATAAAACTAAGTAATTATTGAAAAAAGCTTTATCTTAATATTTATGGATAATTACTAAGATTTTTAGATTTATCGGATTATATAAGTATCCTGTTATGTTATTTATGACACCAGGTATATCTACTGGCTCCTATTCGCCAAGTTTAAAATTATTAAATTTTATGTTAATTCTAAGATGTAGTAACACTTTAGGTTTTTATTACCTGAATTCCATACCGTACTATAACTAATGAGAGACACTGGCATGAGGACTGATTGTGAGCCATGCAGACATCATTTCCTTTATAGTAACTGAAATTCTTATCCAAAAATGATTAGTCTTTGTAATGACCTTAGTTAATCCTGTCTTGACATGGATTTGTTATGTTTTATTACAGGGTGATATATGTAGATCATTTGAAAGGATAGAAGGAAAAAGGAAATTTTTAGTAGATAGATGGGAGAGAAAAGAGGTTTGTTTTCAATTTATATAAATAGAAATCTTACTTTATACTAGATTTGCTAAAAAAAATTCACTAAACCCCATTCTATTTTTGTTGATATGTAATTTTTCTAAAAAAATAGTTTTGGTGAGTTTTGATTTGAGAATAATAGTTAAAACTGACTCATGAGTTATTTGTATTGTAACTACAGGTCAGGGATTCAGATATATTGAATTAAATGAGCACCATGGATGTTACATGTTTATCAATTCATTACATTTCCTTGAGCGATGCTCTTAAACTTTGGACAGAAGTCTACGATACCAGGCCTACATATCACATGACATAACAATTTGTATTAAAGGGAGGTGGAGGTATAACATGTGTATTACAAGATGGGGAAGTGTTTGAGAAAGCTGGTGTTAATATATCAGTGGTTTATGGTAAACTCCCTCCTGCTGCTGTACAACAGATGAAATCCAGGTATTGCCTTAACTGTGCTGAAAGATTTTCTTAATCTTCTGAGCCTGTAGGTTGATTAATACATGTTCAGAAACCACTTATAGACAAATACAGATGGTGGAACTGGTTTCAGTTTGTCCATTATAGTTCTTCGAATGCTTCTTACCGTGTTCTTGACTACTAGAGACAGCATAGAAATGTATACAGAGTTTGAAAGAGCTACAACGATCAAGAGATCTTCTTTCATTTTTAATAAAACTATGAGAATGTGAAACGAAGTGGTGGCCAATATTAACAAACTGTCAGATATATATTGTCTTGAATAAATGATGGATTTCTGCATTTCCTTATTTAGATAATCTGAGATTTTTTGTTTGAATATTGAAGTAAATTTATAGTTGAGAATATGAACTGTAACAAGTTATGTCATGTTACATGTAGCTAAGCTTCACTTTGCTAATTTATTTGAAAATTTTCATTTCAGAGGAAAAAATCTCGTAGGAACAGAGCTGCCATTTTTTGCTGCAGGAATTAGCTCTGTTGTTCATCCTGTGAGTTGTTTTGTTTTAATCTTTTTCTTAATTGATTGAAACATTTTCTTTGTCTTCCGTCGTTCTGAGATGTTTTATAAAAGTTTATCTATATGTTTTGTGATAGTGAATTTCATGTTCAATATACAAGATGATGACGGCTATCTAAGGTTAAGGAAAAAGAGAGCTATCAACAATATTAATTTTAAAATAAGGCTTGACTAAAATATTCAACATACCATTGAGAATTATTGCCAGTGATGTACCTGGCTAGTTAATGTAGGATTGAATCTAGGAATTATTGTATTATAAATAGTTGTAATAGGAATTTCTTGTTTCGATATCACAGAAAAATCCTCACGTACCAACAGTCCATTTTAATTACCGATATTTTGAGGTGACGTGTGAAGATGGTAGTAAACAATGGTGGTTTGGTGGTGGTACTGATCTCACACCATATTATCTTGATACACAGGTTAGTTATTAGCGTCAATATTAGCTAGTTAGAATTATATGTATATACTCATCCTGAATCTCCTTGGATAAGGGTACCCATTTAAAAAAGGATCACGAAATTTCTTTCAACGCAAGTTAGTAGAAATTGAATTTCTTCTATAGGCTTATTAGATGTTTATTAAGCTATGCAGGTTTTCTATAGCTAAATCTTAATGGAAATTCTGTCTCTTAACTGTTGAGAGATATTTTGCACATACAATCTGTAGAATACTTAAAGAATAGAATCATTTTGAATCTTATTTTATTGTGAAAAAATCAAGCTTGAAATTTCTTTATTCTTCTTATATTTTTTGCAGGATGTAAAACATTTTCATCAAACATTAAAAACAGCGTGTGATAAACATGGGCAAGATTTATATAAAAGATATAAAAAATGGTGTGATGAATATTTCTATATTACACATAGAGGTAGCATCAACTTGACTTTTAGAATATAAGAGACCTTCTCATAGCATCATATTCTGTTTTGACCTTTTATTGATCTCACATCATGATATTCTGAGTTGACCATTGGATGATCTTGTAGCATCATATTCTGAGTTGACCATTGGATGATCTTGTAGCATCATATTCGGTTTTGACCTTCGATTGATCTCATGGCATCATGATTTTAGTTGACCTTTGACCTTAAAACAGCATTTCAGTTCCTTTTCAATTGGTCCTTAATGAATAAATTAGAGAGATTATTAACCTGTAGTGGTTCTTCAATAATTTTATTTTTATTAAGGTGAATGTCGAGGAGTTGGTGGAATATTTTTTGATGACGTTGAAGAACCAAATCAAGAAGGTGCTTTTAGATTCGTTACAGTAAGTTTTCTTTTTGTTGCAGTTGTAGAGTAATATAAATTTATTGAAGATGAAAATCGGACAAAGATATCGTTACTGTTTTTAAAAATGAAAATGAGATAAAATACTGTTAGTAATACTGGCATTTTTATGATGAAAAATATTTGAACAAGGTCATTACCTGTAGTCAGTTGTTAGCTAAATGTACAGATAATAAAGCAGAAAAGGTGTCTATTTCATTCTGAAATGCAGTCAATAGTTGATATTTTCCGTTGTACATGTATTGTTTGTATTATTGTAGTCCTGTGCTGAATCAGTATTACCATCCTATGCTCCTATAGTTAGAAAACATAAAGATGATGCTTATACTGCTGCTGAAAGGTAGCGATGCCTTTTTACCATTTCTAGCTTCTTAGAAATTTCCAGTTATACACAATTAGGAAAGATCTCCAGTAATATAAAATGTTATTTTAATTTTGGATTGATAGTAATAGGGACCATAGAATTTTCAGGTCTTGTCTTATCTTATGTAAAACATTAAAAATTGATCAAGTGGAGGTGCCAGAGCCAGGCCAGTCTCTGTTTCCCCCCCCCCCCCCTCCTTTCTCCTCAGTAGAAACACACTTGTATCTTGTGTAAAACTGTTGATGTTTATTATTGTAGACAATGGCAGTTATTACGACGAGGACGTTATGTAGAGTTTAATCTAATCTATGATAGAGGAACTAAGTTTGGTCTGTATACACCTGGTGCTAGATATGAGAGTATTTTAATGTCTTTACCTTTAACAGCTGTAAGTAAACCTAGCATTTAGCAATTTATAAAGGACTAGCCTAGCATCATATGAAGTGCTTGCTTCCAGTTTCCAGGTTTCTATCTATACAGAATAGATGCTAATAGTTCTATTTAACTCTTTATTATAAAAACAGAGATGTTGAGATAGGAAAAATTTCTTTTCTGTTTTCTTGTATCTTCTGTTTTTAAAAATGATCCTGATTTACTGGTGATTGGTCGAAAACATATCTAAATTAAATCTTGATACTTTATGAAACTGATTTAGCTGTGCCAAATACATCACCAAATGTTTTCTGATTTCTGACTCAACACTTTTGCACCTGATATTCCACAACAGTTATTTATGGCATTCCATAGGGTTAAAGATGCTTAATTTACAATTTAATGTCTTGTCTCTTGTTTAAGCTTATGTTTATACTTTTGTAGAGATGGGAATACTGTCATGCCCCAGAGAAAGGTTCTAGAGAAGATGAACTCATGAAAATATTAAAGAATCCTAAAGAGTGGCTTTAAAGAATTGCTCAGATATAGGCATTATATAAACATATCATTATATTAGTTATTAATCTTATTGAAGATTTGTCTTAATCACTGAGCTCTGATTGCTGACATGGACTGGGCTAAAATCAAATAAAAAGGGTTTTCAATATCCTGAATCTCATAAAACATATTTCAAACTTTTGCTTAGTTATTGTAATATTGCTACAAACTGTAAAATATGTTATTGTGAAAACTGAATATTCAATTTAATTTTTGTTACCTTGGTGATTAAGATAAATGGATTGCTTTGCTCTCTAGTCCTGTAACGTGCCTAATTAAAGTATCATATAGCTGTGTCTCCCGGTGATTTTAGGGTATGCGAGTGTTTGTTTGTTTTGTATTGTTGGTTTTAAGTGTTATATTGTTAAGAAAAATAGATGTTATATGTGTGACTGAAGAAATAAAGTGGCATTCCAGCATTTAAATTTTTTTTTGTGTTTAGGATACTGAGTATATAAAGTCCAGTTAGGAAATGAAATTGAAACATGATATTCTAGTAGATCTATCGTGTTTTATGTTATTTTTTTTTTATGTACTGTTTATGACATGTCAGTATTGTTTGAATGAAGTCCCATAGTGCTAAGAGCCAGTTGAATTTGTTAAACATTTTGTCAAAATCAAATTTTTATAAGAATATTATATTTTAATAAAGTATATTTTTTGGATGCTTAGTTTCAACACAAGTGTTTTATTATCACACTTAGACACGAAATGTCACCCTTAATTGCCTGGTAGTTATGTTGGTATAAACCATCCTGTTATAAATACATATAGGCTAGCCCTACCTAATGTCCTGGCAGTATTAAATTTTCAATGTGATCATTCTGAGTAACCCTTGAAAGATCAAACCATGGTGGCATATACGACTGCTGTTTCGGATCTTTTCAATAAGCATACTGGTATCTTGGAAGCTTCGACCTACTAGTTTAGTGGAATATCTGGCGGGAAAAAAGTGGTAAGCTGTGGTCAAAGGGAAATAACTTTACTTTGCTGTAGTCTGTGACATGTAAAGTTTTGCATTTGAAGATAGTTTAGAACTTTTTTTTAATCGCGTAAGCGTATAGATTTTATTGCCACCATTCTTTCAAACTTTGAGATAATCCTTATATTGATTAAGGCTGAATAAGTTACACGTGGTATTTAAGTGCATTACATGTTATTTTTGAAAGGATTGCAATCAAAGACATACATTTTTTTTAAATACAGATGAATATATCGGTACAATGAGCACAAACGTTAAACTCGAAAAATGTAATTAAGATCTTTTTAAAAGTTGTTTTAAAGACAATGCCTTTAAAAAGTATTAAAAAAATTCGATCCTTTATTTATTGTTATTATTAATAAAGAACATGCATAGGCTTGAAGTACACTGATCCCTTTCGACCTATCTTAAATCAAACCTCATTGAATTTCTTCTTTACAATAGATTCGCCCCTATATATTGATATAAATAATTATTTCCACGTTTACTTATTTATATATTGATATATATACCCGGCTGGATTAGGACTTCAAAGGGATTAAAGTCGTATAGACACAATTATCAAGTCGTTTGATTTTCAAAGTATGAGTGAGGCTATGCACTATGCCTTGAACTTGGAGCGATCAAAAGAAGCAGTATCTCTCTGTGCTAATTAGATTATTTTCCTTTAAATTTCTCAAAACTTTTTATTCATTTTTGATAATTGAAAAATACTTTGAGTCTTGATAATCGCGAGTATTACTTACCTGTTCCTAAGACTAGATTAATGAGACGGCGTCCGTGGTTACCAAGTTACTAACTAGTATCTACCTTATTATATAGCACACTTACAGGTCGTATATCACTGATATAAGGATATATTTGATATATTTCATAGTTTTTACAAAGATTAGGATATACACCAGCCCTTCCTATAAGATTTGTGAATGTTATTACCTATACTGGTTGCCCATATTACATTTGAATTTGGATTATGAATTAAGAAGAAAATACTAACCAGGAACTGTGAAAGGTGTCAAAGTTTTGGACAAGTATAAACACGGATTAAATGCCGAAAATACTGTTTATCAGGATGGAGGTTTAAATTTGGAAGAAATATATTAAATTTTCTAAGGTATGTTAAAATTCAAAATCCGAGTATAGCTATCAAATAGTGACTTACTAGGTCTTCATGTCATTTTATATAATTGAGCCCAAGTTTCCAACATGATCTATTAAACTACAGTCCGATACTCTTTCCCCATCAAAAATTAAATATCAAAGATTGAAGCAAGCTAGAAAAATTCACAAGTTACTTTGGATAAGAGTCAAATACCACGAATTTGGGGCACAATGGATAGAGTTGTTTGCTTGGCTATCATGTAATATTTTTGCATAAGCTTCAATGAGGGTACCTTCTCATGTGCCCATTCGTGCTCCAGGTAAGTGATGTAGGTTAAGAACCATTGTTTTAGTTCCGTAGCCTTAAAAAATTGCAAATCTATTATAAAGCTTATATATTGAGCTAGGAATTCTAGGGTGTCTGTTTTTAATCATCGTTGTAAGTTAATACATAATTTTTATTAAGATTTAACACAGTTGATAATACAGTGATAGCCTAAACAAGACCCTTTTCGTGTTAACCTTTTGAACGGGTGTATATATTTGAATAAGTAATAAGTATACATAGGCTACAGTTATTTTTATTTGAATAACAAGGCGTGTTATGAGTTTTGTTTGTGGCTTGTTTCAATAGTTAATTTATGAGAGATAAACATCATTAAGACCATTTGAATAAGATCCAATATGGGCGAATTTAAGCAGAGGGGTCAATGGAAAGCAATATTATGGTCTATATTAGATACGGGGTAGTGGCATTCAAGTCCAGCTGGTTATAAAAAAAATATAAGCTCGTCCGTTGCCGTTACTAGTTTTCGAATCATATTATCATAATGTTTTATTCTTCCAGGTTCCACAGAGCACCAAAACATTCCAAGATGTCGGTGGTTTACGTCGATTATTACGAAGATGAGTTGAAGCGCCGTCTTGAAAAGCTTTCCCGCGTTTACGACATGTCTACTATGAAGATCTTTATGGCAGTGGAGGCAATCGGAGAAACGTTGATGTACAATACATACAGCAGAGAAAAACAACATCGCTGGGAATTCTTTATCACCAGACGAGAAGCTTGCCGACTTGATCTTGATAAACACGACAGAACGCGCGATAAATACTTATACTTTCTCCTTCATATTCCCGCCGAAATTCAAGGTCAACAATTTCATGCCGCCATGTTGTCACAGCTTCATTCTCGAGGTGCAGTAGATACATTCCATTACCTGACGTTCACCAAAGAGGAAGACTCGGCAGCCTCGTTCTGTGGATTTTTGTGCCGTCTGTTTTCCAGGAAAATTGAAATGTGGTTTAATTCCTTCGAGGCTCTTGCGATTCAACTCACAGCACATGTAAAAGTTTCAAACATGGTTCGTGTTTTATCTGGACAGATTGACGCTCTGTGTCGTAGAAAAGGAAAACTACACGTCATGAATATTAAATCTACTGGTCTTTCTACACCAAGACCGTTAGATATAGCCGAACTGTGCCTTGCCAAATGTATGGCTATCCAAAATGGTTTAGCCTCGCCAAATGAACTCAGACTAACTCTACTCATCTGTCATTTTACAAACGAACGTCCAATTCTAAGACTGTGGGAATACCGACCCTCAGCTGAGATGGAACGAGCGATTCGGGAAGCTGATATAGATAAAATGATCGATGCTGGAAAACTAACACAGTATCACGAATTCTGGAAAGGAAATGTTCATAAATTCACTGAATTAGTTCATGTTTACAAATAATCTAAGACAACTTGGTGCGTATTATTAACAGTGCGTTAACTATTTGGGTATACATGGTATATGATCATTTCGGTCATTTTGGTTACAGAAGATGATCGCTTGGTTATCTTTGATGTATAATATTATGTAGAATTGACCAAATAACATTTATTTTTATAAATTATCATTTCAACAAAGGAAATTATGTTAAAGTTGCTGAATATATACCTTAATCTTATTTATTAGGGATAGACCTACAGCCTTTTATATGTTTCATCTACGAGCATGTACAACTCAATTTCAGCTATGTGTTACTTTTCCGAATTAAAACCCTATGTCCCAGAAATTGAATGAAAACGTACTTTTACAATTAGATCCCTTAACTTTTTTACTAGCATCTGTAGCCAATACCATAGAGTCACGTGTGTAATTGCAAGTGGGACTATAACGACTAGGCTATCTGAACTTTCAATGAACGTTTTTGTTAAATTTACAAAATCTGATGTTAAAAGGGATACGGATAGCTGAAATTGAGTTCCCTCAGTCGATAGAGCAAATATTTCGATGATCATATACCTTAAGTAGATCTCAAGATCATTTTATTTCTCAAAGTAAAGCTTGTTATTATTTGTGTATGTTTTTGAAAGCATCAGAGAACAAAAGATCTGCCAATATGTAATTTTATGGCCCATACGAACGAAAGGGCCCATATCCTGTTTCTAATGTAAGCTAAGTATGTCTTTAAGTGGCCATTTTCTTAACCATGTCATGGGCATGTAATAATTTCCAATATCTATTATATTCATTAGCCTATATATATTTATATCAATGTCAATATCTTTTATATATGTACATGTATATATCAGGAAACTCTTGAGTTGAGATTTCCAAACAGCTGATCCAAGCTAACCTGTGATAACCTTGTATTATAGACTATTATTATTTATTGTTATTGTTAGTCTAATATAGATTAAAAATATATTTTATATTATCATAATTATATAATTTGTTTATTTATTGTTCTGATCAATGTTGAGTTTAGTATTTCCTTTTTCAACATATTCATATCCCATCAAGGAATACTTACCAGACCCAGCCAGCTATCAATACTTACCAGACCCAGCCAGCTATCAATACTTACCAGACCCAGTCAACTATCAATACTTACCAGACCCAGCCAGCTATCAATACTTACCGACCCAGCCAGCTATCAATACATACCAGAGCCCGCCAGCTATCAATACTTATCAGGCCCAGCCAGCTACCAATACTTATCAGGCCCAGCCAGCTATCAATACTTACCAGACCCAGCCAGCTATCAATACTTACCAGACCCAGCCAGCTATCAATACTTATCAGGCCCACGCCTAGATCAAAATATATGTATCTATTCCAGCCTCTGGTAGCTATTTAGAAAGTTGTGGACTGGTTTACAGACAGACCCTGTTTTGTGAGAATTGTCCGCACTTCCCAAGGTGCGTAGGTTTTAAATCTATTTATCTAAATCGAATCCGCCAACAAAGATAAAGTTGGAAAGATATTTTTGTAGTTCAGTCATACTATTAAATTCCCCAAAATCATTTATGTCACGTCTGCGGTTCCATCAAAGTATTTTTTCAACCAAATTGATCTCTCGTCGGTCATTTAAAACTGCGTGTGCAACCAAAAGTTTACGGTTGATAATAACAAAACAAAAGTTATGATGATGCCCAACATGTTATGTTAGTAAAAACGCATCTTCGAAGGTGTGGAAAATCTCGTGACTTCAGCCGATAACTGTCAAAATATCTATCAGAGACGTTTCAACCGGATCTAAACGAAAACTGGGAGTCAATTGAAAACTGGAGTGCTTGATACTAACTGACTAATTCTAAAGGATCACCAAGTCAGTCAGTCAGTCCTGGCTGGATAGTTTACAAATAAAAATCTCTGTAACAGAATAAGTCAGTTTTAATTCCAACAATAAAATACATGAATAAACAACAGAAATCCCACAGTTATATCACAGAAATATAGCAATAATACAGGAATACTGCCACATTGAGACCACAACTCCTTTTCACATAATGCAGATAATACAGGTAATAGGAAAACAGAAGGCTCTGAACTCATCTTAATTATATATATATATGAATTAAAGCATGAAACCTATTTATATATAGTCTAGGTTTCATAGTTCAAAAAAAGAATTTCAGACTTTTGAACAGAAATAAAAGTTCCCATTATCGATTGCAAGCAGTTATGACAGATAAAACAAGTTTTTTGAAAATGGTCTGAGAGTATATTGTTTTTATGTTGTTCAAGATTCATGTAATGAGGATTTTACCATTGATATATGCCTCAATACATGGTTTGTATTAACATAAAATTTCACAATTAGATATATATAAGCATAGTATTATTGTTCACTCAAACAGCTGATATCAATTTAATGAAGCCTACCTTAAACAATTTATTGTCATAAATTAAGGTAACTATCTCTTCTCTATATAATATTGAATTGTAAAATTAACAAGCTAATCTGTAATCGTTGTTTGAGTGAATAATTAGAGTATACTTTTAGACTTCAGCTTCAATAATCATTATTCTCATTTCAAAACAATAAACAAAAATATCAACAAAAAAACAACAACAATAAATAAACGACTAGATAGTTAACAATGAGACAGTTACAGTCCTCTGGAATTCATTGCGGAAATAAATAAATAAATGTAAAATAAAACCAATAATAAATAGAACATTATCTTATTTGGAATGTACAATATGAGGCATTTCATTGTCCCTAAAAGAGATGAAATGGAGGTCTTTTGTATCATGAGTTCAAAAAAAGACATGAAAACACGATTTTTTTGTGCCACTACCATTGCTTTTGTGAATATCTAGGGAGTATAAGCACAGATCCCTTATCATTTATGAGACAGACAACAAGTCTTAACGACTTTAACCCAATATCATCAGAACATATGAAATGCAATGGATGAATAAAAATGTTATACAATAAATAAGAAACGACAGCACCATAGCAACTGAACATGTGATCTTCAATCAGTCATATGTTCAACCTTGAAAACAGAGGTGAGGTTGACATGAAATATAGTTATAGATATTTATTCTCATCTAGGTATGAATATTATCAAGAAATGATGAAGGACATTGGAAGATATATTGCACATCATAAACAATGTAGATGGGTTGGCAGTGGGAAGGGTTAATTAGGGAGGGGGAAAGCAAAAGTTTCTTTCATAAGTGATCACCACACAAGCTTTCCCATGAGACAGAAAAATAGAATATAATTCTCATTAAAAAATAATATTGGACCTTTTTGGTTCACTCTCATTGGTTCATCTGATATGGAATACCGAGATTTCATTGGTTAACAGTTTTATTAACATCTGATTGGTTATTTTACTGATCTTCTGACTTGCTGGCAATCTGTGATTGGTCAGATTGAGATTCTGAAACCATCTGTGATTGGTCAATATTAGTGTCTATACCAGAATCTGATTGGGCTACAGCAACATCATCATCTGGTTTAACCAATCGTTTGATTGGTGAGTAATGGTAGAGGTTACCAAGACGATGAAACCAGGTGGCAAGTGTCTGTTTGAGACGAGGGTCGTCTGAGTGACAGACCAACTGAGTGTTACAGTTATAAATTACTGGAATTAAAGACTTAAATCTTAGGTCATCCATTTGTAGGAACAACTGTAGAATTCTGGTTAACATCTCCGACCATGATCGAAGGTGGGCTTCACTGTCCTAAAATTTGAAAATAAAAATTATGTAATATTTGCCAATATAATTCAGGGTCTTAAGCCCAACGCAGACGAGGAACATTTTAAGCGAACAATCATAAAAATTTTGTTTCGATCATTTTTTTCACTGTCTGCGGATTACAGAAACAAGAACAAAAATGTTGTTCGTGAAATCAAACATATTTGATTTTATAAAATTGTTCGCCTCCCGAACAATTCTTTGTTCGTCGTCTGCGTTAATGACGAACATTAGCGCCGAACATTCATCCACGAAAGACCAATCAGCGATCGAAGCCAGACCACATGACACCCATAATGGCGACGTCCACCAACACAAAATTTTGGATTGTGGAGAAGGAGCAGATCATAATAGATATGTGGTCGCAATCTGCCTGTTTGTTTATGATTTCTTCAGCCCGACTATTCAGATAGGAACAAGAAGTACGCTGCGATGCAAGAAATAACACAAGCCCTGGAAACAACCGGTAAATTTACAAGGTTGCCGAACACACCCTGCTCTTTACGACGTTGAATCCGGGTACGGACCCAAATGCTCCTATTTCGCCGTCTACGTTGGCATCTTTTTTTAAATTAATAAAATAGCTAACACAATTTTACATTTTCTTCTGGACATCGCCATCTTGAGGTCATGTGATTTTCTGTGGCACTGGCGTATTGTTCGAGCTAAATGTTCGTCATTTGCGGAATTATATTTGTCGTCTGCGGATAATGGAAAACAAATATATTTGTTTGATGTATTTGTTCGTCGACAGAAATGATTCTCGTGTGCTTTGGGCTTTAGACTGACTGTTCAATACAATATAAATCTAGTATCAAAACTAGTGCTTGACCAATAAAATGATTAGAACACAACTTTATAATAAGTTGATTTTTTATGAGTGGCAGAATGAATTGTAATTCAGTCAGTGTCAACATTCAAGTAAACATTCAGAGTACATTTTAAATTTCTCACATCATGTGTCATGTTTTTATCTAGGTAACTCAAAGTTCAGGTGCATTCATTGGAGAAATAAGCTTGTTTGTATCATATGAAAAACATTAAGATCTGAAAAAGCCCAGCAATAGTAAAAGATTCACAGAAACTTTCAAGAAAATGTTTCTAAGAACTCACCTTCATTATGGACGACTGTTGCTGTTTTTCTATTTTTTCATCAACCACTTCTTTTCTAGGTACCTTATCTTTTCTGACATCTTTCATTCGATTCACCAATTTCACGAAACTTGGCATAGAATTTTGTTGTTTGCGCTGTTTATACTTGCTCATCAATGATTTGATAGTTTTATCAGTGGCTACAGTATACACTCTACTTTCTTTATCTTCTCTTATCTCACGCTTACTTTTACCTTGACCTTCATCAATTAACCCTTGACCTTTACCCTCTTGACCTTGATCTCCATTCATGACCTCTTCCTCATCAGATTCATTTTTTGTTGTTGTTTCTTCTGGTGTGTTTTGGAAGGTCGCTTGAACTAAAATACAAGATCATTTTCTCAAACGCTTACTAATGGCATCTAATGGTAAAATCTAGATATTCTACAATGTCCCTGTGTCTCTCATGATACTACTATTCCCTTATTCGTATAATTCCACAAGTATAATTTATGCAAGAATGAAGATCACATGAATGAGGTCACAGTGGGCATGTTGCCACATGTTTTTTATAGACAGTTCGAGGACAGCCTGTGGTAATACTTGTACCTTGACCTCAATCAAGATCCAAAAATGGGTCAGACTCAACTCACCAGAGACAATATCACATCCCTTATAAGGTCTGACAACCTTGGAAGGACAAAGATGAAATGAAAAAGACCACTTACTATCCTGTGTATCTATGATAACAGGAGAGGAGACAACTCCACCACTATCACTCTTATTAGAACGTGTCGAACTTGATCTTCTTACTTTCTTACTTGTAACGTCACTCATATCATCAGGTTGGGCAATTAAAAAGAACAGCGGCTGTTCCTCCATTCGATCAAACCTGGCCGTTCCTTCTTTATCAACTAAAACATCTACATAGGTTTGACACAGTTCATCACAGACATTCTGCAGCAAATACGTAAACACATCAGGACTGGTTAAAATTCCACCACTTGAATGACGTTTTTCTAGAACCAAATCTGAGATGATTCCTGTATCTCGTTCACAAACGTTGGATGTTTCGAGAATCTCTTGAGTATTCTTCAATGATATCGAATTGTTATGGCAACAAATTTCCACCAATGAATGAACATAATAAACAATACTTGCTCCAGCTTGTTTATAAAGATTTGCTGCTACGTCTAAACCAGCCACCTTCTGTACCAGGAATTTGAGTCCAGGACGTGAGTCAAAGTCACAAGCCAGAGAGTAAGCTGATTGAAGACATTCCAGGAAAGTTAGTACATTACGAGTTGACATATATGGTAGAAGACCTGGAAAAATGATAACAGTATTGTTACCTCTACTTCTCTTAATCAAATAATGAGGAAAGATGACTTATTCAAAAGATCTTAAGGTATTGACCGAGATCAGAACCCACAACACCACAATTTGTTTAATATCAAGAAAATGACATCATGTAACAATTGCAATGCTCTTACTGACTGTGCTATAGCCCATTCTCTGACATAAGATTTGAGATCTGAATTTCCCTGTATGTTACATCCCTCATTTGAGATCTCAATTTCCCTGCATGTTACATCCTTCATTTGAGATCTCAGTTTCCCTATATGTTACATCCTTGATTGAGATATCAATTTCCCTGCATGTTACATCCTTGATTTGAGATCTCAATTGCCCTGCATGTAACATCCTTGATTTGAGATCTGAATTTCCCTGCATGTTACATCCTTGATTTGAGATCTCAATTTCCCTGTATGTTACATCCTTGATTTGAGATCTCAATTTCCCTGCATGTTACATCCTTCATTTGAGATCTCAGTTTCCCTATATGTTACATCCTTGATTGAGATCACAATTTCCCTGCATGTTACATCCTTGATTTGAGATCTCAATTGCCCTGCATTTTACATCCTTCATTTGAGATCTCAATGTCCCTATATGTTACATCCTTGATTGAGATCTCAATTTCCCTGCATGTTACATCCTTGATTTGAGATCTCAATTTCCCTATATGTTACATCCTTGATTTGAGATCTCAATTTCCCTGTATGTTACATCCTTGATTTGAGATCTCAATTTCCCTGCATGTTACATCCTTGATTTGAGATCTCAATTTCCCTATATGTTACATCCTTGATTTGAGATCTCAATTTCCATGTATATGTTACATCCTTGATTTGAGATCTCAATTTCCCTGCATGTTACATCATTGATTTGAGATCCCAATTTCCCTGCATGTTACATCCTTGATTTGAGATCTCAATTTCCCTATATGTAACATCCTTGATTTGAGATCTCAATTTCCCTATATGTTACATCCTTCATTTGAGATCTCAATTTTCCTGTATATGTTACATCCTTCATTTGAGATCTCAATTTCCCTGTATGTTACATCATTGATTTGAGATCTCAATTTTCCTGTATATGTTACATCCTTGATTTGAGATCTCAATTGCCCTGCATTTTACATCCTTCATTTGAGATCTCAATGTCCCTATATGTTACATCCTTGATTGAGATCTCAATTTCCCTGCATGTTACATCCTTGATTTGAGATCTCAATTTCCCTATATGTTACATCCTTGATTTGAGATCTCAATTTCCCTGTATGTTACATCCTTGATTTGAGATCTCAATTTCCCTGCATGTTACATCCTTGATTTGAGATCTCAATTTCCCTATATGTTACATCCTTGATTTGAGATCTCAATTTCCATGTATATGTTACATCCTTGATTTGAGATCTCAATTTCCCTGCATGTTACATCATTGATTTGAGATCCCAATTTCCCTGCATGTTACATCCTTGATTTGAGATCTCAATTTCCCTATATGTAACATCCTTGATTTGAGATCTCAATTTCCCTATATGTTACATCCTTCATTTGAGATCTCAATTTTCCTGTATATGTTACATCCTTGATTTGAGATCTCAATTTCCCTGCATGTTATATCCTTACCTGGTATTTTGGTGTGAGATTGTTTTGGTATAAATTCAGTATCAGTACTAGAATCTGATTTTATTTCAGCCCCATCTAATAACAGGTATCCTATTGTCTGTAATAATAGTTGATGTGACAATAATCCTACAACTATATTACGAAACGGTACTCTGAAATACAGACAGTAAATTTAATTTTTTCATCAAAGCAATGAAAGGATATACATTTTTGAGTAATGAAAGGTTTCAATATTAGCATATTTTTTTTGTTGTAGATCCACTTTTATATAACATGCAGATTTACTATACATTTCGTTCGTAAGATCTTATTTTTTGTTTTAATAGTGCAAGAGCTTTATCCTCTTAGCTGTATATTATGATCTATAATCAACAGTAACTAGTTTGTTGTTGCAAGATCAAAGAGCTAGTTTCTGGTTCAATCAACTTCATATGATTCAGTGTATCTACCAGTAAGACTACAGTATTTCTTAAAATCTTTATCTTACTTCAGTTTAATTTTTTAAAAAGTAAGAAAGAAAGAAAGAGGAAACCAACCTAGTCATAATATGTTCTGGATTAAGACTATCCTCATGATTTGGTGGATATAATAAAAATATAAATGATTTATCTTCATCCATATCAAATTTCACACTGGATATTATAGATACCTGACTTTCTAACAGGAAGACCTGAAATATCAAACCAAAATTGGTTAAACAGGGGTTGAAACATATAGGTAGAAGGAAGGAAGATGGTTCTTATCATTTATAAAACTATTAGAATCTAACTCACTTTTTCATCCAATCAGCATTGGCTAAATCATTTATCAAGTGGCTCACTTTATTGTTAAGAATTTCATAATCATCTGACATTTTGACTTACAGCTAGTGTTAGGTTAGATCATATTAAGTCAAATTTTCATGGAAGTGTGTGTGGGTGTAGGTGTACAATCTTTACGTGTAGCCTACCTGATGAGCCAGTTGTTTTAATCTAATAAATTCTATTGGTGTACAATCTTTACGTGTAGCCACCTTGACCTGACCTATATCACCATAGAAATTCTCAGAGTTGGCGTGGAATAATGTCATCAGTTGTCTAACACTGTATGTTGTAATATTTAAAGCTCTCTGTATAGATTCAGCACAAATCTGCCACATAGATTCTGTTAGCAGAGGACCAGCACTTGATAGAACATGTCTAAAAATATAACAAACATGACAAACTTATAAATGACACAATTAAGTCCTTTTCTTTTCAAGATATCTGAAAATAATGAATCTAAATGACAAACACATATAAATGACTAGTATATGACTGGTACATATTCTTTAGCTCAGAGAGTTGTAAATCATAATAAGTTTAGAACAAATTTACAGTTCCATATAATACAGAATCTATTAATTGAATATGGGTGGTTCGGAGGAACTATTTCTAAAAGCAGCCTCTCAAATCGAAAAGTTACCTTATTTATACAAATACTGACACTCAACACAATTACTACAGCAACTTTTATCTATATTGCCACAAAATGTGATAAAAAAGAACCTGTTTTTTACCTGATACAAGAACAACCCAGTCGAGATATTCTTTCTACAGGTTGAGCAACACATTCTGTTAATACATCTAACATCTGTTTAATCATAAACTCTAACATAGCATGGGTTTCTTTATCACCTGTAATAAATAATATAACAGTATAAACAGTATCTATATCTATACAATTGTTGATAATAGTAGCTTTCGGCAGCTCCCCTCTAGTGACGTCATAAAACACGTCAGTTTTTGTAGAATTGCAACAACCACAGACAAATTGAAGCTATCAGTGTCCCCGATACACATATAAATTTTAGAAAACCTCTTTACAATCCCTTTAATTAACAACCTCCACTTTTAGTGTTCTTAGCAGTTGAAATTTTTAGCATACTTGGAAAAAAACTTACCAACAAATTTATTGAGATAGTCGACTACTAGATCAGCTGTATTACCCAGACACTGTTTAAAATTCACAGCTCCTGATATCCAGTAATTCTGAATACGTGATCCACGACGTAACCACGATTGTAACATTGGTAATACTAGATGATTGACACAATGTACAGCAAACTCAGGACCTAAACATTCAATTGCAGGGTTATATATGATCCCTGTCTATGTTCATTAACATACAAGATACTAGTGATATTTAATTTTGTATGGCATTTGAGCAAAAGTGGTGATGTCATTCTGAAAGATTATGTGATTTTAAACAATAAGCTCTACATACAAAGATTAAAAGTCTGTTACATTAAGTTTATGATCATACTAAGCTTATGAATACTACAAATAAATCGCCAAGAATCCATCAAAAAATGGTCTGTTCAGCACGCCAATAATTTGGTTACTGTTTGCATGTCAAAATAACAGGTGCTCTAAACAATTAAATTCTTACCAGGCACATCAGCAGCAGATCTCAGCAGTTCAAACAATGTCTGTAGAGTTTGAGGTTGGAAAGTTTTAGGACAGGAAGATATAGAGGTAGCCAGGCCATCTAACAGTAGATACCAGACATGTAGTATTCCAGACGGATTGTCTAAATCATCTAGAGGTTTAGGTTTCCATTCAACTTTCCCTGGACCAATCACATCTTGTTTTACATCTGATGGTTGTAATGAGTGCTCTGATTGGCTACCATTAACCATCCCTGAGTCCACTGATTGGCTACTTTTGGCATCAGGTTGAACTACTACCCAATCAGGATCTTTGTCTGGAGAAATCTCCACATCTGGTTGGTCAGCATTAAAATGTTTGGCAAAGGATTCGAAATTCATATCTGGTATATTTGGGTCTACGACTTTGACTGTGTTTCCTAACTGTATTCTGTAATTATAATGAGGTTATCATTCAGAGCAGTAACATTTATGACACAAGTATAAACAATCCTATAGATTGAAGTATATTCAGTATTTTCAAAACATCAATAAGAACCATGTACTATGTTCTGGGGTAGAATTAGTGACAACCTCGGATATATATTGTTTCCATGACCACTTATCATCAATAACATGAACCTTTCTTACACCTATATCTAGTCATGGCTTTTGGTATGCATGAGTATTCTTGATTTACTTCATTTGTTTATAAGTGCACCTCAAAGACCTTGATTTCTAAAGAGCCAGATGACAATAGAAGAAACTTTGTATAAAACTTTTAATAGCGATTGTCTTATAAAGCTGTGAGTATATATCATACTTATAAAAGATTAATGCCATTAAAGTTTCAAAAATATATATCTTTCTTAGTTTGAGATTATTTCTTACCTTTGAGAGCCTTTAAAAGGAGGACAAGCTGGCATCTTCCACATATGTGTAAGTATATCACAACATCGTTTCAGATATTTTAACGCTGGTATACAGAGGTTTTCATCATTTATAACTTGATTACCTGCCCCTAGATCACTGCCTGATTCACTGTCATCATCACTGCCATACTCAAACATACCTAGATAAATAGATAGGTGAAATGATATTAGGAGGTATAGATAATACTTTCCTATAAAAGCACTGCCCTAAGTTACTAGTAGAGACTATGTTGTTTTATGTTTTATTTTTCTCAATCTTTGTAGGCTAATAGTCCTAGCTAATTTGTGAGAAAATATCTTACTCACAGAGCCCCAGTATTTTGTGAAAGCATTGATATCTGTTTCAAAATTTGGATATTAATATAAAATGTAAAAAAAAGTACAGCTTCAATATCTATCACTTGATTGATGTGAACCCAAATATCTCTATTTCGATTAAGTGATTATGGACGACATAAGGTATGTGATTCCGAAGGCTTTGTGTAAGAATAAAACTGTGTAAAAGCCTTGCAAGGATTAATGTTGATGCTGGTGTTCTTACTTGATGATTCTGCATTTTTTAGATTTGTAATGCTGTGTAATAGAAACTTTACGTGTTTGACTTTTGCTAAGGGTGAGTAAGTGAAATAATGATAAGAATAATGGCATTATTTTCTTGGAAATTAAAGGGAATTGTCAAAATCACAAGTAATTTGGTTGAACCCCCTGTATTTTATTACAGAAAATCTAATCATCTTACCAGGTCCATGAACATATTTCAACAAACATAAAATACAGTCCACAGTAGCGTTAGCATAGACTAGTATATTATCAGTACTTAAATACACTTCAAATACATCTAATACAGCTGCTATATGTCTCTGTCTAGCCTCATTCACCTCTTCATTAGCTGTATATTCTATTTTAACAGAACGTAGAGCTCCAAACACTGGTCTCCAACCAGACTGTATCTGAGCTGTACAAGCTTCTACTTCTTCACAAAGAGAACATACAATCTGAAAGGAATGGAGGTAGTAAGGCTGATAGTGTTGTTTAAGAGCAGGGGATATATAGAAATATATCCTAATGTAGAAAGAATAAATGACATTATGGAAAATTTTTCTGAATATGAATTTTTACCCAGGGTACAAAGTGATTGTCTCCTGTTAAATTTTGTTTCATTTTGATTAAATGAAAGATTCTCGTCCACTATTCGCGAAACAATCTTAGTGCAAGGACGTCCTAAGGTCTTAACTTAATACTGTTTATAGGACGATCTAGTTCTAAGATCGTTTCGAGAATACTGGCCCTGTATTATATTTGATATCTTATTTCATTTCAAATAATACTTTAGTTGTTTGGTGTAGTTGAATTTAATGAGTTACTATACAGTAGATGTCACTGACACAGGGTTAAAGCATAATATCTCAAACTCAGTGTATAAACAGTTAAAAATTAACAAATGACCCACCTGATCCTGTACATCACCATCACATAATTCTAAACATAACATATCTTCAAATGTTTTACATAGGAACTCATTAACGTGGAAATGTGGTAATTCTTCATGGTTAGATAACATAGCAACTATAAATTCATGTATACATGTTACAGCCATTTTACTAATACTACGTTCATGATGTCCTGTAGCCTGTAATAATAATATAAAAATCCTTTTTGTTGGCGTCAAAGTCTATCTTGATGGCATCATTAGTATAAAATAATTTCAGTGTACAAAATTGTAACAATGTCTCGCAAAAAATGTAAATGGTCTAAAAAGTAAACAAATTTCAGTGTACTGTCTTGCAAAAACAAAATTTCAGTGAACTAAGTCTTACATGAAAAATTGCAGTGTACTGTCTAGCAAAAACAAACTTTCAGTGAACAAAATCTCACACAAAACACTCAATACACCCCAACACAAAACAAATTTTCAAACGGCCTTGTTGATATGACATGAATAGTGTTCCTTGGAACTAAATACAATACAATAAAGCTATTTGGTATCTCGGAAGCAGCCAGTTAAATGACAAATACAACCTCAACAGCATTATGTAAACCAAATAATTGCTTTTCACAGCATCTATGATGAAGCTTGTCTAAATTAGCTTATAGTAAATGATCATGTTGTAAATTGCTTATGATGAATTCTAAAAATTCTCAACTCTAAAGAGAATGAAATTACCTCGACTAAATAAGGAGATATAACACTCCAAGCTCTTATTAGATGTAATAGTGGTCTGGTACTATTGACTACTTTCATTAGAACATCCTGTAATCTATATAGATGTAATGCATTAGTTGGTAGTCTTCCAGTCTCGTAGTCTCCAGTACCCAGTTTACGTAGCTGTGCTCTACTAGCTTCACCTAGCTCTGTTAAAAAACTTAGTAGTGACATCAAGTTTAATTTTCTTGCTGCATCTTCAAACAAACTGAAAGAAACATAGACCAATTAAGTATGAATTTTAATTTTCTTTTTTAATTTCCAAGCAAGCATTTTGTGGTAATAAATCATCCAATTTGTTATATCTCAAAAAAAAAATCAAAAAAAAATCATCAATCAACAACTACAAATAACTCAGCGCTGGTCTATCATAGACCATGGAATGTTGACCAGATGACATACTGACTTACCTATCAACCTCTTGTGAAAGACCACACAGAGCTTTAGTAGCTTGAGCATGAGTTAACACCCCTCCTCCAGTAAGTGAACTATCCCATCCTGATTCTATACTAGACTGACGGATCAGTTCAAGTACATTGATATGAGGGGCTATAGGTCCTACTGGTACAACAGGTGCTGCATATAACTCATTCTCATTTCTGAAAAAGATACACATGTTTACAACACTAACACAATAAAGGCAAGATTGATGATTTGATACATATATTTATGTTATAAACTGTGCTGAGACACATTGAATACAATTAAACCCAATTTTTATAAACATAAATACTTCGGATAATGCATGTTTTGCTTTGAGTAGGGCAAATGGTGGGAAAAACTCTGCAATAGAGCGATACAACAAGAATTTTGAAAATTAAAAATTGATACACAAACTTATAACGTATCTTTTTGAAATTATATAAGACAACAACTTATTTCGCTTATTAAGTCCAATGACCAAGCAGCATTGTGTAGTTAGTAAAACTTACGGAGGAGCCATATCTATCTCAGCTGTTTGTTCTTGTTGTATTTTAGGTAGACTAGATTGATTATTACCACCACTAAAATATGTATGTTCTAATTCCGAGATATGGGCACAACATCTGAAATATAACAATATCCAATTAGAGCAACTGTCATTCTTGAGCTCCAGGCTTAAAACACCAGACTACATTCACTATGATGAATATCAAGAAAGAAAGAAAGGCCATTAACCATTAGGTGTATCCGGAAAGGGAAACGAGATGTCAACATGTATGGGAAGATTTCTGGAAGAGCCGACACGAACTGTCGAGCAAACACATAAGTAGTAACAAAACAACTAGAGGAGCCAAAATGTTGATTTGGAATCAAGACAGCACAAGACCAACTATATCTAAAAACATTTTTTTTTCAACAAACCTGAAGACATGTTGCCAGCAATCAGCAGAATGGCTTCCCATTTCTAATCCTGTTGTCATGACAGCATCCATACTGAGTACATGAGCAGCATGAAGTCTGGCTAGTTTAGGTTTTGAAGGTAAAACTGATGATTTATTTTGTTTATTATCTGATTTAAAATCTTCTTTTACACATGATGTTGTTGCTAGTTGAGTAAATACACCAGCACATCTGTTCTGTAAACCTACAAATTAATAATTTTTCACAAGATATGCTTTCAGGAATATTTGAATAACCAACTGTGCAGGATATCACAAATTTTTCTTGACTTTAGGTTTGAGTATCCACTAAGATAATTATTGACTAAGTCTAGTTTTGAACATCTATAACATACTTTGAACAGAATCTTCATTTTGTGTCACATTGTTGCATCAGACATCTTTCTTATTATTTTGGGTAGTGCGGCAACCTAAGAGCCTAACAAATAACGATCCAACTATCAACTGAGTAAATCTCACTGCCTTACAGATAGGCAATATGCTTTGAAAACACTAATGAATACATACTTTTTGGTAAAAAGATGCCCTTCAACTTACCTAACATGCAGCATAATTTGGCAGCTTTCCTCAATCCATCTAAACTTAAGCATATGGCATTCCTGGCTCTCATAGATTCTTCCTTGGCTCCCTCAGTACCCAGTAATAAAGCTAGACTACTGGAACTGCCACAGGAACTTTTACCAGTTAATAATACTGATAAAACATCTAATATATCATCATAACATACATACAATATTAACTTAGATAACTTCTTTCCTGAAATTAACAACAAGTGAAGGAATAAATGAATGAATAATTAAAACAGATAAACCTTTTAAGAGATAGAATTTATCCATGAAATATAAGTTGTTTTCCAATCAACTACGTTAAAGGGGAAGGTGTTTACTTTAATATAAGTCAGTCAAGTCTTCTCCATGTGATTAGGCTTGTCCCCAAGTTTCACCAGAAGTCCTGTTTGCCAGCCCTTTGAACTCATTGTACATTTTTCTTTGTAAAGACACACCTTGTACACCCTCACACACAACGGGCAAAGAGAAAGTTGTGTGAATAATTCTCACAGTGGACAGAGATATCTGAATTCTCTACTGATATCATAAAAAGCTTCAATTCTAAGGTATGCAAAATGTCTCACATGTTCAGCTTGTAGTGTTGCTGGTACCCCTAAGGGAATACTTGAACCCCAAAGTGGGGAGCAGGATCCTAGAGTACATACATACATACATACATACCTGCTTCTACAGCTTGAGTTCCAGTCTTCTCTTGACCAATATCTATAAACCCAGAGTTTTCTTTACCATCTGATAATAACTGTCCTCCAATTTCATGACTTTCTAATCCATCAATTTCTGTAACAGTGCATATTGATAACTCAAGACAATATATTTGCACCAGGAATCTTTTCTTCAAGTATACATATAATCTAATAGACATATAGTCTACCGTACAACCATGAATAGTGACCCCTAAAGTCTACTATGTCCTCTAAAGTCTTCCAAACTCATAGATGAAAGTTTCATAGTAAATAGAATATTTTTTATGGAAACATGCAATACACTCAAACCTTACTCGAATATCTTGACAGCGAATTGACTTACCTTTCAACATTTGTATTAGTGCTGTATCATTATGTTTATTATATCCTGCAGTCTCTAAGATTACAGGAAACAACTTGAGTATAGACTTCACTTAACCAGGCTGGTGATAGATAGACTATTATACCACTACTTAATACTTCATCTACAAATTCTTTCTTATAAATAAAATATAACAAATTTATACTATAATTACAATTTAATAGCAAAATATCAAATATATATTAGAATAACAAATTATACCAGCATAAAATAACAAATTTATAATAGAATAAGTTAAAATTTAATTTATACTAACAAATTATACATATGAAATTAGAATTGTCATAGGTGATCTGATCAGCAGAAGAAAATACTCTCATCAGTCTGAACCTAATAAAAGAAAGCAGGTCACTGGTTGAATTAAACAGACTTTGGAAAGCAATGACTGTGGTACCAAACTTACAATCCAACTGACCAATGGCTACAAATCAAGAAATCTATGGCAATACACTAGACACTAGAAAGCAAACAATGAGATACCAAGCAAACAACAATCCAACTGAACTCCAGAAAAAATCCAGCAAATAACTTTGACTTACCTCAGTGAGAGGTTGTTTAGCTGTTTTATTACCATTATAATAATCATTTAGATTGAGTTTTAATGATAATAATAATGATAATAGTGATGCTGTATATATACCATCAGCATTTAATATTACTGATGATATCAAATCTTTAACATCCTCACAGTATGACTCTACTGGTACCATTCCTTAATGAAAAATCAAATATCTAGCTTTATAAAAAAACTATATGAAACTGTAATATTACAGTGTTTAAAGACAAACTAGCATTGAATATTTAGGGTCATTGTTTCCAGTAGGGCCTGACATGAAAATTGCACATAATTAAAGTAATTCTCAGTTCGAGAATTCTATCAGTTTTCACTTCAAATCAAATTTTCAGCTATCTAGGGTACCTTTTTAACAAATCCATGAGCAATGTTTGGTAAAATAAAAATGTTCCTACCTGCACAGAAATTGGAGGCAAACTGTTTCAAGCCTTGATCTACTTCTTGTATAGAATACATATTGAACAACTGTGGTAAAATACGTTTAAACTGATGTATAAATAACTTGGCATTTTGACGTTCTACAGCTTCAAATTTATCTCGAAGCAACCTGTGACGTCGAACCATCTCTTGACGTTGATCTGACTGGACCTGATTCTGGATGGTTATTTTTAAATCCATCTCATCCTCCACTGTCTGTTTACCTATTGATCCTAAACGTTTTTTAGGTGATTCTTTTTCCTGTAATATCAATCAGGTTTGAACTTTCACTTTTCTGCAGAACATAAAAACTCTTCAAAAATTCTCAGTTATTCTTTTCATTGAATTGAATTTCACTCTTCGAATTTTTAAGACACTTTGGTTTTTGTAAGTATTATTGAAAATATCATTCATTGAACTTGTGTGAACCATGCAAATTTTTCTCATTCGCGGTTGAATAAGTGTCTTGATGCATGAGCTTGTTTCTAAACTTTGACTTCAATGTCTGAACGTTAAAGGCTGAAACATAAGCTATAAGTTTTGTTGTGACCTTAAAAATCATAAGCCTGTTTATGTCTTATTAAAATCCTATTTTTCAATTATCTGTAAACCATATTACCTTGTTTATAGTTTCAGATTCTGATCCACTAGTTTCTTTTTTATCATCAATCTCAGCTTCTTCTTCTTCCTCATCATCATCATCAGAGTGTTTACTAACTGATCCTCCATCTTCTACTAAACTTTCCTTTCTACCATTGTACTCATTACTTATATCTAGATACAAAATATAGATAATATTCATTACTTATATCTAGATACAACATATAGATAACACATTACTTATATTTAGATACAAAATATAGATAACACATTACTTATATTTAGATACAAAATATAAATAACACATTACTTATATCTAGATACAAAGTTTAAATAACACATGACTTATATCTAGATACATTCATTATGTTTATCTAGATACAAAACATACATAAAACTCTTTACTTATATCTAGATATAAAGTATATATAACATTCATTACTTATATTTAGATACAATAGAGATACCATTCATTACGTATATCTTAATGCAAAATAAAGTCTTATCATTTATTACTTATAGCTAGATATAAAATATAGATAACACATTTCTTATATCTAGATACAAAATATACTAGATATAAACATAGACAAATTTATATATATCTTCTTACCTTTACCAAGCTCTATATAGGTATTATTGATTTCTTCTACAACACTTTCTATCAAACCTTCTCCATTACATAGTTTGTCTAAAGTTCCTAATAACTGATCAGCACATTGTACACTCACAAAACATACAGCTATATCAGTACATTGACTAGATTCCTGTAGAGAGTCCACAATCCTATAATATAAACATACAGCTACATCAATACATTGAGATATTAGCTTATCTAAGACTAAAAATACTCACTCACTGAAAATGTCTAAGGTTATAACTCTTGCCCATGACTGCATATAATAAATGACTGACAAATTAGTGAACATGCAATGAGCCACACAGAATTCAACAAAAAATAGTTGAACTTACAATCTTAATAATGGCACATCATTTAACGTTTTCACTTTTTGATCTGCTTCCTCCTGACTAGGTGGTGCTGATATATCAGCAACTAATTCAGGACTAGACAATATCTACAAGTACAGAAATGAAATGGAGTTTTACATCATACTTTTCTGCCCCGTGTAGCCAAATGAAGATGGGCAGTGTAATTGTGCAATGCGAGACAATTTGCCAGGATAATGACACTTAGCCTATTCTTTTTTGGATAATGTCAAGGGATCTTTAAATGTACAGCCAGTAGCACTCCAGTTATTGTCCCATTTGCAGACGCTTTTTCAAGGTCAATCTCTATGACCAGATAGAGAAACCTGAATCTCAATATAAGCTAGGAGTTGAACCCCAATGCTCAATCAAACTCCAGCGCTCAAGTCAACCCAGAAAAAAAGTTCGATCTTGGCTCACTACAGGAAATGGGACAACTAAAAAAGGTATTACCTCACAGATAGATTTTAAAGCATCAAGTCTATGTTGTGGTGGAGGATAGATTAACATACGATGAAAAAGAGATTCTAGAACTGGTCTCAAGGTTCCTATTGTTCCTATCAATCTTACTAACTGGTTAGCTATTCTGTAATAAAAAGAATATTATTAGCTACTGTACAATGTGTCACACATTTACTCTTTAATTAACAGTTTTGAAAGGAAAATGGTGTTCCACGGAGTTTTAATAAGCCCTAAGACAGTTTAGACCATTACGCTTGGACAAAAACCAATTAACAAACATGGTAGACGAATAATATGAGTTTTCAAACAGCCATAGATATTTCAAGTTTCCTTTTCGAACTTAATAAAATAAATAAATAAAAATCTAGTATATATTTTCATTTTCATTAAATGGTAACAAATGACTTACGCATAAATAATTTTGGCAGTAGCTACATTGACATTAGGTGCTGAGGTTGACCTAGCTGACCCCCGACCTACGACCCCTTCCTCCATGGATAATGACCGTGTCATTAGAATACTTCTCTCAGCTTTAGGTGTTCCTAACAGTGATATTAAATCTGGACAAAGATTCCTCCTGTAATAGAGATCAATCAAATATCAAATAGAAAAAGAGGACTGATAAGAAATTGACAGGAATAACTTAACTTTATATGTCTACATCAGGATTAGGACTTTAATTATAACAAATATTATAGGAGTCACAATTTGTAAAGCCTCTTTGGAGGTCCTTCCATCATCCATTTAACAGCTGGTCAAAGAATTGAAAGATTCATTCAAAGCAAATCAATGTTCTTCAAAATCAAAATGAGATGAAATATAGTTTTATGTACCACTTACAATAACTTCTTAAAATTCTCATTATCTTACTGAGATATACCATTCTTAAAAGTGATTTCAATGTTGTACTGTGATTTGACGTGCTTTATCTAAAATGCTTTATATTATATATATTGAACTTCCCACTAATGAATACTCACCAGACAAGTTCCTGGAAACCAGCATGATTTCTAATTGATAATGGAGAATTAGTTAATAATGACAGTATGCCCTCTACTAGAATCTGTACCTCTTGTTTACCTTGACCACCAGAACTGTAACAGAAATTAAACTAATACTTATTAGTCACATACAACTATATTATTAAATATAAAATTATTAACGTGACACTAGGTTGCAATAGACAACATGCATTTTGTGTGTACAGCCTCCACTCTCCAAGGTGGTGTACAGTTCAAAATTATTGAAAATATAAGATCTTAATATATATACTGTATTAACATCAAGACACAATGCACTCATTTCTGATTATTATATATGTACAATCCATGGACAAAAGCACAAACGTCTGGTACCTCATCTACTTGCACCTTAAATTTGTCAAAGGTAATACTTATTGAATAGGACAAGAACTCATTAGCAGTCCGAATAACACCGTTCTCATCAGATAAAATAACATTTTTAAATGAATGTCTTATCTTTTCTTATGGCAAAAATTGTAATGTTCTTCAGGAAGAAATACACAAAATAAAATGAATGGAGTTTTACATCCTTCTTCTCTGCACCATGTTGGCCTGTAGCACACGAGGCCTAGGTTTATTGACCCATCAGAACTCAGAAAGAAATACAACAAATCTTTCACTCAGTTGAATTCAAAGTAGACTTGAAATTTGAAAGTTGTTGATTTCACTATAGAGTACATGCCTTTGACAATTTACTCACCTCTGTGTTCCATTTAATTTTCCAGAGAAAAATCTTAAAATAGCTACAATATCATCCATAAGACCTTCACTAGACATATAGTTATTGCCTACAAATTATAAAGTTAACATTTAAACAGAGTAAGAACTTAAAGTATTTCTCCTTTCATGACCAGTTGCAAACTTAATCACTTTCCAAATCTTTTCTTGTGACATCTTGTATATGAATAATTCATAGGTGTCAAAGATGCCTTTTTGAATGTCTCTTGATGAAAAGGAAATCTGCATTCATTCAGCACTCAAGGAATGATACAGTCCTGCACAAATACAATTGAATTGTTACATCTGTATATCTGTTTTGGATTTACTCGCTAGAGAATATCTTGTATAAGAATAGATAAATAAAACTATGAATAAAGATAATAAAAGATTGATTCTACCTACCTGATTGTTTGAAATCAGCGAGAACATTATCTCCATCTTCTACCTGTATTTATAATACATTGTTACTGAGACATTTAAAACTTTTAAATCTACTAGATATTTGGGAGGGCAATACAAAATTTACGTTGAACAGTTTTGTGATTTGATGGGCTGTAAATATTATCTTTATAATTGACTTGTATGTAACAAATTAAAACAATCTTATTATGTTTTTTGATGATATGTGTTTTCAGTTGTTAATTTTTAAAACAATGATGTATAAAATGGAGTTGATTAACCAGAGAGCTGCATTATGAAGCAACCTCAAAGCAGATTGTAAAGTAACTAAAAGAAATCTAGCAGCCAAAAGATAAAAGCTCAGAACTTCTGTTTCAGATCTATAATCTCCTTTCCTAAATATTACATATTTCTTACTTTATACGTCAATGGAGATCCCATTACAGCTAAATATTTTGAAAAAAAAGCTTTTATTAAAATTTCTGTTAAAATGACTGACAACAATTCTGTTTAACACAAAATTTTGAAGGAAATGGGATCCTTGTACTTGTCCGTTTTCAATGTAAACCAAATATTGTACATTGTGAACTCAAACAGAAGTTCTGTAGAGAATCTTACCACTTTATTTTCGAGTTCTCTCAGTTTTTCTGTGTAACTCTTTAACATCTGAGTCATGGCAGCTTTAACAGAGCCACGAACATTAAGTGAACTGCTACTATACGTATCCACAAATACCTAGAGCCAATCCAAGGGAAATAAGCATAGATAAGAGTGGAAATTTCATTTGGGTTTTGGTTTTCACATACTGGACACCCTCTGGAGTAGCTCAATTTCTATTTCAGCCTCTTGATTGATTTTTTGACAGTTGGAGTAGTGTCAGAAAAGGCCCTGTTTTATGGGGATTTTCAAATCTCCGAATAGACTTTCTTTCTAAAATAATGTTAAATAACCTTTCATTGTGTTGGGCATCACTGTAACTTTCGTTTTGTTTCAAAATAGCTATCAGAGGCTGAAATACAAGCCGTTGTTAGGTCTACCATATGGAGAAAATATAAAGATTTTCACTCTGCAGATCATACATGGGTAGGGTGGAATCTTAGACTGGCTAAAGCCCACCCCTTGTCATTATTTGGACCTCACAAGAATTAGTTTCCAAAATTCTAGCTAATCTGATAAATTCTACAGTTGGTATCTAATCAGCTTTCAGATCTGGACACATGAGACAAGGGTGTAAGAAGGATTCATGTCACAGTTCAGAAACTCAGTCAAATAACTCTGTCCAAGGAACTTTTAACTTAATATTACAAACTAAAGCAATTTCATTGCCAGCCTATGAACTGTCCTGTCCCCTCATGGCTTGAGATTACATGATGCATTAGATTCAAATAATGCAGAGTTAAGAGAAGGTTGACACTAACTGCTGATTTATCAGATAACAGTTTCAAATTCAATTTATTTCATGCATAAAGCAAGGGACTTTATCATATATGTTTAATGAATCAAAGGTTCATATATGTATAGATGAGAAAAAAACTAATAATAATCAATAACCTTTGGTTTGTTATTAGAAATATCAGTTAGTACAGTAGGCCAGTAAAATTTTATAAAACAGATATTATTTCATTATCATTTAAAACGAACTCAAGTTAAATGAATTTCATGATGTTCTCAATCCATAATTCATGTCAGATGTGAAAAAAAAAAAATTGGAATCCACAAATACATTAACAGAATGCTCACAAAAAAAATATTTTCATCATTAGTCATTAAAAATTGTACTTGAAAACAGTTAAAAAATAAAATTTTCTGTCCTTCTCAAGTTCTGATATTTCCAACAACTTCAATTGAAATAAATGATTTAAATAATGAAGTGCAATATTGATCTAAAAATGGGTTAAAATGAAATAATATTTGCGAAAAAAAAATTGTAAAATGGGGTCCAGGGTTATGACAGGTGATTCAGCCAGCTCCAAATTATTTTAAAAATCCCGAAGGCCAGCAATATTACCAAATGCTACCATTATTGCCAAAAATACCAGGGCCCGCTTATTTAGGGTTTAGTACCTAATACCTAATGCCTAATGCTCCAATGCCCCCAAAGAAGAACTTTAACGAATAGAAAATAGTTTTACATCAGGGTCATAATTCCAACACATGCAGAACAACAATTTGAAATTGAAATCAGCTTAGCGATTGTTTAATTAAGAACAACCTGATATTAACCATTATTAAGATTGACATGTTTCAGTGATTTTGTAATTGTAAATTTGAGAAGTTGATATTGAGCATGAAGCATTATACACACCACTATAGAGCCGAACCTCATTCCTTAATCCAGAATGCAGAGTAATGAACAGGTATTTTACCTCACACTGGTCACATGCAGGTAAATTCTCAATAATGGCTAGACGTTCAGGTAAAACGTCTAAACATTTAATATAATTATTATAGGCTAGTGAACCTACATCCCCATTGAGGTCACCAAGATGGATGTCGATATAAAGCTAGTGGCAATGAAAAGGAAAAAGTAAGAAAATTTTGATAATCTATTTGATGTGTTCTTTTCATTGCAAAGGAGTGCTTGTGAGGTTTATCAAGTGCAAATGTATGTCATTTGTTTGGCTTGAGAACAAGCTGAGGAACTGAATAGTATCAAATACTATTCAGTGGCAGAGCCAAATGGGGGGCAGAGGGGTCAACTGAGCCCCCTCGCAGCCCTGAATGCAAGTTTTTCGAGCATGACTCTCATAACTAGGTTAGAAATTTGGGCAACCTCAGATATTTCGACCCCTCTCGTACGTCAACCTGGCTCCGCTACTGATACTATTCATACATGTACAAAAATTTACAGGATAATCGTTTCCGGACATGCATGTGTATATAAAACATAACAATGTGCTTACACAAATGTGCCAAAATAATGTGCAAATACTGTAGTAGTGTAGTTGATCAAAGAATTTTAAGAAAGTCAAATATATGCTTGTGTAATACAGAAATATCCTTGTGCCAAAATACCAAAAATTCAATACAGCTCAAACAATCAAATAATAATGTGCCATATACTGAAAACAATACTTAAACAATATACTATATACATTTAACAATAACACTTTTTATTTAGTGTAGCATGCATGAATGAGGTAGATTTTATCAATTATATATTTTATTATGAATCATTATCATCAAATACTTTGTAATATCTTGTATTTATTTCAAATAAATGATGTTTTAAAAAAAAGCAAATTATAACAATAAAAACAAAAGTGTCAATTGCATTGCAGGGTTAGAATTAATAGACAAGCAAGGATATTACAAAAATATGCTAAAAATATTATTCTGCTACCAAATTTTCTGCATTCATAAAAATGTTGGATAGATATTTCATTCAAACAGATCATTGTTTAACTAAATAAGATCAAAAGCTGTTGTTTTTGGCTTTTGTACCAAGTTAACTCTCAAAACAATTGTTCAGTGTATCTCTTATGACCTAAGGGTTTACAATATTGAGAAGATTCTGGCAGGTATGATTTTAAATCACCAGTAAAACTTAAGTATTTAATGTAAAGGTGCAAAGCCATCAATTAAATGGTTTGATAAAATAAAACTCACCTGAGAAACTTTGCAAATAACTTTAGCATTCATACACCAACTGATAGAAAATGTCATATTCAATAGAAACTGAAAAAAATGAATATTTCTTGAGCAAATTCACACTTCTGCTGCAATGTCTTTAGACGCTTGCTAAAAATCTGAACAGGAAAAATTATCAAGAACTCTTAACCCAAAGAGATGAAGAAAAGTATGTGATCAAATAATAAGCATATATAGTACATTCGCCATTACCGTACCAATGAATACTTAAATATGAGCAATTAACTCTATTTTGTAGTAGAGTAATTGTATTCACTACATTTCTGCATTACTGCTCATTTTCGTTTTCAATGTGCACAAAAAGTTATACTAGTTTCAGTGAAGGCTAGAAAGACAATGTTCAAATGCAAAATAGCATAATACTTTTGTCTGGTCCCGCTTCTTTGGATTAACAAGTGGTAAATATTACAATACAGAAAGTTATAATCTAAATATACCTTCATAATTTCAACCTGAGCCTCTTCAGGTAAATTAGGTGTAATATATAAAGAGTTTAACACCTGTACAGGTAATAACTTCTCTTCTACTGCTTCAAAATTACACTGAAATCTTTCATCTTTTAATAGTTCCTGCAAATATCAGTTTGTTCAAGAGTGAAGGAGTTTAGAAAGGGCTGGCCAGGTTCACAAATATAGAGATCTGCTTTTATCATCATAGTGCCAGCATTATAAGATATTGATGGTATAGTCGACACCAAATACTATACAACAATCTGTCAAAAGTTGTATGATCAGTTCTAGTTACAAGACACAAATTGAAACTGGATAGACAAACAAATTGACTGCAGGAAATTTGACAAAATTTTAATTTTATTTGTGAATTTATATAAACCAAGGATGCTTATTTTTGGTCCATTTCGGGTTTTTTTTCATTTTTTTTCTTTTTAAATTTTTATCAATTTTATTTTGGGAACATATTCCTCAAATGTCATCCATGTCAGCAGCCTTGTCTGAAACAACAAAGATCTTACCTGTAAGCCTACAATAGCATGAGACATAAGTCTTTTAGACCTTGATTCTAGAGCAAGTTGTATTGGTTCTAAACATATCTCTCTTACATCACATGTTGGCATAGACGATAGTTTCTCTGGGGATTTCAAGGTTTCTAAAAAAAAAAGAGAACTTATTTAATATGGACACTCTAACAGATTCCTTCCTCATGCAAAACTTGCAGTTACAATATATATTTATAATATAGTGCTGTAGACTTTACAATGTCATGAGCCTTTTCGGACGACTAGAAGAGGGGCCTTAAGAATTAGATGTTATAGTTTTCAGACTTTTGCAATGTGATGCTTACTGTGCACTCTCTAACCTTGAGCACAAATTAATTAAAACACTTTCTGGTCAATATAACATTATTAACTGTAACCAACCACAAGTTTAGTAATAATTTGTAATATTATTATTGGATGCTCTATTTGTCACATCTGTTACACAAATACCAACTTTAACCCAACAAATTAATATATTCTGACATATTTGACACCAGTGTTATTTTCGATTTTGAACTGGTCATCTAAATTTCCAAATGCAACTTCATTCCTATCTTTTTTCCCTGAAATCTATAGAAAAGAATGAGACATATTTCTCTACAATCAGGTGTCTATTTTGCTCAAATCCGTACAGTAGTTTTCTAACAGCTTGCAAAAAGCATAGCAAACTTTAAAAGGTGTGTAAAGTTTTGGCGTTAAAAAATTAACAGCTGGATTTTTTTAGTTAAAACTTTCAGATATGATATGGGATATATTTCTATAGATTTTGATTTAGAGTTTTCGCAAATATGGGCAAAATTTTTTTTCGACCCACAAAAAAAGCAGAATGTATCTTGAATATTAGGGTGCAATCGGAAGATTGTCATGCTCACCCTTTCAGAGCACCCACAGTCGTTCAAATCTCAGCATACCCTTTAAGGTATTGCACTACTTTTTCTTTAGATTTTTTAATAGAAAAATAAAAAATCATCAGGCAAAGTTACAAGTCTTGAAAAGTTAAAAGTTTTATTTGAATATTTTTATCTATTATTCTACGACATAAAGCTGAAAATGAGCTCTATCAGCTTCTCATGCAAATGTTTTTATGATTCTTTTGAATACCACATAGGTCTTCATCATGTTGATGTACCTGAACCAATTAATTACCAATGTTTTTATTGTTCACTGCCAACTAAACTACTGATATTTTGATATCATGATATACCAGTGAGTATCTATACCATTTAACTAGTTTAATAGTATGAATAACTACTTCAAGATAATGACATTATAAAATTATCTTTACCAGAGAACAAACTGTCAATTTTTGTTATGCATACAAGAAGATAGATATCAATAATTTATCGTTAGTCGATCTTTAGGCCTGTCTAACAAACATTGTACCGGTACCCACTAAATACCTATTTAAAAACATCAGATATCAATAACATTATGTTAGTTTAACACTTCAATAATTACAACAACAGATGTTAGAAAGCTAGTCATAAATATTTGTGATATAACCAACCATGCAGTTTCTTAATTAAAATACCTCATATAAGCTTATGGGAGTCACATATGTATGACAATTGGCTAAAGAATTCCACTATATGACATGTGAAAGTTTAATTTCAGAAAAACCTAGGCATACTATTACCTCTACTATTGGAGTAACCACACTGACTTTAATCTAAGCTTATTTGTCAAATATAATACGGTTTAATACCGCCTACATTTCAAAATCTATAAAAAATTCAGAATCTATGTACTAATTTTACAATGCAATTCAGTGTGCAATGAGGGAAATTACGCAATAACAGCAGCATTATCTCTCTTTTTTAATTTCAAATTAGTAATGTCTTCAAATTATAAAAGGATCTGTTAAGTGTAGGCCTAGATTGATTTATTGGCCAATCAAATGACTACGGTTTCTAAACAAAGTAGGATCCTCCAACAAACATCACTGACAGTACAGACGGTGGTAACTAGATTTAAAAATCTGGAAGTAATTTTTCAAATTCTGCCATGATTAAACTTTAGACCTTTAGCATCATTGAAGTCTAAAAAGGGTATCTGTCATGTATTTTTACATACCTATTGCAGCTATACATGACTTTTTAATCGGTAATAACCTCTGTCCAGAACAATCTTTCTGTAATTTTGTCAAAGTTTCTTCCATTTTGCTGGTATTTTTTTAAATGACAACCTTATACTCAATAATGCAATGCATTCAATGGAAAACCCAAAGCTAAATCAGTAAAAGCCAAAAGCCGAAGTCACTGAGTCTTGCTTGTTGGGTTTGCAGTTATTCCTTCAAAAATAATAGAATATTTCAATCATCATGTTTCTCCTTAGATTATCCCATCAGAGCTTGTACTAATCCATTATAACCCTGAAATAATCCAACTACTCTGTCATCATTGATTTTTCAAAATAGTCCAGATTGACTCAGCCTGGTTGACAGATGGCTTGCTTTTCTGCAAAATGTCAACAATAATTTGACACATCTACAAAACAGCATTCAAAAGTTCGGTATTTAGCAATTACACAATCTATCCATTCAAACACTGACACTGCAATTCATGACCAAAGGTTAAATACACAAAATTGTTGTAAAATATGTTCAATTTCTCCAAAAAATTCGTCTGTAAAATTTTCTTGCCAAGATTTGTTCTAGCCGCTTATGCCGAGAATAAACTATTAAGGCCGCTTATGCTATAATATATAAGAGAAGGGAGAAAACTGTTCAAGACAACAGCAGTATACGGCTCTGGACAACAGTGAACTTCTAAGATACCAGCGACATTTTCATCTCCTCCTGAGGTTCTCTACCTTTAGGAGGTTAACATCTCATAGAGACGACTTCTGAAAGTTTCGACTTCTTGTCTTGTGATAAATGTCCTGGTTTTTAACATCAAACTATTGGGCCCATGAGCAAATAATGAATGTGGTATAAGGGAAAGATTCTCTTTTTTTTTTTTATCCTTTCCGACCCCTTTGATTTGGATTACTGTAAAGATCTCGAGAATCCAAGAACAAACTCTAGACTACTCTCTGACTTCACTGAGATCCAATTGCAATTTTAAAGCCAATTATAATATAAGACTCTCAGGACTATTTTGAAGTTTACATCTAAATTCATACAAGAATAATTGGTGAAATGGGATTCTATTTTCATCAGTTCAATGTTAATATAATAGGTCTTCAGTAGTCTGATTCAAATTGTGCCAAATACCAAATTGTAGAGAAATATATCTCGCCGCTCTCTACTTATTCTGGACAGTTTTAATTAAATATAACAAACTTCTTACTTAACAATTGGCACTCCCTGGTTGTTTATTACCTTTACAATAAAATTCAGATATTTTGTAAAAATAGTTTTAAGTATAATTTAAGTATCTACATGAACATTTTTCTAGACTGTCCCTTTTAAGTCCATAATTCTCCTTACATAGATCTGAATTCATCTATACGTCTCTGAACATCGCCTTTACAAATGTTTTTAAGAGTTTTATATTTGTCTCGACCCTGTCGTACATTCTCTTGGTGAAGTTCATCATTTTTAGTCATTTTTTCAGGTTCCTTGGCATCAGCTAAGTCAGCTTTTAATTCCTGAAAAGACAAATTTAAATTCTCAAGGATATATTGAAGACAGCTAACTAACTTCAAATTTTGAACTCCTAATTTTTTAAGAGATCACTTCTAATTCAAATTATCCAAGATCTCATCAATATATATGATCAGACCAAATTATAGCTTCTATTCTGCGCACAACCAAATTTTGACTTGTTTTTTATCAAGTCAAGGGCAATAACTCATAATCTATTCATAAAAAATCTTCGAATTCAAACTTTTCCAAGATCACATCAATATTAATGAACACACCAAATTTCATAGCTTCTATTCTGTGCACAACCAAATTTTGACTTGTTCTTTATTAATTCAAGGGCAGTAACTCATAATCTGTTTTTAAAAAATCTTCGAATTCAAACTTGTCCAAGATCACATCAATATTAATGAACAGACAAAATTTCATTAAGATCAGATGAAAACTGTAGTCTCTTAAGTGCAGAGTGCTAATGAACAAAATTTTGACATGTTTTTACTATGTCCAGTGCAATAACTCAAAAACGTTCATCGAAAACTCATCAAATTTGAACATCAAGATCTCATCAATACAATATGACTACACCATATTTAATTTAAATCAGATAAAAACTTCAGTTAAATTGTGCTCACAAACAAATTTTGATGTGCTTTGACGAAGTCGAGGGCAATAACTCAAAAACCATTCATCCAAAAATTCAAAATTCCAACTTGTCCAAAACTCTTCAATATATGATGACACCAAGTTTAAATGAGATAAAACTGAAGTGTATATTGTGCTAACAAAAATGTTGACAGACGGACCGATGGCAATATACGTATAAAAATAATAAAAATAAGAATAATTTTGAGTATAAATACAGAATTCAATGATTTACCTCTAATTGTTTTTGTAAACGTTTATTTTTCTCAGCTTCAGTTATTCTTTCCTCTTCAGGTCGTGGAAGAACTTCATTTTCATTCCCAGCTCCTGAAACACAAAATTTATTTTTGATTCAGTTATTTTTCATTACACTTTAAAAAGATTTTGATATCAAGAAAAGACAACTCCATACTAACCGTATTGTGACCCTGCTTCTTTGTCTTGATCTTGTTCTGCAAATTCATGTTCATCTCTTTGTTGTCTGAAATGGAAATGATAAGAATATAATTGTTTGCACACATCAATAAAATTTGCAAACATTGTACATGAATAAGACTTGAAGGGATTGTGAAGAGGTGTTCTTAGTTTTTTATGTCACTACAGGTGTAATTGAATAGAATTTTATGGTAATATTGTCTCAAAGTAAGAGGTCCATTTTTAAAACCTAAACAACTAACCTTTCTTGTCGTCTGCTAAGCCTTTCTTTTTTGCTTTGGGCCTTCATTTCCTGTACCATAATTGTTGTTGGTTGTTGTCTTCTCATGTATAATTCATGGTTACCCATACATAGCGCTAAAATATGTTTATTGATATGAAGGTGAGGAACATAAAATACAAAGTCCTGAAAAATAAAATTAAGATTCATTGAAACTGAGTGAATCAGATTGATTTTGGGTACACTTATCAATTGTAATACTATTAAATATTTATCATTTCATTCTTTTTTCCTATTTTTTTGATAAGGCATTGTTTTTCTATAACTATAGAGTTTTCCCATTCATTTATAACTTAGTCTAAAAACTGAATTTGCTAAAATACTTACTGGGGCCTTTTTGTCTATTGGTTTAATTACTAATTTTTTATCATTCAAAGATATATTTCTGATTTCACTCCATGAGAAACCAATTTTAGGCGTTAATCTGAAATAATTATGAATTTCACTTAAAACAGATTTCTACAAACTTTATAGTGACATCATTCTATTGTTCAGTCAAGCTTTTCAATCTCAATCTAATGTCATATCAGTCAGTCAGGATTGTACATATATGAACACGGGCAAGTTGTGTTCATGCGATGAATCATGTTACATGGCTATCTTCGTAAGTAGAAATTTAGTATGGGGAAAGGTTTAAGACTCATAATAATCGGCTTATTAAGAAGGAAAATGTTATTTAAAATCTTTTTATCAATATATTAAAAATGGTCTCAGCTATTACTTACTGATCATCCTTTTCATATATATTCAATCCAAGAGCATCAACACCAACTTTTAATTCTGTACCACGTTTATTTTTAATATCAAAATAATTCACACCATACATCTCTAAATCTTGAGCTATCTTTAAATATTCCATCATAGCATCTTCTCTACAAATAAAATGAGTAACTATTTAGATCTGAGTTTTTGAAGGCTGACCCTGGAAAGAAAAGTGTCCATTTGCCACATAACTCTATGAAACTGAACCAATTCCATTCTCTATATTTTGTAGAACAAATTGCATATTTAACCTACAAGATGCAATATAGTATGTTAATCAAGCCACATGTCCTTAGTTTTCAGTCATTATTTATTGGGCAAGTTGATGCATTGTATTGTTATATCTTGGCAGCCTTTTTTGGCAATCTTGTCCTCAAAATAGTAGCTTGGTTATATTTTTATCAAGTAAAATCCTTATCTTTATTTCAAGGTTGCCTTATTTTGACAAAGTTATTCAGAGCTTAGTTTTTTTAAAGCAAGAATGCAAAAAAGCTACCGTAAATATGGCTTCACTTAAATCTCTTCTTCATATAAGGTCATATTTCAACCAAGTAAAAGAACTCACTTTAACATTCCTTTATGTTCTGCATACCATGTTTTTATCCTCTCTTCCCATTGTTCTTTAGATAATTTATGTTGTTCATACACTCTAAAAGAAAAATAGCTTGACAGGCAAGGTAATATATGCCCACTGGCAGCTTTGATTTTGAATACAAATATTTGGCAGTACATTAACAATCACCAGTATGAAACTTCTTTAAACTTTAAGGGATGATACTGAACAATATTACTATAATTATTATAAGTTTTTGTCAAAATCCAGCAAGAATAGAGGCTTTAGAGTTTACGTGGTAAAAATTGAAAGCGTTTCCAATAACAATGTTAATTTTTTTTTAAATTTCATCCTTGAGTCATTAGAAACACTCACACTAAGTTTTGTCAAAATACATCAAGAATTGCACCTTCTAGAGTGTAAGATCTTCAAAAAATGATTTGAAGTTCAAAAACTTTGAGTGTTCACAGCTCACCGTCGAATTTTGAGAAGATCAAATTTTGTTTTCAAGAACAAGGGCAATAACTCATACTAAAATATTTTTAGATGTTCCTTATTTTCAATAGGGTTCATCCTTGGGTGATTACAAACACTAACCCCATGTTTTGTCTAAATCTGTCGAGAATTGTGCCTTCTAGAGTATTATAAAATTACTTATTTATGAACACATGAACCTTTTAAATTACCGTACTGATATTTCACACTTTAAAATTGTTCAAATAACATGCTTGTGGTTTTGGAAAATGTCTATCTTCCACATTAACACATATCACATTCAGAAATATTTTCAATATGACTGTAGATAGACTGTTCTCACCTTTCTGGAAGAATTCTATCATTGGATAAAAATCCAGAGGGTTGTGATTCAGGATTATAATCTCCATATTTAGCCTGACAGGCGTAGGAGCCGAGTAATACGGCAGTTTCAGGGGGACAGTAGATATCGTCATTTAATAAACTCTCTTTCACTTGAAGGAAAATCAGACTCTGTAACCAAATAAAAAGCATATCAATGTAATTTAAATTCAATCAAAATCAAATTTGATGTTAAGTTTTTAGTTATTAGTGTAAGGAAGATTACTTCTATGCGAAGCTGTATGGAAGTTTGAATACAAAACTTTTCAAATATTTTCAAAGAACTTGAATTTAAGATTTAAGGCATTGTAAATCTTTGAAAAGGTCTTTCAGAAAACCTTTTACAAAAGTCATAATGTAGTATTATGAACTAATAAAAGACGTGAATTGTCTGCTTTTTTATGAGATTGGCATGCAAATTGATGACCAAATGTCAAGTTTTTAACCTGATCATTACAATATTCTAAAGTTTATTAATACATCATACAGATAAATAATAAATAATCACATCATCTCACTCACTTGTGAGATATCGGTAAAAAGTTCTTCTGAAACATCTTCAGGGAAAAATTTGGTTCTAAATTGAAACTGTAATGGTGTTTCTTTCTTTACATCTTGGTTGATCACCTAAAACACAAATAAATGGAGTGTAACATTTTTTAGTTTCATATCATAAGCTTAGAGATTCAACAGAAACTTTTACTATCATGATCTAAATTTGACACAAATGAATGGATTTCATCTTGTTCATCATATTATACACCTACCGGTATGCTGTTGCTGAATTGTGTAATGAGAGAAATTTGTGGTAAATTATATGAGATTTGAGGCAAATTGATTGTGTGTTGATGGCAAGTTATATTCATCCAAAACAATTTTTTTTTATAATTACACAAGAGAGTTCTCTCTAAACCATACATGTGTACAACTCAAGAAAAAAACATCTGGAGATTTGCCTTGCAAAATCTGGAAATGGGGTGAAAAGTCAGGAGATTTTTTCAAAGCGCGTAAATTCGTGATTTGAAACTCAAAATTGATTCTTTTTTTATTTTTTTTTAAAAATAAGCTTTAAGTCTTGTAAATTAATTAAGTTGATCATTATAGGCCTACATGATGTAGTAAAAATTAACAATCTATAATTAGGGATAGGCAAAATAACTCTAGAAATAGTGCCCGATATTTCACATTTATGGGCCCAAAAATAACAAGAAAGCAAGCATGATCCCAGCCGTCTAAATTAAATGGTACCGGTAGGCCTACATCATACATGTAATACCATATTAAAAAATCAGTATATTCTGAAAGCAATATTTAGTAAATAATATGTACTGGAGTTTAAAGTCTAAACTGAGCTTCACCTGCAGAACAATGTCTTAAGACTGAATTTTTTGTAGGTTTTGGTCCAATTCATTAGAAATTACAAATATTTTACCTTTTTATTCAACTTTAACCATCTTGTGTAGCCTTTACAATCAACATATTGAAGACCAAAGAACCACATGTCAGTAAGGCCTATTGGCGCTATTACCTGAAATTGAACAGATAATTATGAATAACATTGACTGTTAAGAAGGCATTTCTCAAAGATTGTCATGTTTATTTTCAGTGTCTTCCAGATGAGAGAGGTTTTCTGGACTAAACATTAGAGAAAATTGCTATTAACACCGATATTATGCCATCTTGATTTAAACCAATTATGTTTCAATTCGAAGATCATGATACTTTGACTGTTGTTGTATTAGCAGGTGAATCTTAGTAATGCTATAATAAACCATTGAAATTTCTAATAAATTTATTATCTCTACTTTACTCAATGAGAAGATTTAATATTCTTTATCAGAAAATTGCAATGCTTTCAGAAGTTCCATAGTGAGTCTCCCTTTACCTCTTTCTAATAAATATATCATATATTTTCATTATCAAGACTTCATTATCAGCCATCATTAGTATGAATACATGTTCCTTTAGCAATAGTACAATATTATCCACATCTAACACAATCCCACATTCTCATCATTTGATGCTAATAATGTTCAGAAGTAAACAATCAAAATCAATGATGAGAATATCTGTTACAAACAATCGATTATTATAAATCAATATCAGCCTATGTAATTGTGATAACCTAATAATTTCAAGACTTAATCTATTGTCTGAGCAAAGAAAAAAAAATTAAATTTTTCCCATTATTTTTATGAGAATTGGAATAGCAGCCTCAAAATCTTAGAATGTCTTTGCTTGATGAAAATGTAAGCATGAGCATACATTATGCTAGAATTTGCGACTTTTTTTGGTAGGAATTTCTAAGAGAGAAATGTGCTTCTTTTCAATGTCAACAAAAGATTATATTTTCATCAACTCCAGGACATACTAAGACTAACAGTACTATTTTGAGGCTGATGTTCCAATTATCTTTAAAAATATTGAAAAATTCAAAATTTTGCTTAAACAATAGCTTTATTTCTCAGAAATGTATTTAACAAGTATGTCATAGCTCCATGAATGGATATTCTTTGTGGGGAGATGCAGGATTTACATGCTATATTTTGAAATTTCTATCTAAATACAAGGTTAAAACTGATGTTATGGTGAAAAAAGATTACAAGGTATTTTATACACGAGGTATTTCACAGGTATAACTTACATCATAAAGCATCTGTAGGCCAGTAGTCTTAGATTGGATGGTAAACATCAGGTCATATTCCATAGTGTTCACCTCAACCTTGAGCTGAAATATATCATTATAAAATCAGGAATAAAGAGAAAAAATCACAAAACATTGTAGACAAAGACAAATTGTAGACTAATATTTGTAGAGTAGCAGAAGAGACTTGCATAAACGTTCAATTAAACAAGCTTTAATGAAGCTGTGTGCTAATTAATAGCTTTAAAAACAAAATGCAGTATTTAAGCGAGGTAGTCTAAGCAAAAGCTTTTAAATTAAGGGACAGGTGCCCCATTTTGGGGAGTTGATTTGAGTCTTGAATATACATGTAAGTAGTCATCTAAGTACTAGAAATGTACAAAAAATATCTCAAACTAGAAATTTCTTTTCCTATCTTTATAAATGTCTTTTCTATATATGGCATTGTCTCAAGAAAAGACTACTCATCTTTTTAACTTTCAAACGTGGATAATTCTGGACACACATTGATTTGAACGCTCAAATTTCAACAGTCAAATGCAAACATTATTTTTGGTTGGCTTAGCTAAATGAAAATGGCACATCTGTCCCTTTAGCATCAATCAGTTTAATGAATAAACAATTGAATTAAGAAATTCTTGATAAATTTGTGAAGCAAGTGTTGAAATTAGACCTATTGTCTAAGTGACTGTGGACCAAACTCTTCTTAAAACCTATCACATGAATCATTCATATCAGACCAACTTTACACACTATCCTAAATGCTTTATAAAATGCATTCAAAGGAGATTGGTTTCTATTTCAACACACTTACATGGCCTTATAACTTCTTTCAACTCTGTCTCTGACCATATCATAATGAAATTCATTTTTGAAAATTTTATGTTCACAATACAATCCGGATTCAAACCGTTTCGAGTTACCTAGAATACAGTATTTAAATGACCCACATTACTAATTCAATTAATGACTTGACATTTTCATTTTTTTACTATAAACTGATATTCTCATGTAACATTTGAAGTAAAATAATGGAATAATTAGTAAGAAAGAACCATGGCTGTTTTTGATTTATGAAACAAAATTTCTTAGCTTCTACAGGGCTTAAATTCAATTCTGATGGCAAATTCCCATCTTATAAAAATTCAAAATTGATCTTGCCAATGACGTTAGTTTTTAAGGTTATAAAGATCACCAAAAGATGAAAATTTTCATGAAAAAATTTGATTTGATTCGGAGATCGTTGTGATAGATAATAATTTTGGCTAATAAAGGAAAATATTGGATCGGAAAAAAGGGGTCACTTTGACCCGCAAACTGCGATGCAATACAGCTTATATTGATCACTGATGCCATATTTCTTGAGAGATTTTGGTCTCTGACATTTTTAAAACAGATTAGTAGATAAGCACCTCTACAATGAAGTAGGCTAGTGATACTAAAATTTCCATCAAAAGAGTCAATACAAAATATAAGCTTATATCCTACATGTTGTTATTATTGGTTTATATATTAGCATCTAGAAGGCTACTATAGGCCTATAGGCCTTTATATCTCTTAAAGGGACAGTGCGATTTAATCTAACCTAAAAAATTGTTTTAAATAGCGTGTTACATTCTGTTATGTTACATTAACATATAAATTGTGGGATAACAAAATATTTTCACTGCTCAAAAATCGCTCTGTTTTATTAGTTCTATAAATTATGGATTATAGAGTCAAGAAAGCATTATGATTGGTTGGTTTAATAAAATTAATTGTCCAATCCAATCCTAGTTCTCATAATCCAATAGCCACTATTATCAATAGACTAATTATGATGCAATTGGATATGATTATGTAAAAGAGCTGGATTGAATATTTTAAATTGTAATCAAAAAGGTAATGGACACCTGTTGGCTTGTAGTTTTAAGTATATTTCACTGTCAAGACTCATCAGTAGGCTATTGTAACTTATTAATCCTCAAAATACATAATCAAGTCTTACAGATTATTTTTGGAAATAAAATTGTTAGGCCTACTGTTAGCTGAACATTAGCTGAATTTTACCTCTTAGAATGAACGTAAAATTTAGTCTCAAATTTGGTCAAGTAGGCTTATATTTTTAGCATGATAGTGGACTTAACTGGTGTTACAACCATAGAGTTAGAAAGTTTCTGTATAACTCTATGGTTACATCTAAACAGAATCCCTGATTCCCTGCATAAGATGTTAAATCAATCAGCGTTTATGAGTAATTACTTGTAGTTTAAGGATAATTACTAAGATTTATGGATGTATAGTTAATATCTGACAATGGGTAGACCGAAGATTCTAATCACTAATGAATATAGACTAAGTTTGGCCAAGATTGAAAATCTAAATTTTTTAGACCTAAGCTAAGACTAAAGAGATTGGCTAGAGTTCCTTGAAAAGTGTCTATTTCTATATAAGAAACACAAAATAATAGTAAAATACGTCATTTTCTTTAAAAAATATCTTCTTGAACATTTCCATCTTGTTCAAACTTGTTGAAAATCCTGTCGAAATAAATTATTAGGGCTGCTTATGCAATTAATAGCAAAAAGGGAGAAAACTTATCAAGACAACAATTACCTTCTCTTATAATGCTCAGAGCCGTCTCTATATACGGCTTTGATAATGCCATTATTAGACTTATTGACAAGCTTTCGACCATTAACCCATACATAAATTCTAGTACTGTTTTCAACCCTAAGTAACTTAACATATGATTTCTGTACATCATTTTCCATTGGTGAAGATTTGACATCGAAAATGTTTCTTGTCGATAGTTGAATTCACATAAAATTCCATTACTGATTAGCCCTCTTAGCAAATAATAATTGTGCATAAAGTTTTTGCAATATTTTTATTATTATTCTTTTGCGTAATGTCATTAAAAGTGATTCTCTCTTTTTTTTTCATGTCAGACCCTTTCATGTGGATCACTGTAAAGATCCCTTGCATCCAGGATCAAATTTTAGACTTCTGGTCCATCTTGCACACTTGTATTAACTTGTAAGACTGTACTTTACTCCTCTTTGGCTATGTAGATGGGCCATGCTCCTGATTGGGCTTTGTAGATGGGCCATGCTCTGGATTGAGCTACGTAGATGGGCCATGCTCCTGATTGAGCTCTGTATATAGGCAATGCTCCTGGGTGAGCTATGAAGATGGGCAATGCTCGGGATTGAGCTCTGTAGATGGGCAATGCTCCTGATTGAGCTCTGTAGATTGGTAATGCTCCTGATTGAGCTCTGTAGATGGGTAATGCTCCTGATTGAGCTCTGTAGATTGGTAATGCTCCTGATTGAGCTATGAAGATGGGCAGTGCTTATTAAAGAGATGAAGAACAAGATCGATAATATTAAGAGTAGTTTTAATAAGACTGCATTTCATTATCGCCAGGTTACATTGCTTAATAATAAAAAAATAATTTTCTATCATAATATAATACAATTCAATAATTTCTATTAGTTCAATCTAATAGGCCTACTGTATTCTGATTCAAATTGTGCCATTTCCACATTTATCCAAGATATTAAAAGTATCAATGATTAGTTCCAAATAACTGCAACATATCTAATGGCTATTTTTGATAATCAAAGAAATGTCAAATGAAAGTAGAAAAGCAGTATTGCGTAGTTATATGTTAACAGCAGACTAAAATCAGACTGCATAGTGTATGAATAACCCTTGGTATGGACTCTGAAATTAACTATTTTTATATATTTTTTGTAATATTTCCATCAAAACGAAGAATAAAATTGAAGTTAGAAAACTGGTTAACAAGTGTCATTAATTCTCTTTTTTTAACTCTAGCTACATAATTTACATATTAAATCTATAAATAGTTCTTTAGTTAAAAAAAAATATCTGCAGTGACTATTCTATCTAAAATAATCCTTGGTTTACACTACATAGTAAATTTTACGCCCTGGCCAGTGTTAGTGGCAATGTCTAGGCATTGAGACCATGATGGCTTTGAAGCCTTTCCTAAATCCAATGAAGTGGGCAAATTTCACTGCTGCATATCTATATACTAGCTTGTTTATACATACAGCCAGTGCCAAATTGGCAAGCGAGGCTTGAAAAAAGGCAAATTATGATGATGTTTCCTGCTTATTTGCCAAAATATGCTGCCAATTAGGACTTGTTAGGAATAATGTACAGCTTTTCAACAATTTTGTTTGGTCAAAACATTTCCAGTTAACCAATCAATATTCCTGAAATGTGTCAATTAAGATCTCTACCAACAAGCCCAAGACAATAATTATAGGAAGAAAAGTCTGATTTAAACAAGATGAGACAATTATATGACAAGCTGCTAAATATCTCCTTTCATCAGTAAAATATAAATTCTCAGTGGTTAAAAATTAGTATATGCAGGGAACATGAAATTTTGAATTGATTAATGAGCACTGTCAACATACTGTGTGTCGATCTTAATTTCATATATATAATCAGCTAGGTCTTATCTTGTTACACGAGAATGATACACGATACAAAATACATAGGAGAATTGTGTTATAGTGAGCAGATATACTGGATCATTCAAGATTTTGTAGACTGATATGGTCAGGTCAGTCAGACATTATTTACAATTCAAAATGTGGTTTAGTAGACTGGATCAATCAAGTTTCAAATTCCCTACACTGGATCCCACCCACCGTGAAATTTAAATATAATCTATAATCTAATATGAAGAATATATCATCTAATTTAAATGCTAAATTTGGAATGATTGTAGAAGATAGATTTGGTCTGAATAAAAGAGTCTATGTGGTAAATAAAGACTACAAAATGACAACTCGGAGCAAACGGAAAAACCCTTTTGACTTTAGAAAAACAAAATGTATCAAAATATTTCACAATAACACAATAGAATTCTTATATAAAAGTGGAAAAACTTGGATAGTAAATAATATTTACTGTCAAAATTACAGACACCTCAAAATCATTTCACAATGCTCTCGGCAGTTGCCTTTCAGTTGCATATAAATAACAATAATATGTCTTCCCTATAATTTAGTCTGTTTCATGATGTTCATTGCTTCACTCTGACTTGATATTGATCAAACTCATTTGATGTTTATTTCTATCCCAAACCTAACAGTTCTAACATCTATGATTTTGAGGTATCTTGAAGGTTCAAGCGTTTGCTCTGGTACGGAAATTGTTATAAGGCATTTTTTGATTCCTTTAATTTGAATAATAATAAACTGTACAAGGCATTAGAGATACATAGCATAATGGCAATCAATGTGTACAAAATCCTTAAATATTAGATTTCTGAAAATTAACAGCCAATATGCATCAACAATTCTGTTTTCAAAGGAAAATTTGGAAGCAAATGATGAACTTTGATAAAACTTTGATAAAGTTGCTACCATGTAGGCAATACAAATTTTACTAAGTTCTGTATAAACAATTAATATATTTCAAAGATGGAAACAGAATTGCAATCATGTAATTGACTGTAATTTCATTAATCCAAGCCCTTATTAACCCCACAGATAATCACGCAGGTGGTTTAACCCCTTTATTTTGTTATTGATAAGAGGTTTACCTAGGGTTAAATATAAAATGATGTAGGTATATATATATCTATATATATTTTATAAATCTATTAAAGTCCAAAACTCTCCTCACATAGATTCGAATTCATCTACACGTCTCTTTGTGTTGCCTTTACGAATGTCTTTAAGAGTTTTATATTTGTCTCGACCCTGTCGTACATTCTCTTGGTGAAGTTCATCATTTTTAGTCATTTTTTCAGGTTCCTTGGCATCAGCTAAATCAGCTTTTAATTCCTGAAAAGACAAATTCGTATAATTAAGGGGCATCATTCATGACACAACTTTTTGATCCACCATTGTCAAGATCAAATAACTAAATGAATTCAAATTTGTTTGAGAAGAATAATTTCAAGTAGAAATTCAATGATTTACCTCTAATTGTTTTTGTAAACGTTTATTTTTCTCAGCTTCAGTAATTCTTTCCTCTTCAGGTCGTGGAAGAACTTCATTTTCATGCACCTCGAGCTCAGCTCCTAAAAAACAATATTTTTTTTGGATTAAGTTATTCTTTTCTATTCTTTGAACTAATTTGTTATAACAGCAAAAGCATATCACTGACATAGATAATGTAAACTAATGCAATAACATTCAAATTCAAATAATTATTCTTTCATTCCATAGTCAAGTCAAAGGAAAAAGCTTGATTGTGGATAACTAGATTGAGGGTTTTTATGACAAGTACTAACCGTATTGTGACCCTGCTTCATCATTTTCATCATGATCATTGTCTTGAAGATGAAGTTGTAGAGATTGTGCTTGTGATTGTTGAATTGATTGACGGTTTAACTGATCTGCTAATTCACGTTCACGTTCAGCTTGTTCTTCTCTCAATCTTTGAGCTTCAGCCAACTCTTGGTCTCGTTCTTCACGAGCGATTCTTTCCTGTTCAAGACGTTCTTGTAGAGTCATAGTTTCTTGTTGCTTGGACATCAATTCACCAGAGGTTTCATCGAGTTTAGATTGAGCAGCTTCAAGTTCCAATCTCTACAAACAAATACAAAATAATAATGCTTTAGTTTTGAAGTTAAACATTCCATAATATTAGAATGCTCTGAAATTATCCAGAAATTACTTTTGAAATAACCAGCTAGTAAATACGCTTACTTTGCTACAGGTTTAATAACTTTATGGTTAGCAAAAGTTAATGAAGCCCAGACAATGAATTATGCCAGGCAATAAGATATCAAATCCTCATATTATGTTACTTTCTGAATAGTGAAGTTGGTAGGACACATATAGGGTAAGCATCTTGAAGTAAGATAATAGAAGTAAGCTGATAGATGAAAGCTATGAAGTATACTATAGGATACTTACAAGCTTTTCACGTTCTTCTTGTTCCATGTTGTGAGCATCAGCCAATTGTCTTCGTAAATTCTCAGCTTCATTCTGTTGTTCTTCAACCAATCTACGAATTCTTTCCAATTCTTCAGCATTTTTTCTAGTTCTTTCTTCCTGATCTAGATTTATAGACAACGTCAATTTACATTACAGTTTATTACAAAGGATGGTGGTAACCCTGCTTCTGGTTAGCTACTATCAATAGGTCTGAGAAAAATTTGAATCCAATTATTATTAAGAATATGACATACATTATTTGATTTTGAATTCAGGACTTATGTTGCATTGTTTCTTAACATATCAGACACCATACTTCATTAAAAAATATATCAAAATTCTGTGTATTAAAATGATACAAGTATAAACTTAAACTTTGCCACTGCAAAATTCTAACAGTAAATTTTTTATCATTATCTAATCATTGTGCCATAAAAATCAACTTACCTTCTTTTTCTTTAGATTGTTGTACCTGTAACAAACGAAGTTGTTCCTCTAATTCACGTCGTTGACGCTCATTTTCCTGACGTTCTCGAATTAATGCTTCTCTTTGTTGTCTGAAAATTTAAACAATTGAAATACTTATTTTAGCACACAAATATCGCAGACTTCACAAAAGAGGCAACATACATGTGAACAAGACTTAAATTAGAATGCACAGACGTGTCACTGCATAGATTTTGAAGTCAGCATTCTATCACAGTAAAAAATAAAGAATAATAAAAAGGATAGAGTTTTACTTTCTACTCTTTTGCACCTTATTGGTCTAATGAAGACGGATCACAGTAAGAAATCTATCTTAAAAACCTCATAAACTTACCTTTCTTGCTGTCTGCTAAGTTTTTCTTCCTTAGCTTGAGCCTTCATTTGTTGTACTTCAATAGTATCAGGTTTACGTCTTCTCATGTATAATTCATGGTTACCCATACATAGCGCTAAAATACGTTTATTGATACGAAGGCGAGGAGCATAAAATACAAAGTCCTGAAAAATGAAATTAAAATTAATCAAAATTGAGTGAATCAGCTTGAGTATGAATTTACTTATCCATTGCTGGGTCAAAACATCATTTTACTTTTAATAGTTCAACAGTTGGCAATTCACAAGTTTTCCCATTCATTTTTATTAAATCTAAAAACTGTATTCTTTATAATACTTACAGGTGCCTTCTTGTCTATTGGTTTAATTACAAATTTTTTATCATTAAAAGATATATTTCTGATTTCACTCCATGGGAAACCAATTTTAGGCGTTAATCTGAAATAAATATGGATTTCATTTCAACTTACATGATTCATTTTGGGATATAATTATCCTAGTGGGTGGAAATTCAGTTTTGCGATAATTTTAAGGTTAAAGATATTTGTTTCTCTCGGAAAATTTAAACCCTTCCCCTTAGAAATTTAATGTCTGTCACAATTTAGCAAAAGTTTCCATTATTTTAATAAGTCAATACTTACTTATCATCCTTTTCATATACATTTAATCCAAGAGCATCAACACCAAGTTTTAATTCTGTACCACGTTTATTTTTAATATCAAAATAATTCACACCATACATCTCTAAATCTTGAGCTATCTTTAAATATTCCATCATAGCATCTTCTCTACAAATAGAAAGACATACTTATTTAGATGGCAGTTTTCAGTGCTAACCACATAACTATGAGCTAGAAGAAGCCAAACCCTAAAAGAAGTAATATCTGTAAGTATTTCCATCATACATTTACTCATGCAAGACGGTCGGGTTAAGGTTTATTGTCATTATTTGGGTAAGGTAACCCATTGAATCCTTATTTCAGGGTAGCCTTTTTTTGGCAATGTGATTAAAGCTAGTAAAAGAACTCACTTTAACATTCCTTTATGTTCTGCATACCATGTTTTTATCCTCTCTTCCCATTGTTCTTTAGATAATTTATGTTGTTCATACACTCTAAAAGAAACAGAAGAAAACAGAAATATTTATAACATTTTCAATTTGTTTTTATTTGAATCTCATAAATGTTTCCATTCAAACACCCCCATTACATTTTTTTTATTACAAAAACAGTATTTTTTTTTCAAAAAGACTTAAATTGACCTTTCCGAAAACTGATCTTCCACTTATTCAAATGATTGAAATGCAAGTGGGTTTTGGAAAAAACAATATCCATCTTAGAGATAAACATATATCAGTATGACCGTGGATTGAAATAAGAGTCCTTTCTCACCTTTGTGGAAGAATTCTATCATTGGATAAAAATCCAGAGGGTTGTGAATCAGGATTATAATCTCCATATTTAGCCTGACAGGCGTAGGAGCCGAGTAATACGGCAGTTTCAGGGGGACAGTAGATATCGTCATTTAATAAACTCTCTTTCACTTGAAGGAAAAACATCCTCTGTAACCAAATAAAAGAACATTTTAATGTAATTTCATTGAATCAAGACCAAATAATATGAGATTTTTTGGACATCCAAATAATTCTGTTGTGCATTCTCTGCTTACTGGCATGCTAAATGATAGTCAAGGTTCAAGTTTGCAATCTGATCATAATACACTGTTCTAATATTACAGATAAAATAATCAATAATCAGACTTGGCTAATCACATTATCTCACTTACTTGCGTGATTTCTTGAATAAGTTCTTCTGAAACATCCTCGGGGAAAAATTTGGCTCTAAATCGAAACTGTAATGGTGTTTCTTTCTTAACATCTTGGTTGTTCACCTAAAACACAAATATATTGAATATTTGGGGTATATTAAATGATGTACTGTCAATAAGAAGGCAGCTGCCATTAATAATAGAGTAAACTTATCCTTCGAAATTCCACTAAATACAATGCAATTTAGAAACTTTGTTGCATATTTAAAACTGTACTCTAAACTAGGTTCACCTGCTACTGTCCTTACAAACTAATAGTAAATGTTTTTGTAGGTTTGGACAAATTTAAGAGTTGATAAATATCTTACCTTTTTATTCAACTTTAACCATGTTGTGTAGCCTTTACAATCAACATATTGAAGACCAAAGAACCAAATTTCCCGAAGGCCTATTGTCTTAACCACCTGAAATTAAAAAGAAAATATGAAAATTGAATTGGATCCATTTTATAGTTTTCGAATATCTAAGTTTTTAAAATTTGATGGCCATTTTTATTAGGCTTTCCCCTCCATAGGAGAAAGTTTAGTGTTGCTGTACTAAAACAATACTTTCCAATTGTCTTTTTTTTCTTGAATGTCGACTTAACTCAATAAGTAGATTTAATATTCTTTATCAGAAAATTGCAATGCTTTCAGAAGTTCCATAGTAAGTCTCCCTTTACCTCTTTCTAAGAAATATATCATATAATTTCATTATCAAGACTTCATTATTCTGAATACTACAAAGGCTTTTTGTTTGAAGTAATTGGGTTACAAGTTAATAACTTTTACTGCGTAAGTGTAAATTGCCATGTAGCCAAGAAAAGAAATTCTGCTTGACAAAATGTTTCATATTGCACAATTGGTAGAAGAGTTTGTCAAACAAAAGGCAAAATATCTTTCTTGCTTTGCAGTGAATTAAAGCATTAGGTTCTTAATCACACAAGGCCTTAACTCACTACTGTAAGAGAACTTTAATCTAGTTTGAGTCATGCTCTGGACCAACTCTGGACCAAGTTTTCTTCACTCCATGTGCAAGTTTAGTCCTACCAAATTTTGAGCAAAGGTCTCGTACTAGTACTAGGATATCCTAGAAACGATGTAAGAAGTTAAGACTGTAGCACCTCCTAGCGCTAAGATCATTTCGAGAATATGCAGCCATATTTTACCAATAATATAATGCATGTTTTGTTATAGCAATCACAAAAGTTGCCTGTGACTAGAATAACTTTCTTCTCCAAGATAATATCTCTTAATAATCTAGGAGCAGTTCCAAACAATCGATCATTCTTAGTCAATATCAGCCTTTTTAATTGTGATTCATTGATAACCTAATAATTTCATGACACAATCTAACTAGCTTTATTTCTCACAAATATTTTTGATGATTATGTCATAGCACTTTTCTTTCCATAAACTGACATATAAAGTGGTAGTGTATGCCAATTTATGAAGTATATTTTGAAATATTTATATATATAAAAATCTAAACTAATTTTTTCTAATTGAAAAAAAGTTATCCATGAAACAAGGATTTACCCACATGGAAAACCCAAAAATTCAGTTCAATATCAAATTGGGAACCAGATTTGGTCATCATTCCTGTTTTCATGAAGCTGGCACATATAGGAGTAGATTCCTTCATTACAAAAGATATATGCTTCTATCTAAACAATACCACTATTGCTAGGCATCTACTTCAGACAGATTTTGCAGCTTATGTCAACTAATTTAAGTAGACAAATAATCAATCAATTTTATTGTTTTGTG